TCCCAAAACCAACAGGAGCGCAGGCGAGGCCAAAGCACAATGAGGCACAAGCTGGGGAAAGCCCCCGTCGTATGCCGGCTGAGAGACACGTGAAACTCACGAGAAACTCTTCCGGCAGGGTTCGAAAGTCGTCCATAAAACATTTCAATGATTTGGAAAGTAGTAGCACTTTTCGAGGAAAGTTTCATGAAACTGAAGATATTTAAGTTATTTGGTCATAAAATAGCCTTGAGAAAGTCATTATAATACGGCTCCGTGGAGGAATTCTTTCTCAATTTTCCGTAGATGTTCGATGCTTGGAAAGGGAAAAGGCCTCTGAACCTGAGCGGAAAGCAGCCGCCAAAGCTATTCGCTCCAAGGATAAATATCTCAAAAAAACCAAAGCCACTTTTTATGGCGAATTTGCGAAGCAATTTTCAAAAAAGGCTTTCACAGGTTCCACAAGAAATCAAAGCTATATTAGCTGATAACTTGAGAACTTTGAGCTTGATTGTTTTTTTTCTAAAATAATTCTCAAATCCCTGAATGACCTTTGAAAAATGAGCTGGCTTCAGCTGTTTTACCGGAAAATCCTAATTAATAAAGCTTTTTTTTCGTACTACCAGTCGTTCACTTCAAATCGGCTCCAGAAAAGATTGGAAAAGGGCCAACGCAAACATTTCCGTCGCGCGCTACAATTTTCTTGCACTAATGATTAGAAATTCCTCCCACTATCAGTGATTCTGTTTGAGTGAAACAGATCAACAGAAAGAAAAAGTTCAAACTGCCAATGTCTGAGCAAACAAGACTTTTTTCCACAAAAAGGATAGATCTTTTCTTTGGGTGCAGCAAAAGAAGGAGAAAAGAGCTCCGCTTTTTCTTCTTCTCCTCGGTTACGCACCTTTGCGTCAGCGGCCTTTGCTCGTTCTGTCCAAAGTGTATTTTCCTTTGAATGGTGGGAAAGTTGGCAATTTGCACATACAAGTTTCGAGTTTCGAAAGTTGTCTGGACCTAGTTGCATCCATTATGTAGTTACCGAAAGAACTTCGATTTTGTTTGGTGAAGAAAGTTTATTTAGTTCAAATTGTTGAAAGCCTTTTTTTTTAGGTTTAAGTAGGCCAGTCGAAGACTTTCAAAGATTAAAGTCAAAAGGTTCCAGTAGTAATCCAACACAAGAAAAATTTATAAGAAATCGCTCAAGTTCCGTTCAAAGACAGGAAATAATTCGCACTTTTAAGTTTGAAACTTTTGTTCTTGTTCCTTTGAAAACAATCTAGAGCCCCATTTTTTTGACATTCTTTCGAAAATTGAAGCAAATTCGGAGCCATATGTGAAATTTCAAATTTTTTTCTCTAAAACTTTTCATTTTTTTGAGATAAATCTGATTTTTCATTTTTACTATCAGGAGCCGGAAACAAAGATTGAAAAAGTTTCAAAAAAAAAAAACTATAAAATGCCATCTCCTGACTTAATATCATTCGAAAATTCACAAATTATGAAAACTTTCAACAAATTCCGAAAGTCTAGTGCAGTTTGGAATCAAAAAGCTCAAGAAAAACATCAACTTAAAAAAAACTCTGAAAGTTCCACCGGCGTCGTCGGGGCGTTACTGAGGGATACTGGATCAGTTATAATGGAATGATTCGCTAAACGGATCAGATTTGGGAGCGGAAGAAACCTTGCAGGAAGGGGCGTGGCTTCATTAGGAACAGCATTCGCAGGAATGACGAATGAAGTTTTTTTCTCAGATCTTTGATGAAAATAAATATCAACTTTTATGACCCAAAATGAAAAAAATCTCAGTTCTCAAAAAAATCATTTGTTTCTGTGAGAAACAAGAAGTACTTCAAAAAAAGTCTTGAACAAATCTAAACCGGAAAATAATCGATCGATAGAATGAAAAAAAAACTTTGGCTAGGGTGAACTCGATACGAAAGTTTTAGTTTGAGAAAAATTCCTACAAACCGAGCTTTAAGGAATTCTGAGAATTTCGAGCTTGCCGTCAGTATTGCAATGATAGACCTGTTGACAAAAAGCTAAAAACTAACAAAATTCGGAAATCAAAAAAAAAAACTACAACATTTTTACCAAAAAAACGGGATCAATGCGCATAACTTCAGGTTTGAAGAGAATGACCGTTTGCCTTAAGTCGAAATAAATTTTGAAAATGGTAACTAGAACTCGAGAGAATCGCATAAAAAAGCTCATCTAACATTCGTTTATACAAACTTGAAAGAAACTTCATCCAATAAACCATCAGATCTCAGTGAAATATTCAAGACTCAGTTCTATTCAATTTTAGAATTGAAAAACAATTGACTTCTTACTTTTTATAAATTGAGAGGAAAAAAACTTCGTAAGCTCAAGGAAAATTACATTTTTCAATTGGAAAAAGTTGCATAAACACACCTTTTTGAGAAAAAGTTCCTCGACCCTTCAAGTCCGAAAATCAAAATTCAGTTCCGTTTCTTCTCCGATTTTTTTGAGTACTGCAATAAGTTTATTTCTCCTATTTTTTTTTCCTGTGCCCCTTGAGGCAGAGCTCAACTGGTCTTTGTGCACGCGACGTGGGGGCCGGGCTCCGCGGCGAGCTTTTGCTGAAATATCAACCACTGGTCAAACCACGCCCCTTCCCATTCGACGGCAGCTTCTGCCTCTTGTCGCTTCTCGTTCCCTTCCAGAGGGATGTACGAGGAGTTTTTGGGTAAAGGTCAACGGCGATTTGCGTCAGACCGACATGGTTTTTTCGGCCGCTTTGTCAACATTTCCGAAATGTTTCGCGGTTCAGAGTTCGAGGAGAACGGAAAAATGAGGCTGCAGGGATTGCTCCTCTTCAGATTGTCTGTTTTCCGGAGTTTCGGGGGACATTTCGCCGAGATTATCATAGAAAGGCCAAAAGATAGGGTCTTAAATACGCAAAAGATGATAGAAGCCAACAAAGATATGCAACTATACACTTTCTATTCTACAAAAAGAAGATTCGTCGAGAAAAACTAGAAAAATTAGCTGCGTCTTTTTAGATCCGTAAAAATAATTGGTGGAGCTTTTAGTGGTTTTGAAATTTAGCCCCGGTCAAAAAACTGTTGAATTTCTTTTCCCTCCAGAAAAGAAAACAAGCTGAAAATGCTTTTCCGTTTTTTTAGCTGCAAACTTGTAATAGGCTCGAATATTTTGAAATTTAAAAAAAGTTGATATTGCTACTCTCAAAGAAAGAAAAAAACTTTTACGCAATGGTAATAATTTTTTTCCAAATAAGTTTTTCTAACTAGGGAACTACTCGGACTCGGGTACGCGTTTCGAGTTGAAACTTTGGTGGCTTACAGACCCGGGTAGGAGTACTTGGAAACAAGAGAGAATATCTGCTAAACCCCATAGGCTTCTGAGAAAAAGCTTTTTGAAAATGAACAATTTAGGCTTGAAAATTATCAAATATTTGCTTTCCTCCTTCTTTTGGCTGGAAATAAGTTTTTTCGAGTTTATCATAGCCGGATCATTCAAGGCGATTGAATTAAAATATAAAATAAGGTAAAAAGCAGTATTTTTGAACATTTTTCAAGCCTAATTCTCACATTTTTCTACTAATTTTTTTCTCATTTCTCTATTGGGTTTAGCAGATATTCTCACTTGTTTTCAAGTACTCTCACTTAGGTCTATAAACCACTAAAGTTTGAACTCTATCCGCGTACCCGAGTCCGAGTAGTTCCCTAGTAAAGCAGGCTAGACTTATAAAACATAACAAATTCTTTAAAGACAAGGGTATTCAGAAAACTGAATTCTCTCCGGAATTATTTTTTTCCCGTGCGCTTTAAAACCGTTGGGGTGCTCTAAAAATCGGGTTTCTCTTCATTTCATTCATTCATTTCAGTTTTTTTTTTGTTCCATCTCTCGACTTTTGAATGACTATTTCCCCTTGTGAATGAAATAAACATTATCATTACTAACAGTTTCCTCATTAACTGCGCATAATTTGGTTTCAATAATTGAAAAAAACCTTTTTTTAGCCATAATGATCGGTTCTCATGTGGAAAGATCGACTTTGAAAGCTCCAAGGGCTCAAATTATAAAATACTTCGGAACCTGGAAAGAAAAAAACAAAATAGGGATGTTTCCAACACAGTATACATGCAGAAAACTTTCTTATTGAGTATCGAAAAATGTTATGAATCTTTTATCATCATCATCTCTTTACAAACAATGTACAAGATAGAAATCTGGGATTTCACCAACATAAGTAGATGAAAAGAAAAAATAAATTCACTTAAACATTTTGAACTCGTGACGAAACTTGAGGATTGGGAAGAAACAATAATGTAAAAGAGAAAAAACAGAGCTACAAGGAAGATCAAGCTGCACAAAAGATCGAAAGATCAGACGAAAAGATCGGAAAAGATCAGGAAATTGGGACTGTAGGAAATGAGACGACTAGAGGTGAACTTGTGCGTGTACTCTTGATATGTGTCATGAATAGTGGATTGCAAAGATGACTTGAGGAAGTTTGGAAGGAATATTATAGTTAAAAGGACGTTATTAGAAACATATATTCTGGTTTAAGATGTCATTTCTCAAGTCGCGGCGCGTGTTGGGATGCAATAAAACTTCAAAAAAAGAGGTGAAAAAAAAAGAAAAATCTTAATAACAACCAAACACGCGTGACGCCTGAAGAAAAAAAAATGATTATTAGGTGAGTGAAAAAAAATATGAATTTGGTCACTTTACAAGACTGGAAAACCCACTTCTGAGCCAAAAGTTAAACTATGATTTTTGATGAATTCCCGAATTTATATTCTAATTTTAAGTCAAAGGATCTTTCAAACTGAAGTTCCAGAGTTAAGGAAAGAAAAGTAGGGAATGAAGTTTTGAATCATTTTTCCTTTCTAACTATTTCTTAAATCTTGAACTTCAAAATTTGATCTGGTTTGAAGTCAAGCTAAAGCTTGAATAACTGGCTCAATAAATGGTCTGTAGTAACAATAATTTTCGGATAAAACGAGAATAGATCTGATTAAGAGAAGGAGAACAGGTCATGAAACGTTTCCATTGAGCTGGGCGTTGGCGGCGAGGTCCAAGACGGCCATCCAACGGGCCTGGCACTGCTCGTCCTCCGCCGTCATCGTGTACATCCTCCGGGCGCCGACCCTCACCGAGAACGTGTACTTCTCGCCGCAGATCTTCACCTCGCAGCCTGGCAGAGGCAGCATCGCCAGGGCGCATTCGTCCTGCAAGAAAACCAGCTAACTTCTTGCACTTCATCTGAGAATTCTTCCTTGACTCTAAAAATACTTTACCTTGTTCTACGCGTTATTTAAAAACATAAGTGCGGTGAATACTAAAAGGGAAGAAAAAATTTTTTCTGAGGCTCTCTATTTCGTTTCTGAGTCTGACTTACCCGCAAGCGGTTTAAAAGGAGGCGTTACAATCAAGTTCAGTAAAAAACGCTTTCATTTTTTTCGCCTACAGGTTTGAAAGCAAAGTTGTCCTGCGTCTTCTAGGCTTACATGGACAAGTATTCCTGTTTTAAAATTGAAAAATCGTCCCTAAGAAAAAAAAAGTTTGTGCTCATACACGTAATGCGGATTATTTTTTTCCAGTTCATTTAAAAAAACATTGTAAAATGATTTTTTTCCAGTTATTTTGAAACAGAAACGCAACCTGTCAACTTTTGATCTTTAATTGAATTATTTAATGAGATTGTCTTCTTTCATAAATATAATCTTTTTTTCCAAAAATTTGGTTTTTTTAAAATTTCAATCGATTGAGAAACAGATTCTGAACTTAAATTGTCAGAAGACTGGAAAAGTTTATCTGCAGATGTTCAATCTACCTCCGGAGTGTTATAGGAGTACAAGCAGAAGTCGTTGCGGACCACCATATACCGGTCGAAAACTTTGCCCAGAGTGCCTCGGAACTGCAATTATTTTTTGAGATCTTCATGGAGATTCCAAAAGTGATGACCCAAGGGACAGTCGTACTCTTCAAAGGTACAAACCTTGATTCTACTGGCATGAAGGACTCCTTTACCGGCGGCTGGTTTGTAGAGCAAGTTGGATCTGGCGTTGGATTGAGTCGAGACACAACGACGCAATCCGTCGCTCGTCTGGAAAATAAATCAATAGATTTTTGAAACTTTTTCTGATAAAAATAAACAAGAACTAACCGCGCTCTTCGTACAACTTTCGCAGACGCGGCTCCTTTTGCTCTCCGTCCTGTACCGGCCAAAACACTTTTTGCACATTTTCCGCTTACACTTGGAGCATTTCACTCCACGGGACCATAAACTGAAGAAACATATTTTTCAAGAGATCCAAATTTTTTTTTCAAACTACCTAAACTCAAAATCGCATTCCGAGCAATTTCGCGACTCACTGCAGCCGTTGTTGTTGTACTCACTAACGCTTGATCTCTGAAATTTTCGAATTTCAGAAAATAAAACTTCTCCTAAGGATTTTACAAAAAAAAAACCGACCACACTAGAAGTTCCAGCACAAGCATCATCAATGATTGAGAAAATCGAATCGACCCAATCACTCTTTTCTTTTTGCGATTCTGAAAAAAGACGGGGATGAGAAAAATAATCATTATACAACAATATTTTCTAGGTGCTAATCAAAACTAACATAAAAGCTTTGAAAAATCCTCTATTTTTTTCGAATGAAAAAGCCTTTCAACACTTCATGGTTGACATAATGAAAAAAACTGAAAAATTTCTTTCAAAGCAAGTTCCTAAAAAATTATTTTTATGAGATTAATATTTCTTGAGCGTACAGGGAATAGTGTCGGTGAAATGAAGGCTCTCATTTTATCCACTTTTCAAGTATTTTCGAATTTATCAAACAGATCTTTCTAACCAGAAGGTAAGAAGGTAAGAAGCTAAGGTCTAAAGATAAGAACGCTTGAAAATTAAGTAAGACAGTATTGAAATGATGTTGATTACAGAAATATAACTCAGGTCTACCAATTCTGAACAGAAGCTACACAAAGGTTTGAAGAATGATTTTCGACGAGGACCTACTCATCTAGGAAATTTGAAAAAAGATGATTAACGCCACTTTTTTTCAAGAAGACACGAACGTACCGGTGAAGAGTTCGACCCTTCGCACGGCCGAGTTCCCAGAAGAGCCGCGGACGTAGAACGAATGTTCGCGTTCCAAGTTGTCGCCCTCGCCGATCTGCATGCTGGCGGCGTTGAACACGGCCCGCAGCTTGTATTTCGCCATGCCGATCATCTTCCGCTCGCTGGCTAAGATCAACATGTCGTTGAACAGAAAAATGAACCGCTCTTCTGCTTTCTCAGTGGTCGAGGAGATTTTCTGAAAAAAAAAGACTTTTTGAGTGGAAAAATTTATCGATTCTTATGAATTTCACTCTTCGTGAATAGGAAAAAAAGCTAAAAAAAATTTTGAAAAAAATTGACAAATTTTTTTAGAAGAGTGTGAGAATTATACTGTTAGTAACATATAGTCCAGTTTATGAAGCACAAAAAAAAATAGGACATTTACAAAAAGTCTGAGAAACCACTTGCAAAAAAAAGGTGTATGAATCTCTAAAGTAGGTTAAGACCATCTAAAAAAAAAGGAGTAAAAATAACTTTGGGAGCTCCTTTTTTTGACTTTACTTTTTCTTGAAAACTTCATACTCCTAATTACCTGAATAGGACCACTTTTGATGAGTTCCCTGCCAGGTGAGACCAAGGAAATAGAGTTGCCGAGTTGTTCCTGTACTTCAACCAGCTTGCTGAAGCCTTCCTGGAAACAAAATCAATGAATAATGTTTGAGAAACGAATTATCAACCAATCGCTTCATCATCTGATTGGCGTGAGCTGCGGCTTGAAGGACGAGTTCCAGAGCGACGGCCGTATCTTCGTAATCCACGTCCGTCTCTTCCAAGTGCTTCTTGTACTCCTGAAATCATGGATAATAATGGATAATCACCAAGGAACTCAAAATCACCTGAAGTAATAACTGATATCTCATGACTCTCTGAACAGGACAAATCAGGTGATGGGACAAGGGAAGACCATCGCATTCCGGTTGTTTCTGAATTCATTTGTTTTCATTGATTTTCCAATTTCTCAATTACTTCAATCTCCTTGACGACGTCGTTGAACTTCTTCTTCTTCCTGAGTTCCTCGAACAGCTTGCTGGCACGGTCGTAGTTGTTCGTGTATTCAGAATACATCTTCAGGAACGGCGCCTGCTTTCGAACCACGTGTGATAACCTGAAATAATTTCAAAACTTAGAGAGATACAACTCATTGATTCTTGATTGCTATACGAATTTTCACACAGGAAGTCTGAAGATTCAGAAATTCGACAGGCTCAAAGCCTAGGAACTGAACTTTCTCATACTTAAAACAGCTGTCGGGCTATATACTCTCTAATTTTAAAAATTTATTAACTTTTCATTCACATACGAAGGATGGAAAACTCCTAAAAACAACTTTCAATACAGATGTTTTTTTACCACACCTAAAAAAAATTTTCCTTGAGAGTCTATAGGCGCCTTCCACGTTCTGTTTGAGCTATTCGTTTTCAGAAACATGAAATTTTATTGGATCTTCTAAAAAAACGAAAATAACTCCAAATAATGATAATGATCATTCTTCGATTCGATTCCTCCAAACTCCTCTTTGCAATTCTATTCCATTTTATAATTTACGAACTCAAGAAACCCAAGTCTCATTTCTTCACCTCCAAACTTTATTTCCAATATTTTCCAGCCCCTCAATCTCGAAAAATGACCTTTCTTTCTTCTCAAAATCTTATCAGAAACGTCTCAGGAAAGGGGAAAAAAATTGTTTGACGAGAATGAATGTTTGCCTCGTTGCTCAAATCCAACAAAGGACTAGCGGAAAAAAGAAAATATTTTTTCCTCGACGATAAAAAGGTCCCAGGGCGGTCGTAAAACGTCCCATGGTTCTTTTTTTTTTGAGAATATTTTTTTCTGATTGAGAAATGGAACTGTCCTTTTCGTTGACCAGAATTTGGGTTAATGCGAATTTAAACAAAGGCGCCGTAAATTTGAAAAGGAAACGGATATCGTGGGCGGTTTTTCGAATTTGGAACATTTTTTTAATTCTAAAAAAATGTTGGCGTTCACTTATCAATTGAACAATATCGTAAACAGGGCAACAAAATAAATACAAAGATTTTTAATTCTAAAAAGAACGTGGTCATTGATCGACACCGGAAACAACTCGGAAAAACAACAAAAATTCTTTTTAAAGAAATGAATTTTTCTGCTTCCGAGCAAACATATCAATACAAAAAAATAATTCTTCAGGCGTATCTATCAAAACAAGCTTGGGAATATTTCACTGAGACTGTCTTTTTTTCCACACTGATCAAGGAAAAAATTGAAGATTTTAGCTTAAATCCTTAAAAAACGCTTTTCATTCTTAATAGCATCATTCATATTTTTCAAATTAGTTGAATTTTGTGTTTCTTGTTTGTTCCATCATTTTTTTTTGACCCATGGAAAATTCAAAACAAAAACAGAATGAATGAAAAAGATCCATCTAAATAGCCTCATTGATCCTTTCACATTTCTCATACATTTTCCAAAAATAGTACAGTACCTTTTAGTGGTCTGCCATTCTCGGATCGCGTCCATCATTTGGGGCAGGAAATGAGTGTTGTGGAACTGATAGAGCGAGGCGACGTTGGCGAACAACTTCGCCTGCTTGTCGCCGTTCATCAAATCTTTCTCCTTCAGAATCCGCAGCCGGAATGTCTTGAATGCAATACTTTTCTTCACATTTCAAGTAATTCCTGTACCTCGCCAAGAAGCTTCAGCTTTTCGACGTATCTCTGCTCGCTGTCCACTAGTTCTTTCGCCGCAAACCAGGCTTTTTCGTGCCTTTTTTGGACTTCTTTTTTGACCGCCGGACCCGTTGAAATGATTTCCGACTCGTCCGTGATCTCCGAGAGAGTTCTGAACCAAAAAGGTCACTTTTATTTTTTTCAAAAAAAGGGAGGATGATGAATAATAACCATAATTTTAGTTTCATGTTTTCTTGAAACTCAAAAATCAATCGTTTTCCTTATTTACCGGCTAGTTTTGTCGTCCTCCTCGTCTTCAGAAAGCTCATCATCGTCATGATCGGTGAGCTTGACGTGGAAACCTCCTTCTGGCCCCTGAACACTTGAATTGGAAATGAATTCATTCAAAATTAAGGCCTTTTTTAATTGACTTTTACTTTCATTTCTAAAAACATCTTTACTTTCCGAAAAATTTCCCAGACATTTATATTTTATTCATTCCAAACTTGAAAGCGTGTAAAAGTACTTACAAAAATATAGCCTCAAAACTAATAGAAAACAAACTTACAGAAAAGAAGGTGAAATCTTCCATTTTTTTTTCTTTCGGAGAACAGCATTTTTTATTGGAATATATAAACAAATCTCTTCTAACAAAATTACACAGCTGTTAAAACTCACGCGGTACTCGACAAAAGCGCGAAACTTGCTCTTCGACATTTGCTTCACGCCATTGATGAAGGTCTCCTGACGGGAAAAATGCGAGCTGAAAAACTTTCGAATCGATTTCAATTTCTTTTTTTTTGTTGCCGTTTTGCGGATGGACCGGGCGATTATGCAAAAATTGAAATCTGTAGCGATGAGTTCGCTTTGACTTTTGGACAGGCTCTTTTTTAAAACATTTTTGTAAAATGTGTACTCAGAGCATCTTTGATGTTTCTAGACATGAAAAACTTACCAATACTGAATTGCCCTTGTAAGTCCTAAAAGGTCCATTTTTCAGCGCAAAAATTACCTGTAAGATTTACTACTTCGCATCCTCGTTGTTGTAGAACCATCAGGATTCGTTATCACTTCAGTCGTTGTCGATGGAATCAATGAAGATTCAGACCTCATCTTCTCGAACAGATCGGGGTACATTTTTACTGAAATTTTGAAATAATTATTAAAAAAACGAAAAAATCTCACCAAACATGTCCTTTTCCTTGCTCAAAATATTGAAAAAAGTGTCAGGCACTTGTCGCAGAGCATTGGATATGGCGACATCCTGAAATTCTCAGACGATAACTATGAAGTTAAAACAGAATTTCTTAAATGAAAACATAGTGAAAAAAAATTTTTAAAAAAAGGAGAAAACAATTTGCAAATTGTCGTCTATTATTACGTCAAATACGCAAACAACTCGTTGAAAAAAAATCGCGTACTATACACCATAATCGGCGTCAGTTTTTTAAATTTACAAGTTTTAGTAAGGTTTTTTTCAAATTTATAAACCTTTCTAACCTTTTTTTAATTTCCGATTCACTAGTGGTTTGTTACGGAGAAAAAAATTTTAAGTTTACCTGAGCATTGTTGGGGTCTAGTTCTAGCATTTGGGAGTTATTCGTGACGACTTCTACAGGTTTCATTCCTTTGATGTCGCCCCGCACTCGTTCACATTTTTTTCTTCAACCTGGAAATTTTTTTATTCAAATCTAAGAATTATGGAGAAAATTTTTAAATTTAAAAGTCTTTTTTTATGTCAAAATCATATTGTCTTTCTTTCCTTCGAATTTCTAGATTCAACACGGTGTTTTCTTTTTGCGACGCCCCGCCCACTTTTTCTCCGTCAATTAGGACGTGTTTAGTGCATGCACAAAAAAATTTGGAAAAATAAGGTTAACCGATGATATAAGTGTGAGAAACGAATGAACATTGAAGAAAAAAAGACGAGGAAATTAAAAAGAGATTAAATAAAACTATATTGCTGTGGAGAAACAAATAAAAGATGTTTTTTTACAGCAAGTACTTTTTTATTATAAAAAGTTGACGGAATATCCGGATATAAATGAATTCCGGAACATACTTTCTCAACTTCACAGACTTTTTTTCATGTAATTTCATCTCATTGATGTCCACAACCTAGGAATCTGAACAATCGACAAAAAAATAGAATAAGAAAAACATAAAATGGGGTGAAACATGTTCCATACAAACAGGTGGAGATTTTTCAAAACGCTTCTTCATCACGAGTTTTAAAGTTAGCCTCACAGAACTACTTTCAAAAAAACGTCTAACAGCCCAGAGTATAACCCGATCGTGGTCCCGCAATACTATCAGCAATCTACGAAAAGAAAAAGTGAAAAAAATATGAAAAAAAATTGACAAAAAAATCAAAAAAATAAAGCCACTTTTTTTCAAATTTCGCGGGCGAATTTCGAGAAGTGCGCAGACTTTGCCGAGTTTCAAATTCCTTGCATTTTCTTCAACTGGCAGAAACGCCGTGTCAACTAATCGATCAATTCTTGATATTTCTTTCATAACATGTGAGTAAAACTTGCGAACATATTTCTTCTGAAAAAAAGTAAACTCAAAGGAAGGCGACAGCCGACAAATGGCAATGAGTAATGCATCAAAAAGAAAAAAGAAAAAAAAAAGGAACCTTGGCCTCTCTTCCGTTCGAAACCTCCAATCGTCGCATCGTCTGTGTACAGTCAATTTTGATCTGAAGAAAAAAAAAATGAAACCGATTTATGAACATGAACTATTTTAAATTATGGGACGGGAAACTTGTCCGAATTTAGTTCTGAAATAATTGATTTTCGACATGATTCACTTCTTTAATACACCATTTTGAGATAAGAAGCGACCTTTCAAAAAGATAAGTGAATTAAACTTATTAACTTCAATAATCTATCAAATGAGAAGAACTGAAGGGCCTGAGTTATAGAGGATCCATGTTCAAATTGTGATAACCTCGAGAAAAGAGAAATTTAAATGATAATTTCGACGAAAAAATTTGTCACAACCATCAAAACATGAGAATTTTGTTTACAAGAAAGAATGAAAATGAAATAAAAAGCTTTTCGTTTCGAAACGTTCAAATTTTCCATCGCTTCATGTGACCCTGATTCTTAAAAAATCACTTGTCGTTATATCTCAACAGAAAAAAGCACTGTATCCACAAAATAAAAACAAAAACCGTAAAAAAAATGACAAGAAAACCTTTCTTCTGAATATTTTGGTGAGTTCCTCGGTCTGATCAGCCGACAGGATTCGGTAGGTGATAACCTGGACACGGCAGCCGTCGTTCGGGTCGACCTCCTCATCCTGAATTATTCCGTGACGTCATCATAAGCCCCAAAAAACTGGTCCGGAAAATGTAGGCGTGGTTCTTGCCCAAACATGTACATTCGCTTCGCGTTTTAATCCGATTGTTCAATATGTGCTCAACTTGGCACTTTTTGAGAAAAATAACAGCTCTAAAACAAAAATTTTAGAAACGAAAAGGCGCTTTTTTGAGATATTTCAAAATTGGATGAAAACGTTAGATTAAAAAAAAATATTTAAATATTCCTTAACCTTAGGTTCAACAAATATTCAAGTCTACTCTATCGAGAAAAATTGCTTCAGCATCTTTTGCAAGGCTTTTTTTCCTAGTCTTACGCTTCTGTATTTTCCGATTCGCAAAATTTTCCATCGAAAATTAAAAAAAAAAATTTGCTTTAGAGCAAATACCACTATTCGACTATCAGTTTTAAACTTATACAGCAGACTACTTCCTCAATTTTTGGAAAAAGAACATCTTTCAACTAATCGAACGACAGAAAATCTAAAAAAAAGGTCTTCAAAGAGCAGAACAGTTTCTCAAACTTAAATCCAACCTCTTGAACGTCTAGAAGAGTCCCGCCTTGCAAATCGACAGGGGGCAAGTTCTGGAAGGCTTCGAACTGCGCGGCGTTGGCCTGGACCAACGACATCGGATCGGCGACTCGGGACAGGTGTCGCACTGCTTGTTGCCACCCAACAGGGTGATTTCCTGCAGAAAAAGAAAAATTGGAAAGTCAGAAGCAGCTTCCAAAGGCTCATAGAACGAGGAGATAACTGAACCGAGTATGAACTTTTTTCAATATTTTTCTGCCAGTTATATATAATTTCGCACAAGCATCGAAAATAACAAGTGACGGTAGTCGGTTTTACTGCTTCAATTTTCCAACTTGTTCAAATGAACACAAAAATAGTTTTCAACCACCATTGCTTTCAAAAACTTTAGATCTGACAGCAAAATAAAGGCGCAAAGAAGAAAAACGCCTTGACAACCAAGAAAAATATTGATATTGGACAGAATTTTCGATCGAGGTCGAAATCGTTAACTCAAAAGACGGCGAAGTTTTTTTTCCCCTCTCGGTCGGATGGTCAAGGCAAAAAGAATAAAATTGTACGGAGGGGCAAGACGACAACGAATTTAATTTATGGGAAAGGCTCAAAATTTATGAAAAATTAAAAAAAATGTGTTCAGCTATTAAAAAAACAATGGCCTTTTTTTTGAGTCTCATGGTTTTCTTTTGAATTAGGCTAATCATTGAAAATTATTAAAACTTCTAAAAATGAGCTATGTTCGAGAAGTTTCTGGCCCTATTGATAAAATACAGCCAACTTCGTGCAAAATCGTTCAAACAGCCTTCAAACCCGTTCAAATTTTATTCACTGATTTACACCTTAATGTCTCCTCAATGCTGGGTTTTCATGTTTAAACCGTTCAAAAAGCGAAAAAGTCAGACGAAAAAATTCGAAAAAATTTGAAGACAGACAAAGTCGCGTATCAGAAGACTGAAGCTTGTGTTTGAGCGGTTTTGGGGGAGGACAAGTGTTTAGGTCAACATAAAGAAAAGTGAAGTGAAGTGAATAAAAATTTAGACAAGGAAGTTTGAAGTGGCGGTCACGTCATTCCAACCATAAATCACGTGGGAAAATTGAAGATTTTCGATTTTTTTTTTGAACGAAAGGATTTATAGAAGACATTGAAAAAAAAATTGTTTCGCTTTTTTCTACCTAGAAAAATGACCTACAAGAATCAGTCCGAAATTCAGAAAAATCATTGAGAAAAATTAGACAGTAAATACGAAGTTTTATTTAAAAAAAAATGCTCCATTGATATGAATAGGAAAAAAAAGTCAATTTTCATCGGAACGGCCTTGTGAGAAAAAAGAAACACAAAAATAAAATTTTATATCGTGCGAAAAAGCTTTTTTCATGAAGAGATTTGCTCTAACGAGGGGAAATAACTCGGAAAAATCGAAAAATAGAATCTATAAGAAAAATTAGCACAACTGATGGTTCATTCCTACGATTATTTCATACTGTTTTTTGGAAGAAAAACCTGAGAGCATGTTTTTTTTTCCTATACTGAAGGAAAGTAAGTAAGGCTAAAAGAACTTTTAACGAAAATTCGGATGAAAAGCTAAAAATTGATATTAAACTATAAATATAAGAGTGAGAAAGACCAAAAAACAGTAACTGCAACAAAAAGGAATAGATCCCAGGTGTCCGTCAGACGAAACCGAAAAAAAAGGAACGTTGAATAAAAAAAAACACCCGCGGGCCGCGCGGCGCTCTCCTCCTCTCCAAATGATGACTCATCAAACCGTTAGACTCCCCAAACACTCCCCATATGTATACTTATACATACAGATCTTTCCAAACACAGTCCCATCATAAAACTTTCAATCAAAATATAGAAAAGCGTGGGAAAATGACGACTGTTTTGAAATGCACCTCAATAAATGTTGAACTTCTGGCTGAGAACACTTTTCTTCTTAGGTAAAAAATGTGATGTTATGAAAAACATCAAGAGACAGTTTTATATATTTATGAGCATAATAAGAAAGTTTTTTTCATCCTTGATAACATTAATAATCACTGAACCGACGATTTGTCAATGAAGCGATTTTAGGAAGAATAAATGGCAGCCGAAATTACAGAAAAATGGCTCCGCATTGTTTATAATTTCCTTCCGCGCGAAATAAGCTCTATTGATGGAAACTATTTTTCTGTTACAAGGAAGGTTCTCAAAAACCAGAGTTTAACTTAAAACTACTTCGAAATCGTCAGATAAGACGAAAAGGACCAAACAAAATTGGATCCAACCGATAAAACTATCTACAACACTTAACTTCAACTAGTTACAAAAAAGTGAAAAACCAAAAAAACGAGAATCTCAAGCAAAGTCTGGAAATCCTAGAAGATCTAGCGAGGAAAGTAGTCCACTAGACTTTTCCGTGTCGCTCAAAACTTCGGACCACATAAAAAACGGAAGAATCAAAGAAAACCCTTTCCAAAACGGAAAACAAACTCATTTGCTCAACAAAAAAAACCTTGAAATATTCAGATTCGAGCGCTTTCCGTGTCCATAAAACGCAGACGATTTTCCAAGTTTAATGTGCATCTGGGTCTGTGCAAACCTCGTGGGAATAAAATTTAGCCAGGAGAAAAAAAAAACTTCCGTTCTGATTTTCGTGTTCCTGGTCGTCTTCTAAAAGGAAAAAGAGAATCAGGAATTACTCAAGGCGCCTATTTAGAAGAAAAATGGTGGGAAATTTCGAGAATTTTGAAGCTTCGCCGAGCTTCGACTTTACCAGACTTTGCAAAAAAATTTTTATATTGTGAGCAAAAAAATATAAAAATGAATAGAAATAATCTACTCCAAAACTTAAAAAAATTTTTGAAAGTTTTTTTGGCCTCTAAGCTTTTTATCTTAGAGGAAAGTTTGAAAAACAGTCTACAGGCAACTAAAACGTCTTAAAAACCTCGCAAAATCTTGAAATTCTCATTATACTATGGAAGAACCGTATGAAATGGACTGGAGATCTGAAATTTGACTTTAAGAATGTAAAAACTCCTATATTTCAAGTTATAGATGACAAAAATGGAAGATTCACAGCAAAAAATTGATCAAACTGTCTTAACCTAGGGACCGCAGACGAATTTTCAAAAAAATTTTTTCAGCATTGAGCTTTGTATGGTTTGATAGCTGTTTCGATTCAAAACTCAGAACCGTTTAGTTTTTCGAAAAAGATTATGGATGAAAAAAGTTATGACGAAAATTGTGGCGCGCCGCGCACCATTTTTTTAGTACTGAAATTTTGGTATTATCCATTTTTGACATTTTTCTCGATTTTTCTTCCAGAACAAGTTTTGATACTGGTCTATTATGATGTAACAAATCATAATAGATTGCTAAAATAATGCTAATCAGCTAGTTTGCCGAAAAAGTCGGTATTTTCCAGAAAACAAAAAAAACGGGCGCTTGCGGGCATCGAACTCGCGACCTCAAAACGAAAAAAATCGCAGCGCACGCGCTGCGCCAAGCTGTTAGGTCTAGCGAAGGGAGTTTCCATCCGCCATACCCTTGAGCCGTTTGAATAGCACAGATTGCCTATTTCAAAAAGAAAAACTTGAAGTAATGAAGCTATTTTTATCAGAATATGTTCGCAAATCTTTACTCAAACTTTTCGTGGAAATTCACTTCGAAAAAACTGTTTTTTTAGTGCTTTTTGCCTCGTTTAACGATCGCTGCGTTAAAACGGCCCCGTAAATTTTTGGCAAAGACGAATTTTTTATTTTATTCTTTTAATTGAAAGATTTTTTACTAATAAATGTATATAATCGTTTAAAAAACCTGCGTTCGACCGCTTTCGGTGTGATAAACGCCGCTAATTTTATTCTCTATTTTCAAGAGCATTTTTGCGTATCAAACAACTTTTTCAAGCACATATGCTGTGGAGAAAAATTTAAGTAAGCCCATGGTCTAAATTTTGAAAAAACAAAAACTCGATTATATTCGCTTATTAACGATATTTTGAATTATGACTTTCGGCACTCCCTAAAATTTTTGGCAAAGACGAATTTTTTATTTTATTGTTTTAAAATTACCGTTACTTGAATCAAAATCATTATTTAAAAAAAGAAAGAGTGCGTTCGACCTAAAAACACATGAAAAAGCAAAAAACGACAAAATTTTTTAGTTTCATTCACGTTTTTGTACGACATTCCGCGAGAACGCATCAAAAAAGCGTGAAATATTTTTCAAACGAAAGAGGAAGCTTTTTTGTACATGTGTGCCAAAATTTATTATCCAGTTCCACATATTTTGCAACTACAGCAAAATGAAAGTTGAACACCAAAAAAAAGCCACTTTTTCTATCGCGAAAAGGGGCGTGGCTTTGCGGTCCCTATCTTAACCTGAATGAAATTGTAAAACTAAAGGAAAACTTTTCCGTTTCTCAAAATGAAAATTTCGAAGTCTATCTAAAAGTCCAAAATATAACGAATGTGTCATAACCAGCCTACTTAACCAATAAGACGGGCTCAAACTAACAAAAAAATATCCCAAAAAAGACACCAAGGGCGGCGACAAAATAGCCACAATTAGAGGGGGCGGTCGGTTCTCGTGTCATCCGCACCTTTCCCTTTTTTCCGTTGCTATTCTTCTTGTTCGTCCTCAACGAAATTTATACACGTACATGGTCGGTGTCGGAAACGGTTGGAACTGGAATCGAAGCGATGATTTGCGCGGTGGGGCGAAAATATTCATGTACTAGGTGGGTTGGACGGTCAGAAAAGGACAATCGGTCGAGGGTCCCCTTAAGAGTTTCTGGATATAATTTCATTGGAAACGAGGTTGGAAGTTAGTGAAAAATAGCTCCAGAAGGACAGTATCCGTTGAAAACTTCGAAGCATCAGAGAAAAAAAAACCTTAAGTAACGAAAATATTAGAATTAAAAATAAGAGTAAAAAATAAATTTTGAAAAGATCTCACTGTATATATGTCTCACTTTCAAATGCTCTTGATACGGACAGTTTCGACTAAAAAATATCGTATAATATTTTGAACTTTATAAGGAAAGACAGCAACCGTAATGAAGAAAAAGTTTTTTTTCAAGCCTATGACTTAAAAACCTCTTTCAACTGCAGAAGAACCAACTAAAAAAGTTCAAAGCACTTTCCAAACCGAAAAAAAAAACAACCGGAAAAGTTTACGTTGGCGTAGTGCAGCGATTTGTCAAAAAGAAACGTCAAGGATAAGAAGTTGAAAAAAAAGGCCGAACATCTGGCGGTTACAAATGTTTCCACGGGGAAAACATGCGACAATCTGGTCAAGCTGTGAAAAAAGATTAAGCAGAGAAAAATATAAAAACGTAAAATTTGCCAGTTTATCGCTAAACATCTTACAAGTTTGAATGAGCTTAAAGATAGTCAAATTAAAATCCAAAAAAGACAGCATTCGAAAAAAGAGAATCCAGACAAGAAAATAGCTGTTAATTATCAATATAGCAAGTTTTTAGAGTTTGAATTCTGTTTTTATTTACTGGAAAATGGAGAGAGCACGGAAACTAAGTAGAAAAAATTTTTTTTTGGAAAACGAGAAAAAGCCGGATATCACAGAGAAAGCTCTAAATTAAAAAAAAATGTTATGATGTCAGTCACTCTATCTTTATTGAAGTATTTGAAAACCAGAAAAAAAGGTCCAAATCGCTGACAAAAAGCTTCAAAAGGTCATTTCTAAGCGATAAAAAGGGCACGGGGGCCCAATTTTACACAGCAACAAACGGCTAAAATGTGTGAAAATCGCCGCGGGGCACAGCCGTTTTTTCTGTGTTCGTCGTTCCATTCGTTTAACATTCCAACGAATTTTTTCATCGTCTGGGATCAAAAAGAAAAAGGAAAAACAACCGGGGAGCAATTGTTATGATTGGTATTCTCGCCAGTTATTTTTTGGAATGTTATTTCCTTTTTTGTCGTTTGAAAAATGGTGGGTTTTGAGGCGGAAAATGAGCTTCGGGAAAAAATAGCTTTGTCAAGAGATGGTAAACTGCTCCACCGATAATGTCGACGACTTGGGCCAGAGAAAAAGGAAACTTGAGAAACTTCATTAATAATATATGAACCAGTAATTTGGATAGTCGCTGCAGAAATAAAAATGATCAAAATTGCTGAGAAACTTCGCGAGAATTTGTGGAGATTCACGGGTTTTTGATCTGATTCCTAATTTTCTAAGCTGAAAAGCTGAAACTCCGAAAATTTGCTATCTCGATAACTAGCAGCTCAATTCTCCAACTCCCTCCAATTGAAAGACTGCCAGTGAATGAAAGAAAAACACTCAATCCAAGAGAAACCAGAAATGTTGCTCTGTTGATAACTAGCGGCTATTTATTCACACCTATTTCACTAGAGCCTATCCGGAGAGAAAACCGAAGAAACGGAATTTCAGAAAGGGCACGAGAAACCAGAAAAACAAAGCCTGCAAGCAAAACATAATAAACCGAGCCTGAACTGAACTTAGCAAAAACGGATGAAAAAAAAACCGGAAGAGTGTGAAAAACGGCCGACCATTAGGGAGGAGGACATGGCAAGAGATTGCAATTTGTCCTCCGTCGACGGAACGTCCAATCAATTTTCCCAAAAAAAAAACTTTTTCCTTGCAATCTCCTCGTCGGGTTCTGTGTTTGCTTTTCAGCTTTTGCTTCCTGTCACAACGGCGAAAACCGATTGCGCAACGGTTTCTTGCAAAAAAAAACCTCTCTTGAGAGCCGGTTTGCGAGCAGTAAATCGGTGAATTAACGCTGGGGCAACCTTTTCGAGATTTTGAGTCATGATGAAAATCAGCAAAAACATTTTAAACGGGTCGAACCACAAAATTATATTACAGTGGAATCATCATTAATGAAAGAAACAGCTATTAGAACACAAATGAAAACAAAAAAAAACACTTGAATTTTATAAATATAATTTTTTTCAAAACAGATTCAGGTACTTTATTGGAAAATAGCTAATTCGAAAACAGAGTCCTTTGTTTCCAGGCATTAAGTGCAATTTCTTCTTTCTCTTAACGTCCCTGGAAAAAAACCCCAAACGGAAGTCCAGCCCATTTACGCTTTTAACAAAAGCCTGCAGAAAGAAAACTTTGGCCAACAAAGCTTCAATCATATCTCCGATTTCTCTCATTTCCGTTTAGTTGTGCGGTGGTGCACAACTAGAACAAAAATAAAAGCCAGGAAAAAAAAAACTGGACAACGTGGACTGAATGGAGGAAGACACACATAAAAGCTAAATGGAAATTGGCAGTGAGGGGGAAAAGCTCGAGTTTTTTTTTCCTTCTGTTCCTTTTTTGTGTGGAGAGTAATGGCTTGTGGAATGTTCCATGAATAAACTAGGATTTGCAAGAGTTCAGCAGGACAAGAACAGGGACAAGGAGTAAGAATGACGTCATTAGAACTGCTCACACAGGAAGATGGTACCGAACTGATTAACGTGAAAATGACGTCAACATAGTCGCCACACAGGCTTAAAATAACGTTTTTCATGAAAGTTAGCTAGATAATTCATGAGATTTGATGAGGGAGCCGGAGCAAACTCGCTTTCAAGAAACCCTCCAAATTTCAAAAACTCGTTATGTAATTCTTTAAATCGCGACGCGACCGCAAACGCATTGCTGAAAATAAAAAAAGGGAAAAAATAGTCCAGAGGAACTCTTTGTTCTACCCAACTATAGGCTCGTTTCATGAATAAAGTATGCGTTAGTTGTTTGGAGTTTGAAAGAACGTCCAGGCGTTTCGGTCAATTCGTCCAAAGGCCAAGTAGCCGCAACCATATTAATTCAACTTTTAACAATAAAACTTTGAAAACTAGGAAAATTTTTTCTTTTACATAAAAAAAAGTCCTTTCTGTTAAACTTTTGACCAAAAATAGAAAAATGAACTTTTCTTTTTTCTGATAAAAAACGAGGGAACAAACGGTTACATTTTGCTCAGACTCAAAAAAACATATTTCTTTTTTTTTAATTTTTAACTTATGAAACTGAAGGAAAATTGTTATATTAGACTAAGCTGATTAGAAACAAAATAATGGAGATAAACTTAATAATATCGAAAAAAACATTTTTGATATTTTCAAAAAAATAAACTCATAGGTCTTGCCAAGAAAATCCCAAAAATTCTGCTGAATCTTTGAGAAGAGTTTTTTAAATAGCTTTCTTAAAAAAACAGAAAAAAACCACTGAACACTCAAGAAAAAGCAGACAGAAGTTTAAAGAAAGTTGAAAAAGCAAAGCGAAGAAGAAATTCGAACCCCTCCGGAGGCTTATCAGCGAGAAAATATCATATCAGCCACAACAGGCTCAAACGCACGTCAATAACCGAATAAATATTGCCTGAAGGAAAAAAAAACGTTCGAAGAATCGATTGATACTGGGTTATCTACTTTTTACATTAGGAAGTGCCTTCGGAGTATTGAGGATGCTGGTTTAATAAAATAGGAAAAAAATTGCATTCAAAACGCAATGGAGCCCAAGAAATGAAATAATCGCGACGTTACCGCATACGCTCACAGATTTTGATGAAGTTTTTAAATAGTTATTTTTTTCCATTTTGGAAAATGATTTTGAAAGATCGACAAATTCAAAAAAATAGGAGAGCTTCGTTCAGTATCTCACATGGCAACTTGAATAACTTCTAACATGTCGGGACGAATTTCAATAATTTTAACCCATAATAACGAACCATTGAGAGGCCGAATAAATCGCCAATTTCCGGTGGGCTTCGGCGGCGGAGGTGGCGGCTGATTTTGAGTTAACATCGACGTCGGCCTCATCTTTAGAGTTTCTAGAAATGTTAAGGATCAGAATCATGCAGATGAAAGACATTTTAAAACCATGAGGAAAAATTTTTTTAGAAAAATTTTAAGGCCAAAAATCAATACTTTGTAGGCAAAAAAATTTCAAACTGTCAAAGAAAATTCTTTGATAAAGTCAAGCAAAATACTTACTACTAATTTTGATTACTCATATCATGAATCTCAGTTCTAGGTCATCATTTCTTCGAAATTCTCATAGTTTTTCTCAGAATTACTCCTAGAAAACCGAGAGGAAAAATGGACTGTTCAAAACAGCCATAAAAAGACAAAAAAGGAAGGGAGAATGAATAAAATTCCATAAAAAACACTAAATGATGATTCAACATGATAGACCTTTTCTAGGTTAAACGAATACAGGAAATTAAAGGATCGAGCTATGAAAATAATAAATTCATAAAACATGAGTGGTATCAAAAAAATGACAAGAAATTGAGCGTAATATTTTGTGGATTAGATGAATCGTTTTCATAACTCTAAAACTTCAAAATGTATAAAATCAAACTTTGAACTGGAAAAGTACTTTTTTTGATATTCTCTGTGAGTTTGCTACTTTGGACACCTGAATGAAAATCCTTTATATTCGCTAACTTCTCTTCTGGCTTTGGATACGTATTATTTAGGAAATTGGGTTCAAAACATTAAATAATTTTCAACTTTCCAATTCAATAATCCAAAAAAAGGTTTGCGCAGGTAACCATTATGAGAGATTTTCAGCTAGAAGCTCAAATATTTTTCTTCAGAAAACCGCAAGGTAAGATAACTTCCCTAGTCATAAATGAAGAAAATCAAAACCATGAACATATTCAAAACCAACAAACTTCGGTTAATCAGCGAACAAAAAAGGAGTGTTGAGTGAATAAACCAGGAAGAAGTCCGAAGCGGAATAAGTAGACTCGGGCCCAACTCAACTCAGCGACAATGGGCAGCTGCGACAGGCGGTTCGGTTGGCGACATTCCCTGATGTGATATGCGAGTTGAGGTAAATAGCCTCGGAGGTGGGGCCTTCGATTGTGGAGAAATATGGAGGAGCGGCCGATGTGAATGGGCCTCCGACGACCGACACAACAAGTTGCGAACTTTTAGGGTTACAACGCGTGGATGATCAATCGTGTTGAACCTGACAAGCGTCCTGATCTTCTCACGGGTTATTGGGAGCTTATTAGAAGGGATAGGTCTTGACAATTGTCGTTTGTGAAGACTTTGCACGCTCTTAGAGCTTGTCAAAAACTGTGTTGTTCGATACAAGAAAAAAGCAAATCTATCAATTTATCGGGTTTTTTTCAGGCTGTTCAGGAAATTCTTTACAAAAAAGGTTTCTAAATAATCGTTCTCAGTCTTCAGATGGTTATGAATTTAAAAAATCCTCGTTTTTTGAATGTCTACTGGAGAAGCCATTCCAGGAATTTTCCATAAATATCTTCTTTAAGGTGAAAAAATCCATATTTTCGAAGAGAGCTCAATAAAATGATTTTCAGGGTTACTGGAAGCTTATTTTTAAAAAAAAATCAAGACAAATGTCGTTTTCAGGTTCAAGATGCTCTAAATAAAAACTAAATCTGATACAAAGGTATTTTTCCTGTAGAAAAAAATATTTTCAAAAAAAGAGATCCAGAAGAATTTTTCTCTAAATTTGAAGATGCCCAACAAAGGCAAGACTTTCTACTCCAAAATGTCTCGAGCTTTTCGGATAATGAAACTTGTTGAATATTGCAAAGAATTCTGTTCATCTTAGCTTTTCAGAATGGAGTAGTGAGACTGCTACTCGTTTATTAAGGCTCCGAAACGTTGAGAGCTTTTTTTGCAAGAATCTTAACATAACTTCACGCAGCGCAGAGAATTTCTGAAAAAAAAACAATAAACATTGTATTTTTTTCACTCGTCGCTCATAAACTGGATTTTTGGTTGAAAAAGAATAAATTACGAATGTCAAATAGAAAACAATCTTCCCAGTTCAAAAGCCTTCATACTTTCCCTTTTTTTTTTACAGATTCCAAGTGTTTTGAAAAGTGTTAGTAGTTTACCAAGACTTCAAGTGACTCTTCAACTTTCTCAGAAGCTTCAAGAAGACCTTGAAAACCTGGTTTTTGACTAACAAAGAAATTTAAGAGTAGTTAAAAGAGAAGAATATTTTATCGAAACTTAAACTCAAAAATCTTCTGCAATTGCAACTCAAAAATAAAGGCCCAGTTGTACTTTGAGCTAAAGGAAGATTTCAACCGTAATGCCGATGTTAAAAGTTGCTCCGTCGAACTTACAGTATCCAAACAGTCCGCAACTTCCCACTTCAATTAGCCTCTATTCTGCGAAAAACAACCACTGAAACGATTGTTTTTGGATAGTCTGGGCACTTGACAAGAAGAAAGAATAAAAATGAGAAGAAGAACAAAAAAAAAAACAAAGAAGAAGGCGATGAGCAGTCTACACGAAGAAAGAATATATGTGTATGCGCAAATTAAATTACCCCTTTCCTTTGGTTGAGCGCAGACAAATCGACGATTAATTGGCGGGTTCAGAGAAAATGCCACAAAGATTCATGACAGCAAAAAATGAAAAAGCTTTCATTCAAAACGAAAACGGACAATTTGCTTATGACCAGCCGAAGTGGAGTTTTTTATTTGGAAATCATTTAAAAATATCTAGAGATTCTTTTGTGCATGTCAAAAACAAAAGCTTACGGCAAGCCGAATTCCCAAGCCGTCTCCGATCCAAGTACTACCGGCTCTCAACGTTGCTTAACTTGCCAGATCGGACGGGATGGCGTGTTTTCAACGTGATGTGGTCGTAAGCGAATGCTTTGGAACGCTGAGGCCCCTTACCCTCGGCCTTGGGGCTTGCCCCTGCATTGCGGGGGAATCGTATATTTTTTTTTCTCCAAGTGATTTTAGAGCTCGAGTTCAGACCTATCTATCTTTTTTTTAAACTTCAGAGTATGAAACTCGAAATTGAATATGTTATTTAGTGAAAAAAAACATTAAGAATTAAAGTACAGCAAAAATTTTTTTGAGAATGGAAGGGAAAAAAGTTTCAGGTACAACCAAAATAAATAAATAAACTATGAGGATTTTTGTTTCAATGTAGAGCCTTGTCAGATAACAAGAGAAAGAGAAAATAATTGGATTTCAAAGCAAATGGAGAAAGAATGAGATGAAAAGCAAACAATTGGTGGGAGTATTTCAGCGGAAGTTAGTCAAATCCACTGTGTCGTCGTCGGGGGCATTGTGTGCTTTGCAGTGATTTCCAAACAAAAGCCGAAATCTTGTTTTTCTGCCAAAGTTACATGAACTTTGGGAGGTCTTCCAAGAGCAGTTCACAAGTTTCCATGATAAGGATAGTGGGATCTGTTAGAGAACCCAGGCTCGAGAACGAAAAATCAAAAACGACTGGATTCGTTGAAACAACACGAGGACGCCCTCTCAAATATGTCCCTTGACATCAAAGTGAAGGCAATTTCAGTCTCGCCAAAGCACGCGACACAGACGTTTTCGGGCACGGTTCGTCTTCTTTTTTTTTCTATTTTGGAAGCATCTTGAGAGCAATTTTCGACATGAATGTGTCTGGGAAGCCGGAAGGTCCAAAGAATTTTTTTTTCCTGAAATCGCTGAAATATGATAGCTCATTTTATTTCAAATCAAGTCTAATTTCACACACAAAAGTAGCTCAATGAGGAAGCCTGGGGATAAAATCTTTGCGCTTTACGGATAAAATGCGCTCAAAAACGCAGACTATGGACTGAAAACCATGTCCGAATTGATATGTTTTTCGTGCTTGGAAAAAATAATTTTCTCCACAGCTCAGAACAGATTCGGAGTATCTTCAAGAAAATTTCGTTCAAGGTTAGACCCAGTATGAAGCAAAAACCAAAATTAGAGCTCTATTTTAAAAGGTCGAAACACGGCGCAAACTCGACGATTTGAGAGTTCCGTTTTCGCTCAAAACTTCGTAGAAAATAAGCAAATTACGAAATCGAGATTTTTTTTTTCAGATATTCCGCTCAGAAAAAAGGAACATGAAAAAAAATCCGTAAATTTAGAGTCCCTCAGATCTGTAAATGGAAGTTTAATAAAAATGAATTTTCCTCCAATCATCCGAAAAAAAATTTTCAAATATTTAAAAAAATTTTCTAACGAATAAATGAATACGAAACAAACACAAAAGCCAATATGCTTATTAAAAAAAATGGGAACCTCAGAAAACGCACGAAAATCAACGATTTATCAGGCAAAAGCTGAGACAAATTATGGCCTCTCGAGCCGCGAAGACGACATAAACAAAACTGCCGAAAATGGGATTAACGCCGGAATTATACCAACAACAGAAAAAAATTGCTTGGCAATTATAAACGTGTAATTTGCTTCGAATAAGCAGAGGAGAATTCAGGGGCAATATGGAATCTTTCCCTTTTTTCGAGATTCATCTCTTGGGAATAGACGCTTTTTGATTTACGAGCTCTTGTGTCTGAACTTCGACCAAGAAAAAAAGATTAGAAAATGAGGTCTCGTTGCTCGAAAAGTGGATGAAATGTTTTTGAAAAAAAATTACTTATTTTTAAATGTCCAATGTAATAATGTTTCAGAGATTTTAAAACAACTAAAAAAAACCATTCTTAGGCAAGTTATATGCGTTCGATTTTTGGTTAGATTTATTTTAAAGGTTATGTTTTTTATAGAAAAGTTTCTAACGCTAAGTTTCAGCTAAATTATTATTTCAGCCTGAGAAGCAAGTTTTTCAATAAAAAACTTTGCTCAATTAATACTTGAGCTGAAATGCGATATGAATTATCCATTAGATTAAAAAAAACTTTTCAAGATATATGTATATCATTTTAAAACATTTGAAAACCATTAGAGTTCTTCAAATCGGGGTCTCACCGCGAGAAAAAAATGCCTGAGCTTAAGGCTACTGTAGCTTTTTCGCATTTGCTTTTCTCAACTATTATAGCCAAATTAAAAAAATTTTTTTACAGGTTCTTCATGAATATACCATTTAAAAGTAAATATTTCACTTTGTTTGAGTTTTTAAAATGGAATAAATTTAAACCAGGATGCTGAAATGAACAATAAATCATTCAAAACCCCTCTAAAGTTCAGAAAAAAAGATTTTCTCAAAAGTTTCTAAAGCGTAAGGTGTAAAATATTAGGAGCCGTCTATTAAAATTGAAATTTTCTCAAAACTTCCTTTTCGTTTCTTAAAACAATCGAAAACTGTTGGGGTATCTCAAACCGGGGTTTTACCGCGAAAAAAAAAGCCTGCGCCTAAGGCTACTGTAGGCCTTCACATCCTTTTTTTCTTCAGTTATTTCAGCTAAATTTGGATGTGTTTGATGAAGATAAATTTTTATATCAGTTAAAGGGAAAGTTTGACTTCGTTTTAGTTTCTGAAGTTGTATAAATGTGAAACCAAAACGCTAAAATTAGCAAAAAAAACATTCAGAACCACCTCTAAAGTTCTGAAAAGAAGATTTTCTTAAAACTTTCTAAAGCGGGAAGCGTAAACTAGTAGATACCATCTATTAGAGCTGAAACTTCCTCGAAACTTCCTTTTCGTTTCTTAAAAAAATCGAAAACTGTTGGAGAAATTTTAATCGGGGTTTCACCGCGAAAAAAATGCCTGCGCCTAAGGCTACTGTAGCCTTTCGCATTTGCTTTTTTTTCAATTATTTAAGCAAAATCGGAAATTCTCTGAAGTAGCTTTATGAATATATTTGTGGAAAAAAGGAAAAATTTGACTTTATTGTAGCCCCTAAAATAAAAGAAATAAATGATAAGCATGCTAAATTAATCAATAAAACAGGCAGAACCACCTACAAAAGTTCTGAAATGAGGATTTTCTCAAAATTTTCCAATGCGTGAGGTTAAACCTAGTGAAGGCCGTCTATTAAAACTGGATGTTTCGGAAAACGTACTTTTTGTGTCTTAAAACAATCAAAAACCGTTGAGGTATCTCAAACCGGGGTTTCACCGCGAAAAAAACGCCTACACCTAAGGCTACTGTAGGCCTTTACATTAGTTTTTCTTCAGTTATTTCAGCCAAATTTGGATGTGTTTGATGCAGATAAATTCTCATATCAGTTGGAGGGAAAATTTGACTTCGTTTTAGTTCTTGAAATAGTAAAAATATAAAACCAGAACGCTAAAATCAGCAAAAAAAAATACATTCAAAACCACCTTTAAAGTTCTGAAAAGAAGATTTTCTCAAAACTTACTAAAGCGGGAAGTGTAAACTATTGATAACTCCAGCTGTATATTTAAAAAAAGCTTAAATTTTTTCCATATAATTCAATTATTGCTCTTGGACCGAGCACCGAGCTTGTTTCTAATCGTTGGAATTAGCACAACACGATGTTCTGACAGGCCGAACACATGACATCGGTTAGAGGGTATTAAACGAGCTCAAGGATGATAGTGAAGGGTTGATGATGGAACAAATGGGTTTCGGCTCGCCTTTGTTTCAAAAAAAGATGTTTGTATATTTTGAGTGCATTTTACTAAAAAAAAAATAGTACTCCAAAGTTTCTTTGAGCTTTCTCACTAGGTCTTTTTTAAGATATTTTAAATTTCAACTGACCTCAACCAAAAACGAGGATCAGAATAAACGTCCTCAGAAACTGAAGAAGGAATGACTCTTCAATTGATAACGACTGGAGTTCTTCCATAAGCAGCGGGCTTAAAAAGCTTTTTATTAGCCATCATCGGCAAATTAAAAAAAAAACATGATAATACGGTCGAGAGACCATACAAACTAAACTAAAATCAGTAACGGAATCTTGAAAGTAAACTCATCTCTCTGGTCAGACAAACTTCTACGCAATCAGAAGTTTTTCCTTTTACTAACATTTTTCTCTCAAATTCATCAACTCAAAGCTCAATATACCTTCCCACACAATACCCATCAAGCAGCAACTACAGTAACTCATTGATTCAATGAATAATTCAATAATTCGTCGGCTTTCCAGTGCATTTCACACCGTTTGCCGCCGCCTCGTAATTGGTCTCACCTGTGGCCGTTTTCATTGGCTCCAATCATCTTCGGGTGTGTGCTCCACCGACATTTTTGACAGAGTAGGAGGTGACTTTGAAGATTCATGTTCAACGAAAACGATCCTTTCTACTCTTCAAAAACCTTTTTGACGTCAGACTTTTTCTTCCGATTCTTGTGTTTTTTGTCAAGCGCCAGAATAACTTTTCCTCTGTCATATTTAGGCTGAAAAATCCTATATCCTAAAAAAGAGCCACCTCGGAAATTGAATCGGCTTTGTTTGAGACACCCTATATTTCCAAACCAATTAAATTTTGACCGAATTTCCAGGTCTTCCAGATTAACACGAACAATTTGCCCTAATTGCGCAACGGTACTTAACATGATCTTATCTTATCTCAACGCTTAGTGCTCCACTCCATCTGGAACGCTTTTTTTCTATCCTCCTCTTTCAATTAGATTTTATTAAGAGAAAAACTGAGATGCTCAAAATTCACTGACTCTTTATTGGAAACTCTGTGTTATGGAGCAAGTTTCTCACATCTGCTCGTTCTTGTTTACCTCAAAGTTTGTAGTTTCAGTTTTTCATATCTGGACAAAAAATTGAAAGGCCCTATAAGGACCACTTGAGCTTTAGAGACTAAGGGGACAGACCCTAACCTGAACCCTCTAAATACTATAAAGACTACCTAACTTTTACACTTATATGGCTAGGGAGAGCTTTTTTGTCCCTTTAGGGGCTGTTTTTCTCCTAACCCTTATAGGGACCACCCTGCGTTCCTAGGTCGTTCATGTACTCCGATCTTTTCGATAGTGCAAGATTCTCATGACTCCCTGGGGTCTTTTCTACCATATAAAGCACAGAAGCATGTTTCGAGGTATTAATATTACCATCACAGACTAAAAAAATAACTTCAATCAATGAAACTCTCTACACTTTTTTTCTCCTAACTTTTTAATAGAAAAAAACACTCAGAAGCCATTCCTTCCCCCCAAGCTTCAATCTTTTCTCAAGCCAAGATCAAGAACACCGCCGCTGTCGCCAGGCGGCTACGGTAGCATGTTGTCGGAAGAACAAGGAGGCGTGGCCAAAAGCATTGTCCTTGGCAGATTTGAAAAGTTTGTTCAAAAGCCGCGACACTTTCAACGCGGATCCATCAAAAGCGATGTAAACGGCCAGTTGTTGGTGGCCTCTCACCAACCAACCCAATGTTATCTTTGCGAAAGCCTCGTAATTTGTGTGGTCCCGACGGCGGATGTTCTGTGTAACGTCATTGCGCACTTTCCAGCTATTCCGCCTCATTTTAACCTAACTTCAACCTTTTTTTTTTGAGATGTCATTTGGTAATTTTCGGATTTTTTCGAATTCGACTATCCAGTAAAGCCCTATACTTTCAAGCATTTTCCTTTATATTAATGATACCTTGACCTTTCTGATCTTGAAGTACTAGTCGTTTTATTTTTTTCTATTCTTCTTCATACAACTTTTTTTACTTTTTTTAATAGATAAATTTTTTTCCATTAATGGTATTAGGGACTGTTTGATCATGTTTCTTGATCATTTACAGTTCTTCAAAAACGCACTTCACTCATTTCGAGTAATTAGTCGTATTTTTTTAACTACAATTAAGCTTTTATTAAAAAAAATTAAAATAACTTTTCCTTTTCACACATATTCGAATTTTTGTTGATTTTATTTTTATTTTTTTGATTTATCTGTTTTCGAACTCGTCTCTATTTCGAACAGATCGATGTAAATTGGGAATGAAGCAATTTTTTCAAAAAATCGAGCCAATCCAAAAATTTGTTCTTTATAGAATAAAATTTTAGATATTTTTTTTTTGTTTTTTTCAGTAAGCCCTCCTTAATTGGGTTCTCTACAAGGTTTTATTTTTTCGAAACTTCTATCAGACTTTTTCTCTTCTCCCTATTCTCTACCCTTTTTCCCAGGGGTTCGAAACTGAAAAATCTCAATATTTTTTGTACTTTCGACCAGAGAAATTCGCCATCTACATTTACCTCTACTGTCCTTGACGTCCATCAAATAGTCCATTCCGACAAAATGATTGGCGCGAAAATGTGTTGTCGCTTCTTTTTTTGTGGTCCCATTTGCCGATACGGTAATTAAGGTAATTAAGACATTGTTACAAGCCAAACATGGACGGCACGTGCCGCGGACAAAAGACAGGCGGTGTTAACGAGGTGTCCGTTACTGTCACTCGTCGCCGAACCTCGTAAATATCTCATCTTCACTTTTCATGGCTTTTTTATTCTTGGTTACGTTGTCTGGTTGTGCTGGACACCAACTTCAACATTATCCTGGCCAATGTGACGAAATTCGTACCATAGTTTGCTGCATACGGATTCATACTCTTGTTTTCGTTCAAAAACTTTATTTCGACAAAATTAATGATGAGGACACTAACTCGACCTGATTTACGATGAAATCGGAATAGACCTAAAGTTTTTCAGATTCAGTTCAAAATTACATGATTCCAATTCTAAAAGTCATATTAATTGCGTCAAATGAAGCTTCTAAACTGAATCTGAGCTACTAAAAAAAGTTGAGTCATGTTTTGGCACCTCTAAAACCGCTTTCGAAAAATCCAAAGCTCTGAAAAAGCTACCTTTCTTGTTTGTTTCTTTTCAACTATCAGTAAAAAAGCAGGACTTCTTCAAAAAATTCATACCAAGTATGGACATGATAATCTCTTTCTATTCTATTGCTCAGATCACCCATTTCCCTTCAAATCAAAAACTATTCTTCCAAGTTTCTCTCCAAACGCTCTTCTCATTGTTCAATCAAAAATGTTCTTTCGCTTCTACAAATCTCGCCTCGTTCCTCCTTCTCCTCCAAAACCGTCAATTTTCTCCGAAATGTCAACTTTTGTGTCTCCCCAAAGGCCGCATTTGTCAAAAACTTTCCGTCTTCTGTTCTTGTCCACAACGACACCCATTTGTCGTGTTCCGAACTTTTTTGTCGTCGGTGAGTCTCCAGAGACCTTTCAAAAATCCAGCTTTTCGTCCAACTTTATTGGTGTTTGTTTATTTTGTCAATTGTAGGAAAAGAAGTATTTTTCTTCTATATTTGAGCCGATGGGTCTGGAACTTGGAAAATGATCGCTTTAATCACTTGGTAAAACCGATTTCTGGAGGCTGTTTTGCGTATCCATAGACGCTCTGATCAGATTTTAATGAATGAACAGAGACAGCTTTTTTTGACCGTGTTTTAATCATTTTTCATTTTTTTTTTCATTAAACAAATCGAAATCGTTTGCTTGTTTTCGTCTACCTGAAGCTATAGTTGTTCTAAAAGTGATAAAAATTCATTCTTTCAGAAAAGTCCAACCAAGCCCATATAATCTTACTATTGAATATTGCCAACTAGTGAAAATCATGAGAACCGTTCCCTGGTTCTCGTTTTTCGCTGTCTTCGGCGTCATTTCCGTCGACGTCGATGTCGACGTCTTCAATGAGACTATCAAAGACTTGCTCAGGTTCCGAACCTTCCCACCAAGTGAGTATTTACATTTAACCTTTTGTTATTTCAACCTGAACAGAAAATATAAGTCCTGATTCAAAAGATTTCCAAATTTCAGACGAAACCGTGCACCGAAAGCTGTCACACGCGGCCACGCGCCACATGCGAACAATTTATGATGTTTCCATCATTTTTACTCTCAGTAATAATAGTTTCAAAACTTACAGAACATTGTCGAGGACGATGGCTGTGACGATGGAAATCTTGTCAGGGCGATTGACGCTTCAGTCGGTGAGGGATCTGAAACCAAAAAATTAGACAAAACATTTTGAATTAAGGAAAGTTCAACGGAGAAGAAGTCCTTGTTTTCGATGTCGACGGTTTTGCAAGTGACGAATCGGTGAGTCGAAATTCAGAATTATTTAAAATAGTCTTTGTCTCAGCCAAATATTCGATAGTGGTATTGAGTTGAAAAAAATTTCAATTCTTACTGGCTATAAGAATTTCTAACAAAAATAGTTATTATATCTTTTAAAAATACTCCCTTTTAAAGGCCTTCTGATCTTTTTCGACAAACTAGAATACGAATCAACTATAGAGTTTATTCGAAGAGAGTCATCATCACAAGGGAGTAGGGCTCGGAAAAGTTTTGGATCTTGCCGAAAAGATCTGAGATCCTGGTCGTACTAGAAAGATACCTAGTCTTAAGCTGAGGAGCTGATATTTGCATCTAAACGCAGAGAACTTCAACTTAAGTCATGTTCCGAAAAACGCTACAACTCGATCTTTAAAACTTCCCGAAAACTTAGTACGACCAATACTCAGATAATGCGTGCCGAGCTGCACTTCACACTTCGCAAAAAGGAATACGCCTTGGCAAGACGTAGATCCCGTCAAATCCGAGCCCGTTCTGTCTGTGTCAACGACTACTGCCGGGAACAGTCGTTGAAACGGATTCACGGAGAAGATCTCGATGACGTCACCGTCGTCTGGGACGCGACCAAAGTCGTCTTCGAGTCGTTCCATCTCGACGCATCTCAAGTCGTTTTCAAGGTTTTCCCTCATTATTTCTGGCTTTGCATAAATATTTTTTTGCTTTCTAAGTTCTACCAATAAACTGCGACACAACAGTTTCTGACCTAGTTTCCATTAAAAAAATCCCAACATCCAGCTCAGATTCGATCAAAATTTCTTCAGAGCGCCCCGGCAACATGATAAAATTTTAAAGGACTTGAAGATCAAAAGAAAATTTTTTTAAGATCACTCGAGACCACACCAAGATGCGTCCATACGTTGAAATGGTCCGGAAGAGCAGTCCATTCCTGGTGATCTATTCCCAGGCGAACCACACAATCGACACGGCCACCGTAACCCAGAGAGCCGAGAACACGCGGCGACAGCGGCGCCAAATTGGTTCGTCAATTATTTACGGTGTCGGCAGCGTTTTAAGGCTATTCGGTTGACTTGAGCTTGACGAGGTTGATGCGGTGAATTTGGTGATCAAGATTAGGCAGTTCGAGAGATAGAGATGGTGTTGAACTGAGAGAAAACAAGCCAAATACTAGTATACTAAACAAATTATTAGACTGATTCCACGACTACCTATTATATGTATTCATTTTCTAGGTGGCGCCTACTACTCGTACTCCTCGAAACTCGTCGACGAAAACGCACCAACGACTGTGAAGTCTCCGACAGGACGTCGACATCGTCTCCGGAAGGAAGAAGAAGATGACGAAGACGTCTGGAAGGGCTTCGGCGACAATTCTGACGTCGAAACCTCTACCGATGCTTCTAATGACGTCCGTGTCGTGCTTCTGAATGAAAAGGTGAGACTTCGACGTCCACCTTTTTGCTAGTTGCCTCTTCAGAAGTGCTCCAAACTCGGCAACCAGCTGCGACTGAAGGAATTCGGCTGGAGCGATGTGGTTATGGAGCCGTCGACCTTCGAAACGTCCTATTGTAAAGGATCCTGCTCGGCACCATTCTCCTCAGTGAATTCCTGAAGTTATGAGCTTTCTTGATGGACACACCTTAAGGGATCGAACCCAACGAATCATGCGATGCTCCAGTCGTTGTTTGCCTCCAATGAGCCCGTTTGTTGTGCTCCAGCTGGACTTCAGTCTCTCACATTCCTCTACAAGTTTGTTTTTTTTTTTTAACTGAAAAATTTAAATAATTCTCTATAGAGAATTTTTTTTATTTATTGCGTATCGCTCAATAAAAAAAATTTAGTTTTTCTCTTTTTTTTTCTCCCCAAAAGTCCATGATTCCTCGGAAGCTAGACGTTTATAACTCAACTACTCTCCGCTTTTATTCCCCTAGTGACTATTTTAATTCATGGAGATTTCTCTAAACGACTTGAAACCGCCTGAAAAAAGACCAAAAATTATTTACAAGCCATCCATTTATTTAAATAGTGTTTTAAATTTTCTGGAAATGACCTGAAACCCTTTCCAATGTTGTAGAAGATAGTTCTGAAAATCTCGACTTTTCAAGCTGATAATATATTATTATAACTGCGCTTCAAAAATACTCTGTCAATGATTTAAAAAAAAATCAATTCGAAATAGAAATTTGAATAATGTATAGGAAAGGCCTCATAACTTCAATCGCTTGGAATATCTTGGGAATGATTTCAGAGACGAACGCAGCCGCCTTGTGATCCGCAACTACCCTTCGATGACCATCACTTCCTGCGCTTGCCTTTGAAATTCCCCCCAACCCTTAACCTACCTCGCATTTACCCAACTTGTTTGCTTATCAACTGCCGTTCGATTCCCCGCCTGCGCAATAAATTATTTGAATATGCTAATTTTTGCTCAATCATCAGCGGTTCGTGGAATTTCGACTATTTGTGCAACGGTTCACATTTTCCAACTGAAGTGATGACGTCAAGCGGCTCAATTTTCGCTCTCTTTTTATTCATTGGAAATTTTGTGAGGTTCACAGGTTAGTGAAAGACTTTCCGAATCACTTTTTTGAATTTTTCTCCCTGTAGATTCATTTTTTTAAGTCCAATTTTTCGAAAAAAAAAGGCCGCACAACTTTTCCTTCTGAAATTACTTATTAAGATTACTTTTTTACAATATTTAAACGATGGCAATATTAACATTTCAAACTTAAAACTCGTTATTTTTATTATTTTTGAGTTTTCAAAAACAATGCAAAAATTTAAAAAATCGAAAGTGACGATATAATTATTTTGAGCATGAAAGTTTTGTACAGAAAAGCCCGTTAATATTTCATTTGTCAGAAACAAAAAAAAAACCTTTATTTAAAAAAAAACCTTCAATTCAGTTCGTAATACTTTCCAATTTACTTTTATAGAAAAGCGGGGATTTTAAGCAACTTTTTTTCGGCTTTTTTATTATTTTTCTGTGTAAGTGTAGCTTTTTTTTCCCTCATTTGAATTAACTTTTTCTACTCAAAAAGAAACTCACGATCAGAAGCCGAGAAACACTTCCACTGTCGCTGCCTTCCTCGGGATCAAACTCAAGAATTGATCAAATCGATCGCCTTGATGAAATTTCCTCCTTCGCCACCTACAATTTCCATTCGACCGATGTTTTTTATTTTTAAGATCTTATTCTATTTTTAAGTTTTAGCTACGTTGCTCAGCCTCCAGCTCTTTCGCCGAATATTCTCCCAGTCACAACGAATTTCTTAAAGTCTAAGGTTTCCTCAAGTTTCATACAAAGCAAAAACCCAAAGAATCGCTTAGATTTCAAAAATCCGCCAATGGATGGAGCTTTTCCAAAAGCAAATGCTATTGACTACAACTACTACGACTACTACAACTGAAGCTCCGATTTTCGACCCATTTTCGGAGCCTCTCAATGACCTCAATGAAGATTCTTCGCTACTGAGTTCAACCTTATATCGTCTGGGGAGGAAGATATTCGGCAGATATTATCAAAAACTTCGTGAGTTTATAAAATCCTGAAAGAAAAAAATAAATAAATAGTTTCAGGGGCGGAGTTGACCCGACTGGACCGTTTCGAGTGCCTCTGCGACGGAAAACTTCTCGACGTTCTCAAAGCGAAGACTTTTATTAACATCAACATTGCACATGACTGAAGTGACGCGAGTTATTATTATGATTTGAGACTGTATATTATGGTGATAAACTGGGGTTGCACTAAATGAGTCACACAATAAAAAAAAAAACCCGTATCAATGAAGGAGAAGAGACGAATTTAGCAATGGAATTTTAGAAAGTACATGAGTTGCTTGACAATTTTCGGATGAAACAAATGAGAAAAAAAAACAAAAAAAAACTGCCTGAAAGAGGATGTCCAATCGTTTTGTTATGAACGCATGTGCTCCAAATTTAAAAAAAAAAGCTGAACTATCAAACTTCTAATTGAAGGTTTGAAATAAAACCTAAAAACAAAAAAACTAACTCAGACTTGACTCTGAAACCAGAGCAGTAGATAAAAAAGGAATATTCGTTCTTTTGATCGTTAGGAATCCAGAGACCATGAGAAAATAGTTTAAGACAAGAAAGTTGGAGAAAGAACGTTGGCGGCCAAGGCGGAGTCGGTGAAGATCGACGGGGACAAGACGGACGGCGACAGGACGACTCCAGACAGAATTGTCGGCGAGACGACGTCGGGACAGAGGACGAAGGGGCTGAGGATCAGCGGCGAGAGCACGTAGGGGTTGATGACGTTGGGCGAGAGGACGTACGGCGAGAAGACGTAGGCGTTGAACACGGCGGCCGACATCACGTTGGGACCGACGACGTACGGCGAGAAGATCAGCGGGTTGCCGACCTTAGGTTCGAAGAAGTTGAGCAATTGAACGAAAATATTCGTTGCCTAATCGGTAATCACTTACGAAAAGATACCTTTTGTATTTTTTTTTTCAATTTGATCGTACTGTGAGGCTTTCCATGATGACGTCTTTATGAAAGATTTTCAGATATTTTTACCTGAGGCGAAATAACAGGAAGAGACATCAGAAGCGGTGAGAGGACACTAGGGCAGAACAGCTGTGGAGAGATGACGAGAGGACCCAGAACGGAGAGCTGAAAAATGACATTGAACAGCTTTTTTTGAGCTTTTCTCTTCACTTTCCAGTCATTTCTCATATACATTTATTCATAAACATAACTAAGATTGCTCGATACATAATCAATATCTTTTCCCAATTTTCCTCGCAAACCTGATTGATAGTGGGAGCAAAAGCCTGGGGCGAGAACAAAGTCGGGTTGAGGAAGACAACTTTGTACGCTCCATCGAGAAGAGTGATCGTAGTCTGTCTTTTCCTTCGGCTCGGCAGCTGAGTCGCTCCCTTTCCTTGTGCGATTTGCCTCACCGTCATTCTGAAGTTAGAAGTTTGAATATGAATTTCTCTTCTCATCGCTACCGCATCGACTCGTGCTTCTCCTCGGGGCTCAGAGCTTCGACCTCATTGACGTCGAAAGGCAACTCCGTCACCGAAGTGTTGTACAGGCCGTCATCCCCATAGAGCTTTCCCAGCTGGTTTTTGTTCAAATAGGTGAACTTCCGATTGGCCATTTCCAGTTTCTGTTCTTTGGAGAAGCTGTTGCCAATGTCGCCGAACAGCTGAAAAAGAAACTTCTGGAAATGCCAAGTAGGAATAACAAACGCCGTCCATGACTTTAGTGATGTCGAAAAGGTCTTTGTCGAGTCCGGCCGCTTTCAGATCTCCCATCAGACCCAAGGCGCCATCCACAACTTGGTTTACTCCTATAGAAAAAATAAAACTTTTCAAACATATTTTTTTTCTCCAAAAAACGCTGAAGATCACTAAATCGGATGAATGCGCCTTATGATTTCTCAAAAACAAAAGTGATTTCATCGGACGAAGTGTGAAGAAGCGAACCAGACACATCCATGACGAGTTCGAGAACCGTGTCCCTGTCGGACTCGGTCATTCCAGTCGCTTCCAAGACATTGGGCAGAGGCAGGATGCTGTTGTCAGTGTCGTCCTTGTACATGGGGAACAGATTCGGAGAGAGAATCTTTCTGTACGAATTTCAAAAACGTCACAGAGGAGGGAAAGGAGAGCAACTTCTTGGTGTTGTACTTGTCGGGCATCAGCGGGAGGAAGCGGGGCGAGAGGAAGTTGGAGTTGATGTCCTTTTCGTGGCGACTCACTGCGTCCACCAGGCCGTAGACCGACTCGTCCACGCTCCCCGTCGGGACGATATCGCGCATTCTGAGCGACGCGACAGTTGAAAAAAGAATGAGGATAACAAAAGTAATATTTTTGAGAAATAGAGATGCATGTATCCAACTTGAAACTTTAAAAACCTCTAAAGGAGATGCAGGCCGAAACATCCAAATTCGATGTTTTTTCCTTTTTTCTCTTTCTAGTCTATTCACAATTAGTCAGCTGGAGTTTTAAAAAGAAAATATTTCAGCTTAAACGTTTATTCAAAGCGAAAAAGCCATTTTTCGGAATTTTCCTAACTTTTCTTTTGCTTATTTTGTTGAACTTCGCGGCTTTTTAATCGAAGGTAGCTTTACCTGTCAGTGAAGGACTTGTTCCTTCTGAGCGGATTTTTCTTCCCAATAACCATATCCAGCATACGATGCTTGAAATTCTGCTCCTTCTTGGCTTCTTCGACTTTTCCTTGAAGCTGAAATCCCCAGTTGAGAACTTGATCGGAAAGGTACACGAAAACCTGTCTCAATCTCATATATGACGCATTCATTGCCAAGGCGGAAGTTCCATTGCGAACGACGGTGTTGATGAGTTTGGTAATGGTCTGAAAGCTTCTTTGATCCAACTCTTGGCCAAGAAATGGTGGATTACTTTGACCGGTGAAGGATTCGCCGATTTCAGTTCGAACGTGTCCATATTCTTGATTTTGAAGGGCCGGTCGGCGTTATCAACTCTCTTCGCTTCTTCTGCAGCTTCTTTCTGAAAGTACCAATAATTTTTGAATAACTTTTCTCTCCTAACATTACTGTACAAGGACAAAACGTTGCGTTTTCTTCTTCTGAACTCCATTTCCTGGCTGCGCGCCTTCTTGACACCGTTGTGAGTAACCAACATCTTCCTGAAACAATCCTTCTTCTCAGGTTCTGAAATGATCAAAACCTCATCGACTTTCGACGTCCGTTGTATTTCTTGACCCTTTTTTTGATCTTGTCGATACTTTTCTTCAACTTTCCAGTAACGGCTTTCTTGATGATTTTTTTCTTCATTTTCGTCTTTTTGATAGTTTTGAGTTCAGATTTGGAGGCCGGCATCACGGCGTCCGTTTCGTCGGTGACGAACTCGAGTTTCGGGTCGTTCAAAGCTTGGGGAAAGGATTCGACCTGAAAACTAAGAAAACTTCAGTGGAGTCAATAATTCTAATGAGAAACGAAGTATTATTCGCAGAAAATTTTCTTATTTATATTTTGGAGCTTCAAATGGGATTCACTATCACGATCCACTACTTTGACTTTGTGTGAACCTTTCGAAATGACAAAGACTCTACCAATTTCCCATCGAAAGCGTGAACGAGACAATTGGCGGCGGCTTTGACGTTGTGTTCGGCCTCGATGGCGTCGAGACAGGCGACGAACGCCCTTCTTTCATCTCTGAAAAAAAAACATGGGAAATAAGCGTCGTTTTCGATCATCGTCCATCTTTTTGCGTGTATCACTTGTGATGCCCCTTCACCCTAATCGTCGTCGCTTTTTACGACTTTCCTGCGCTTTGGATTCGTGATTAACGACCCATTGTTTCAAGGATTTTATACAGACGACATAGGCGCCAAAAATGCGGAAATCCAGCTTAATTTTAGCCTTGTGGCGTTCATCTCTTGACCGGCTTAATCAAAATTTTCGAAAAACTATAAGTCTAAATATATTTATGTTAAGTAATTGACAAGAGCTGCTGAAAACGGTTGTTTTGATTAACGAGGAGTATATTTTCAATATTGTCAAATTTTAAAACATGAAAAGTCATGAATACTTACTAAATTAAGAAAAAAACATAAAATAGCTGCGAGAAGCTCTACTTTTGCGCCCAACGGATAAATAAATTTCAGGGCGTGAAAAAGACATAAATCTTTTTAGGGCGACGACCGGACGGCCTTCTATTTTTAATAATTCATTATTGTGAAGGAAATGCTTTTCTGAGAAGCTGCTGCTTTTTCCAACCTCTAGTCAAAATAACTTAGAAACCTATTTTGCGAAATTTCCCGAAGGAAGAACGTTATAAATAATTGACGTCATTTCGCTCATTTTTCTCTGATACCTCTTCATTTTCATGTACATCTGCTTGCCGACGGATCCAAGGACGGCGCTCACCGCCTGCATGTACCAGCCGTAGTGCAGTTGTTGCACCTGAAGTCGTTTTATTGTTTTGAACAAATTCAGATAATGAGGTCTTATTGAAAAAAAAATCTGGGGATAAACTCAATAAAGTACAAAAAACCAACCCGATCCAACTGTTTCTTATCCATTTTGACGCGATTCATCGCTTCAATTTTCTTCGTTTTCTCGATTCCATACACATTTTGGGCTGAAATAAAAACAATGATGAGATCATATCGCAATTGTTTTCCCTTTTTTCTTCAAATCAATCTTTTGACCTTTTTCCTGTTTTTATTCACTTATTTTCCATTTATTTTATTGAAACACGGGGACATGTCAAAATATAAAATTTTTTTAAATTTAAGTAGACAACAGAGTTTCTTTTTCTCGGGCGAAATGATATATATTCATCTCGAACATTTTGAACAGTTCCTAAAAGCCTACTCTACTCGGTCCCCAAAAAGAAATTATTCGAGTAGCTTTTATGGTTCAACCGGTTGCATAAAGATACTCAAAACGGATGAATGAGTAATTAAAAATACTTGCAGACTGGTAATACTAACGTTTTAACGATCTCAGAACCGGCCTCTTCTAGCCGAAGATTTTTCTTCCTTGAGAGAAAAGCCTTGGAAGCTTCGAAAAATGTTTTCGTCTTTGGTTGAAACTTTCTCGAAGTATTTTGACCCGCCAAAAGATCGTTTGACGTCATCCGAAAAGAGAAAGCAAAAAGATTTTGACGGCGCCTAAGATATCCGAGAGCGGTGATCGGAAGAGACAAAGGACAAAGTGGGCGATTGATAGGGAAAGTTTTTCTTTCCATTTTTTCTCCCTTTCTGCGTTGGGTAGTTCTCGAATCGCACGAGGTCTACAGTAAGCCGAACGAAAAAGATATTTTATGACAAAAACTTTTAGTTAGGTTCATTTTTCATGATTTGCAAGTTAAAAAACGAGTTTGGAAACAAATGTTAGCTTGGTTAGCTATTAATAACATTACCAAATGATATTTTCAAACATTGTTTTTGTGACCTCATAGATATATATCCTAAATTTCGGAAAACACTCGTTTCTCTCATATTTTAAAGAGGAGAGAAAGGAAGTCCGAAAAAAGGTAAAAAATAAACAAAGAATAAAAAAAAAATAAAAAACTTGTACTTGTAGCATGCGGCGCTTATTGAAACAAAAATAGAAAATTTGGACTTTCATAAGGTATTTCAGCCACATGAATACAAAGCCATATGAACATACGAAAATAACTTCCATAGAGGCGTGAAATCACTGCGAAAAAAGGAATACGTCAAAGGTTTAAAATAATGAAATTTCCTCAATTTCTTGTAGGAAAAAAAAAAGTAAAAACAGTTAAAGCATCAAAGGCAATGACAGTTTTCTTTGTTAAACAACGTTCCTAGCTGTTGAGAGTCTAGAAGAACAAAAAACCAAGCTTCGAGCTCGCATTCTATAGAAACACCTGGATGACGATTGAAAGTTTAAAAAAAGTGAAAAAACTCAAAAAAATATTCAACTGATATTAAAACGCTGTCAAGAAGCACACAAAAATAAATCATTAGAGCATTTCCAGAACCAAATACAAAAAAAAGTAAAAGTAAATTTAGGGACCGCAAAGCCACGCCCCTTTTCGCGATAGAAAAAGTGGCTTTTTTTTGGTTTTCAACTTTCATTTTGTTGTAGTTGTAAAATATGTGGAACTGGCGAATAAAATTTGACACACATGTACAGAAAAAGCTTCCTCTTTCGTTTTAAAAAAATATTTCACGCTTTCTTGATGCGTTCTCGCGGAATGTCGTACAAAAAAACGTGAATGGAACTAAAAAAAATTTTTGTAATTTTTTTGCTTTTTTTCATGTGTTTTCAGGTCGAACGCACTCTTTCTTTTTTTATATAATGATTTTGATTCAAGTAACGGTAATTTTGAAACAATAAAATAAAAAAATTCGTCTTTGCCAAAAAAATTTTTAGGGAGTGCCGAAAGTCATAATTCAAAAATATCGTTAACAAGCGAATATAATCGAGTTTTTTTGTTTTTTTCAAAATTTAGACCATGGGCTTACTTAAATTTTTTTCTCCACAGCATATGTACTTGAAAAAAAGTTGTGTGATACGCAAAAAAATGCTCTTGAAACTAGAGAATAAAATTAGCGGCGTTTATCACACCGAAAGCGGTCGAACGCAGGTTTTTTTCAAACGATTATATACATTTATTAGTAAAAAAAATCTTTCAATTAAAAAGAATAAAATAAAAAAATTCGTCTTTGCCAAAAAAATTTACGGGGCCGTTTTAAGGCAGCGATCGTTAAAAAGAGGCAAAAAAAGCACTGAAAAAAACAGTTTTTTTCGAAGTGAATTTCCACGAAACGTTTGAGTAAAGATTTGCGAACATATTCTGATAAAAAAATAGCTAAATTACTTCAAGTTTTTTTCTTTTTGAAATAGACAATCTGTGCTATTTAAACGGCTCAAGGGTAAGGCGGATGGAAGCTCCCCGCGCTAGACCTGACAGCTTGGCGCAGTGCGTGCGCTGCGATTTTTTTCATTTTTAGGTCGCGAGTTCGATACCCGCAAGCATCAGTTTTTTTGTTTTTCTGCAAAATACCGACTTTTTTTCGGCAAAATAGCTGATTAGCATCATTTTAGCACTCTATTATGATTTGTTACATCATAATAGACCAGTATCAAAACTTTTTCTAGAAGAAAAATCGAGAAAAATGTCAAAAATGAATAATACTAAAATTTCAGTACTAAAAAAATGGTGCGCGGCGCGCCACATTTTTCGTCATAACTTTTTTCATCCTCAATCTTTTTCGAAAAACTAAACGGTTCTGAGTTTTGAATCGAAACAGCTATCAAACCATACAAAGCTCGATGCTGAAAAAAATTTTTTGAAAATTCGTCTGCGGTCCCTAAGTAAATTTACCGAAAAGGAGGATTCCCAAGACGAGGGCTAGCCAACGGAGAAGCATCTCCGCCGCTTCTGATAAAAGGTGGCGGATTCCGGGATCATGGCCGGCCTTTTAAGGGGCACCTGAAGAGGGCAACGAGAGACTGTGGATCTCAAGACCGTTAAGCTGGACGCGCAGACGACTAGAGGCGATACCGTGAAAGGGCGGAGATTGTGTCCTTTGCTGGTCTTCATGGTACGGTAGCTTCTGAGTTGATTATTTGAACTTGAGTTTGAACACAAGTTGGAAAAAGTGCGAAGATCCCTGCATGCTCAAATGAACGGTGTAGAGGTTTTCCAGTCCTTTTTCCAAAAATTTAATGGCAACATTCGAAAACCTTGAAAAGGCTGTTTTTTTCTGGAGAAAAAGACTTCAAGCCAGAACCTATTTTTGAAAAAAGTTTTCATTGCCTGGTTTTGAATAAAAAATCTCAAGAAAACTCGGAGAAGAGGACAACGGTGATGAACCGTTTCACATATTGATTTTGTTAAATAAACGTTTGAATTTTCATCAACTATACAATGTTCGAATTAAAAAACTTGATTTTCTTTTTTGAAGCAAATATAAATTTACTGATTCTTTTCCTCCACGCCACCGACCTGTCTGTAAGCAAACAAAAAAAATGAGCTAAACTTCTTTAAAAGCGTTGAAAAAAAAAGTTTCAATAATGCTGATACCTCTATTTTATCATCATCACAACAGCACAGCTAAGGTCATTTATAAACAGCACGTTATGATTTTAAAAAAAAAATGGGTCTTCAGAAGCGCCCATTTGTGAGGGCTCAAATTTTTTTATCGAATTCAAACAAGATCAGAATTTCAAGGTTTTCAATGAGACCTAACAGAAAAAACTTTTTTGTTTTTGAAGATTCCTTACAACGGTTTTTTGAACAAATTAAACATAGTTTTTCTAGCGTCATAGGCAAAGTCGGAAGGACCCTCCGAAGGTCCATAAAGGACCATAGAAATGTTCCTTTTAGGGTGATGAAGGCTCTCTTTTTTCTGCCTTTTTGCACCATTTTCTCAGCCCTTATGCACCATTTTTGTTGCCTCTCCCTTTCTCCACCATTTCTCAAGCCTTTAAAATCCCAGAAAAATGGAAGGCTCGATAAAGGGAGTCTCTTTGCTTCCTTTCGCTTTTACCCACCATTCCGACTTTGCCCGAGGTACATGGTACAAAAATATTTTCATAAAAACTCATATCCTAAAACTATACTTGATGTCAATCCTTAATTCTAACCTCCATTCGACTGGAAGATTTTAGATGTGTCCTGGATCGATAATAATGAACGAGATAAAGAAACATGCGTGAGGGAGGCGAGCTACTCTGAACCCTCAAGATTTTACAAAACCTTCTTAAGGTCAAAATAAATCACTCAGAAGCCTTTTGCACGAACTTTTACGAAACGTAAACGTAAAATGGATCAAAGTTCTAATTACTTGAAGGGGCTTTGAAACTAAATTCATTTCGAAAGAGATAATGAAAATTACAAAAAATGATAGTTTTCACGGACAGATTTCAAGTAAACGAAGTTCTTAACAGTATCGAACTAATTAAAAAGAAAACGAATTTCACTCTTGAAAATAGCTACGAAAAGGATTTCAAAGACTAAAAACTAGCAAAAATCCCCAAATATATAAAAATACTCCGAATATAACAAGTTGAGAATTTTTTAATTGATTAGATTGAACTCAAATGGGAAAAATTATAGAAAAAAAAACTTTAAACGAGAAGAAATCGAGAGTGAAATTTCAAATCAATGAAGTGACTGCGAAACCTACAGAGATCAAAAGAACAACTTTTGATCTCGGAAAGAGATACCAATACTTGATGGGTCTGACAGAACCGTCAAATGACACTAAACTCTTTTTAAGTGAAGTCCTTTGAATAAAAACGCCAAAAAACTTGAAAAATAGGTAACCACGAAACAGGCGTTGGAAATATAACAATCCAAGGTAACATGATACCTAACAAGTAACATTGTTTTTACCGGCGAGTCTAGGCCCAAAATCAAAGAATGAGCGGTCAGTTCGGCCTGACCGGTCATTCTTCTCTCCCCACGCATTTCCCCACGACGCCGAGGTGAAACTGCGAAATCTCCATCGTTTATCGTTCAAAATTGTAACAGTTTGTTTCTACAGTTTATGAAAGTCCAAAATGAACTTGTGCTTTTTCTGAACTTTGTTTTTCCTTTTTTGAAATCTTTTTTTTCTGATCAATCTCTACTGTGAGATAGTACTTATCTTTATGAAGAGTCTTGTTTTTTATGTTACAAATTATTCAGCATTTTTCATTGATGCCGAGTTTTTAAAATGCGCAAAATTCTTGCGTGGCCTTCAAAAAAAAAAACGGAGAACTGCTCTGGGCTTCAAAACATTCGGGAAAATTTTAAATTTTTTCTTCAGAAACCATTGCAAGGACTTTGTACATGGAATGAGGAAAACTAACTTTTTTTTTCGAATTTTTCACTATTATCAATTCCTTAAATAAATTGAGTTCAAATTTTGTTTTTCTCGTGATCCATGCCGCTTTCATTTTGAAAAAAAAAATTTTTGAATTTGCAAGAAGTTTGAAAACTCAACTGACCTTTAGTTGTATTTCTGCTCGATGAAATTTGGCCATTAAGTTGATCTAAAACGATTATCGGGGATCATAATAAGATTATCATTGATTTCATCAAAAAAAGGTATAGGAAACTTTTGAAAAAAATACCCTTTTTTTAAAAAAATTCGATCAACGATTAAAAAAAATTTATTAAGAGAAAATTTTTCAATGAAAAACGCAACAAGAGAATTCATGGATACAATTAGGGAAAAAAATAACAAAAAAACCATATCGTTCCAAAAATATAAATAACTGATGAATGAAAAGTAACCAATGTAAATTTGAACATTATTATTGATAGTCAAACTCCATCGATACCGGTATAAATTAAATAAAAGAACTATTTGAGTAAATACGCCCAGAAGCAAGAAATATAAAAAGAAAACCCAAATAAAAAAAGAAAAAGCTCCAACAACCCTTAGATTTTTGTGATTCAAATTCTCAATAAATGTTCTAGTTAACAAAAGCTGTCGTAATGCATTTTCTCACCAAATGAAGCTCATCCAATAAAAAATTGAACAATGATAATATCCTTCAATTGTCTCAAAATATTATAGTCGCAGAAGGAATGGCTTGAAGCGTCGCAGTCGTGTTAGGTGACATGAAACTTCAACAATTTCAATTTATTAGGGTTGCTCAATGTCGTGTCTAGCAAACGCTTCACACCTGCTACGCGTCGAGTCATTCCAAATGCGAACATGACCTTCCTAATCAGATCAAACTGATGAAATCAAGACAAGAAAGTAGGAGAAAGGAAGTTAGCAGTAAGAGCCGAATCGGTGTAGTAAGAGGGGGACAGGACGGATGGAGAGAGGATGACTCCGGACAGAACTGTCGGCGAGGCGACGTCAGGGGAGAGGACGAAAGGACTCAGGATCAGTGGAGACAAGACGTAGGGGTTGAGGACGTTGGGAGACATCACGTATGGAGACATGATGTAGGCGTTGAACACCGCCGCCGACAGCACGTTCGGTCCCAGGACGTACGGAGAGAAAATTAACGGATTGCCGACCTGAAAATAGACATAGTTTTCATGAATTAGCAAAAAAGGAGCAGGATCCTTGTTTTTTTATACTCTGAAAGTAGCTACACAGGATGTATATGAAATGGTGAGAGGCTTTAGAGGAGTGGAAACTTTTTATATGAGCTAGAGATTCAAAGGTCGCAAGTTAATTATTTTCCCAAAAAAGAGGATTTTGTTGGACTAATTTTAATATTCACAAAACTTAAAGTAATAGAAATCATGAAATTTTTTAAAATAGAGCCTGGGTGCCTAGGGACAGCAAATCTGGAAAGAGCTTTTGCAGAAAAAAAAACGCATTTTTTCGGTTAGCGAATCATCTGAAGATTGAGAAAGCTTTCAAGAAAGCAGATAATATTTTAAAATCCGGTTTATATAAAATAAAAGCTCAAGAATTTAGATAACCTCAAAAAACATAGCCTGATCAATAGGAAGAAAAAAAAAACGATCTTGAGAAATCGAAAATGTATTGCCTTCTTATTTCTTGAAGCAAATATGAAGCTTTAAAATGGGAGCCAATTCTTAGTTCCATTCCCGACCTGCGGCGACAAAATAGGCAGACTCATGAACAAGGGCGAGAAAATGCTGGGGCTGAAGAGCTGTGGCGACAGAATAATTGGTCCCAGCACTGACATCTTAATCGAATTTGTATGAAATCCAATACTTCTGCCTTCAAACTTGATTGACAGTCGGAGCGAAGGCTTGAGGCGAGAGGAGCGTCGGATTGAGAAAAACTGTCCGAAAGTTGTTGATGAGACTGACGACGGTTTGCCGCTTCCCACGAGTCGGTAGTGTCGTGGCGCCCATTCCCTTTGCCAGCTGTCTAATCGTCATTCTGAAAGCTTCTTTACAGGAGGGACAGCTTTTTTGTAAGCTACCTCAGAGACTCCTGCTTTTGTTCTGGAGTGAGAGCGTCGACGTCATCGACTTCAAAAGGCAATTTTGAGACGGTAGTATTGTAGATTCCTAAATGCTCGGGGTTTTTTTTTGTTAAGTTTTCAAAGTTCTTGCTTGGGATTTCAGATAAAGATATAAAAGATATTAAGAAGAGAAAGAAGATAAATTGAAAATGTTGACACATAGATTACAATGATCTTATACTGTAAGAATATATTACCGTGGTTAAGCTTGATGTAGTAGGTTATTGCTTAATAAATTTCAAAATAATGAAGCTCAATGAAGCCCATCTTTTTTTCTATTTGTTAAGCTTAAAAACGAGAAAAAGGTAAAGTTCCTTTAAAGTAGAGATTGCTAATAAAACTACAGTTTCAAAAAATAGGGTCATGAAACGGTATTCAAATTTTTAGGCAAGACGTTTTGTACGGATTTCTGTCATTCAAGAGCACTCCTAAAACTATTTTCTATTCAAAGCCAACTGGATATTTCAAATCGAAAACACATTCTCTTCGAAGTTGATACGGTAATGAATTTTATACATAGCCCAAACCGGTTTTCAACTAAAAAGGTCAATGACCTCAATTCATTTCTGAAACATTCCCTGGCGGTTACGGTAAAAGTTTCTTTCAGTTCCTTTCAAAAAGTTTGAACTTTTTTTTTTCTGCAACTCGACCTTCTTCGCCATAGAGCTTGCTCATTTGCTCCTTGCTCATGTAGGTGAACTTTCTATTGGTGAAATCGAGTTTTTGGCTTTTTGAGAAGCTTCTTCCGATATTGTCGAACATCTGGAAAAGCTTTGAATTTAACGAAGTTCTGTGAACTTTTAAGAACATTATCCATAATTTTGGTGATGTCCAAAAGGTCTTTGTCCAATCCACTCGCTTTCAGATCCCCCATCAAGCCAAGCGCTTTGTCCACCACTTCATTCACTCCTAAACTTGAAAAAAGTATAAGCTTTAAAGATTTTTGGTTTTTCCCTCAAGTAAGATTGGTTAGAGCTTTTGGAATTTTCAATGTAAAAAGCTTAGAATTAAAAGTGATTTCCTTGGACGAAATGTGAAGAAGCGAACCAGACACATCCATGACGAGCTCGAGAACAGTGTCCCTGTCCGACTCGGTCATTCCAGTCGCTTCCAAGACGGTGGGCAGAGGCAGGATGCTGTTGTCAGTGTCGTCCTTGTACATGGGGAACAGATTCGGAGAGAGCAGCTTTCTGTGTGAATATCGAAAACGTTACAGAGAAAGGAGAGGAGAGCAACTTCTTGGTGTTGTACTTGTCGGGCATGAGCGGGAAGAAACGGGGCGACAGAAAGTTGGCGTTGATGTCCTTGTCGTGGCGACTCACCGCGTCCACCAGGCCGTACACCGACTCGTCCACACTTCCCGTCGGCACGATATCGCGCATTCTGAGCACCTCGTTCAGCTTTTCGAAAAATGAGTTGTGAAAATTAGAAGTTCAAAAAGCTCGAAATAAATTGCACGACAAGGAAGTTCAACTTTGATTAGTGTAGCTGCAACATATAGTTGTCAAGAAAAAATATCAATTCAGAGCTGAATATTTTGTCCCGAAACTGTCCCAAGCTTCACCTATCACTGAAGGACTTGCTCCTCCTCAGCGGATTCTTCTTCCCGATCACCATGTCCAGCATCCGGTGCTTGAACTGTCGCTCTTTTTTCGCATCCGTAACTTTGTCTTGGAGCTGAAAGAAGAGAAATTCCCTTTATACTTACAGAAAAGTTTGACAAAACCATTCTCAATCTCAAGTATGAGGCATCTCGGGGTGTGGTACTGCTATCATTATGTATAACCGTGCTGATAAGCTTGACAATCGTCTGAAAATGAACAGAAACAGTTTTCATCTCATCCGCTCCAGCTCTTTTTTCTTCTCCTTCAAATGAAGCTTTTTTATCCCCATAAAAAAACTTTCTCGAACAGAACCCAACCAACAACTTCTCAACTACAACCAACAGATTTATCCACTAGACCACCTTAACCGGCGACGCTCTCGAAGATTTCAAGTTCGGCATCGCGTCCATATTTTTCACTCGAAACGTTCGATCCATTTCTTGCTCTCTTTTAGCTTCTTCTCTAGCTTCTTTCTGGAAAACTAAAGTTCATAGAAAGAAATTGAGGAAGCCCTCACATTAGAATACAGTGACAAGATGTTTCTCTTGATTCTTCTGGACACCAAAAGTTTTCTGAAACAAGCGCTATATAGTTCATCTCAAAAAATTGAAACCTCATGGCCTTCCTCCTCAATCGGAACTTCCTCGCTCTTCTTCGGATTTTCCTAATCTTCAACCCAGTTTTGAGGAAGGCTGATTTCTTTATCATTTTCCGTTTGAGCTTCTTTTTTCTCAACGACTTGAGTTCTGCTCGGGGTATAGGAAGAACTGCGCCGTCCTCGTCGCTGACAAAGTCGAGCTTCGGATCAGACAAGGCTTTGGGATAGGATTCGACCTGAAAGGTGTTCAACGAGTGGTGGCTCTCAACAAGCGATGAGGTACCAATTTCCCGTCAAATGCGTGAACGAGACAATTCGCGGCAGCTTTGACGTCATGCTCGGCTTCGATGGCATCCAAACAGCCTACGAAGGCTCTTCGGTCATCTCTGGTAAGAATGGAGATTTTTGCAACCATGGACTTCTCAAAGTTTTTTTCCACTAAAAAAAACTATCTCTATGGACAGAAGTGACACTTTTGCAAGATATTTCTACAAATAAGCAAAGACTGACGTCATTTTTCTCATTTTTCTCTGATACCTCTTCATTTTCATGTACATCTGCTTGCCGACGGATCCAAGGACGGCGCTCACCGCCTGCATGTACCAGCCGTAGTGCAGTTGTTGCACCTGAAGTCACTTGATTATTTCAGAATTTTATCAGAGTACCAGGTATGATTGGAAAGCACAATCTGGGAAGAAACTCGAATGATCTACGCCGAAAAAATAATTATTTCTGAAACATGACCAAAAAACAAACCCGATCTAACTGTTTTTTATCCATTTTGACCCGGTCCATCGCCTCAAACTTTTTCGTTTTTTCGGATCCAAACGCATTATGCGCTGAAATTGAAAATAATTAAGCGACAAAAATTGTTTTGAAAAGGTAAGAAAAATGACCTGGAAATTTCGGATCAAAACTTTCATTGTGAACTTTAGGGAACTGTGATAAAAATCAGACACATCTGAAGTATTCAGAGCTCCATTTCAGAAAATAGATCGAAACGGCTAAAGACGAGTTAGCAAATAACTTTTAAGTCGAAAATTCCTCTTTTTTTGAATTTCATCCAGAATAAATGATAAAATTTGTTCGAATCGTCATACATGTTAAAAAAAACTTTGAGGTTCTATTGAGAAGAAGATAACTATAGATTCGACTCCCAGAAATCAAAATAAAATGAAAACTAGAGAGATAACTTCAAAAAAGTTTTACCCCAGCAAGATCCCAGGTAGGTAGCGAGGCAAATCCATCCAAGGAACATTTCCGAAAGTTCAAAAAATGCATCCTTATATATCCCTCAACCTCAAACTTCTAGAGTTTCTCTTTACCCTGCTAAACATCGAGAGATTTCAGCCTGTTAGAGTTTTCTCCGGACATCCTAATTATGGGTGGGCGGAGGAAAGTCCATAACATGACGACCTCATCACCGTGATAGGCCTTTCCTACGGAAAAAAGATCATCTTTTGAAATTCATTCACTTTTTTCCGGGCACAACTGCTTCATACGGTTTCTGGAAAAGCCTCTGATTTCTTCCTTGGTTTCTGATGCAAAGATCAAAAGTCCAAATTTTTATTTCAATTTTTGGAAGATGATCTCGTTTTTGAGCGGTCATTGGCATCAGATAAGATGCGAAAATGGACGAAGATCGTTCGTAGTTCTCGTCAATTTTTGCCTTCTCTTGAGATCATAAAAAGTCGAACGGTTCTGATCGGTCGTTTCGAGGGAAACAGACTAGAAAATCGTCTGTCTGAGCGGGACTTTCGTAGAAAAAAACGTTCTGAACTTTGACCAGGGGATGATGTCAATAGGCAGTCTGAGGTTGACTTCGATTCTCATGGGGACTTTCTTCGAAAAATTTGTTAAAAATCATCGAAAATTCGTGAAAAAAAATATATTCCAATTGATGCTGGCCAATGTTCATACTTTTAGAAAAATTGAGACACTAAAAATCTCAAAAAAAGCACATAAAAATAATTTTTTTGCTTAACGAATTAATCTTCGGTCCTCCTTCAATTCTTCGGACTTTAAAGACCTTAAAAAACAATCGTTACTGAGATTTTACTGGAAATTTCCTGTGAACTTTTTAATTACATTACCTAACCTAAAGTTGCAACTAAATACCCAATGAGAAATACTTATATACTTTCTCTTTCAGAAAATAATAACAACTTCGTTCCTGAATAGGAAAACGGCTGCTCTATTGACCTTTGTTGATGGCCTCATTTCCCTCGGAGAAATTCGATTCCCGTAACGACCCGAACTGATTGTGAGGAGGTCAAATCAGTGATTGCCTCAAATTCCAAACGTTCCGATTGGAGAAAAAATCATTATTGAATGATGAAGTGAAAGGAACAGTGAAATGTGAAAAATGCGTAGTAAGGGTAGAAAATTTTATTTTTGGTTTAAATAATCAAAAAATTCAAAGTCAAAATTATTGAATTCAATCGGAGTTATATCAGAGTTGGCTGTACCTTTTGGAAAAAAAAGCAAAACTCACTTTGAAATCCCGTTCGAGTAATAAAGTAAAGATACGTCTTGTTTGGAAATTTCCCTGAAAAATTAAATTTAAAAAAACAAGTTTTTCATGAAAAAAACCTTCAGGGCTCCATGAAACGCTGGAGCGCATAAGTTCAACACTTTTTTTCAAAAATTTCAAGAATGGACTTTTTCAGTGTTTTTTTGCAAATATTATATATTTTTCTTGTTTATTCAGCTTCTTGAAAACTGGATCTTTCGAATCGCATTCTGCCTAGAATATATTCCAGTTTCACTGGCAGATCGTCGAAGAAGAAACATTTCCTTTTTCTTGATACGACGTTCTTCGAAAGTGAGGGTCACAAGATCGAGAAGCGGATATCAAAGGGAATCTGACCGATCATTGGCAGAATCTACGGTAGTGAAACATGCGGATCGTCTCTCGATTTGATAAAAATCGGCGAGACGCGCGAAAGAACGAATTGCAACATTCGAAGAGAGATATAAAAGCCGGTATTTTTTCACCAGTTTATTTATTGGTTGTGAATGAATCGGGTCAAGGAAGGTTTAATGGTGAAAAAAATCAGAAAAAAACAATTAACTTGCTTTGAAATTGATTTGCTATAATTAAAAAAATATATTCAAAGTCATTTTTTTAAAAAAAGTTTTTTTCTTCTCAGGTGTTTCTGAAACCCCCTCTATGAAACAACCGTAATTTTCAGGATTTTCAGACCGATTCGAAATAAAAGCACGCACTAAACCAAAAACTCTTTATTGATGCAAAATTCCATACAAAAAAAAAGTTAGAAGGGAAACCCTTGAAGCCCCGATCACAGCCTGGTAAGAAAAAGAATGGAAAAAAACATTTTGACAAGAAATAGTGCAAAGACAAGAACAATTATTAATATTACAATGAAACTGTATATGGTACAGCATAGATTATTATAAATTAGTCGTGAAAATAAAAATTAGGCCATCGGATTCGATTTCATCAGCTGAATGTCGCTGGCAACCATTTCTTTGACGAGTTCCTGGAATTGGTTTGAATTATATTTCTCTTAAGAACGAAGAGTATTTCTAACCGGAACTTCGATCTGAGGGACCCATCCGAGCTTTTCTTTGGCCTTTGTGGCGTCGCCAAGCAAAGTTTCGACTTCCGTCGGTCGGTAATACTGAAGAGAACAAATCAATTGGAACTACAGTCTCTCTTTTTACCTTGGGGCTGACTTTGACACGAACAATGCCTTTCTCTTTGCACTTGCCGACTTCGTTCACACCTTCGCCTTCCCAACTGAAAAATTCAATAGTTTTTCTCTTATATTAGGATGTGACTAGAAGAAAAGTTATTCATAGTTGAAAATATTCCATTTCGTTTTTCGTTTTTCAGATGAACAGCTTGAAACTTCAAACTTTGTGAACTTTTATGAGCGATCGTTAAAAAAAGGATAGTAGGAAGGAATTTTGGGTTCCCGAATATTCGTGAGCGTTAATTGTGCATACACCAATCTTGGGGGCTCGAATCTTTGAAAACGATTCTTGTGAATATTCACCTCTTTTTTGAATCTCAATCTTTTTTTATTTCCTTCATTTTTTTCCTTTGTCGTTCTATCGTGAGGATGTCGTGTTTCGAACACAAATGAACACTGTGTGATTTTTTTCAACTAACTTTTTATCAAATAATGCGTCTTTCTCGCATAGACGTAGTCAAAGATTCGCTGCAGAACGCCTACCACATTTTCATTAACTCTGTGTACATTCTCCATCAACTTCCATTTACAAAAAAAATTGGAAAAATTATAAAAAATCAGAAAAGAGGTGAATATTCCCAAGAATCGTTTTCAAAGATTCAAATTTTCAAAGATTCGAGCCTCCAAGATTGGTGTATGCACAATTAACGCTCACGAATATTCGTGGACCCAAAATTCCTTCCTACCATCAAAAAAAGACATGGAGAAGTAATAATAAAAAGTCAATTTTACAGTTTTTTAATTTCATTTCCCTAAGATTCTATTTTTTAACCGCTTTTTGCCTTTCTATTTCCTCAAACTGTTGAACTCCGAACTTTTCGCTCTCATTCTTCATCCCTTTGTTGGAACTTAAAAAACGAACACAAGCTCTTCTCCAATCTCAGCGAAAGCCAAGTTGCAGAATTCTCTGACGGTGTACTGTTTTCCGGTGGCGATTACGAAGTCGTCGGGCTCGTCGTGTTGCAGAATTCGCCACATGGCCTGAAATGGAATTTTAAACTAAAAAAGTTATTCAAGAGTGAAGATTGAAAGCGCAGAAGGAAAAATGAAAAGATAAAAACTGCTTGACTTTGCAGATTGATATACTTATCTTCGATTTCTTTTTGGCCAAGAACAGAACGATGAGAAAATTCCACAGAAAGTCAACTTTCTGATTTGTTTTTGAGAACTGTCTACTTCCCTTCACAATAAGCCTTGAATCCGAATATCCCATAACTTGGAATAAAATTGAATTTGAAGATACTCAAAAAAAAAATCCATTGAAATATTTCCAAAATAACTAAACTCGGACTTGAAAAAATTTGAAAAATGTCTATGAAAGTTTTAAAAATCCCTTAATTATGTGATAGCGTCGATAATAAGTTTCAATTCACTTGTTACCGGAAGATTGATTTTTGAACTGATAAATAATAGTTTTTCACCTCAACGTATTCCTTGGCGTGTCCCCAATCACGCAGCGAGTCCAAATTTCCGAGTTCGACGGAATCCTGTTGTCCGAGGCTGATTTTCGCCACGGAGCGCGTGATTTTTCTCGTCACGAAAGTTTCACCTGAAGTATGATCTAATTGATAGAATATTGATCCAATTCCACCTCTTCTCGGGCTTTCGTGGTTGAAGAGAATTCCGTTACAGGCGAACATGTTGTAGGCCTCGCGGTAGTTGACGACGATCCAGTAGCCGTACATCTTCGCAACGGCTGAAATTTTAAAAATTTCCAACTAAGTTTCGTGAAAAATTTTTCAAATTTATGCATCTCTCAACATGAGAGCTTTTTTCAAGAAGAAAATTATTTCATAAATAATTTTTTGCCTGAATTATTCAACTGCTTCACTCAACATTTCTCTGAGTATATGTTAAAAGTTGCCATTTGAGTCTTTTGTGAACTTGACTTTCTTAAAGGCATAGGGGCAGTAAAATACGGTGTTTCAGTTCAAAGCAGTACTTTGTAGAGCTTTTCATTGCGAATCGAACGGTGAACTTGGAAATGTACAGAAATTCCTAGTTTTGGAGAAAAAATAATTCAAAGTCGGAGAAAAGAAAGCTTGAGTTTCCGCGAAAAGGGCGCCTTGCAGTAAAGTTGCTCTATAGACAACAGGCTTCGCCATCTTCCGGATTTTCGCTTTTTTCTTCGTTTCTTTCAATTTTCAATTTTTTCTGTTGTCACCAAAGTTCTTTTCGTCACAAAAGCTTTCTATTCATGTATAATTTGCAAACTTTGATCGCAAAAAAGCTTTTCTGGTGAAAAATGATGATTTTACACATGTTTCGATTGGGATAGCGATTATTTGTGTTTTCTTTGTTATCGGTGTGTGTTTTTTGTGTTGTTAGTCAATTTTTCAGAGTTGAAATCCTTAATTTGAAGCAGATATCCGGTTATTTCACACAAAATGCGAGTCTAATGAGACGTCCGCAACATCGCGTGCACGGCTACTGTAAACATTTGTCCGTAGGCCGATCCAAAGCATTTTTTAAAATTAAAGGCGGGAAAGCAAAATCGCGTTTTTCTTCTAAAGTTGTCACATCTGTAATTTTTTTGAGTACACCATTCGATTCGCAATAAAAAACTATATAAGATGCTGCTTCCACCTGAAACCACGTTTTTAACTGCCCCTATGCCTTTAACTGGAAAATTTCTCTTCTTCTTTAGTCTTATTTTGAAGATTTTAACTTTCTCGATTTGAGCTTTTTCTGGTTTGCTAGTAAGAATTCTTGTCATTAAAATCTTTGTCATTCGATTAAGATAGTGTTTTGAAATATTCAAATTTCTTTTTAAATCAGTTTTTAAACATGTTAGTAGCGATTTTAAAAAAATTACAAATAAACTAGTCGTAGCTGTGCATATTTTTCTCATGCAATTTTGTAATTTTTGTTTCAGATCTCTTAAAGTCTCACCGTAAGGAGATCTGGGATAGAAGGGCGTTTTCTCAGTCTGTGGAATTTCCTGCACCTTTCCGTACAGTTCAGAGGTGGAAGCTTGGTAGAATCGGACCTGAGAAAATGTTTCGTTATTTTGAAACAATCAATCTGATGAAACCTTTTCAGTGAGCTTGCAGGCGTGGATGGCGTCGAGAAGCCTCAAAGTTCCGACCGCATCAACTTCCGCGGTGTATTCCGGCAAGTCGAACGAGACCTGGAAATAAAGAAAAGTCCAGTAAAAGTCTCTTTTAACTCATTATTGCCTTATTACTCATGATTAGTTAAAATGTATGGCAAGATATATGGAGTCGATATTTTTTTAGACTCTCTATGTAGAGTTTCTTTGTGAAGAAACGTCACCAAGAAACACTTCTTTAGTTGAAACTATTGTTCTGAGTTTCATCACTTGTACTTTTCTTATTGGAAGGGGAAACGTCTTTTTCGTCATCGAGCAAAAAACATCACACAAGTCAGCTCACAAAAATGATGTGCTTTCCGTTTTTGTAATCCCAAAGCTGATTTGATGAATTTACGCATTCAATTCTTGAAAATTACTTACTTCTTGATTTTTAAACCAACACACTTTTCCATTCATTCTCTTCGAGAAAGTTCAACTTTTTTTTCCCTTTTTCACCTTGACATGCGATTGGGCAGCCAAATGGTAGACTTCTGTTGGCTCAATGGTCGAAATGAGCTTGATTAAACAGGAAGAATCAGTCATGTCTCCATAGTGAAGTGCAAACGTCGAGTCTCCTGAAAAATTGATCATAAACGTTTTTTTGAGATTTTTCAAGCAACCCATGACTTATTCAATTTTGTGGTCCCTGAACTTCGGTTAAAAAAATTCTTTTTTGAAGAAAAACTGTTTTGAGAACTCTAAAGCTGGGAAGCAGAAATCGCCGAATGAGCACGTTTATTCAGGAAAACGAACCATGGTGAGTGATGGGATTACTGTACAAATGCTCGATTCGAGCAGTATTGAATGAGGAAGATCTTCTGATGATTCCGTGGACCTTGTAGCCTTTGGAAAGCAGCAATTCGGCGAGGTAAGAACCGTCCTGCAAACATTTTTTGTTTTTCAGAAGGCCTTTCCAAGTCTGTTTTAAAACCACTCTGAAGACAAAATTTCAAAAAGAATCTTTCCGAACAGAAACCGTAAAAAGGCTTAAAAAAGTTGAAAGATCCTCTTTTGGACTATCGAACCATTTGCATTAATCTACACTATTCTTAAAAAATCGTCGACCTGTCCCGAGATTCCAGTGATCAAAGCGACTTTTCTCGCTCTGAACGCCTTCAAATCGTCTTCCGAGGACGCCATCACTTGGTGGCTGTTTTGGAGACACGCCTCAAGACCCTACAACAAAAAAATTACTATCAATAATTAAAATTATAACAAAAATGTTGAAAAAAGAATATATTCATGTTATACCTGAAACCCTTGCCGTTCCGATGACATTTTTATTATAGGAATAAATTTGAAAAAGAGACTTAGCGACCTGGCAAGAAATGAAACGAATTTGAGCCTCCGAACGATACAAATGCAAAAAAATGCGTCGCCACGCTTTCTATAGGCAGTTGAACTAACAGAAATTGCACGCGAAATCATTTTTCTTCCATTTTTCTCATTCTCAATTCGATTTTTTTTTTTAGCTTCCATTAAGAAAATAATGGTTTTTTGCAATGACTCATTTTTTTTTAGAGGACGATCCTTCAAAACTACGCAAATCGAATGTGTTCGAGCGCTTTGAAGAAATGATGATAAGCTGAATGAAAGGAATGAAACCTGGCTGAGCTCTAACAACAATGATTGAAGAAAACGTAGAGAAAAACTTGAAAAAAAATATTTCCGAGAGATGAATAAATTTCAAAGTTTCTGAGGCTGCGCTGAACAAACAAAACCTCACTAATTCCTCATTATTTCCAGAAAAAAAACATGATAAAAATGAACAAACAATTGAAATCTATCACTGACAAACCCGGAGGAAACCGACCTTTTCGTTGTCCATTCTTGCAAACTCAATCGAATAATGAATAAATAGTCAATTTGAAGAAATGGAAGTTGCTATTCGAAAAGATGTCAGGCTAGATCCAGGAGGTCAGTTAAAAAGGGCGATTTTTCCCCCTGAGAAGCGGCGGCGATCGTAATCTTTTCGTTCGAATTATAGATTAGGGAACAACGAATTTTCAGTCCTGGAGTCTAGACATTTTCCAAGTTTGGGGACTCCTTACGAACACGGAGATTAGTTTAGTAATCGATCAGAAGGACACGTAAAGGGCGTTGCTCAGAGTTATCGATAAAATGATAAGGTGACGTATGGTTCTGTGATAGTACTTTATAGAGATTTTCAGTATTTTGCATGATTCGGATTCGTTTTACTTTCTAATGAGGATTAGGCTACCACTTTTACTAAAAAAATCAATATAAAAAATTTTTTCGCACAGGCACAGCACACGCACAGCGAAAGCGCTACAATTAATTATATCATCGAAAATCGGGGTTCATCAAGAATCTTTTAAAGCTGAACTCAAAGTTAACTAATTTCACCTAAAAAAGGTAAGTTTGGAAAAAATTTCAAAAAAAAGGGAATGTAAACAGAATTAAATCAGCAAGATTGACCCAAAAGGCTCTGAAATCGTACGAAAAGCTTGAAAATCGATACGATGTGCCACGTGAATGTGAATACGCACAATCAAACGTATTCAAATTTGAAAGCGGGCAAAAAAAAAAGATAGGGTCGAGAAGCCATTTCTTTTTTTTCAAAGCCATGAAATTTCTCAGCCTGTCATGTTTTATTAAACATCTTTTTTTTCTTTTTCGAATATCAAAAATAACACACTACTATTGACAATTCATTAGTAATTAGTTATTCATGAATATCAATTCCTACATTTTTTTCTCAAATTGTTTGAGAAGAGATTCTTGAGACTAAAAAAATGTCAGAAAAACGAAAACTGAAAAAAATATAAGTGGATGAATAGCGGCAAAATTGGAAGAAACTTCGAACCTTTTTAATCAACGGAAAAAAAATATGGAAGGAAATAGTTATATTAAATTGGACATAACCAATAAAAACAAACATTAATCTCCAACTTCAAAAAAAAAAAATTTATAAAAAAAATAAACAGGAAATAACAAATGCAACAAGATCCATATAAACATTTGCAAATGACTAGAAATTTTTAACAATCACAAAAAAAGTGAAACAAATGACATTTTTGCACAATAAAAAACTTCAATAAAGTTCTATGAAGAAGTCCCTGAAATTGGAAAAAGAAGAAAATGACACTAAAAAGACTTGGTAAACAGTATAGAGCCAATAAAAACGAGAGCCGCGCCTAAAGCATGCCAAAAACTGAAGGAATTGTCGAAAACGACAAAAGAAATAAGAATGGAGAGAAACTTGCGAAGAGTTATCACCATAGTCACGTTCAAGGATGACGTCACTGAAGACAGTTTGTAAACGCTTCTGGTGCACAGATACCTGAAATTTTTCGTGAAAAAAACTCCAACTTGTCGCACATGGAAAGGCTCAGAGCGCCGAGGTCGTGTTACGGCTATAATGGGGTGAAAACCAACTGCTACATTATTTTCGGCATACAATCGGCTTTGAATCGGTTGCCTTTTAAGTAAGCCTCTATGATCCTATTCCAGGTGTGACTAGGATTTTTCGTAAGTAGAAAGACCAAATAAAGGCTAAAAGATTTCATGAGACAAGGACACTGTGAATTAAAAGTTGCTGATGCTGTTTTTTACAAAACATGATTTAAATTATTTTATGGCTATGAAACCGATTGGGCTTTTCCTAGGCTCACAGTTACTTTCTCATGAATAACTTCATTACTGGAAAAAAACTCTCGCTTTGGTCGTATCAACTCACTGGAGTACACAAATTGCTGCAATGTAGGCCCAAGCGCTTGGGACTCCAAGTCCGATTGTCGACGTGGCATTCGCAGCGCTCCAAGCGTCTTTCAATTCTTCTCCAAGCAACGCGAAAGCCGGAATCGATAGAAAATGCTGCGAATTCTCTATTTTTCAGCAACTTTCTTCATTCTTCCCATACCACATAAAACATCATCTCGTCGTTGTGTTTTCCGTATGTTTGGTAAAATTGTTCTTGGATGATGCCCAGGTAAGCGCTGAGGACCAAAGCGATCGTCAGCAGAAGGATACCTTAATTTGAAAAACAATTTTTCGACACAAAATCAGTGTAAAAACCAATGAAAAACGGCGGCACTGGGAGCCATAACCCATGTACTGCAGATGTCTAAAAAACTTCCATTTCATTAATCAGTTTTGAAAAAACCTTTTCTTTTGGCGTATAACTAGCCAAGGTGAAAAGAACGATTCCAATCGTGACAATTATCACAGCCGAAATTTGGCTAAAAGTGTATCGATAATTGCGAAGAACCGCCCCCAAAAGCATATTAACTAATAAAGTTCCCTGAAACATTATTAATCTTACAACCTTCCTTTAATTTCACATACCGATTTAAAAATAATAAAAAGTGGGAAATAAATGTCAAATTTGATGGCGTAGTTGTTAGCCATGTTGACAATGAAGAAAATAACAACGATTTGTACATAAGCACTGAAAAGGAAGTGAATTTGAAGAGTAATTTTTACAGAAATAACCTGATTGGTATCCGGTTGGAAACCGTAAAAAATCGGGACTGAAAAATAAGACCAATGAAGGCGGTGAAGCAAAAAGAGGCGAACGTTAGAAGGTTCAGACTTTCTTTTACTTTTCTGAAAATATCAAAAGTACAATCGAAGGAATATCAATTTAGCGGCAGTCCCATAGAGCGCACATAACTCGACCGAATTGAATTTTTTTTCTCTATTTTTGATATTTTTTTTCTTCTCTCACGGTGTTTCTTTTGCGACGCCCCGCCCACTTTTCTCCGTCAATTAGGACGTGTTTAGTGCATGCACAAAAAATTTGGAAAATAAGGTTAACCGATGATATAAGTGTGAGAAACGAATGAACATTGAAGAAAAAAGACGAGGAAATTAAAAGAGATCAAATAAAACTATATTGCTGTGGAGAAACAAATAAAAAGATGTTTTTACAGCAAGTACTTTTTTTATTATAAAAAAAGTTGACGGAATATCCGGATATAAATGAGTTCCGGAACATACTTTCTCAACTTCACAGACTTTTTTCATGTAACTTCATCTCATTGATGTCCACAACCTAGGAATCTGAACAATCGACAAAAAAATAGAACAAGAAAACATAAAATGGGGTGAAACATGTTCCATACAAACAGGTGGAGATTTTTCAAAACGCTTCTTCATCACGAGTTTTAAAGTTAGCCTCACAGAACTACTTTCAAAAAACGTCTAACAACCCAGAGTATACCCCGATCGTGGTCCCGCAATGCTATCAGCAATCTACGAAAAGAAAAAGTGAAAAAATATGAAAAAATTGACAAAAAATCAAAAATAAAGCCACTTTTTCAAATTTCACGGGCGAATTTCGAGAAGTGCGCAGGCTTTGCCGAGTTTCAAATTCCTTGCATTTTCTTCAACTGGCAGAAACGCCGTGCTCTTTCTACAAGAATATAGACTGAACCAAACGTTTGCAAATATTCGACGCCAGCTTGACATCCAACACATCCCAGCAACGCCGAGGCAATAACCGGTTCGGCCATTTTCAGGAAAAAAATCTTCGAAATCCGTCATAATAATAAAAAAATCAGAAAAAAAGTTGAAATATCTTTGACGCTAAATTTCGATTCACCTCGGAAAAAAACACGCAAATAATCGATGGATTTATTCACATTCACAAAAATGACTACAGCAAGAAGGGTACCAATCGTTTCGTTAATAATACTGAAATGACGCTTTCGTTGAATAATTGAAAAGCCCGTCGGTTACAAAAAAGGAAGGGAATTTCGGCTTTATACAAAAAACGAAGCGAAGGATTTGGTAGAAATTTTAAATTGGGAAACCGGGAAAATCACAGAGAAATTATCGGGCGATAGATATTTTATATATGTAATTGTGGCATAGGGAAAATTGCGAACGAATGACTACAACCGGGGGAAAATCACAGGATGGAATTGGCAAAAGCGAAAAAAAGGCAAACTAAAGGAGCAAGAACTTTTTAGTTGAGCACAAATGCAGCGATAGCATAGCCGCTAACAGTTTTTTATTGAATTTTTTTTGGATTTGATCCTGCGCCTTCAAACACGCCATGAAAGTCCTGCTCCTTTGATTATTCCGTTAAGAAGCCCATAAGTGTAACTAACCAGCACCAAAAATAAAAAAAGAGATCTGCTTTACAAAAATGTACATTATAAACCAATCAATAATTATTCGATGTATGACGTCATCGTTTCGGAACCTCGTCTGTCACTGTTGCATCCTCGTCGGCCACGCTTTCTGCATCGACGTCTTCTTTCTGAAGGACCATCAATTCCAGCACAACTCCATGTTTTCCGGTACCACTCCTTGAAGTCCTTCTCTTGAGACGCCAGAGGGCGAACTTCGACCCGAAGAGTCGCAGTCTTGAAGTCCAGAGCAGTAGTGGAGCATGAGGATGGCCAAGGCCTGGAGCCGATCTTCGAGTCGTAAACATCTCGGTGACGTTTCTAAAAACTTGAAATACGGGCTATAGTTTTGTTTCAAAACAACCTCCTTCGTTTTGTCTAACGACAAGCCGTTCATCTTTCGTCTCACGTTGGGCCAAGTGTATCCGATCAATCTTCAAAATCATTTTTCTTTCATTTTCAAATGTTCAACAGTTCGTTTAATTAACAACCTTATCATTTTGAAATCATTTTTTCCCAACCTGTTCATTAATTTTCAACTTTCTCTCCTCCGTTGGCAGCTCGGCGAAAATCTTCTTCCCCAACTTTTGGGCGTTCCGGATCGTCGGCTCATCGAAAGCGTTTCCAGGCTAGAAAGTTCGTTTTTGACAAGATCAATTAAAATAATAGAAACCTGAAAATACAATGTTGCAATGAAAGGAGACCCCTCAAGATGCGGTAGGAAATCAGAGAGACAATCCTGAAAAAAGGTTTGCTGAAACTTTCTTTTCCCAAAACTCCTACCACAACACTGGCTCCAGGACTGTCCGGATCAGTCTGACTGTAGTGAACATGTCCCGCTTCGCCGTGTTCCGAGACATTTCTGAGCAACAACTACGTCTTTCATCGTTCTTTGAGCGGAGTTCTACCTAATCTCCTCGTCCTTCTTCTTCCCACTCCTTCGCCAGTTAGACAACTTCTCGCTGACTTTGTTTCGCAGCCGTAGTCTTTTGGACAACTGATCGGCCGGAGTCGCGGGAGTAGCGGGAGCTGATGCCTGTGGTGACGTCACAACCAGTGGAGCTGCTTCTTCTTCGGCATCCGGGTAGGTTGCCAGCTAGAAGAAAGAATCTAACTATAGAAGGTTATTTCGATAGTTTAGGTAAGTTTAAAAAATGAGAAATTCCCAAAATTCATGTTGAATGTATTCCTAATGTTTCTTTAACATATCAGAAATGTCGTCCATCAAGAATTTTTTCAACTTCCGTTCTGCCGAGAAAAATGATTTTCAAAAAAAAAAAAAATGGAAATATTTTTTGTAAATTTTTCCTGAAGAAAAATAAAAAATGAAGTTTTCTTCTTCCTTATTTAGATTGAATTACACCAATTGATAATTTTTCTCTCGTTAAAGCTAAAAAGTCAAAATTTTCGACAAAAGCCAAGCAGTAATGGGTTCCGGTTTAATTTTCTTTGGATATTAAATTATACAATGGATATGGAGGTCTGATTCGAAAAAAAGTTCTTATTCATCTCGGCTAACAAGAAAACCCTCTCTCTCTCATCTCAATAATTTGCACGCGCAACCCACAGCTGACTGCTTTTTTCCTTATTATTAACATCATTTCAAAGATTTGAAACGGTGAAGTTTTGCAACTATTTGCAATGTTCATAGGTCATCATTTGCATTCGTGCATTCAAATTTATTTTTGAACGCAGCGCTTCGAAAAACTTTCACGAACGTCTTCAAAATTGGAATCAGCGACGTTGAGTTGATGCGGGGAACAGGCGATCCCTCCGTTGTTCGCCTTGACGACGCACTTGTTGTGGCAAATCGCCAGACATCTCGAGCAACACGACGCGTTCCGAAGCCAGATCTTTCCGCGGCACATCGCACAGGTCGTCGCTGGAAAAATACTTTTCTATTTTTCAAGAGAGATTAAAATTTAAGCTTCATGGCGCGTCGTAGCGCAACAGGTTGTGTGCCTGTCTACGGTCCACAGAGTGACATGTTCGACCCGCGCCTCAACCCGCGCCTCGACCCAACCAAGGAGTTTAAGAAATGCTGGTAGTGGGAAATCACGGCTTCAAAATCCTCAACCGTCACACAGGAGGAAGAGGCCACTAGAGTCAATCCACTGATTATCACTGATATCTGGATATGACCTGGGCTAATCGACTTGGGGCGCCGACGCCGCTCAAGCGGTATAAAGGCGTAAGAAGAAGAAAAAGATAAACATTAATGCTTCAAATGTCACTTTGATGAATCTTCTCCGATTTCTTACCACTTTTGCTGTACCACGTCTTCCAGTCATGCCCAGACGAGGGCATCAGAAGCGGCGGAGAAAACGGACGAGTTGGTTCAACACGGGCGGTCCGAACTTCTTCATCACTAAATGGCAAAAATTGAGTAAAAAGGATGGTTCAGAATCTCAACCTGTCTTCTCCCGAGTTCAACGCAGCTCCAGACGGTAGGCCATCAGGAAAATAGCGAAATCCAAGAGTTATATCCCCGTAGCAGAGCCTCGGATCGAAGCCGGCGTGTCGGGAAAACTCGGAAATCGTCCTGGAATAAAACAAGGGAACTTGAGATGTTTTTTTTCAACATTAAAAGGTTCAGGCTAGTATTTTCAAAAATAGATGAAGTCTGAGAAATGAAAGAGTAAAGATTTTCATTAATCCCTGAAACATTTACCAAAATTCAGGTGAAGTGTTAGGACTTCCAAAAAACAATAATCTATTTTTAGCTGAATCTATGACCTGAAAAAACCTAGAAAATAGGTTGATTATTCAAGATTACAGGAAGCTCAAAAATCTCTGTCGCTAGAAAAATAAGACATCAAAACGGACTCGGAAGTGTCCAAAAGAGGCTGCGTATCCAGCGGAGGCTTCATATGGAACACTTCTCGATGGCAATTTGAGAGGGTTAGGCGGCAATCGTCGATGATTTGAGGAAGGTACAGGGAGACCTGAAATTTCCATTTGAACGAATATAAATATGGTTATGACTGACAGATCCAAGAAGAATCGGTCTTGGTGGGTCTGAAGTCGTGGCCGACGTGCTTGGCGACGGGTTCAGCTTCGGTCCAGGCGTTGATGATTCGGGAGTTTCCGTTGTTGGGTGAGAAGAGGCTGGAGTTGTAGAGGGAGGTTTCACCTTAGAATAGAGATATTGGCGTTTCTTTTTTTTGCGGAACGGTTTCAAGTCCCTTAGTTATTTTTTTTTTTTCGATTATTTTCCGTTATCGAAATTTTTTCAATTGAAAAAACATTTTTTACATTATTTTCGCACAAAAACACATATTTTCAAGTACCTCTTTGGCATGAACAGTGACGTTCAAGTACTTGAGGGCAGACCGAGAAGCTGGATCGAGCTCAAAGTGCAGCGACTGGCCCCAGACGACGTCCTGTAGACGAACACAAGTTATTCAACTCCATGAGAATTTCTACGAACCCTCTGGTACTGAACAGGCTTCGTTGAGCGAGTTTTGGCCATGGAAGACGACGGCGAGTCGTTCGAGACGTTCTTCGACACCCGTTGCCGCGGTGAGTCGCCCCTTTATCCATTTTATCTTTTTGAAACCCCGAAAATCTCACTTTTTCCTCCACTTTTTCTTCTCTTTTTTGTCGACGACGTGACATTCCACCGGGCTTCGTTTGCCACTGAGAGGCGGCAATGGAGATCTAGAGTTTGACTGAAAATTTCGGTCTTGCAAAAATCCAAGCTGTTCAGAACCTCTCGTTCAAAGTCCATTAATCCGGCATCGGTTCCTACTTCAACCGCGTCCAAGTCACCTGGACCACCCTGAAAAAGGAGAAAATTGAAGTTTTTGCCAAAAAAAAAATTTTGTAGTCTATTCACCACTGGTTTGAAATTAAACAATTCGTTTATTACGCGTCAAATTCCATATTTCCATTAGCACAAAACCGATTCTCTTAAAAAATTAAGTGAACTCAAAAATGTCAATTTACTTTTAAAAACTAAAAGCATGGTGCGTCGTCCTTTTCTTTTTACTTGTGCCTCGCTTCGCTAATTTTTCCTTTTTGTTTTCGATTTTTTCTCCTTCTCATTAAAAATGCTTCTCTAAAAACACCCTATTTTTTCGCTTTACAGGTCTCCATATATCCGACTCGCTGATCAATACAAGGATAAATAAATTTTTTTTCCTTATAAAAACCGTTGGTGAGTTTTCGACCGGAGTACTCCGCCTTTTCTGTGGAATGAGCTCCAATACACGTTTTTTGCCGGCGGCCAACGTCGCCTGGAAAACTTTATTAACTGGTTTTTCATTTTCTTTCATACATGAAGCTTCTGTCTCCGCGTGCTGGAAGGTCGGTTTCTGGATATTGAAGAGCTGTTTCCGTCGTCTTCGTCTCCGACGTCTTCAGTTCCGGTTCCGTTGTCGGTGGTTCGATCCGTACGCGTGGAGATCATTGAAGAAAGCGAAGCCATGCTTCCAGCCTGACAAAAACGTTTTTTTTTCAAATCTTAATTGTCTTTTTTTGAATTTTTTTATCACTTCAAACTGCAATTAAGTTGAATTAAAAATGTCCAAAATCATTCAGAGCACGTTTTTTTCGAATTCATATTTTTTTCTATCGGCTATTGACTGCATTTTTTTAATAAAAAAATTTTTTTGACCTTCCTGAAAAAAATTTGAAAAAAATCTAGTTTTTTTGAAGTTTGTTTAGAAAGGAAGAAAAAGTTTTTAAATTTCGAAATTTTTCAGAATATTCAAACTGAGGTTCTGGTAAAACTTTCTGCGTCCCTAAAAAAAGTCGAAAAAAAGATTTTGATAACATGAGAATGAATTTTTAAACGATTTAACTAATTTATAAATATTTTTCTTGATGTGACCGGAATTACGAAATTGATAGAAATGAAAAAAAAATGAAAAAAAAATTTAACTTTGAATTTTTACTTATACATCTCATGTGCGTCGGAAAAAAAGTTCTTTTTCAGGAAATAAAAAATATTCGATACGTTTCCAGCCAAGTTCGTACGTTCTTCTTCAATAAAACTTCTAACTATCCGAAACCCACCCCTTTAATGGCATCCATCTGGGTCAAAGTCTTATCCTTGTCAGCAGTCTCCAATCTCGAAACTCCGAGTTCATTGGCCGTTTCCGACGGTGCAACGCGCCCCAACGCACCCACATTGACCACACGGACCTGCGCAATATCACTTGTTTCCCAGTTTACACTTGAAACTGCCAACTTTTTCTTCGTCTCCGTGTTGCGAGGACGACGAGGAAATGGCAGCATGGACCGCTTCCAACGATTTCACGTCTATCTGACTTTCCGATCTGCAAGGGACGTCCAGAAAATGACAATTACTGCAGAGTGGACGGGAACAATGAATCAATCATTTAGAGAAAAAAAAAATGGTCTTCTGCCTCTTCATTCATTATCAACGTTGTAACAAGGACATTCTCGAACCGGAAAAAGACTTCTTTGAATTAAAATAAATTTTTTTAAACTTCAAACTAAGACTTTTTCCATAACACTGAAGGTGACGGGAAAAAGCAACTTTCATCGCCACCTTATGAATTCCTATCGAAATATTTTTCATCTTTTTGATTAATTTCAGACAAATTATACAAGCTTTGGAATTTAAAAAAACCTAGTTTTTCGATCCGTAAACCGTTCGAAGTTTTCGTACGATTCCAAAAAGTGTCTCAAGCCGGGAAACTAAATTCTAAATTTTTCTACTGCAATAATCATAAGATGCTTTAAAAAAAGCAATGTGTACTAATTTTTTTCTAATGATAATTTTTTTATAAGTCTCACAGTAAACAAGGTAATAGGACAGTCGCAAGTTTTTATTTTTATTTTCCAAAAGAGTTACTAAGAATTTCTAACTTTCTTCATGATTCTCTCTAACGCTTCTTCCAGTCTATCTAGAGAAAATGGTCCATGCCGAATTCAGTTCACGAGTAGAATTAAAAAAGCATTACCCCGTGGGTAATTTCAAAAAAATCTTTCATATGGTTCTAAAAATCGTTCTGAAATTATTACATACGAATCAAACCTTCTTAAAATCATTTTATACTTATTTTTTGACATGGTTTTTAATTCATTGATCAAATTAATCACCTATTGACAACAAGCCCTTTTTCTTATTGAAAAACAAACGTCAAGACCTCCGAATAAGCGGTATATCCCGCCGACTTTCAGTTTTTTCTTCTAATGGAGCAATCTGTTTTATACCTCGTCCTCCTCAGATCGAAGCTTGGCTGACTGACGAGGAGCTGTGGCACCCTGGCGCTTTCGGTTCTTTGAACGCTTGCAACGTTGGGACGGTCAAATCGAGTCGCGTCTTAAAGACATTTACACACAATTACAATTTTTTTTTTGCCTGTTGGAAGTTCGGAATTGTGAACTATCTTAAAAACCGCGAGTCCATCTAAGACCACTTTTCTTTTTTTTAATCTTCTTGTGGCCACAATTTTTAAAAATTTACAAATTTTCAACCCATGAAATTCTTATTTTTCACTCGATTTCCCCATTTTTGCTGTGTTGGAAGTTCAGAAAGGATGCAAGAAAATTCTTTATTTTTTCTATAATTTCTAAGGAGCATGGCAGTGGCAGCGAGCAACGTCCGCACGTGTTTAACGGCGGCTTCCGTCTTCGAAGAAGACACCTCCGTCGAGGGCGCAGTACCTGAGAAAAGGTGGGGATGAGATTTTTTTTTCGAGGTGAAGCTTTTGTTAGTTTCAGGCAGCCTTCTAGGCAAATTAGATCTTTCGGAAGCTTCTAGTTTTTCTAAAAGGCTGAGAAAGAAAAATTTGAACTTTTGAACTGATAGTAAGAGACGCGGCTTTCAAAATGAGGCGAATTTCTTTTAAAGCTTCGCGAGAGACGCTTTTAAAAATCGAAATTTTGGAAGACCTTTTTTTGGAAAAAAAAAATCGAAAAAGCTTGAGTTGTTAAAATGCAAATTCAAAAAATCTTTCTAACTTTGTCAACTTATCTATTTATGAGAAAAAAACTCACTTGGGGCAGATACCGCGCTCTCCAGGATGTCCATCCTTTCCTGGCTGCCCAGGCGCTCCAGGCTGTCCGTCGCGTCCAGCATCTCCAGAGCCTCCAGGCGCGCCTTTCTCTCCTTGTGGTCCAGGAGCTCCGTCCTTTCCAGGTTGTCCGGCTGGTCCTCGTGGTCCTGGCTGTCCTGGTCTTCCAGGCTCTCCAGGAGCTCCAGGCTGTGGCTCTCCGTTTCGTCCGTTCTCTCCGGCTGGTCCAGGTGGTCCAGGCTTGCCAGCTGGTCCAGGAGGTCCGTTTGGTCCCTTGTTGCCAGGCGCTCCAGGCTCTCCGTCAGGCCCGTGAGTTCCAACGCCTCCAGGTGGTCCGCGGTTTCCAGCAGCTCCAGGGGGTCCGGCTGGTCCAGGTGGTCCTTCTGGGCAAGGCTTGCACGGTGGTGGAGTTATTGGCTCGCACGGCTCCTTTGGTGGACGTCCAGGATTTCCGTTGAGTCCAGGCGCTCCGGGCTTTCCTGGCTTGCCAGGTCGGCCGGGGGTACCTTGTGGACCAGCGACTCCAGGAAGACAGCATCCCTGGCATTGGTCGTCTCCTCCGACGGAACGAGCGGTTCTGTTGACGTTGGGGACGGCGTAGACGTCTCCCCAGAGGCGCTTGGCCTCGGCCTTGCACTCGACCATCTCGTGGTGCATGGAGCGACGGGCGTGGTGGATGTAGTTGTACACCATTGGCAGGGTGACGCACACCGACAGGATGGCGACCACGGAGAAGGTCAGCGCGGCATAACCGACGAATCGGTACGCCTTGATCTTGGAGTCGATGTCCATGACTTTGGCGACTCTTCCTTCGGCTACTCAGCCTTTTATACTGCCTTATCGACGATGGTTCCCGGAAAAAAGGGTGTCGCTTTTCCTGACGCGTCCAAACCGGTTCTAGTCTTGCCATCTAGCGTTGATGAGTTTTTTCTCTTTTCTTTCCCGAGGAAAAGTTACACTACTTCTGTCCAAATGCCAAATTTCTCCATACAACCAACACTTTTTCCCGAACTTCCAACACAGCAAGTTTTTAATGAGGAACTGATTACTTTTGTCTAGATTGGAAAAACGATTTTTGGCGTACCTAAAGAAATGAGGGAAGAATCCAGGGAATCTGTGTTGTCCATTATTGAGGATTCCATGTTCGAAACGCTGTGCCGGCGTAGAGCTGAAGAGCTTTTTTTGAATAATAATAATCTTCTTCGACTGAGTTTCGATTTTCGAATTGTTGAAGTTTTTATTTATAATCAATTTTCATCTAGATTTTGATAAAAAAGGACCCGTTCAGGAATTTTCCCATTCTAAACTCTAAACAAATTTTTAGGATAACTTCTAAATACAAAATTAAAATGTCTTCAGTCTGTATGAGGACTGATTCAAACGTTCCCCGACAGAGTTTTCATTTTCTTTGCGAACTCTAGACACCAGTTTTTCGTTGAGCAGCTTGTGACATGCACGCACCCAATAAAAAAAGCCATAAGAACCAGAAAAAAGAGAGAAAACGTCAGTAAGTCCCCATCTGAAACGAACATCAAAAGTCTCTCCTGGAGAACGATTTGGCTCCTGAGAACATCCGTGTGAGAGCAATATTACACCCACAAAAACACACGTTGAGCCCTCGTGACAGCGATAAATGTTCCTTGTTTTTGTGTAGACCTTACGAAATGTCAACACAAAAACAAGGAACTTGACTCGCAGACTTCCTTTAAATAGCTCTGAGTGATGAGCGCTCCATACGAAATTATTTAAAAGTTCAACATTTCAAAGTTCGTTATGAATAGTGAGAAGATTAAATTCTTTTTTGAATTCCTGAGAGGCTGCTGTCCTTTCGGAGGCATAAAAAAATAAGTTTTGATTTCATGTAGATTCAAAACATGCAAGATGTCAACGACAATTTTTCGACTCTTTCTGAACCTTTCCCCAAACTCACAGTCAGTGGTAGAAGTGACGCTGAGCTCCTTGCTGGTGCGTCGATCGTCTTCCGACGTCTTTCGCATCCGGACGACCGCCTCAACTTCTTCAGACCGTTCCCTCGCCGTGAGCTCTCCGACCACCAAGAACGAGTCATCGGTGTTGCTGCTGACGTCACCGATCATCACTTCTCCGTCTGAAAAAGACAATGATTATTGTACATTCCATTAATTATCACCACCTTTCAACTCGTCGTCATCGATGTCGTCAAGACTTCTTTCCACAAGAACCAATAGATCTCCCGTCGTTTGCTGAAGGAATCTTACGGCCTGTCTTTCGCTTCTGATCGGCACGTTGTTGATGGCCACGAGAACGTCTCCTGGAATAGAGAAAAAGTAACCTTCAAGGATACTTTCAAAGTTCTTAACCCGATAGTGAATTTTTTCCTTGTGTGCATGTAATAGATATTACAGGTACAAGACAAGATTTTCGATTGTTAAGACAGTGAGTCGAAAAAACAACATCTGAGGATAAATTCAAGTTTCTGTCAGCTGATTTTTGTTTTGTGAGACTTTTTTTTAAAGCTGAATTCAAAAAAAAAAATCGAGTATATTTGACTTTTAGGCTAACTTCCAAAAAGTATGTTTTATTTGTTGGCTTGAAATAAACGGACCAATGGCCGAGTTTTCAAAGTTTTTTCAGCTCCAGAAATAATAACATCCTGCGATTTAAGAACATTTTTAAAAACTTACTGGGCTATATGAATTTCAGTTTTACCTGAGAATCGAAAGAAGAAAACATGAAGGCTATTCGCTTGCAACTTTATTAGAACTCCTTCAAACATTGCAACCAAGTTGCATGAGCCCCTACTATCCCTAGAAGCACTACTACTACTTTAAAAACTCATATAAGTTGACTTTTTGAAGCTCTCTGCAGCGCTAACCAGGCTTGAAAGAAGCCTTGTCTGCCAGGCTGTTGTCCTCGACGGAAAGCACGCGGACAGGCCTCGATCCGTTGACATAGACGGCTTTCTCGAAGACGATTCCAACTGGAGTCGCCAAATCGAAGCGAGAAAACGTGAGCATCACGCTGACACAGTGGCCCTGTTCCCCGTAGCCGCTTTGAAGCAACGGACGGTGGTCTGGAAAATCACGATTTTTTTCTTGTGAAGTTGATCGAATCCCACAAACCCATGGCGACTGTACAGTAGACCTCGTAGGTTTTGTTTTCATCCTCCAGAAGGACATTTTTCAGTCTACTGCACTGGAGAACCGTCACCTCCATGCCTCCCTCTAGTTTCACATGAGCGAAGCAGCCTCAAAATTATTCTTCAACTTGAAAAGACGATGATCAAGTTTCAATATCACTGCAAACCCCTACGAGATATAAATTGTTTTTTCGAGAAAGTGAAAAACAAAAAAAAACAATTAGTTTGAACAAAATATTTAAAAATTGAGTTTCTCGATTAAATGAAAAAAATGAACGCTTAGGGTCTCACAAAACAAGAAAAAAATAAAGATTTTTTTAGATATTAAAAAACAATCAACATTTCTCTTCTAACAGTCGTGTTTTTGTTAAGAAAATGAGCAAATTAAAGACTGAAACTTGAAAATTTTTATTCATCTACAAATTCGACAACTTTTTTTTTCTTTGCCGAGAATAATAGCAAAACTGTGAGCATTGAAAAAAAATACATGCAAAATAATTTCAGAGCCAAACATCTACGAACTTTCTTCAATATTTTAAAAAATTTTAACTAATTTTTTTCAACTGATTTCGCCTGTCAAAAACCCACTGGGCGGAGAGGAAGCCTGGAAGAGCGGATTCGGGAAAATCGGCCGGTAGCGGATCTTATAATTCGGCCAGACATGTTTCCTTTGAAGGGCTCTCCGAATCCCTTCTTTTATGATCGGAATGACCCGTTTCAGTTGATGACCTTGGATTTGTGAGCTGATCTGAAACCAAATTTTGAGCGAAAACGAAAAAATTTGGGGGCAAATAAAAGTTTCGGTTAAAAAGTAATGAATTTTAATGCAAAATTCACTGATTTTCAAAAAGTAGAGTTTATACCGTATTCGATTCGAAATAACCATCAGGGAATGAAAAGAGTTAGCAAATTTTGGATTGTCAAAGTTAGTTTTGATCTCCGCGACATCACTTTGAACACGAAATAATTGGATTGAAAGAAATACATCAAAATCCGAAAAAAATAACCTCAGTTTCAAAAACCGGCGTTGAAACAAACGAAAACGTCCAATAATTGTACGGTTGACGCGATAGAACTACACGTACAAGACCCGTTAGTTTAGTTATCTGAAAAATGATTTATTGTCGATTTATTATAACTTTTCAGTGGGTAATTTAAACAGTAATGCTTGGGACCATGAAATACGAAAATTCCTTTAAAAATTCCTCTTACAAAATAATGTCCGACAGAAACGTATCATTACTCAGATAGGAATAAGGAAATGAAGTTCTATTCTTTAGAATATGATTATTAAATATTGAATTCTATTGTCCAAAGACTTGAAAAATGTCTTTTATAATTTTTGGAAACGGGTATAAATTCACGGTTATACTATTGTTTTTTTTAAAAATTCCAAGAATTCAGCCAATTAAAAACTCTTTTTTTTATCTAATGAAACTACACCTATCACTGTCATTTTTGAAGCGAAAAAAATTTAATGAGAGATGTTAAAACCTCGTTTTTTTGTACGGTAATTCGTTTAATTAGATTTATTTTTTTAAAAAAATTATTTTTTTGAAAAACTTGCCGCGGAATTCCGACTCAATATAGCAGCAAAAAAAGTTTTTGAGAGCTGCGAGAAAAAAATATATTTTTCCAAAAAAACATTAATTCTATTTTTGCCTCATTTTTTTCGGAAAAATTTATATCTCGAAGAATTATTTTTTTACTCTTTTAAGAAATATTGTGAACGATGAACTTAGATGAAAGTTTTTTTGATAATTTGAATATAATAACTTTAGAACCTTGACAGAAAGACTGGCGCGTTTGGCAATGAAGGAAGCGACGTCGATGGCCGTCTCGAAGCCGCCGGAATAATCGATATCCAATACGAAAATAATCTTCTAAAAACAAATTCCATTCAACTCTCTCAAAAAGCTGTGAAAAACCTCGAAAATGTTTTTGTCCTGCGACATTTCTACTTTTTCGACACGAATCGAGTTCACGGTCACAAATTTAGCGCCAAGCGAGAGTTCGCGGATTTGGATCTCCTTCAAAATTTGACATTATTTCCCATTTATCTGAGACTTATAGTGGATGATAACTTGAACAAATTGTCGATAATGAAAACTGTAAAAAAAAACTAAAGAAACCATCATAATTATTTTTCAATTTAATTTTGAATGACTCCGAAAAAAGCAAGGAAAACTTGTTGAAACCGTTGTTTAACGACATCCAAGACAGTTTAGAATAATAGTTAAAAAATTGATTTGAAAAAAGTTTCTTATGGAAAATAAGGGAGAATTTTGAAAACTCAAAATTCTCAGAAGTTTAATCAAGAAATGAACCAAGTTGTGGGAAAACCTGAATCAAACGGCCAGCCGTTGTTCTCGTCGTCAAATCGTTCAGCTCCATTTGCAAGCGCTTGTGAACCCATCTTAATATCGGAAAGTTACCGAATAAACTTTCTTTTCGACTTTTGAGAAATCTTTGAAAAATACAACAAACCTTCTCAATTGTCGCGTATCTTTGTGTTCTTGAAAAAGCATGTGCAATAATAAACTGATGGAAAAGCAGGATTCCCATTTCGAGATCCCCTGACCATCTTCACCCGATTTCAGAAAAGCTCGGAGTTCCTGAAAAATACATTTTAGATTTCCATTATCAGGATTCATGTGATTTTAATTCTCTCAGAAAAAGTTGTATTGACAAAAAAACTTTAAAAAATAAACTTTTTTGAGGGGATGTAAAAATTTTTTTCTCTCTTTCTCTCCAAAATTTCTCGCGTATGAACAAAATCCTCCTGTAAAACCGACCTCGGGAATCTGACAAGGTCGAAATTGGTCGATAAATGGTTCGGCCGCAGGCGGAGCCAACGGTTCTGCTAGATAATTGTACACGAAAAAAAGAATCTGGAAAATTTTATACTTGAAAAAAAAAAGGAAGAAAAGCTTGATTAAAAAACCTATTTTATGAAAACAAAAAACCAAAATTATCAAAAACTGAAACTGAAATTTTTTAAACCAGGTAAAAATTCACTCCAGTAAATCCCTACAATTCCAAATTCATCTGACACTATAGAATATTGAGAACCTAGAGGAATTTTCGATTTCTATATCGAAACTTCAGAAAGCAAATTAATCAATACATTCAAAATTTAAGAATTTAACTCGAGGTTTCACAATCGACAGCTTTGAAAACTGACCCCAGCAACACCGACGATAATTCCCAAAAAGAACTCGATCATCGCTCGGGGCGACCGAGAAGCAATAAAAAGTTATTTATTGAAAAGCCTTGTCTCGATCCACCCCTAAACTTAATTGCTTGTAACTTTGAAAAAAAAAAACAAAACGAAAAAGAAAAGGAGCCGCTTAGAAGAAAGGTATCACGTTGCTATGGGTGGGAGTTGGAATGACATGTTTTGCGGCTTCACCTCTACTCTTATCTCTGAAATTGATGGCAACCGGAGCTGAGGCGTTCATAGAGAGCGTTTGGAACACCCGAAAAATAAGATTAGATTTGGAAAAATTGGGAAGAATAGCACGAAATTGAATAGGGAAAATTACTGGTTGAGATTTTTTGGGTCGTGAGTGTGATTGGGAGCAGCAACTCTCCCTCTCCTCTTTTAAATATTTTTGTTTTTCTGTTTTCCCATATTTTTTTCCGCCTTTCCAGCTGTTTCGCAAACAACAATATACGTTCTGATAGCGCAGGTCACGAGCCTTGCAAAATGGAATAAATTTAATATTAAACAACTTTTTAAAAGATTTCGTGGATCATATAGAGAAGGAATGATATATGGCTACGATATTAATGCTTACAACCTAATGAAGACAAGTAGGCTGCACCAAAAAGTATTTTTAGGGAGCAAAATTTATAAAAAAAAAAAAATGCATATTTGGGACTTTGCGCGTGATATTAACAGTTTTTCGTGAAACCACCGCGACTCGTCGCAAACTTTGCGCGGGTGTTCAAATTTTTGACTTTCAAAAAAATCTAACTTTCCATAATAGAAAAACTATTTATTAATTTCAATATGTACAACAACCGAGATCAAGACACGTAAGATTGATAATAGAAACATCGAGAGGAAGAAAATCTTCAGTGCATCGCCAAGGCCACGGCAGCCATTGTCATGGCGAAGAAGAGAGATTTTCCTGCAAAAAAATGGATCGATCCTTCGAATTGAGGCGTTTTTCTTTCAAACAGAAAATGAACGAACCACTTGAGGCGCTCATTTCGTCCTTGAGGTCAATTGAGATCTGAAAATTTGGGTTTTCAATAAGATAAATTGAAAGTTATTTGGAAGTGTTCTGTGAAAAAGATTTGATCGCATGGAATAAATTGGAAGGAATATGAAAAAACAGATTGAATTTCCTGTTTTTCTCACAAGGAATGACAATTTTGATGGTATCATGAAATTATTTTATAATTCGGAGGAACGAGAGAGAGAGGGATGCAACTTCTTTTTCTTTTGCACATTATGATAAGTTACGTCACAAAAAGTAAAAAAGTCTTCATTTTATTCCCGAAAAATCTAGCTTGACTCCCGTAATACGACCGGCCGCCTTGAACATGCGTGCAGAACTCACCAAACCCTGTCGGTTGGCAGTGTTTTTTCCTCCTCGAGCTCGACGGGCTCAGTTTGACGCGATTTGTCGAACTTCTCTTGCAGATCCAGCAAGATTTCTGAATATAATAATATTTGAAAAAAAAGATTCCTAGCTCCTAGATTGGAAGAAGTTTCTGAAAGAGTATGAGCCTTTCGCCATTTGAAAAATAGAAAATAAATCGTTTATAAAAGAGAGAGCCTATAGATTTTTTTTCCCTTGGACCTGAACTGCTCACTCAGAAGAAGAGTTTCTAAACTGACCGGGCCTAACGTCCTTCTTCCAATTGAGCTCTCCGTTCTCCTCGGCGAGATAGGCCTCTCGGCGATCGGCGGCGACTTCGACGTCGGCAAGAGGTACATGAACGCCTCCGATTTTAGGGACCTCTCGATGAACGGCGAGTCGCATGTTCTTGTTCAGACAGAGGCCCATCCGGCGGTTCTGAAGTCCTTCCAGAGTGCCGTTAGACGTCGCTGAAGTTTTTTCATTTTAAAGGTTTCAAAGTGCTTTTAAAAGTTTTGCCAGGTCCAGAGCTTAGGTAGACTCCAAAAAGTGGAGAAATTGAGCAAATTTACCGTATACGTGAATGTTCGCCTAGCTCCAGAATATGGAGTGTTACTGTAGCTCTAACTTTTTTTTCCCAGGAAACTACTTTGGTTTTTGAACGAATTTTCCCTGAAACTTCAAGCTTACAAGAGCTTCTCATGGAAATAAATGTAGCAGATCGAAGAACTAACAGATGAAGTAGTGATATTCTCGTTCGTCGTCCTTCAGAAGGTGCCGATGGATGTGGGAGTGCTTGGAGCCATCGCAGGTTCCAACTCTTTGCGCTGAGTCCGACAGAGCGCATTTTTCGAAATCATCTCGGACCACCGAAAATTCCAGATTTGAAAATAATGCCGAAACAAGCGTATTCTTAAAATATCGGTTTTTTTTTCAATTCTCTCTCCTACATAAATGGTCTAGGCTTTGAGAAAAGAAATATTGCTCAGAAATTAATTATTTTCGAATCCAAATGACGTCATTAGGCGCAGACTTGTTCTGCGTTATTTGGGTTTAGGTTCTACTTGACATTCCAAATCTGAACAGACAATCAGAATATGTTTTAATGTAGATCAACGTTTTTTTTTTTATAAATTTTTTCAAATTTCTCTTCTCCCTACTTTTTCGCGATAAACAGAGGCAAATTTTTTTAAGTTGAAAAAGAAGTTTTTGAATTAAAAAAATTTTTTTCGATCTAACACATTTTTTTCTGTTTTTTTGGCAGCACTTCTTGACACTCTCTATTGCTCATATTACCTACATTTTTTCTTCCCTTTTTCTTATCACTCACCTTGTAAATGATCGAATATTCCCGCGCTCGTCTTTTCGGACAGTGGAACTTGATGACGTCATGAGGCGTGGCGGTGATTTCGTAGAATCCCGGAGAGTCGATGGCGTTGTCGAATGGCTCGAAGACGCTGTTGGTCGAGTTCCAGTAAACTTCGTGGTGAGCGACCGCTTGGCAGCAGCTGACCAACATCCCCAGAACCAACAGTTTCTGCATCATTCTAAAAACACGTTTGTGACTCTCTAGGTTAGAAGGAAGCGATCCTGTGGTTGTGAAACACGTACAAATCGTTGCAAAGTGAGTGACATTTTTTAAGAGATAAAAAACTTCTCGAAGTTTAAAGTTTTTAATTGCTGTTAGTCATCGTTTCCGTGAGATAAGAGTAAATGAAGGTGGCTTCGTCCGAATAGATATTTTATTTATAAAATGGAAATTTTAGATCTTTTGAATGTGAAAAGTGAGTGACGCCATGAGAAAAGTCAAGAAATTTTTTTAAGAGCTTTATATTTGAAATTTTAGAATAGAAAAAAAGCTTTTTCTTGAAATTTTTTTCGTATTTGTTGAAAGGAATGAGGTAAGTTAAACTGTTTTGTAAACTCTGAAATTTAGGCTTTAGTGAAAAACATTTTCAGAGACCTAAGCTATAAACGTTCCGAAATAATCTTCCTATATTATCCTTAACGGTTTCAACGACGTCTTGCGTCACGAAATCTCATTCTTCTTGCTTTGAGATGGAAGAACTAAAAAAGTGAAAAAATTGGTTTCAGAAATTCTAAAGCCAGAGCCGAGCCGGACGGTCTGACCAGCCCGAATGATGAAGAAGGAATGAGCTAGGTCATTGCCGAAATTTGGGCGGTACCAATCACCTTCTTTTTTTTCCTTTCATCAAATTTGTTTCTTTTCCGGTGTCGCGTGAGTCAAATGGCACAACATTTCGTGGTGGATGTCATGGGAAAAGTCGAAAAAGAAAGGTCGGTGGAATGGAAACATTTTGTCGACTCTTGGGAAATGTCATTGGCTTTTGATTGAGAACTGATCGAGAGATAAAACTTTCAAACGGGTTACTGTAAGGTGTTTCGCTTTCTGAACGCTACAGTATCGAGAAGTTCCCACAGGATTGACAGAAAAAAGCTGATTGAAAAATCCAAAAGGGAAATCGGCAAAATCAACGACTTGAAACACTCTGACCTGTCTGTGTTCTCTTTTCTCTCATCGGAGAGGTCAGAGAGAAGAGACAGGAAAGCTGCACGAGAAAATGAGTACCGTCGAGAGAGAAAAGGACGCAGAGAATCCTTCAAGGTGCGAGTAATAGAGTATCCCTCTGATGCCAAAATAAAACACAGTTGAGAGCTTTTTGGAAAAAATGAAACTGCCAGAAATGGAAAAAACTCCGGGTTTTTTTTAGATGAAAAATAGTCTTAACTTTCTAACTAAAGAAGCCTTGCCGTTTTTATCAGAATTTTCGACTCGAGTTAGTAATATTTTAGTAAGAGAAAAAATAGAAAAGAAAGATTCAAGAAACAAGAAAGCACGTGGGGGAGTTGAAGGTACAAGTGTTTGAAATGGGATGTGAAAGAAGACGAAAAACCACGATAAGAGCCTCATTTCGATGCTTTTTTCTTGCCGCAACGTCCTTTTTCCAGCGAGAAGTTGTTTTTAAATACATTCGCTAGTTTCTAAGGAGAAGTAGAAGTCGAAACCGATTCTGTATCAACTTTCCGCTTGAAATTGATGAAATGAACATGTTTTGATCGTCAATCACAAGTTGATAAGGTAATCTTTAGAAAATTTCCAAGTTTCGAACATCATTTTGCTTGCTCACGCGAAATGAGGCAGAGCTATTTCTTATCTTTATGTTGGAATTTCATTTTTTTTTTCCTTGAAAAGGAAGTGAATTCCATAAGCCTTCAAAAAAATTTCTTAAATTATTATTTCTGAACAATAAAATTGATTGCTTTTTCATGATTTAATACATAAAAAAATGTGTTTGACTAGTGCCGATAACATTATCAATGTTCAGAATAAAATCTAAAAACAAACAGAAATAGTTATATAACCCTTGGAAAAATATCCCAGAAGAGGAATTTTTCAGATATTGAAGCTAGAAAAGTACAGTAATAAGCTTCTTATGACCCTTAATTGAACCTTTTTTTGTCCTTTCTTTTTTGTTTCCAAATATTGCGGCTTGGAAATTTTAAAATGTTTTTATAATACCTTGCTAAAGCTTGTTTTGGTCTTTTAATAGGAAGAAAAGTGAAAGGTTGATAAAAGTCCATATTTTCGAAAAGAAGTGTAAAAAAAGTATTCGGAAGGCTTTACTTGCCTCTTTTCAGGTATTTGTAAGGCTGCAATCATCTTTTTGAATTTTTGGAGGATTTTTTCAACTTTTCCGATGCCAAAAGATTGAAAGAAACTCTTAGAAAATTTGAAAGGTCAGCTGGAATCAAACTCTGGAACAAATTTAGAAACTTTCTTTCTCGTGCTCTCATTGAGATGCGCTGGGGACAACGTCAAAAAACCAATTATAAAACGACTATCGAGCCTTGGCGGCCAGATGTTTCCAGCTTTTTTCTCAATTCCAGTTGATGCAGTCGTTTATTCGCTGTTTCAAATGTTTCGAATGAGTTTACGACCTTTGGCTGGTCTGGGACCATCAAGTAACAGAATAAAATGAATTTCGAATTTCATCTTTTTTTTCATACTTCTCTTCACATACACAGAAAAAGAAGAAAAAAACCCGAAATAAACGTTGTATTTTTCCCAGAGACAACAGAAAAACGTGGGAGGAGTTACCTAAACAAAAGCAGTGAACCCGTAAAATGGTTGAAAAAACAGCGCGGCTGGGAAAACGGCGGCGAAAATCTTTGATTCTTCGATTTCAGTACCATCCGGTCGCGATTTTTGTTTTGGGAAACAGTTTTTGGGTAATGAAATCCAAGAAGGAGATAAAACGTGTGGAAAATGTTTTGAGAACTGTGGATGGCTGGGAGTGAAAAAGTAGACCTTCAATAAATTTTTACATTGAAATTTCGTTGTAAAAAAATTTAACAAATGATTCATAAATCCTGTCATTTTTTTACATAAATTGAATGAATCTTCGAAAAATTGAAGCTTGGAACTCAGGTCGAGAGCATCCAGCAAAATTCAACCCTCACTTTTTTTGAAAAAGAAAAAAACATTCCGTTAAATTTTTTTGTTTTAAACTCTTATATTCAAACAGAACTCAATAAATACCTTCAATTCAGCCGAACCTTTTGATGAAAAGAAAGAAAACAGAAAAAAAAGAGACGAAAATGTAGAGAATTTGGTCAACGTCATCAATGATACGGATAATTTCTTATCGCTACGGAAGTTTAATTTCTGACCAACAAAAAAGGCAAAGGTTCTCCACTTCAAAAATCTCAGCAGAACTTTCCGAACAAGTTCAGAAGAAAAAAAAACAGAAAAAGTGCAGCGGGTCCATTGTTTCACTACTCCCGAGGGGCCGAAAAACGGAGTTTGTTGGTTCTTTTGTTTGTTGGTATGCGTGTGAACTACTTTTTTCAGGAAATTAGAGAACCTTGGAGCAATTTCGCTATTTGATACGATAGAAAAAACACATATTTGAAGAGTAGAAAATGCATTATCAGCTCTTTAAAAATGAACACTTTGGTCAAAAATCAACGATTTTCAAGAATAGTTTTGAGAAAGGTTTAAGAATTACTCAGAGCTAGCTCAAGAAAATGATCTTAACAAGATTAGTGAGAGTATACGAAAATAAGAGACGCAGAAGCCTCTCTATACATTTTTTTACCCCAAATTGAAGACCGATGGATGTTGCTAAAGTTATACGAACTGAAATTATGAACTTCAACCAAAAAAACCTCAAATTTTCAATAAAATAAAAAGGCTCTTTGAAAGTGTGTAAAGGAATCTAATTTTCGAGATCTCAGATCTCAAAACAAAAAGAAAAATTTTCAAGTTTTCAAAGTCTGTTAGGAACTTACTTGGGTTATATAAAAAGATTCTTTAACTACCAGGTTCATAAATAAGGTTATACAACAGATCTGAGGAAGATTTCGAAGCCTAGATTAAATTTTATGAGTCAGATGATTCAATTTTTTTTTTTGAATCGAAAAATTTTATTTGAAAAAAGCGCCATAAGACGTACAATTCAGACACCAAAAAGAATAGCATCCGTCGTTTATCTAGTAGATTAGATGGACCATTCAGCAACCCCTTAAGTCGCGTTAAATCTAAAGCGTTCCTTCAAAGTAGAAAGAAAATCTTTCTGAAGTGCTACGAACTTCGGTGAACTCCCTAGGATAGTGAAGTTTCTCTGAGAGAGTGCGAACCAAAACACACTTTTCGCGCAATTTTGCTTCAGAAACTTGAACAAACTTTTAGGAACGTTTTCAGTCTTATTCACGTCTTGAAAATTCGAAAAATGTTTTGTAAACAAACGGAAAGAAGCCAGAGAACACACTACACGAATGGAAATAGAAACAGAAAGTCGGCCGCTTCTTTTCTTTTTGTTTCGTCTCATTGAACAGTTCCTCTTGAGCTCAAACTCAAGCTCACACTCACAGAGACACGTGCCAAAAGCGGAAAGAAGCGGCCAAAGATCCCCTTCTTTGAACTCAAAATCTTCGAATCCGATTTATCTTTTATTATACCATGTTCTAAAAATTTAGATCTTTTCTCATGTAGAAAAAAGTTTAAAATTATAATAATCTTCAAAATCAGAAAGACGATAGCTACAATCAAAAAACCGTCATTTGGAACAAAGGTAACGATTTTCTAGAGCGGCACGAGTTAAAAAAAAGTAGCAGTTAACCGGTTTTCCTTTCCAAGAATTATCATTCGAAGATTGATTTTCAAAATTCTGCGTGAAACGATCAATTTTTAACAGTTCTTTCTGTTTTCATAATCGAAAAATGATACTAAAGTGTATGAAGGGAGAAGCTTATATGTGCAAAAGTATTTTGAACTGCATTCAAAGCAAACGGAACAACACGGAGCTAGACATATTCATGTTTCAATGGCATTTTCATCACAAAACACAAAAAGAAAAAAAAACCAGCTCAAAAAGAGACTGTTAAAGTGGAAATTTCAATACAAAATAAAAAAATTTCGGAAAAAAAGTACTGGAAGCTGAAAAGAAGGGATGGAAGTTGAAATCGAAAGAATAAAGTGAAATCAAAATTGGAATCCGAGAAAGCGGAAAAAGGGGAAAAGGGGAAAAAGTCATACGCTCGGAATTAAAAAAAGAGTTAAGATTTTTGAGTTTAGATAGCATTGGTAATCTGAAATTCCGATGAGTTTTCGATAAGAAAAAAACCTTTTCAGCAAACATACCAAAAAAAATGTTTTCATCTCAATGCAGGTACAAAATGAAATGAAGACAGTTTAGAATGTAAAGAAAACCAGCTCACTGAGGGTTAAATCATTTGTTGAAAACACTTGAAATCTAGAGTTTACGATTTCTAAAAAAAAAACCAGCCAACAGGGCCGAAAGAGGATTATAATAGGAAAACAACAAATTGAGAGGTGAAAGACAAAAAAAAAACTGAAAAAAGCTAACTTTTTGAGAACTAGAGAGAGAGGCATCAAAATTGGAAAAGTTTTTGAGTCTTGACTTGAAGGCATCATAAAATCAAGAGCACTGCTAAGTTTCTGATCAGAACGACTCTAAAAGAAAAAAAAAACAAGAAAATCTCAAAGCGGATTAAAATCGAATAAACAGAGAGCAAAAAATGGGTGAGAGTTGAAATTGTCAAGCAAACACGCGGGGAGGACGACGGATTAAAGTTTTGCGGTCCACACGATTTCCTTTTCTGGGCACTCGTTTGGTGGGCGTGGCTTATGGGTTCTTTTGAGAGTGGACCCGATGAGAAACCGTTCCAACCGGACGAATGGCATCTCGAAAAGGAGGCACCAGACGGCGGCAAAACACAAAGAGAGCAACGTCACCGGAATGACGCCATGAGCGTACTGAAAGTGACGTCATTCAAATTGATAATTTTCAACCTTGACAATTTTTGGAGGATCTGTTGTAAGAAAAATTGCCGCGGCTTCTTTAAGTGAGCACTAAAGAGGCGCTAAATACAACTTGAGTGATAACTGAATGGCTCAGAATTCCTCAAATAACGTCGAAGTTGCGCCTAGTGTTCACTTTTTTGTCAGGTTTTTAGTTCACGTAGTAAAGCGAGCCCAAAAATACAACTTTTGTAAAAATTTGTCTCTCAAACAGGTTTTTTTTTAAACAAACATGTTACGGCTTCTCCCTGCGCCTTTAAGGCTTCTAATGATAAACTTTTCCTTAATCATTATTGGGACCATTGGGATCATTTTCATGATCTCAAATAGAGCAAATTTCAAAAAGCTTTTTCGAAGAGGTAAAAAAGAAGCGTCTTTTTTGATGCTCAAAAAATGAGAAGATTTCATGAAGCTACTTCTTTAAAATTAAGTCCGAATGTCCATATTCCATGGAGAAGCAGTGATCGTCGGAAACGTTCGAAAAACGTCTACTACTAGCACAAGAGAGACGAGAAGCTCTACGCGCCGTCTACGCTTGATCAACAACAGTTTCGCGAACCGACAAACAACTCTTCAATGATTCCATGATTCAGCAGAGAACCTACTCTGAAGACTGAATAAAAGTTTCAAAGTTTCAAAGTCCTTATTCACTTTTTTGTCAAAGCCGGGAAGCTTCAAATACCTGTGCTTCAAAAATTAAAAATTTTTCAACTCAATCTTACTTTCGACTTCACTTTTGGCGTGCCTTCCGCAATAAAAATCTTTGAGCACAAAGAAAAATTCCGAAACCGCAAATCACCGTTTCAAACAGTCCGACGTAGTGAAGAGGCAACCGTTCCATGTTTAGGTAAACAACGATGACGAAAATGTGACAAAGGTAGGCGCAAAAGGTTAGTTTCCCCAGCGGCGTCCAAAACGGCAGCGACATGAACTTGCCAATAAGTCCTTAATTTTTAAATTTTTCAAAAAAAAAGAGACAAACAAACCAGAATAACCGCGATTCAAAGCGTAGACAAGCCAACTCAAACTCAAAGGCCAGCAAAGTCGACTGAAGGCGTTGTAAGTCGCCCGATCGAATTTACTCCAAACTTCTCCTTCAAGTTTAATCGTCAACTTTCTTCTTGGGTTAAAAAACCGTTGTTATAGGAATGAACAATGAAGATTGATCCAAGAGCCATTGCGGCCGACAAAATCCAAAGAAGACCGGCAAGACCCTTGAAATGATTTGGTCTTTCTTACCTATTTGTCTAAATGTTTGGCTTAATGTGACCCCATTGATGAAATGTAAGACACTGATTGAATGATTTTTTTTTTCTTCTTATCTAAATTTTCACGGTTTCTTATCTTGAAGCATGTCTCAATAGGACTAGAGTGGAACTTTTAAATTTACATTTTGCCAATATATTGAGCCTAAGTTTACAGTCACTTTGACAACCTTGTTCATCATCTTTTTCTGGTTCTTCGTCGACAGCAGCACATATCCCATGCAGATTCCGATGAGGTAGGGCGGAATTCGGACGTAGAACGAAGTGTAGACGTAGGTGTGCATCCTTCGCCGGGAGAGGTCATCGGAGATCATTCTGGAGCAAACTATGTCATTCAGGACATGGATAGGCACAAAGAAATGACATGAAAGCATGCTTTAAGCCGGTTGAGATGACTTCAAGCTTGATTTTCGAAAATGTTTCTCACATCGCCTTGAGGAGTGTGGCTGGAAGATCGTAGCTGAAGAACAGAAAGTAGGTAATTCCGGTGGAAAGGAAGAGGCCAATGGCTGCACAGACAAATCCCATTTTCGCAGAGTAGAAGAAGGGAATCAAGAATAAGGGAGCGAAGACGTACATCTGAGTGTCGGCGGCTAGGTACCAAGTGATGCCGAGGCACTGAAAAAAAAGTTATTTCTGAGTTTTTGGTCTACAAATTTTCATACTTTTACGGCATGTTTCTATCAATTTTTATAGGTTACTACTATGAAATGCTTGAATAAAGTAGTTTGGATCATTTAAAACTGATGCGCACACCCTAAGCTTAGCGATCGAAGAAGTAAACAAAAAAGCCATTTACAACTCAAATCACAAGAAATTGACGAAATTAAAAGATATAGCTTCTGTATTTAGAACGGAAGTATTCAACAAAAAAAGAAGCAAAATTATTACTCAATTCCGTTCGATAAACTTGATAAAAACTTGAATTAAATTTTTAAAAAAAACTTATAGAATCAATACTAAATTTCTTTTATACGGTTCTATTTTCTTCATTTTTTCTTCTGGTTCTTGGCTTTAGACGACTTTTGAAAGTTTCCATTGAAACCAACGCTTTTCTCAGCATCGAAAAAGTTGTTGATGTAGAGGACGTTCTTCCACCAAGAATCCCGACACGTGCTCCAATCTTTTTCGGCAATAATCTCGTGAGGACCGACGTCAACCTGTAATTGTGACGTCATCTTTTTGAGAAAGGTTATTTACCTGTGGCAAATAGGTCGCATAGAAGATGATGAAAGCAAAATAAGCCGGCGACAGTCTGAAAAGCAAAATTGTGTGTTTTAGAACAATTTTTGGGCTTTCTCATGACACCTCCTACACGCTGATAACTTCTATGACCTATATGCTCAAATGCCTCTCTGTTCGCACGGAGAATGGCTATACGCGTAACGGTTGCGATGCGGCCGCTTTGAACTTTCATCGGACCATAAAACTACTTTAGCACGCCTATACTCGAAACAGAGCGTCGGAGACACTATAAACCTCAGTGTTTTAGACGTAGCTCGACCGCAACGCGTTGATCTATTTTCTACACGACCCGAAAATTCCGATCTTCTGGCCAACATCGACCTTTTTTTTATTATGTTCAAGATTTCAACTATCAGTCCATAATCCTTCTCTGACCTCAAAAATCGATGAACGTAGAAAAATATCCAAGTGGCCGGCTTCCTAACGTCGGAAATGTTGTACTTCCTCAGAAAAGTGTAGGAGAGCAAGAGGCCGCTGAGGAAAAAGAAAGAATCAACGGAGAAGAAGCCGTTGATCCAGATTTCGTAGATCAAAGTGTTGAAGATGTCCGCCAGCTGCACCAAATTGTCTGAACTTGAAGATTTTGGCTCAAAATTTTTTTTTTCGAAAAGTATCAAAAAGTGAAGTTTTTGAAACAAAAAATGAATAATCCGGAGCTATTCAAAAATACGAAGTATTGGCAAAAATATATATCCGCCCTTGATCGGAATCGAACATTTTACCTCCAACATCAAAAATAAAACTGACCAGCATTAGCCCAGTATCCCCAAAAGTGTCCAGCGATGACCCAAGTGAAAGAGAAAAATCTGTGAAAACCCCACATTGAAAAAGCCATTTGAGGGGTCTAAAAACTACCGTATGCACTCAACGCCTCTCAGTGTATCTTTGGTCGTTGTTGTGTCGAGGAGGCTTTGTCCATTCGTGTACATCGAAAAACAGAGAATGTACTTAAGGGCTGAAAGTAAGAACCATCAAGGAGCCACTAGAAGGAAATTTACTTGAAACGTCTGGAGTTTCGCCGTATTTGTAATCGGCCACGCTTTCATAATAGTCTACAACCGTTGCAAAAACCGCCAGGAGCACGAAAAATCCCAAGAAAACACTGGAAAATGACGTCAGAAAATAAAAAGATATACTTCATGGAAATTACTTCATGACCCAAACGATAGGCTCTGCTTTCGCTTCTGTGGGACGGCACGTCGTTGAACAAATCGCCTTGCCTTGGATGCCGAACATTTTCGGCACGAAGTTAAGCGCCTGGGTAATCTCCTGAAATCGTCGTTTGAGCTCTTTTTTGATAGAAATTTGATTAGCTTATGAGCAATATCGACCAAAAAAACTATAGCGTACTTTTTATGAAAAAAATGAACTCAACAGAAATAGATTAATTTTATAGAAAAGACTACCAAAAATTATCAAAAAGTTGATTCACCACGAATGACGTCACTTCTCACCTTTTCGGAGCACGATTTTGGCATGCAGACGCTCCATTTCACATCAGTAGGAATTCCTTTTCCGCACGTTTTGTTAGAAACCTGTAGAAAAAAAATTATAGAATTATGACTCACCTGTTAGAAAAAAAATAAAAATTAAAAAATGTTTTCAAATTGAAATATGAACAAAATAGAACAGACGCTCTTAACATGGTCGGGAATGAATCGATCAACTGGAAGATTCAAATGAGCCCAGCAGAACTTTGTGCTAGAAAGTGAATAACCAATAACATGATGAACTAGAAAAAATCATACTCATAAAGCGGATCAACAGGGTTCACAACAGCAGCACATTCATCGAAATCGCCCATCCAAACCTCAAATTTCCCTTTTTCTTTTCTTTAAATTTTTCTCCTCTGTAACCTTATTTAGACCCAATATGTTTACCGGAATTTTTCCAAAACTATCCGCTTCTGAAAAAGAGAGAAAATTCTCTCGTTAAAAGAGTTAAAGTACGGTAGAGTGCATAGTAGTTGTCGTTGAGTTTCTGGCGACGGACGACGTCACAAATTCTTGGATCAGGAAGTTCGAGACAGATGAAAAGTTCAGAAGCGAGCTCGGTGAAGCCTGAAACTCCATTTATTCCTCAAATTTCTGCCTTCAAAGGTAATATTTGGGAATCTAGGCTCGATGATTAAAAGAATGTAAGGCCATTTCAAAAAAAAAACCAATTGAAGAATTTTCTGTCTCGGATTTTTCCTAAAACAAAGTTCACGAAAAAAATATCTAATATAACTAACTTGTCCCCCATTTTATGAGGTCGGAGAAACATTTTCTGGAGAACGTCAGCGGTGGTTCCGCCGGCGAAACTCTTTTCAATGAAAAGTTTTGAAAGTCTCGGAGACGTTCTACCCATTGCTCCACGACGTCACGTTGACTGGCCTGTAAAAAAAACTTTCTTCCTGACATATTGCTGGCAAAGACCCGTGTAAAATTTCCGACTCGAAAAAAAAAATCAAAAAAAATTTGTCCCTAAACAACCACTAAAAAGTTGAAACTTTTTATAAATTTCTCTCGAATTGCGCGATTGCGAAATAAAGGTAAAACAGAGAAAAAGTGTTTTAATTGGCAAAACCGGCTTTCGCGAGCGGCTCATCGCTAGCTTATTAAAGGCACAGGCTTAGCAGTGGCTCCTCTCGATAGAGCGCAGAGAAGGACGTATAACCTTTTTAATTCAATTGAATTAATTTTTTTTATTTCACGTTTTTTAAATATGTATCCGATTCTTTCTTTCATTGTGATTTCATGTGTTTTCTGGTTTTTCACCGCAGTGCATAGCTCTCATTACTATGCTCGAATTTTTTTTTCTTATTTCTTATGTAAGGAAAAAATATCATCGCACTGGTGAATCGGCGTATCCTCAAAAATAGCTAACAGAGTGCACTCTAAAATACAGTTCGAAAAGTTTCGTTAAACCGCAAACCGCTACTCCCTGACACGTCACTTTATGACATCATTCAGAACAATATTTCTGCAAAAATACGCGAAATTTTGCGTCTTTTGCAAAATCAAAATATTTGGTTATAGCTGGCTGGCCGTGAATCAGCTATATGTTTATTTTATTTACGTGAAAAATTTGAAGAATGCGAGGAGCCTGAATTCTGTCTTTGCAATAAAATTCGCCCACAGTTTTTTAATTTTTTTTTTCTTTCGGAGCATAAAGCTTTCTCCGGGATCTTTTTTCTCAGCACTATATGACCTTTTGTTTGTTTTTGTAGGAGGTCTGGTTTCTTTTTACTAATAAATATTCTACTATAAAATTTTTTTAGAAAAGAAACCTGTTGGCAGTCTAAAAATTGAGTAAAATAATAAAGAAAACTTACCAAATTACTGTGAAAAAAGCCATGAGAAAATGTCGAAAAAGCGGTAGCGATGAGGATCAGACGCATCGAAATTAAAAATAATGCCATGGGCTCTTCTGTGCAAAACAGTTTTTTGTTTTCCTCTCGCCACAAATTGGTATCGTACTTTTCAAGTTCGGCATTTATTAATCGCCTGATTGATAGTTTCTGATAGGTACGTCTGAAAACATTTTCCGGATTTTTAACTTGGATTTCTATAATTGGTTCCAGGTTTATAACAAGCTCATTCCAGTATGAAAAAGCTATAAATGGAATGCTCACTGGGAAAAACTTGAAGGCTTCTTTCTAGGAGATTTAAGCAAACTAGAACAATTAGCTAGGGAAATGTTCAAAAAGAATTTTTTTTTTTTGGATCTGAAAAAGGGAGTCTTTCGACTTTGGATTGAGAAAGCTTTTTTCTTGGTAAATTTTTTATTTTTCTTCATTTCAGAGCTGCTTTGTTTCTTTTACAAATTGATAAGAAAACAATAAAAGAATTATCATTGAAGCAATAAAAATTACTTTGTTTTGAGACTCGTTCATATCAAAAAAACCACGTCTGATCTCTGCCATTTCCATAGATCAAAAACAGGTTTGAGATGATCGTGCAAAAGTAATTCAAGTAAGAAGGCGTTCGAAAAATGCTCAATTAAAAAAAAAATACAACGTTTAACGTTGTAAATAATTTCAATAAATTCCATGAAACATTTTTGAATCATTTCTATGTGGACGAACGTCTGAAGGTGTAGATCATTGCAAGTTTTTCCCCTTCACACCAATCACTAGATCGATTTCTTGTCATTTTTTGCCTTTCTATTCAACTTCGCCCACGGCCATGCGCTTCTATTGAATTTTTCTGTTTTTATAGCTTTTCCTTTGAGTTACGATGTTTTTGAGTGGGTTTGTAGTCATGTTACAGGCTAGAAATCGACAATTTCAACTATCAAGTCTTTGAACTTTTTGGATTTGAATTCTGAATTTTTAGTGTTATTAAGGATGTAGATTTTTTTAAACTTTCTTGGAATATTGCCAATTTTCCACAGTTTCAATTTTATCATTATTTTCATGTATTACAGAGTGAAAATGATGTTTTCGCAGAGTTAAGATCAAAAATTCTCTCGTAAATTTCAAATTTCCGAAGTCTAGACAGAAAGTGCAAGTTTTTATCGAATTTGAAGTTCAATTTCACGCTGAGAAAGTTATTTTCGCTTATTTTTGTTGGAAAAAGATTGCTTCGAAGGACTTTGAGGACTTCATCACTTTCCGATGAAAACAAAGTCGGGTGATATAGAAGCTCTAGTTTTTGACTGTTGAATTTGATCTAAAATACGGAAATCAAAAACCGCTATAGTCTGTTCAGATTTTGAATATCAAGCAGCTAACTCCTCCCCCAAGGCTACAATATCTTTCGCCTCAATGTTTAATCTACAGATGACGATGGCCCTTTAATAAGGGTGCATTTTCGACTTCTTTGCCTACCTTTTAGATCAAAAAAAAGATCAAAAGTAGTCCCGCGTGATAAAAAAAAATTGACGCGAAAGGGTACCTTCTCAGCAGGGGCGGAGTTAGCTGCTTGACATTCAAAATCTGAAAAGACTATAATTAGGTATTTTTTTAACCCAAAAATTAATATTTCCTCATTTCTGCCAGTTTTTTTCAGGGTTCAAATTGGTGAAATGACTCACTTTCTTATTAAAAAAAGTCCTATTCAAAAATTTTTTTGAATCGTTTTTGAATGAACGTTAAAAAGAACAAAAATTTCAAGGAAAGCTTCTCTTATTTTTTTCTTTTTTTATTCGAATTTATATTTTTACTCTTGGAGTTATAATTGGAAAATAGTTTCCAATCGAACGTTTGTGGGTTTTTTTCAATCGGATTTACAAAGAGCTGAAATCAATTTTTTTCATCTTATCTCAAAAAAATTGTTGAAATTACGGAAAAAAATTTCATTTGTTTTTAAAATTGTAAGGAACCTGGAAACGGTTTTTCAAAAAAAATTTATAACTTTCTTCGCGTTTATTGTTTTTTTATCAATTTTTTTAGCTAATTGTTCAAGTTTTCAGCTCCTAGTTATCAGAGTTCAATCTTTCAACTTTTAGACAACTTTTTTAAAAAAATTTTTCTCTGAAAAAAACTTCACAACGAGGAAAAATTGAAATCTAGACTTTTTTTATGTAGTCTGATAAATGTCACCCACACATTTTCTTATCAGAAAAGCTTTAGAACGCATGACGCTTTTGTTGTCAAATAGTTCCTTATGATTTTGAACTTTCTGTGTAATTTTTGTTTCTGTGTAGTTCCATTCGAACGACCTTCGAAGTTGTAATTTCCCATGACTACAAAAAAATGACCTAGTAAAAATAATTATACGTAAAGATACTTATTATTCACGTGTTCTGGAGGGTTCTAGGTGAATAAACAGCCTTCAGTTTTATTTTTTCGAAGCATCTTTAATGCGAATTTTTCGTTGAAGATGATCTAATACTTGCACAAATGAAGTTTATGACAAAATCAGAACTCTGGTCAGGATTTCTTTTTATCAAGATGATTGAAGCTTTTGTTTTGGGCAGCTGCCTTTTCACACCTCTGCAATTCAACTCAACAACTCGCTATTTCAAGTTCTGATATGCAGAAACCGAACCTGTTTTTCTTATTGCTTTCATCGGTCTTCTGTTGACGCAGAAGTAGAATTGAGAGGAAAATTGCCCTTTTTGTCCGTTCCCGAAAATTCCCATAACGTTAATGAGCCGTTTATTTTGGTGCTTTTTGCCGTGTAGAACCGGTCTATTTTTTCGAAAAGTTATAGGTTTTCTAAGAGAAATAAGCGAAAAAGGCGTTTGGCTTTGATATTGCTTTCATCGGTCTTTCGCAGTTTAATCAGAATTAATTTTATATCTTAGAACTTAAACATTTTCTCGAGACCTTTCTTTTCTTTCAAATTTTTACCAGAGGAAAGTTGTTTCAGAATTTTTTTATTCGTTTTTCCTCTAATCTTTGTAAATGCAAAAAGGTATTTGCGTTTAGCAAATAAGCAAAGAACTTAAACCGACGGCGATTTTTTCAGTTGGCTTCGAATCAAATTAATGAAGCCCTGGGAGGCCTCGGAAAAGCTTTAGCTTGATTGTTTGCGTTGGAATTCATTTTCGTATTTTTTCTTTTTTTGAAATTTGTTATGTTATCTCGTTATCTTGAATATTTCAAAACCTGGTATTAGCAAAATATAGCTTCTGCAAAAATTTTTTGTTTTCGAGGGAGCTTACTAGTAATTAAACTGAAAGTATTCAATTTCTTCTTACTAGATGACCAGTAATCTTGTCTTATTTTTTTTTCAACTGCTCGGGAATCTACTAATTTTCATCGAGCTTTCTCTACAGAAAGCTCTAACATTTAATTCACCGTCTTCTCAATTCAAAAAACCAATGCTCATCCTAAGACCTTCGAGTTATCAGTCGAACTATCTCTTTTTTTGGTTCTGTTTTCTGATGAATATAACTATTTTGAACGCCATCTGACTTCAGATGAGTGCGACGACGGCGTCGTCATGGCTGGCTCCAGACGACGAGTCGGCGACATCGACGGTCGTCGGCTACATTTGCCTTCTTCTGTCCTGCACGGCTTTCGGCACAATGTTTGTCCCACTGAAACGCGTCGACGCCAGAGATGGTAGCTTTTCAGTCATTTTCTCTTTCATTCAGAATGAAACCCTAGGATTTTTTGTTCAATGGATCGAGTGTGGCGTGGTCTTCATCGTCGGCTCTATTATCTACTGTATCCGCGATTTCCCGACCTTCGAGCCGATCGCTTGTATTGGAGGACTTCTTTACGCCACTGGTAATAAAGTATTAATTTTGTTAAAAGTTGAATTAGAGTTTTCAAAGCTCAAAAAATCACTATACTTTTTTAGCCGTGCATTCGAATATTATCAATAGTTTTTAATATTTTCAAAAAGAAAAAAAAAAGATACATCAAAAAGCAAAGGAGACAAGTTATCAGTTCAGATCAATTCTAGGATTTTATTTCAAAATGAACTATAGAAAAGATGAAAGTTCAGGGCTTTTTATCACGAGTTACAGACTTAAAAATGATTATTTGGAAAAAGATTTTCAGGCAACGTCTTCAGCGTGCCGATCGTTCAAGGAATCGGAATGGGCATCGGTTTCCTGATTTGGTCGTCGCTTCAGGTTCCTAGCTCTTCAAGGGATTTTTCACTCTTTCAATCAGATTGCCGTCGGTTGGAGCGTCGCCAGATTCGGACTTTTTGGCTGGTTGGCACCGACAAATGTCAAAAGTGACGTCATGAACTACATCGGCATCGCTTTGACGTTGATTGGGTAAAGGTTTCGGACGATCAAATAAGGGCAGAAATCTTTTTGAGGCCTCCAAGTTCCCCAGTTTAAATAATATATCGCTGGGGCCAAAATTAATTTTGCTCGTTATTTTTTTCAATTATATTTTTGCACCTTTCCAGAGGAGGTCTGCTGGTTCTTGTCAAGCAGGAACCTGTGATTCTCGACCCGGTTTCCTACGACTTGCAGCCGTCAACGACAGAATCGGAGAAGACTCAGGAAATATCGTCAGAATCCTCAAGGAGAGACACAACCAAGGATTTGATCATCAGAAAGATTCCGTTAGTTATCTCCAAAACTTTCAATTTTGAAAAATTGGGTGTTTCGATAGTTGAGTTCACAAAAAGTTGCGCTGAGTAAAATTTCTTCTAAGTCGAAAAACGTCTTCAAATGAGTTAAAAGAGGCTAGAAAATTGTTTAGCAAGGTAAATCTCACAACCATTCTGAGTAACACCCTAGTGGTCCCTATAGGGGTTACGGGGAAAAACATCCTCCATAGGGCTAAACTTTTTAATAAGTTTTAATTTCTAATAATTTATTGAGTTTCAGGACCAACATTGGTTTTTTTTTTTGGTTGCTAACTTTGAAGATATATTTTTTCGAAAAGGAAAAGGGTTATCGCTCAGAATTTATTTGGTTTGAGTTCCATAGACCTTCGCTTGACATTTGAATAGATAAACGATAAATGGAGGAGAAAATAAGTACATTTTCAGTTTTGTCATCATGGCGATGGGTCTTGCGTGCATGCACGGATTCATGATGTCACCAATCGATATTCTGAAGCAGAAGCATCCGACCAACGATAAGTTCAAAGGTTAAACTCTTATCCTTTTTTTTTCAAAGTATTCTCGTTAGAAAAAATTGAGAAAGTAGGAAAATTTTGGTTGTAAAAGCACCGGAAAAAAGTTTTTTATTGGCGATTGTTGATTGAAATTGAATTCAGAGTCGTTATTTCCTAATTCAGTCTTCGACTACATTTTCCCGTTCTACTCAAGTGTGTTCCTGTTCTCAACCATCTACTTTTTCTTGTACTCCATCATTCGCCGGCAAAAGGCTTACATCGAGCAGCGACTTGTCATTCCGTCGATCGGATATGGAATCCTCTGGACCGCCGGTGAAACTTCGACGAAGTCCTTAAGGAACTTCTTTTTGTTGAGGGATGACTCTTTGGTTCGTCTCTAGTGACCGGTTATCTCAAGTGGTCGCCTATCCCATCACGACGAGGTTGCCGCCATTGATCAGCGCCGCTTTGGACGTTTTCGTCTACAAAACTGTTAAGGTCAGGTATTTCTGAATCGTCAAAAAGTGGGGCTTTTTTGGAAATTAGATTCGCAGAGTTGCGTCCAGTTCTCCAATTTTTTTTTTTTGGTTTCTGAGAGTCGATTGAAAACTGGGCTGAAGTTTAAATTTAACTGAAATAAGCTTTTTAGGGCACTCGAAATCTTCTAACCCTTCTGACGGCAGCCACAATCGCCTTGACTGGCGTCATTCTAATCGCACTATCAAATCAAATTTGAAAAAGATCTCACCACAAACTGATTGTACATAATTGGAATTTATTACGAGAAAAGATGAACATAAAGAATATCTTGCACGAATGCATTGAAAACAGAAAGGGGCAGACAATAAAATGCACGATTTCTTTTTTGTTGGCTACATGGGTGGAAAAAACAAGAAAAAAAAAACACATAAAACCGTTTTGGTAAAAATAAAGCATCGGGTATTGGCGTATGAGAGAAAGAAAGAGAAGTAAAACATAACTTTATGCAGTTGAATCCAGTAAGTTTTTAGTCCTATTCGAGGAAGGCACGGGGTTGTATCCATCGAGGCTGGATGCAATACGAGAATATGGAAACTGATTTCCATGAAAGGCTCTAGGCGAAGATAAGCCACTTTCTCGATTATTGCATCCGACCTCGCCAAACAATATCAAAAACATAATTAAGGCAAGTCGTCATGGTGGATTGGCACTTTAGTGATAGTAGTAGAGTTGATTCAAGGGTGAATGGCGAACGGAGAGCCGGGGATTTGCTGGTCGCCGTAGCGGATGAAGACGAAGCCCTTGACGCGGTCGGGGACTCGGTAGGTGCAGACGTACTGGCCGTTGCCTTGGTGTCGGACCACAACCTCTTCACAGGGGCCGCGCGCCGTCACCACACCGACCATCAGCAGGTCTTGGCCTGAAGAGCTTCTTTTTCCCCGAGTAAGACGTAATTTGAGGGTACCTCTAAGTCTTTATCAGACTGAATCGCGAAATCAAAAATAGATCAGATCATCCATATTTTACATGGTAAATAACCCCAACAAATAACGTAATTTTACTTTGCAGTTGGGATTTTTCATAAATTTTTCGGAACTGTTGAAGTTTTAGATGAAGATTACTTATAGTTATTACCCTACGTACGCAAAATTCTAGTTTTTAAAAAATGAATTTATAAACAACAAAGTATTTATTCCAGATCTAATTCTATCTTAAAAGTGAAATTTGGAAATTCATCAGAAACTCAGAAATTATAAACTAGCGGCAGAGAGTAATCTCTTTTTTTTTGTTTCAATCATAGTTTTGTGTAACTTTCTCAAAAGCCGAAACCCACCAGCCAATCCGGTGTCGATCTGGAAGGCGGCTGGTCTTCCGGGGAAGAACTTGTTGAGGCCGGCACCCTTGGCCGTGACTTTGCTCGCGTCTCCGTGGTATTCTGGAGCGACGGCGACGGTTCCCGTCAGCGTCTTCGAGAGCGCGTCGATCTTCACGAACGACGTCTCGTTGTAGCCGTTGCCACCGAGCACCTTGCCTTCGACAGGGATTTTGAACGGCGAGCCAGGAATATGAACACCTGAAAAGTTTTGGATGTTTCAGACCCGGCCCTTTCAAGCTCAACAGTATGGAAAACATTTAAAATCTCTGTTTTTCACATGATTTCTTCTTTCCTCAATATTTCCTTGAAACTAACCGTTATACTTGATAGATGAGAAGTACTCTCCAGGCGCCAGCGGCGTGTATCGAACTTTGTAGCCTTTTTCGAGCTAAAAATTACGAAATCAAGTTTCAAATAGATAAACACTCTCTCCACCTCATATGCATCGAGGGTGACCTTGCTGGGACCATCCATTTGAACTTGAAGGATTCCGGCGCCAGCATTCACCGTTGAGATGATGAACTCGCATTTCTGAAAAAAAAGGTTTTTAAAAGTTTCTTGAGGTTGCCTGATTTTTTTTTTTCGATTGCAGCGCTTTTGTTTGGAACAATGACCTACACGGGTTGGTAATCGATTCAAAATTCCATTTGAAAGTTTATATAATTTTTCGCATCGACATCCTTTCCAACCAGGGCTACTTTATTTTTTCCCTAACAGTTACATCATCGCCTTCTCCAAACAATAAACTATATAGTAAGAGTTACAACTCATCGTAAAAAGAACACCTGTTGTTGTTTTTCGAAAGGATTATTTTTCAGTTAGTTGTTCAAGAAACAAATTTCGTACCTGTCCAGTGGCTCCCTTGACGAGACCTTCGCCGGATGCCGAAACGGCCGTCGGATCGGAAACGTCAGTGCCGCCGACGCGGAGGCGGAACGGCGAATCGCGCATCGGAGCTCCGTCGAGAGTCACGTGAATGTAGTGGTTTCCGGTCTGAGAAACGGAAAGATCTTATTGAGGATACAAAGTTATAAGGGGAAGATAGATCTATTTTTGAGTTATTTTATATGATTTTTGAAGAAATTATCATTCTCTGCCACTGAAAATACAGTATCATTATTTTTTTCCAAGCTTTTTCCCTCTCAAATAACGATAAACTTTTGCAATATTTGATGTCTTCTCAAAAGAAAATTTATTTTTCTGAAACTGCACCTCCTTGGGCACGAATCGCAAAGCGTAGCTCTCGCCGTCTTCGATCGGCACGATGTCGATCGTCTCGATTTCATTGTTCGGCGCCACCAGCTGTTATAAACGACATTTTTTCATCGTTGGCAGAGAGCCAAAACCTTTCCTTCGAGGTGTCCCTTAGCGCGATGAGTGAGAACGGTGAAGGTGAAGGCTTTCCCGACGGGAATTCCCTGGTCGTGGAACGACGCCAACTCCAACTTTCGCACTTCGCCGGTGGCTGGGGCGATGAAAACCTGAACTTTCGGTTTATTTTCTTTCGATATTTTAATCACCTTGAAAGGAGAGTCAGGGATGTGGCCGTCGTTGAATTTGACGGCGACGATGTATTCTCCAGGCTGGGCGACTTTGTACTCGACGTGGCAGTTTCCATCCTACAATTCTTACTTCCTGAACGGTTTACTTCGTCAGAAAAGGACCTTATGTTCGTGGAACTCGATGTTGGCCTTGCTCGGACCTTCGACAGTCACGCTGAGATTTCCAGGACCGGCCTCTCGCGAATAGACGTTGAAAGTGTTCTTGTGGCCAGTCTCGCCACGGACAACTCCCTGCCCAGCCGCGCGGACCTTAAGTTTCAATTTGAAAAATTTATGTGTAAAATTTCTTGAATTCAACTCAATCTTGCTGATCAAAGTTACTAATCAGAAACCAAACATCTAGAAACATTGAATAAGACTTCTCGAGTTTTGCAAAACGACACCTTGTGGGCGCCTCCTTCGTTGAAGGATCCGACGGTGAACTGGAACGGCGATCCGTTCACGTGGGCGTCTTTGTGCATCACCGAGAGCGTGTGAACGCCTTCCATCGACGGCGTGAATCTTTAAATATTGTTTGTTTCCTTCGTAGTCAATTTCTCAAACTGAAAACTCGCAAATAATAACACAAGTCGATAATTATTTTAAGAAAGCTACATCTTCTCTCCAAAAAAGTTTAAGCCTTCCCTAAGAAGTTGAGTTTGGTAAATGGTTACTCACAAAATTCTTTACTTTCTCATTTTTGAAATAAAACTTTGAAACGTTAAATAACTCGGCACATCCGTGAACTTTTTCTTTTCTATTTACACTTACGAACTTCACGATTCATTCCTACTTTTCAACATTCATTCTCAAGTCGTTCGCATTCGATCAGGGATAGTCTCTAATTGCCGTATCTTCCTCGAAAAGATGATCACCTTTTTTTCTCGAAAGTGTCTACCTACTTCAGACTCATCTGTTCGACGCATACCTGATCTGATAGTACTGATCTCCGAGGTCGCGCATCTCAATGAATTCATTGTGGCCTTTCGGGTCCATGATTCTGGCGTTGATGTCCATCGGCGAGGTGTTCGGAAGCTTGAGGAACATGAGAGATTCCTGTCCTGGAAGGCTCATCGAAGTCTGCTCGACGCGGCGCGAGACATTCGCCACAACTCGACCGGCTCCCTTTCCGGAGCAGTTGACCGTCAGCGGGCTGTCTGAAAAAAGAATGGTTTTGCACATGATGATAAGGAGAAGAATCTGAGAAAAAATCTCCGTTGTTAGCTAAAAGGACAACGTTTCTCCCTCATAACTTCTAAACTTTGAATCCAAACCTCGAACATGATGATCAGCAAACTTGATGGCAATCGCATAAACTCCTGGTTCAGTTGGCGTGTAGATGACCTTAAAACAATTTGTATTCGTAGAAATTTTCAAGTTATGGCATCTCAATACATTAATTCAAAGTGTCAATTTGAAAAAAAATTGAATCATTTTCATCCTCTATTTTGAAATAAGGCTTGAGAAAGTTAGAAAAACTGACTATTTTTTTCAAAAACTCTTTTTTTCTAAACATATAAATACTAATTTCAAAGTTCGAGTGAAACCATAAGAATTTGTTTGGAAAAAGGCACACAAACAGGAGAAAAAAACAATCTGTTCCCTATAAAAAAATGAATATCCTGTTACACACCTTGATGAGCCCAGCCTTGACTTCCTTGCAAGTCAATTCGGCCTTCGACGGGCCTTGGACTGAGATCGAAAGGCCACCATAGCCTTAAATCTTCCTTCAGAGCCATTTCTTCCCTTTTTACTATACCAGCTTTCGTGGTATCAATGAGGATTTCATTAGGCTGCAGGGAAATGGCCTTCGACTTTCCAGGACCAGAAACTTCGACCTTGCTAGCGTCACCGACTTGATTCTTGTCGACCTGAAGAAAAGCCGCGGTTCTTTAATCTTTCTCTTCTGAACTGAACCTTGATTTTGAAAGGAGCCTTCGGGACGAGTTTTCCGTCGCGTTTGACGGTGATGAGATGTTCTCCGACTTCGCGAGGAGTGAAAGAAACTCCGAGACGACCGCCGTCGATGAGGCGAACGAAGCACGGCTCTTCGATTCCGGAGGGCGACTTGATCGACGCCGAAATGCCCTTCAGTTCGCCTTGAGCGATGTTCAGAGCGACTTCGGAGGTGGATCCGACGGACAGATGAGCTCTCTTCTGCAAAGAAAACATACAATCTTTTTTGAGACACCAAAACGCTTTAGATTCTTATGAAAAATGAAATTCAAAAACATATAATTTTCTTCGGTTTCAAAAATTTTTTGAAAATTATTTTTTTGAACATCACAACATCAAAACATAACAATATTGAAAACTCACTAACTTTGCTCTTTCCATTCATCTGAAAAATTTCTTCTTTTTTCAGGATTCATACACTTAAGGATTTAAAAAAATTGATTTTAATAACACTGCTCCCAACCGGCGTTTTTTCAACGTAGATTTTTAACGTCCAACGAATTTTCCCGATTGAATTAACATTAGAAAGTCCCGGACCTGTCCTTCGCCCATCACAAGGACAGTGAACGGCGAGTCGTGGACGTCCTTTCCTCCCAGAAGAACGTGAACCTTGTACTCTCCAGGGACTGGTGGCACCCAGGTAACAGCGCACGTGCCATCCTGAAAGAGTATATTGAAGGAATTCGGCTCGGTCAACTTGTAAATATCTTCTCTAAAGATCAATACTTGTGAGTCAGATCAAACCCATGAAGTGAATAGAATTTTATTTTTAAGCTAAACCAAAAATTCCAGGAATCTGGCAGGAACACAATTTCGATATGAGAACACGGATAATAAGATTTCGCCTTGAAAACGTATTCTGATCAACACTCACATGACTTTTTTTGAAATCTTCAATTTAAGCTTGAAAAATTAGAATTTCAACCATTATGGAAATTCGAAATTTTTTTCAGACACAACATGTTTTTTTCTGGAACAGCCATTTTTATTTTTTTATTTTTTTCTCGACAATAAGTTCCTAAAAAAACTTTTTTTCCATCTCTTTTTCATTTCTAGCCAAAACTTTTCCATTCGAGACCTTGTTGTCGTGGATCTTGATGGCGCTCTGAGCAGGTCCTTCGATGCTCACCGAGACCTCCTTGGCGTGCGATCCCTTGGCGCAAACCGTGAACGCCGCTGGCTCTCCGACCTGACAAAATAGAAGATCCAATTTCAGCTGGTTTTTGAAGCTTTTGAAACAATAAACATCAACAAAAACATCAGGAATTTCCTTACAACAGCGTTTTGAAGGCCTGGACCATAGACCGTAGCGTAGCCGTCACCGTAGGAGTCCACGAAGAACTTGATGGGCGTTCCCTAGAGCAAATCAATCTCGAAAATTGTTAATCGAATATAGAACTTGTAACATTTTTGAAAAACTTTTGGCTGTCCTCTAGATTATCAGTAAAGCGTGAATGAATTAGTTCAAAAAAATCAAATCCAAAATTCTGAGACTTTTTTGCTCTTATTTCTTTTCCGCAGATTGTTCTCTTCCACACGAGTTTCCTTGATATCCTTTTTTCACCTGAAGTTGAGCTCCATTCTGCAGAATGGACAGCTCATGAGATCCGAAAACTTTCGGCGAGTACTTCACCAAAATCGTTCCTACAACAAAACCATTGTTCTTTCAAAATGAAGTTTTGGAGGACCATCATGGTTGTCGATAATTTCCGCGGCTTCCTGCTTCTTCGAGGGCGGCATCACGATGGCTTCCAACTGCGAAACGCGGATGTTCGAGTCTTCACTGAGATTGAACTGAAAAAAAATAGAAAGAAAATGTGATCCAGGATGTTTTCGTGGTGGTTCTTGGAGGCAACAGAGATTGATGACACAAAAGTTATCTCGTGATAGGAAGCCGAAAGATTTGATTTAACACTGATATTTCTGAAAGATTTTTTTAAAAAATATCGTGAAGTGTTAAAAAAGCCTTTCTTCTGTCGTGAAGTACGAAATTAAATATACGAACTAATGAAAAAGAAAATAGAATGAATCACTTAACAATATGCAAGAAACGTACTTTCCGCAGGTTGAAAAATGTGGTCTACGCAAAAAAAGAAAGGATAAAGTTTTAAATTTAGTCGCTAACTTAGTAATCAAAAAAAAATTTTATTAATTTTATCGACTTCACCGACTCCGATCACTACAATCTCATTTTTTTTTTTTGAATTCAAAGAACAGAAAACAAGCTTGAAAATTCAGAAAAGCCGGCGACGACAGCACGGCAGATCTCCTCGAGGCCGACAAAGAGTGAACGACGACCCAATGGAAGAAAAACAAGGCCAGGAAGCGAAAAAGACAACACACACAAGCAAGAAAACACACGGCACAGAAGATTGACTTTTCGGCCGCTTACTTTAAACTCGCGAGGGAACAAGGCTTTGGGATCGACGTCGCCGCTGCTGCTGCTGTGGCTGCTGCTGCTCCCGTTCCTGAGCGGACTGCTACCGTTTGGAACGACCGCTTCTCCGAGCACTGGCTGAAAAACAAATCTTGACCGAACCGCGTAAGGTTAATTTTTTTGGAAGAAGGTCTTGCAAACAAAAAACCGACCTAAAAACTTTATTTCTATCAGCTGTCTTTTTCCTGTGTCTATAATTATTTTCAATTCAACTATTCGAGAAAAAAAAAATTCTGTTCAGTGCAACGGCAACAAAAAGTTATCAATGAATATTTTCAACTTTTCTCAGTAATTAGATCTACAAATCGGAGATTCATGATAAATTTCAAAAGCTAATGAAAAAGATTGATGAAGAAAACCTGTTCGTAGCGCTTCTCGTACTGCTCAACGTCGTCGGCACGAGCTTTCTTGTTGACGAGTTCGTCGTATTGGCTCTTCGATAGAGTCTGTAATTCCAGTTGATAATGATGATCGCAATATCCAATTCAAGATTAAGGACGATATAACACCATTGAGATAATTATTCAGTTTGAATTTTTTTTTTTTTTGAAATCTGGTTTTTTCTAGTTAACTTCTTTTTTTTTGGATATTTAAGTGTGATAGATAGACCAATCCTAATCTGTCTTTTTCAACAGTAAAGCTGGTAAAAAAAAAAATGATTTCTAACAAAATGAAAATATCAACCATCCCAGCTCAATTCGAGACTGATCAATCGACTTTCTCTCCCTTATCCTGATCCTCATCGAGGAGTCTACGTGACAATCCAACTTCGCTCCGAGGCGAATGACCGTGCTCCGAGGCGTGAGTGATACGTTTGGCGCCGATGTAAACAACATGCAAGAGGGGAAAAGCAAAAAACCGCCAGGCTGGCCAGAAAAATAGATCTCTATACCGGCAGCCGTCCCCACAACAACTGTCTGCGTTCCTTCCATTGGCTTCACCTACGACTAAACAGGCGCCAACTTTGAAAAAAAAGTTCCAACAAAAGTTAAGCAGAGGGGTCACATTCTAGTAGAGAGCATGACTTTTCACGTTTTTTTTTGTTCTGAGAAAAGGTTGGTGTCAGGTAGCCGAGGCAAACAAACAAACAGGGCAGAGCCAGAGCAGCCATCAAAATCAACATTATTATTCGAAACTAAATGAATTTTTGAACTTTTTCGAAACGAATCTTCGATACAAGGATTTTTTGAAATTCTAAAGTTAGTCATCTCTACTCGCAGTAGAAGATTCCAAAACCTTTCGGAAAATGTATTTCATTCGTTCACACTTTTCAGCCCTCTGGCAGCGCTACCTTGTGTACATAATTCGTGATTTTTTGAAAATTCGAATATCAAAATCCTTATTTGTAATTTGAAATGAAAATTCGTTTGATATTATATCTTTTCAAATTTTTGCTTATTTTCAAACTGAGTTCTTTAAAAATGCACTTCTCCTCGACCTTGCAATAAACAGAGTTCTCGTTTTTCTCGAACACATGTGTCAATATAACATTTCTGAACACACGTTGAAAATACAGCATGTGAAAAAGTTTACGAGTTTCAAGAAGTGCAGAAATGTCAGCAACTCAAGCATTCTACGAACTTTTAAACTTTCAAACTTTCAAGATAAATCTTGATTGATATTTTGGGAGCCAAACGTAATCTTTAAATCTTCCAATCGGTCAGCTGACCAACACAAGGAAAGGCGGCTGTCAGCTAGAAGAATTTTTTCAAAACAACTGAAAAAGCGGGCACACATCAAGGGTTTGAAAACTTATAAAAAGAAAACTACTTAATGAAATTAAATAATCTTCATAAAAAAATTCTGTTTTTTTCGTTTTTCACAGAAAGAACAAATTGAAATATTAGTTTTTCGTAGATTAAAAACAAATGAAAATATCCCTAACTCAATCAAGCTGTTCAATGACGTCATGAACAACCCAAAAAAACGAAAGAAGCATGTCCAATTAAAAAAATACTCTAAATGAAGAGTGCAAAAAGCTGGTTGCTTTTGATTTTGGCCGAGAGCCAACGTGAAAAAAGAAGAAACTAGTCGATAATAGAGGCAGTGAGAACGAGCGGAATAGCCATTGGCCAAAACGCCGCAGGCCAAATCCTCGTTTCGCCCGTTTCATTTTCTCCTCTCCTGCCTCGTATATTTGAGTGCAGGCAAGTGTGAATGTTTGAATGTTTCCTCCCGTCAACACCAACACGGCCAAACTATTTACCCGCTTCGCATAGTTTAATGAGGTTTCAGTGAGATCTAACGTTATTTTGATAGAAGGTTTTTGACTCTTACTAAAATTCTAAGATTATCATGGTGCTGAAAGTAAATTACAAGCTTTACCATTTTTTTTAAATTAAAAAACAAATGAAAATCTCTTATTTTTTTATCTTCTCCCATTGTTGTCACTCATGCGTTTATCTCAAGTTAGATGTCAAAAAAAGCGACAAATTTTCTACCCTTTTCCATCACCTATCCACAATAATAACATTTTCCATCAATCAAAGTGACGATGTGGGCGTTTTCAAGTGACTAACCAGCAAAAAGGTCATTTAAAAAAAAGACGAGGTCAGAAAAGACAAAACATTTGAGAACAGGATCTCAGTTTGAAAATTGAAAAAGAGCATATGTTGAACTCATCTCGATTCTAAATATTTTACCAAATTCGAGGTTTTCTAAATTCAAAAATTTCAAAATTTGAAGAAATGAGAAAATTTTAAAATGAGGAAAGAAATTCCACAGAATCAACAAAAAGACCATAAAAGGCGGGACTGTTGTTGTTGTCGTGAAACGACTGACGACCAGGCGCCATACAAACCGTCGAGAATCAATGAAAAGAACAAAATTTCCCTGCGGAAATGTTGCGCACTTTCAAAAACCAGTCTTATTTTCTTTTCTTTTTTATTTCTACTTGGAGGTCGATGGACGAAAATCAAATTGAGTACTAAAAAGCGTTGAATTAGCTACTCGAAACGAGTTACAAAAAGTTCGGGACCGTTCAACTGGAAAAATTAGGCGATTTTTATCGTACATAGTCGAAAAAATTTTTTTGACTACCTATTTTGTTTTTCAATTGTCTCTTCGTTTTACTTAACGCAAAACTATTTTTCAAAAGATCGTCGATATTTTTTTATAGAAACCGTTTTCTCTCAAATTACTTCCAATTTATCTAAAAAGGCCGTTTTCTCGTCTAAAATTGCTGGCTTTTTTCCAAATTCTTTGAAAATTTACGTCATATTCAATCGTGTCGACGTGATTTCCTCCGTAGTAGACTTCCAGAACATTGGGTCCTTCCTTCGTCGGATGAATCAGAAGTTCTTCCTTCACATCGCCCGACTTCGGATCCCTGCTTCGACGGATATCTGAACAAATTAGCTAGTTTCAAAACTTACCTAAATTAAAAACTGATAAATGACCTATTTTTTTATGATCCGATATGATTCTGAAATCTTGATGTGTAGTGGAGAAATCTCTCAACTAATTATTCCAAGAAAAAATTTAGGAAGTAAAATTTCAATCCACAGAACACACTATTTTTAGTACCTGCGTAAAGCTCTAATAAATAACGAGCTTTTCAAGGCTAAGAAAAAAAGTTTTTGAAACATGACTTGTGTTGGAATTTTTCCCAATTCTGACCATTTACCTAGACTTATTTGAAAGTTTTAAAATTCCATAAAATAATTCTTTTTTTAAACATTTTTTTCTTATAATATAACCAGATCTAAAGCTTACCGCACTTGACAGCGTCTGGACGCTGAGCGACGATCGAAAAATTGGCTTTTTCCCTGCCAGGATGTACATAAGACACGTGGATCGGCTCATCAAGAACAACTTCGCGACAAGCCAATTGGGCTAGAAACACCATGTTTTAAAAGAAAAGATCCTTTGAACAAACCAGCCGGAACGACGTCGCTTTTGGTGCCAACGACGGTCGCGTTTACGAAAATGGTCTGCGGAACCTTCTTGCCGTTGATGTAGACCGTGGCCGAGTACTCGCCAGAAACATCCGTCGGCCACGTCAGATCGATGACGCCTGGGGTCTTCGAAGGCGTCAGCGAGGTCTTCCTCGGCTTTCCGTCAGGTCCCTATGAGAAATAACTCAAACTCCAGTGACAGGGAAAGCTTTTCTGTTTTTAGATTGGTAAATTTGCAAAGATACTTGTGGAGATTGTGAAAAAGAGACTTTCAGAGCGCGAGACAAATGGGAATAGTGTTATGGACGAATTCACTTGATAGGTGAAGTTTCACTGATTTTTGTAATGCCTTGCACTTTGTATATCTATCAAAACTAGATAACCGGAATTTCCTCTCAAAGATTTTTCCAGAAACTCACCACAACTTCGGCTCTCACATCCTTGACGACACCACAATCCCTCGTGTCGACCTCCACGACGGCGTCGTTGGAGGCCACCGGATGCTGAACGACGTCACTTCCGTAAGATCCGAACTTGACGTTCTCCGGCTCGGTTTCAGGAAGCAGTCGAACCGGGAACGGGCTGAAAAAGGTCCAAAGTAGAAACGTTTCAGATGCAATAGAACTCCTTTACAAAAGCCATAAAAAAATCATTCACAACCTTCCAGGCACCGGCTCGCCATCACATAGAACTTCAATAGGTACGTTGACGCCAGCATCGCCGATCGGAACAAACTTTCCATAGAAAACTCTAGGGTTCTTCGGGTCCTGCTCAATGATTGGCTGTTGATAGACTGAAAGGATAGATTGAACAATTTTCGCTGTTTTTCCAAACTCGGCAAGGTCCTGGCAGTAACCGGAGCCAGTTTCGTGTGAGACGCGTCAACTTTGAACGAGATGGGCTCTCCAACACGACATTTCGCGTTATCCAGTCCATCAACCTTCACGGCATCGATGTTCTTCGGATGATCCACAGTGACATGGTAGGGTGAGCCTTAAAAGGTGAGGAGTGTCTTTGAAAAGCGGACAATTCTGAAACCCTTGACGTGCTGCTTCTCCTTGTCGCCGAACAGAACGCCGACTTCATAGTTGCCAGGCAAAGTCGGGCAATAGTCGACGAAGCAAGTTCCGTTGCCATTGTCGCGGACAACCGGGTCTGCCTTCGAAGGTCCTTTGATTTCGACGTTCAGCTCTCCAGAACCAGCGCCCTACATTCATTATTTTGGTTGAATAATCGATTTTCCACTTCCTTTAAAGGACATCTAAATTTATTTCTGAAAACTTTCCAGTATGATTAAAACTTCTTGATCCTTGAAAAAAAGTTTCATTTTTTTCACCTTTTTGAGAAAAATTTAACGATTCCAAATCTCAATTTTTTTCATAACTACTTCGTGTACAGCTTCTTTTTGGATAAAAATCTTTTTTTCAACTTACCCTCACAAAATGTTTTCTCTATTACAAAATACGATGAATGTTTGAATAAGCTGAATGAATTCACATCAAGGTCAACGTGGAAGGAAGAAATCTCGCCGACGACGCCTTCTTTGAGACCGTCGCCCTGAACATCGCACTTGTTGACGTCAGTTCCGTCGACGACGTCGATCTTGGCTTCTTTCACGAGAACGTCGTCGAAATGAAGCTGAAAATGGTTATTCCAACCCGCAAACCGCAAAACATCAAGGTAAATAAACGCGTATTTCACAAAAATGCACTTTGAAATCGTGTCGAGTCCTTCCATCTTTGGGATCAATTTGAGCCAATGGAATGTTGGTGGAGAAGACGCCAGGAGGCTTTTCGTTGAGTTTGACCGAGTAGAGCTTTCCGTTGACCTCATCAGTCAATTCCAGGCCTTTGCCTTCGGGCTCAAGTCCGCACAGGTCGACTTTCGGCTTCAAGCGGGATCCAGCCAAAACTTTTCCTGGAAAATGACACATCAAACAGAAATGCATGCAATTTCTCTAGTTTTTCCAATTCCATTCATTGGAAAGTACTTGAAATGCTGACTCGGAGCAGTTATTTCAATAAGATGTTCAAAAACTGTAGCTGAATGATAGCTTTTCAAAAGTTCTATATGAAATATCTGAAAAAAAAGCTTGCGTCCTAACAAGATTATTTGTATAGTTCTTTTTTTTTTTCAAACCTAGATCTTTAAAAACCCTCCAAGCTTTCAAGTGACATTATTATACTAGAAACATCGGAACTCTCAGAAAAATTGGCTGAATGATTAATGAATGATTGATAGATTACGATCTTGACAACCCCAGTTTTACAGTAAAATTATAAAGTTTTGTATAGAACCACGTATAGGATCTCACTGAACTTCTCACTATTGAGAACCTCGAAATGGAAAACTCCATCTGTTTCCAAAGCCCCCTGTGAAACTTTACACGTTTATAAAAAAAGAAAATTTCAAAAATTTTTTTATTCAACATGGCGAAAATTTCTATGGACACGAATATATAATACAATCTTGAGGCAAATGTGTGAAGCAGAGATCCATATAGTCGACACCCGTAACCAGTCCGTTCATCACATCCTTCAGACACACCGAGCTGTTTGTGGAGTCGGAGATCCGCTGGAAATCGACGTAAATGGACTTTCAGTCTTCTCGCGGTCCGACGACAAAAACGACGGCGATCCAAGGATTGGAGCTACCGCCACGATCTGGAACGGGCTGCCGGGTACGTGTTCGTTGTCGAACATCACGCGCAGGTAGTACACTCCAGGTGTCTTTGGCGTGAATCGCATCGTCAGAATTCCATCCTGATTATCTACACAGTGCAGCGGCGTGCGAGTTGGTCCATCGACGAACAAATCGATGTCGCCAAAGCCGGCGCGAGTCGTGTCAATGGCGACGTGGGTAGGTCTTTGAGCGACCAAAGGTCCGAGACCAGGACCCGTCACGGTGACCAGACCTGCACAAGCGGGTCCAGTTCCGCTGACGACGTATTCGGCTTCTGCAACGGAGTTCGAGGGAATGCCGTCTTCTGGCACCGCTGTCATTGTGAACGGAGCTTCGTCGATGGGAATATCCTGGTAGGTGACGTCGATGGTGTAGTCGCCGATTTCGGAAGGCGTGAAGCGGACACGGAATCCAGTCTCGGTCGACTCGATGATGGCCTCGACGACTCGTCCGGACGGCGCCGTGATGACGATCCTCGTGTTCTCGCCGTCTGTCGTGAAGACGTGAACTTCTTTCTTCGACGTTCACCGTCACTATCGCTAAAAACATCCAGTTGGATGGGGTTTATATGTGAAGGCCACAAAACACGAAAAATTGAACCACAGTTAACCGATTCGAAATATTTCAAGAGGAATATTAAAAACTGAACTTTGAAGTTCAGTTGTGGCTCAACTTCCCCGCATTCATATCGAAATCCAACCATACACACTGCAAGAGAAATTCAAAAAATCTACTACACACATTGATGGATACGTTATGGAAAAAAAAAATGAAATAAAACGAGCAATTAGAAACGAAAATAAAAATAACCTTGTTAAGAACAACCAGCATTCCATCTCATACTCTAATAAAACTGAATAAATGTTTTTAAAAACACAAGCGCAAAATTAAATCATATTTTGATCAAAACGAAGCTTTTTTCTGAGATCTTCAAATAAATTCTTTTTAAAGTTGAACGTAACGCAATCGTGTGCAGTTATTCAAGACGGGAACTTTTTTTTGAAATTTTCGCACAGATTTGTTAAAAACCATGGACTCATCGTGCCATCTGTAGTCCACATCAAATGATTAAAGTTATGGAAAACCACAAAAACTCCAGCATTCTTCAAATCATTCTCCGGTAAATATATTCGAAAAAGAAACCATTCTCCAGGCCTTCGACACGGATTCCTGACACGTCAACACGAGGCTTCACGTTGATTTCAATCGGCGAAATCTCGTCTCCAGCAAAAATGACGTTGAGCTGGAAAATCCGTTGGTTGATTTCAGGGTTCATATTCCAAAAGGTCTTCTTTCTTTTTTTTTAGAAATCAACATGGGTTTCGGGGAAAAAAAAATCATTTTTCAAACGAAATTTGACAAACGTCTTTGAACCAAAAAAATTATCTTATATTTATAAACTTCCTATTTTCCACGAGAATTTACCTGATAAGCCCCGGGCTTGGGCGCCGTGTATTTAACGGTGAAAGATCCGTCTCGGTTGTCCAAAACGTCAATATCAACGGCTTCTCCGAAACGGTCGGCCAAGGCGACTTCTACAGCTCCAGGTCCGGCTTGTTTGGCATCAATAGTAAAGTGCGTCGGTTCCTTCAAACATTTGAGTTATGTTGAAAGTTCGAAGATTTTATGGAAATTTTCTGAACTATTTTTTTTAACTATGAAAGTAAACTTCGAAAATTGAACGATCCATATATGTACAGCACAATTCTCCTCTTTCAAAATTAAACTACCAGCTTGAAACTAAAAACTGCAGTTTTCTAAGTCATAAAAATAATCTGTCAATCAAAATTCATTATTTCCATGTTTTCCCTCTGAAAATTTTACCTGGCTGTAAACAGGTCCCTCGACACCAGGTCCATAAATCTTCAACTTGGACAAATCCACCGGTTCACTGACATTGAGCTAAAGGAATAACGATTTATTTTTTCTCCCAAAAACTCTTCTCACCAAAAACGGCGCTCCTGGAGCAGCCACTCCACGGAGACTGACGTCAGCAATGTACTTTCCGTCTTCTTTAGGCTGGAAAGCGTATTCGAAGATCCCCGGGGTTATCTGAAAACCAAACATTTTGTTTTTTATTGCTTTTTCATTTCAGAAAACCTCTCGAGAATCATAAGCGAGAGGATGCAGATTCTTGTCGTAGATGGCGACTTTTGGATAAACATCGGCTGCAAAATTAACTAGATTTGGACGGGCATAATAAAGCAGAAGCGCATTATCTTTTTTGAAAAACATCAAGAATTTTAAATGAAAAAACAACTCAACACTGCCATTGGCGGCCTTTTGCCAGTTTGAGAAAAAGAGAATCATTGGTTTCAAGTAAATCTATCGCTTAATTTTTGAACTTTCTAATGATTCCAAAGCCTTCAACCACTCTGAATCGATGACGCTAAGTGCAAAAAAATTTTGAAAAAATCGGAAAGTATAACAAGCATGAATGAAAAAAATGGGTCTGATTCGCGACCATGACATTTATGGTAGAAACAAGCACGATCACAATGAAGACTCCTTTTTCAAAATACTTTTCCCGACTCGAGACATGGCCATAGCTCGTTTCTGGAGAGGCCAGTACCTCCAACAAGACGAGTATCGACGCGGAAAGGAATCTTCTCGCCAACGGGATACGGTTTGTTTTCCTCGATTCCAGTGACTCGAGCCGCGCTCGGCTTAAAGGCGTCGTCGGCCTCGTGGACGCGAAGAACGAAGGGCGAGTCTTGGATGTGGTCGCCGCCGGCCAAAACATTCACCTTGTAGATGCCGTCGTGCTTTGGCTGCAAATATTCTTTTCTTCTTCCTCAATCTTCAGCATCTTCAAAAAAAAAATATTGTTTTCATAATTTAACTTTCCCACTATTGACAATTCAAGTTTAGAACTTTCAAGAATTTCAAAATTCGTCTTGCCAAAACCAACCGTGTAAGACACCAGAGCGGCGCCATTGCCGCGGTCCGAGCATTCGATATCGGCCTTGCTGGGTCCTTCGATGGAGAAGGCTGCAAAAAATGAACTTCTCTCCAGTTTCTCATTAGTTTTTGTTGTACCCAAGCTGTCAGCTTCGCCGTTCGTCTCGACATGGAAAACGCTGGGTTCGTTGACGATTCCACCGCAAAGCCCTGGGCCGAAAGCGCGGATCTTCGATTTGGTCGCCGGCGAAACGTCGACCTTAATAATCATATTGTTTTTCACCGCTTATCATTTACTTTATAAGCTTCCTGAGTTAAACTCTTTTTTTTTATCGTTGAGCGAAGCGGTTCTGTCAGTTAAGAAGAACTTGTTAAGCCTTCAGGGGCAGAATACAGCAAAAAGTGAATTTGAATTGAACTCAACACAGGTCCTTAGTTGAATTTCAAATCAATCATAAGCTACCTTCTCAAAAAAAAACTTTGCTTATTTTTTTCAACAACTTTACTTTTTTTTTTTTAAATACCGTTGCCTTCACGCTAAGATTTCGATTTTTGAGTCTTTCCTTCTTTTCTCTTCGTATTTAGCACCTTGTGTTCCTTGACCAATTCTCCAGCTGCCGTAACCGTAACGGCATGTTCTCCAACAGCATGTGGCGAATATTCGAAAGTCAGTTTTCCATCTTCTTCGTCGAATCCAGCCGAAACAGGAAGAGTAGTTCCATCGGCTGAACAAAAACTGTTCCTATCTCTCAAGAAACTTCTATCTCCCACGTTGAACAACATGAATCTGGAGATTTGCGTTGGCCACGTTCTCCTCGGGATCATTGCTCTGCACATGGACAGGAACCTGAAATGTCTTTCATTTTTCCGATCCTAATCTTTTCTAAAAACCTTATCACCAACTCGAACCCCATTGGCACAAATTCCACGGCCCCAAACTTCGAAATCGTCTGAAAATTGTATTTTTTTCGAGTTTTTCTTTCCTATTCACTTTTCTCCTTGACACGAAGCGGGAAAGGACTTCCAGCAATGTGGTTTTTCCTGTGGAAAACGTTCAGAGAATGGAGACCGGCATTGGGGACCGTATACAGGAAATTGTAGTTACCGGGAGAGTTAGATTCTGAAAAAAGGCCCTCTCCGCTTGAAGTATCTTAAATCTTCGCATAAGCTCCTTGAACTCACAAAAAGAGCCATTCATCAAAGTAAAGTTCCATGATAATCAGTTTTCGGTCACGTTTTGTTTGAAAAAGGTAAAGAAAAACGGCCTTAAAAAAACTTAAAATCAATTCGAAAATTTCCATAAAACTTTTTAGCAAATCGACATTGTTCCAAACAGTGAAAAATCAATTTTTTTAAAAACTCTGAGAATTGTTGAAAATTTTTTTATCTTTGTCTTGGTCATTCTACATCTTAAAAAAATTTCTTAAAAAGAAAATTATTTCTTTAAAAAGTAAAAATCATTATACTAATCATAGCAGTGATACTAAGTTCACTACAACTTTCTCGTTCTGAGAATCTTTGAAAACGTACCAAGAACCGGCAGACGATGATCAACTCCCGTCGCGTCGACGACAACCGCTTCCACGACTCCTTCGTTCGCGTCGACGACGTCAAACCGCAACTCGTCGCCAACGTGAGCACGCTTCGGATAGTCCAGAAGACGAGCCAAAGGTTGGACCTTAAAAACTATTTTTTGAGGGAATATCACATCCGAAACCAACATGAATGGTCCTCGAAGCGTCGGGAATCGACTGCGCCGTGAACGTCTTGGACTCGACGGCCGAAACGTCAACCTGGAATAATACACTTCCAAAAAGCCTCCGAAAATCGAGATTTTCAAGAGCTTTCCAAAAATCCGTAAAATACAAACATTCAATGGTCCAACGCGCGACGGAGTGTACTTGACGTTGAAAAAGTCGTCGTTCAGTTTGGTCATCGCGCTGTGAACTTCATTCCCTTCGTTGTCGCGCAAAGTCAGCTAAAAGAATGGGAATTTTATCGAATTCTGCAATTAAAATAAAAGTCCCTGACACTAAATTGCTTCATTTAACGCTCACCTTAGGCTTGTAACCCTCAGGAGACAGTTTGACTTGAAACTCGGTGGGTTTTCCCACGAGCGGATGTTCGTCGAGGTTCCTGTACTCCGCGCTGACTTTCGTCTTGATCACAACCGGTCTGAAACATCGAAAGCTCGTAGACAAAGTTTTCACGTAACGCTTCAAAAACTTTCTTCTTTTTCTGAGTTTGAGGATAGAAATAAAAATAGAAACTCAGCTCCCAAAAAAGCTTGTTTATGACTTCCAAAGAATTCATTGGTTGAAAAAGGAAAAATTAGCACCAAGCTTAACTTATTTGTTTTCTGAAGTTCAAAGAACCAAAAAAAGGGGCTATTACTTCTCGATTTCTGAATTTAGTTCTCAGAAACGATAATTTCTATTTCTATTTTCTTTATTTTTGTTTTTATTACGTCGATTTCAAAGATTTTCAATCAAATCACCTGGCCGCCGGGAACTGCGACAGGTAGGTCATGACCGACATCTCGTCGATGTCCGGATGGATCAGCTCGGCAGGGGCAATGAGCTGAAGTACATTTTTATTGCAGTGAAAAGCTTCCGAATCAAACCGGAGCGACTTGGAGCAGATCCTGAGCGGTTTGCATGGCTTTCTGTGTGTTGGGAAGGGCTTCGTTCGGCGACCACTGATCCCAGTCCGGCAGTGAGCCTGGAGCCAAGGCGTTGACCTGAAACATTCTGTTTTCTTTTTCTCTCTTCTTTTGCTAGTTAAACTTTAAAACATCCTATTCCGAAAAACGTTCGCTTTTTGATTTCACAATAACTTCGGGAAAATAGTTTCATACAAACTCTTCACGTTTCATTTTCCTTTTGTTCAAAACAAACTGTAAATTCCGTAACTCTTCAATATTTTCCACTTTACGTAATTAGAAATTCATCGCACTAGATTCCATTATTTTTTCTAAATTCGTTTAAAAAAGTCCTTTCAACTTTCTAACTCAATTAGATTTTTTTTTCATTTTTTGTTTTCGAACTTCTTGTATGTGTCTGACGACCACTTTTTCTAAAAAACCATTTTGAGAACACATAAAAACGGACCAAAGCCCCCAAAGCGACTCCATCGTTCCAATCGGACGTGAAGTTGGACAAAGGTACCCCGGGAAGACGAGATCGGATCCAATTCAGCAATTTTTGCTTCGGCGTCTCCTCCGGTTGTCCATCGTTTCTCTCCTGTAAATTAATTCCTTTTTTTTTCCTTTCTTCCTATTATCCTACCTGAATCCAACCCATCGAGATGGAATAGTGAAGAATGAGGGTCCAAATAAGGCCAAGGATAAGCTTTTTATTATGATCTACAATGTGGGTGCTATCTGAAACCAAAAATCGTCATCATAAAAAATTTACAAAGTTCTGACCAATATTTATAATTTTAATGTTCTCCTCATTTTGGAAAAAATTCAGAGCCAACGACACGTTTTCAAGCTTCTGCGACCGGAAGCTAACCTGCAAATATATGACTCCTGATCTGTATTTGACCAATAAATTACCTTTTTGTTGAATTTTCCCACGTTTTTCTGGGACAAAGCAGCCGCCAGATGGATGAGCTTCAAACCATCAGAAAAGTCCGTCTCCTAAAAAGTAAAAAATTTAAAACAAAATGGCTTTTTTCCTAACCAAATTCTGAATGGACTCGCCGCACTTCTGCAAATGGTTGTTCACCCAGCGAGTAAAAGTATTCTGCTGAATAATTTTCCATTCGGCATCGTCGTGGCGAATCGCAGGAATGATCTGAAATCCTTTTTGGTCTTTTCAAAATTTTAATAAAGCTGTTCATTGACTTTAAACTTAATTTCTAAAACATGAAATATATTTTTTTATTCTTTTTGACCTCTTCCTCCTGATCGAGTCGTCGTCCTCCGCCGTGCATCGCCATTTTTTCTTTGTTTTTCTTCTACCGCACACAAAGTTACTTCTACCCGCACTAAAATTGTGTCTTCTGAAAAAAAATTGATAACATTTTTGAAAAATTATTACGCTTGAAAAGAACGAAGCGGAGGAAATAGGAACGAAAACAGACATGAGTCATCAGGCATAAAAAAAGAAGGCGTAAGGCTTTGCCAAAAACAACAAAAGCCCGGAAAAGGACTATTGAAATGAAAATTTCAGAGATGAAGAGAAACTTTTCTATCACAGAAATATTTTCAAAAACGCATCTAATAAGAGAAAAATGGAGAAAAAATTCTCAGCAGAAACCAAATTTTGAAAAGTCATGTGCTTCTCTGAAACAGACCGGTAAAATCTCACATGAAAATGACGGTTCAGAGCCACTTTGTGGTGAACTGTCTTCGACACAAAACAAAAAATACATTGAAACTGAAAAAATTTTGAAAGAAATCGCAGTTGGAATGGCAGATTCTCAGGCTGCACTTAACTTTTATAAAAATATCTTGCGGAACTCTTTTCAAGAACTGAAACATCGATGAAACTTTCATAAGCTTCCCCTGAAAATAGACATATTGCAAGTGATGCAACTCATCCTTGTATTGCCCCACCTTGCTAAAACTTTCAATTGAAGAATTTTCATCAAGATAAAAAAAAAACAAAAAAGAAGCGGAAACAATAAGGAAAAGAAGAAAAAGATGGGTCGTGCCAGACTTAACCGGACAGCGGTCGGTTGAACAAACAAAATAAGCAGAAGAAGGAAAGAAATCTCCCAGCCGACCATTCCCGGCACAAAAAAGCCTAATTCGCACTTTGAAGACGTTTTCAAACAATTAAAAATCTCTCAAACGTTCAATTTGGAATGAAAAAACGTGCGGAACTGGAAAAATGCCAAGAAGGATTGACCCATTTGGCGTGGACGTTTTCGAACAATAAATGACGTAGAAACTGAACATTAAAAGCAAAAAAAGATTGTTTATGTAAAGTTTGCATGTGCAAAACGGTTTTTTTCAGATCAAAGTCCACTTCTTTCAGCCAGCTTACAATTTTATTTCGCAATAGAAAACGAGAGCAAGAAAATGTAAAAAAAGAATATTCGGAACAAAAACGACAAGTTCCAGCAGCCTTGAAAATTAAAAATGGCGCCAAAAACCATAATGACGTCAAATTAGTCCCTCAAGAGGTCCGCAAGCGTCCGTGTACGCACAATATCAGCACATAGTAAACTTGAATTTTGAATTTTTTTTTTCAAATTTTTTTTTGTACTTATTTTTTTCCAGACTGTTCTTAAATTAACATAAAAAAATGAGAACGCTGAAAAAGTGATGCAGACATAGTCAGAAAAAAAGCTAATAAAAAAAGATTTATTCATCAAAAAAATACTCGTATACTTGAATTTTTCTATATTTTATAGTTCTTCCGTATTAAAAAAAAACTGTAATCTCAGAATCTTTTTTTCAATTTTTGAATAACTCCATGATTAAAAAGTCAAAACTTTAAGCCAAAACCAAACAGAATAAAAACGCAAATACGGACAAAATTCAGAAAATAGCTCAAAACGGATACCAGCTGGATTATAAACTTTTTGCACTCGTACCACTGGTCGAAGCGTTCGAAATAAAATTTTTGGAGAAAAAATGCCAAAATAAATAATCGCGGAAAGGAAACACCTAATTTGGAGCGATGGCGATAAACCAGCTGATAAGCATCAAAGGCGTGGCAACCGGCCAGAGGGAATGCGTCGACACGAAAAATAGATACAACAAATATTCATAAGTGCAGGACATGGAAAAAGACAAAACGCCGCCGTCGTCGTTGTCATCGGCGGCAAGAAGTGACCTAGAAATTGTATTTGGGGGAGAAAGGTGACCCCTCGAGGAGGAAAGAGAAAAAGAAACAGAAACACATACCCCACAGCGCCGTTGTCCTGCTGTTTGTGTTGGGAGTTTTGAATGGTCCCTTCTGCGCGCCTTTTTCACGCCTGGCTAAAGAACACAAAACCAAACAGTTCACGTAAACATCGCGTTTTTTTGATGAGAATCGTCGTCATAATTTCAAGAAAAAAGAGCTGAACGAAATGATCCCTTATTTGCAAATAGTTTGTTTTTTTTCTCCGAGAAAAAAATCTTTACGATGTCATGAGAAGCTAAAAATGATTAAGAGTGTGCGCTCTATTAGGATAGAGCTCTTTCTCAGAAATTTAAATTATTAAACTTTAGGATCTGTAAAGCTGAAAAAGTTGCACACTTGAAAAGAACACGAAAAATGGTTTTTTGCCTTGCGTCTTTTTTCAAAATCAGCGTGAAATTCAGAACAGACCACGCTGATTCTTCTGGTATAGTTCGTAAGGCCGAACCTCATCTAAACGTTCAGTTTCACAAACCGAAGTTTACGATTTCGAGAAGAAAATGAAGAAATTCCAATTAATATCTACGCCGCCATTCGATTAGGAACTTAATTATCTGAAAAAAAAACTATCCGTTGAACTCGTTAAGCATGAAAAGGAAAGGCTAATTCTTTCTCAGTTCTAATTGGATGTCAATTCGAGTTAAACTCTCGGTTGAGTTAAAAATTCCACGAGTTTTCCAAAATTCCTTCCGAAAGCCAATGGACGACATTTTTTTTTTCTCAAATTTACATATCTCATAATTGAACGTTTTTTTTTTGATCATCAAAAATGACCTTTTTGTAATATTTTCAATTATTGTAAACAGAATTATTTTCTCGAGGTTTTTCGAGCTTTGAACTTCAACTATCCGGGAAAAATTTGCAAGAAAAGATTGGCGCGGAAAATGATAAAAACTGATAAAAAGTTTCGATTAGACGTATTGTCGCCAACGGCTCAGCATTTTTTCAAAAGTTTTAGACTAGAAAAACATTTCGAAAATTCTTGCTAGAGTCTGTTCAACGGAAAAACCAATTCAAACGCCTCGTTTAATGGCTCCTAAGAGCAGGAAAAACTATTTGGACGAGGAAATGAGTGCCAAAAAGTGTGGGTCAGCCGCAAATAGAACGATGTTGTTTTTAGAAAAATTTCTTGTCGAACAAAGAATTCGCGTGAGAGATCGGATGAAATTGTAATTTGCTATGGGAATAAGTTTTTCAAAATTTGAAAATATTTTCTCGATCTTTGTCAAAAGCTATTCATTTGTTTAAAACCACACTTTGATGATTCAAAAAAATTGATTTAAAATTTGGCCCGATTTCTAGTAAGACCAAGTGAATTTATATGACAGTATCTTATTCAGTACGTTCTTCCATCTGTTAATTTGAGAAAACTGAAAATTAAAACATTAATTAAAACCAGCCGATGTCGTGTATCAGAATATGGAGGTCCTTTTAAAGTTAGTTCAGCTCTTTTTTTTAAATTTTTTTCTGGAAATTGCACAGATCAACAGACTGGATTTTTTTTCAGATCGATCTATCAAAACCCGGGGTCAAAATTATCAGTATATCTACGAATTTGATCTAGGAAGTGATGTCAATTGGACTTGATTTTCAGGCGGGATGAGTGAATGTAAGAACACATATATTTTCTTAAATTGTTGCTGAACGAATAAAGATCCAAGAAGAAAATTAGAACGATCATCACCTTCATGCTTTATTAATTAAGATCGGAATTCAAGCCAATCAAACTAAAAACGAAATCGGAATGTACCGCAGCAAAATGTTGAAGACAAAAAGAAAGAAAAAAACTATCAAGCTCGTCCAGGAAGCCAAGGTTTTTTGTGGTTCAAGAAGTTTGAAATAATAAGGTAGGAAGACGAATATAACTTCAGCAAGGAAACGAAGGTAGAGGAGAAAAATCCTTCAGAAGGTCAGCCGAGTAAGTAATCATCCGACAAACAGAATAAGTTTTCCGAACAGGAAGAGAGAGTAGCATCGAAACTCCAATCAATCAGACCAGACACAAAATCGATCCAGGAAGTGGGACCAGCGAAATATGAAAATCAGACAGGCGGCTGGAGACGGCGGCGGCAAATGAATGAGCTGAGGGTTAGGCTCTGCGGAGGGAGTAATCACTGACACCTGACTCGGTGGGGTTGCGTGTGTGTGGATCTTCATCGATTTTGATCTTTTTCCTTCAGGACGTCGCTTTTCAGCCCTCTTACAACGTCTTGAACATGGGTACATGTACACGTGTGCGTGAGTGAGTATCGCGCGTTTTTTGTCCGAGGCTCGTGTGACAACGTGGAGTGGATCTCATCGGTGTGGTTTCAGGGGGGAAGTTATGGAGTCGACCGCAAACGATTAAGTTATTTAATAAACTAATTTTTCAATCATATAGAAGATAGCTGGGCTTCAATTCGCAAGCATCTATAGTACTTCAGAAAAAAAGGCCTGACCTGTTTTGTGACGATAGGAATTTATTACTGGTAAGACCTGAAGGCCGTACTTCAAGGAAATTGGCCTGATCTCTTTGTTTCTTGGTAGTTGATCTTTAGGACCAAAGATGAACTTAAATAAGGCTCTTTTGGTGCTGGCAACTCAATAAATCACAAGATCTCTTGACACCAGTCATGATAAGACCAGTACTTCCTCTCAACATTTTTGCTCGTGGCCAGGGTTCTAGAGGATCGAGAACCAAGCTTGAACTCTTTGACTTTTATTTCAATCTTCAACAGTCACTGGTTCGAGTCCATCAAATGTTTTTCGCCCCTTCCAAAGAAGGAATTTCAGTTCAGAATGCATGCTCACATTTTTCATTTTTTCGAAACGGAGTCTCCAATTCTGAACTACTATTCTGAACAACTATAACCAAGACATGAAGTTCGGAAAAGTGAAAATTCTTTTATAAAAAGGAGAAATATTAAATGCTTCAAAAGATGCGAAACCAGAAGAAAAAGTTTCTTGCAAGCCGGAAAACGGAACGAGAAAAACAAAAAGGAACACGCTGCGCCGGCGGTTATACAAATGGCGCCAACATAAAAAGTGGGAAAAACGCGGCACCCATACACACGAATATATATTAAAAAGAAAACAAAAAAGGGTCTTTATTTTCGGGTTGTTGAAAGAAGAGGAAAAGGGCGCGTCGGAGATGATTCAGTGGCGCCAAATGATTCAACCATCGCTCGCCATTTGCGAAGACGACGGAAAACGGTGGAAAAAAAGCTCGCCGGCCCTTTTCATTTCCATAAAATTCTGATAGTTTTTCGGCGCATGGGAATCGCCGCTCGGACACTACGTAAACAACACCTTTTTTTGGTTTTCGATTCGAAAAGTTGAACTGTTGCGAAGATTTCGAGAGAAGAAAACGAGAATCGGAAAAAGAGATGAGAGCCTTTTTTTCGTGAAGCAAAAGAAAGTATTTCAAGGCCCAAAATGAAAAAAAACAGCTTTCAGTTACAATTACTACATTTTTTTGAAAAAAAGTAATGAAAAAAATTTTTTTGAAAGAAGGTCAATGATTTTTTTCACTCGGCAATAGAAATTAATTGTGGATAAAAAAATTTCCAAATTTGAAAAATTACGCCAGTTACTGTTTTCAGAATAGATTTCACTTTTTCTAAAAAGCTGAACGTTTGAATATCGGATCAGTTTTAAAAAAAGTTAAAATAAGAGAAAAAAATTGGAAAAACGATATGATATTATTTCATACCAAGTTCAAATCAGAAACTCGACGAGAGAAGATCGAAAACGTTTTTTTTTAAAGTTAGTTTCGTGTATTTCATGATTTTCAGGAAGTCTTCTGGAAGAAAAAAAAACTGGCAAAATATTAAAATATGACGCGCAATTCATATTTATATGTAGAGCGAAAAAAAACTATCTGATCAGGTCAAAAAATATGAGGATCTGGTTGTTTTCATCGATAAGCTAAGAAATAGACTACTAGAAAAACAGTGCTGATAAGAAAAATGAAACAAATCAAAACTTCTTTGAAGGTTCTATAGAGAAGTAGCTAGAAAAGGCTTTTTGTAGTGGAAAAATGTATCCAGGTCTTTGATCATCTCACGAAAAAATAAAACTTTAGAAATGATATCACTCTCAAACTATTTGCACACGATTTCAAAAAAATAGATCTTAATAGATGAGAAAGGCTTGACGAAATTTCATAACGTCAAAAAAGGCGATTTTGAACCAAAAAGATAAAAGTCCTTCCCACGTTCAAACTGTCACACATTTTACGGCTATTTGGTTTTTTTCTTCTTTTCAAAAGAAGGAATGAAACGTGGGTGATTGGCCGGAAATGCTGATTGCCGTGGGTGTGTCATCGTTTGTTTTGAATGAACATTCGAAAATGTCAATCTGTTTAGAATAAATTTGGGGACAGTTCAAATTTCAAAATCAGAAACCCAGAAGGAAGGCAAAAAGAAAAAAAATAATAATTTTTAAATGAATGTAATCTGCTCCCGGAAAGCCGAAACAGTAAAGCATTAGAAAAATAATTCTTGATTCAGATGTTCTGCGAGCGATTTCTATGCTTTTTTGGCTAGAAAAAAAAAAATTACGATGAACATCGTAATTTTTCCTCGAACTTTAAAAATTTTCTCGAATTTCAAAACTCCTTGGATTTTAAAAAGTTTTACAGTTTTAACTCCCCAGATTGAAATTTTAGATGATCAAGGGTTTTCAGACAGAATTTTAAGGCTTGATTCCCTCGTGAACCAGTTTTGTCTAACTGATAAGCTCCAACTTTTTGTTTTAATTCACAAAACATTGAAGTTTGACTAGTTTTGATGTGAGTCCCATAAAATTGCAAAAAAATAACTTCCCGAAAGCTTTGGAAGCCATATGATTCATAGGTTAAGTTAAAAATACCTTCATCAAAATAAAAGTGCAATTTTTACGGATTTTCTGACGTTGGATTTACTGATTTCAGGTGGAAATTCGCATGAGCTGGGGCTTTCTTGTGATCAAAAGAGGGTGAAATTTTAAAAAAAAACAGATTTTTACCGTGCTTCAAATACTGGAAAAAAAATTATTGAAAAGTTCGAAAATAACCTCTCAAAAAACCGGTTCAAGATTTTTTCGATAAATGAAACGTTTCGTGTAAAAGTAGAATAACAAGCTTTAAAAAGGAAAAATGTTCGAAAACTGGAGCTAATTTCCAAAAAATAAAAATAACGTGCAATCTTCCCAAAGAACACAGTTTTGTAAAAATTGTTTCGAAATTTAGATATACCAGATATCATTTAAATTCTAGAAAACTGGAAAGACGTTTCTAAAATCAAAAAAAATAAAAGCTGTCATAATAATTCAAATTTCGTTCTACTAAAAAAAGACTAATGGCTGAAAAAAAAGATTACTTTTCAAAGTTCCAAGATACCCCCAAGCCGATGACGTCACCTATTCTGATGTAAAATTCAGACATGTCCAGAACATATTTATTTCATTCAAAAAGACAAAACATTTTGTTTGAATTGAATTTTTGTCCAGGAAAGGCGGAATACATTGCTCGACTGCAAATTCAGCGGGTCCACTCAAGCAGAAGTTTCTGCGCTTTCCGAAATTCCTTTTTTTTTTGAGGACAAATATTAAGGTTTCAAAGTATATCCATCTGACATCATTTGAGGAAGCCAAAGTTGGTCGGATTTAGTCCAAGTTGAAGATCAGTATCGGAGATTTCTGTGAGCAAAACGTTTTCTTTTCTCGGACTTTCAGGTGCTTTTCTGAGAAATTGGCTTCGAAAGAGTCGAATTAGGAAAAGCGGAGAAATCAAACATCTCAGCCTATTTCGGCTGTGAAAATTGTGAAATATTTGTTTCGTTGTGCGAAGACTGAGACTTTACGTCGTAGTTATACATTTTTTTAAAGAAAAAAATTTTTAATAGAAACTTCTGCGGAAATTCATCAGTAATAAGGTGGTCAGTTGCTTTTTTTCTGAACTCTGAAAATCACAGGAATCTCTTAAATTTGTTCTTGAGCTACGCGGGAGTTGAAAAAAAGATTTACTAAAAATCGGTTTTCAAAAAAAGTTAACGAATCTATTCAAGAGCTTTTTACAACGTTTTTTTGAATTAAAAAAATAGTTCAAACAAGTCTTGATTGGGTCAAACGTGTAAAAAGAATGAGAATCGGAAAAATATTCTACAAGTAAGGCAAATTAAAAAAAAAAGATTGCCAAAGACTTTTCAAAACTGCTAAAAACTACTTTTGCTGAAAATTGGAAAACAATTAGGAAAGTCCTGAAATTATCGAAGGACCGGATTTTTTTAAATTCGATACAAAAAATCTAATGTATCTTCGTGAATTGTCTGAACCGAATTTTAAAAAAATTGGGTTTTGTTTCTGCGCCTTTCACATGAAACTTTCTATTGTAGGAAGAATGGCTTCACGCGTCGCGGTCGCGCTGCGGTTTAAGTAAATAAAACACCGATGCAAATTTATTAAAACCGCGTTTTTTTATGAATCTAATTGTTTCCTGGGACTTTCGTCTTTACTCATTTCATTAAATCGTCTTCAAAGCACCTGCTTTTGCTAATTTGCTTTGTTAAAATGTAAAAAACAGAAAAAAAGTATCCACCTTCAAAAAGTCCGACTCGGGAGGCGGAGCTTGAGCCACGGCCAAGGCTCTCGCCACGCCTACTTTGGCCGATTTTTGCAGTTTGTTGTCGTGGCCTAAGCCTTCAGACTCGTCGCTTGTTTTGTTTTTTAACTTGAAATTCTCATCAAATTTTTTACCTTTCGAATGGTGTTTTTATTTCGAGCAAAAGTATTGGTTTTGAAAAGACTACAAATACTTTGTAGCTGCCTTTTTGTTTGATCGATTTTGGCTCAGGGAAAAGTTGCCGAAAAGTTTTTCAAAAAAACCTGAATTTCTTTATTTTATGTCTTTTAAAATAGTTGAATCGAGCAAAAAAATTGTTTTTTTAAAGCTTCACTAGACGGAGAAAAAAACTATTCAAATCAAAAAAATGGCTTCTAAAGTTTTTTTACAGATCAGAAATGCAACAAATGAAGCCTTTGGAAGATTTTTTTGAAAACTGAAAAAAATCAGAAGTTCACGAAGTTTTTTTGATCTTGGAGGGTAATTTTTTTGGTTCAGCTCAAAGGACAATCCTTTTTTTGATAAATATTGAATCTTGAATCAATCCTGAAAAAGTCGTAAAGTTTTTTTCCTTACCCGAACGATGCTCTCTCCAAAACACGTTTTTTCTCAAAAAAAAAATATTTAATTTTTTTTCGTCTCTGTGTACTGAAACCTTCGTAGAAATTACTCTAACAGATTTTTTTTTTCGTTTTCTCTCATTCTGGGCCCAATTTAGGTCCTTTCAAATCTGTAAATTCGAAATGAAATGGTGTGAAAATCTGTTCGCGTGCTCTTTCTCGAATGTCCTTACCTTTCAAACCCATTTTCTCGAACAAAACACGAAAATGAAGGCCTTCAGGCGGCTGTCGAGGGCCTCTCCAAAGACTCGGCCGAGTTCAAATGGAAATCGACGAAGAAGACGATTTGAGGGCCGATTGCTCTGCTTCGCCCGAGCAACGACTTCTCGTTCAGAGGTTCTTCTTTTTGCTCTTCTTCACTTCCTTGTTTGAGTTCGACGAGTTCAGCATCGAAGATCAAATGGGCGTCTGAAAGCGAAACTGTGAGAAACAGGTTCAAATGGGTTGTATCCCGCAGAAATCCCAGCTTCAAGTGCGCCCCATGGATAATTTACAAAGCTTTGGACTCCTTTCGCCCCCCATGAGCTTCTTTAATTATAGAATTTAAAAAAAAGCTTGAAGCCTGAATTTAAAAAAATCAAATATTTAGGCTTGTTCGAAAAAAATCGCGCTCCACCGAACTTTTTTTCTTCTTTGATTTTACTTTTTGTTCAATTTTTTTCTATTTCTTTTTTTCAATTATTTCCAAATCACCAAATTTTTTTGAAATTGAGTTTGAAGTATTCCCGTTATGTTCTGCTAAAACCGCACGTAGGTGGAACACCTCGAAAGTTGATTTGACGGAGTTTGATCCAGCAAAAGTGGATTCTGCAGGGAAAAGAAGTTTTCGATTAGCTTTCTATTTTGAGGTTTTCCGAAAGATGTTCAAAATTCATGGAAGTTTCTTCGTTTTTCAAAATCATAGTGAATTAAAAACCAGTGTAGACTCTACGGTAGCTTTTTCAAGAAAAAATTTACATTTAATTTTCTCAAAAAGACCGGAAATCAGTACTAGAGCTTCCAGACTCTTTTTTTATCAGTTTACTTAGAATGAACGCTTTTTACGAGGGATTTTTTTCCCAATAGAAATTGCGATTTTGGCTTCATCGCAGATCAAAAAAACCTCCACTGTTTTTCATATTGAAAGAAAAAAAAACGTCTTAATAAAATTCTCGACTAGAATGAATGATAGCGAGAAAAGCAACGACGTTAACTAATTAGTTGCGTCAAAGGTGGTCCAACGTCAAAATTCAATTTGGAAATGTCTCCCGTCTAGGAATGAAAAATTGTACCTACCCTCACAAAATGATATTTTACCTAGTTTCCAAATCGAAAAAGAGTTCGTTTTTTTCTTGAATTGGATGTTCGGTCCAAGCTGCGGCCCGTTTTGTTTAGATTTCACGCCGCATTTGCTCCATAATCGAGCATGTTTTTCGATCTGTCGCCCCACCGAATAAACAACTACTTCACATTGCAATGAATTTCCATCACTTGAAACTTGGATTGAAATGATGGAAAAATAACAAAAAGGCTGCTTTCTGGTGCATTCTGGGTGAAACTCTGGAAAATCGAAGGGAGGAAGAAAATGGACCAAAATACTCAAAATTGAAACTTATGAATTCTATCCTTTCCGAAACTAATTCAGGGAACGAGATTGTGAAGTTTTCAGTAACATGAGGAACACATGCTACAGGAAATGGGAAATGCACTGGAAAGTGAGCAAACATATATACCTTATTCTACACGAAATGAAATGGTCTGCCCTGTCTGCGCTCTCTTGTTCACTCGCTGTTTTCAAGTAGTATGACATCGCCGATGAGAGAAAAGAGAGCGCAGACAAGTGAGACGATTCGATTTTCGTTACTTACATGTAAAATGGGGGCATTAAAGCAAGAAATGTGTATTTCTCATAATAAATGTTTTTTTTTGCAGATTCTACATGCTAGGTGTAATCGGGACGGTCGTCGCTGTATTCGGAGTCATCGCCAACTTTTTACTCGCCATTTTTATTTTTTTATCCAGGACAATTTACCGGTTAGTTTTGATGAAAGTTTCCTTTTTGAAAAAAAATTTTGTGTTTTTCTCAAATTATTCTTTCATTCATTTGTTTTTCTCATTTTCCTATTTCTTCCAGCTTTTTTCCCATGATAAAACGCCTTCATCAACCTTTTCGGTAAATGCTAATAGGATAATCAGTTTCGCATTACCGAAGCATGACCTAAATATATCAATAAAGGCCAATTGAATGATTTCTAATTATCTTCATACTTTGTCTTTCTGTTTTTTTTCCCCTAAAAGAAACTTTTCGATTTCCTTCTTCTTCAAAGGAGGGCTTTCTTATTTTCTCTTTTAAGTTTTTTTTTTGTTTTCCTCTGTTTTCACAAGATAATTGAGTTATTGTGTTCTCAATAACAAATAAGCGTTCAAAAGAATTCTTTTTGTCAATGTTGAGCCATTCTAGATGCGACCGATTCGTGGTGAATGGAATGATCAGATTTTCAAAAGGGGTTATCTTTTTTGAGTTATCTAAAAGCCCGAGAAACAATACTGAAATATGAAAATAAAACCTTATGACTTTTGATCTTCACTCGCTTCTGTTAAAAGTAATAGCTTAGTCTTGAAGCCTTTCATTAGTGATATTAAAATTAGAAAAATGATAATCAAGACTCCACTGTTGCTTACACGTTTTTTCTTCTCTTTTCCTGTGGTCGGGAATAATCCTTTTGGCGAGGTGCCTAATCCGTTCAATTGTCTTCGACGTGTATCTCCTGCATTTAGTTACATATTTCAGCTTTTCCTCTACTTTTTCCAAAAAAAAAACTTTCGGGGATATTCAATTGAATAAGGCCGCTTTTTGATTTTTAACCACCCAGTTTATCAAATAAACTTCTGAAAATGATACGAGGAAAGCAGTTCCGACTAATTCCCAATAAGCCTTCTACCCAGTTTGTGGAGAAAAAAAACAATTGGAATTTTTGCTGTAACAGGAACTTTGAAAAAGAGTATAGTGGAAAAACCTTAAGTTTTCCAGTTTTTTCTGAATTATTTTTGAACTTTTGTTCCAACTTCAGATGCACATTCGGCGAGCCTAAAGAAACCTGTTTCGTAACAATATTTTGAGAACATTTTGCACTGGAGCGCAGTTCCACTTGACATTTTTATTAGTAAAACGGAAAAAAATCGAGAAGGAACACTTCCTGTTGAAAGTTTAAAAGTACTTCCGGCAGTTTCGTTCAATCCAGATGATCTCAAGCGGAAAAATGAACACGAAAAGCTGTTTTACATTTGGCAGAAGTATTTTTTTTTTGGAAGAGAGGACACGAGACTTTCGAAATATGAATTATTCAAAATTTTTGACGTCTGGGCATAATTTTAATTATGATCTCAATGAGTTCAAACATTTATAGTAAGAAAAAGAAATGTTTCATCTTCAAAATTCTTGCCAGCTTCTCTGGAAAAGAGCTTTCGAGGGGAATTATCGGCAGAGCGCATTTGAAAAACTAAACTTTCTTTGCTTTTCCGATGAAAAATATTCTGTTTCAAATTATCCTTTACTACTCATACTCAGCCTGATTGAATTCATTAAATAACTCTGTACTTCTTTGAAAAAAAAGTTTCTTTTGGATCGTCTTTAAATATTTGAAAACCTGAATAATTAATGACAAAACTGTCTTCGAAACGGATGTAGACCGTGACGAAGGCCAATTTTTTCAACACAAAAGATTTCCAACAACAACAACGAAAGTCTCGCATCAGAAGGAACGCAACAGCTATCACAATTTGTTCTGCTTCCTTCTTTTTCTTCTTTAAAGCTTTAAACTTGGCCTGGAATCACTCGACCGACCACCACGTGCATTACTATTACACCAGTGCAAAATCACCTTGCTGCAAAAAAATTGCACCATCAAAACGTTCGCAAGAAAATAGAGTGGATTTGGGGGGAAGAGATACAATAATACTCGAAAAATAGCATTTACAATGACTTTTCGTCCTGATAATTGAAAATTTGAACGCAGATCTCAAATGATTCAGTTCAAGTGCCTATAAATTCAAAGTTTTTTGGTATTTCTGTCGACCTTCATCTTCCTTTCAAAGCAACCAAACTCGAAACATTCGCAACGTCTCATCTTTAAAATATTCTAAAAAGTATAACATTTTTCAAGGAAGTACAAACACGCATACATTTACCCACACAAATTTGCATCTCTGTGTTTTCTTTTACAAACGACGCCTTTTCTTCCATAAAATAGTGAAAGATGATGTGTGAAGATAATGGACGACGGCTCCAGGAGCACGTTTTCCTTCCTGACAGCCATATTAGTGGTTCGGGAGAGGGTCACACGCAATTTTGCGGATGTCTCGTGGGTTCGATATACCCGGAAGTCTTTGTGAGCAGGTTTTTGGAGATTCAGGTCAAAAAGGAACTTTAGTTCAGTTCAAAAAGACGAAAAACGAAGTATTAAAACAAAAAACTCGTTTTCCGAGACAGACACACATAGTTTCTGTCAATTCACAATTGGTCACAATAAATAAACTACCATCCATCAGAGTCAACCGAAAGAAAATTTTTAAAAAAATTCTCAAAATTTCAAACTTTGCGCGTCAGTGTGCAGAAACGCGTGGGTGTGCGAGCCGAAATGTGTGTGGATTTACGGAAACAAGAATGACTTTTTTTCGTTTTTGGTTTCTTTTTTTTTGTTTTTTTCTTCACTGTCGATTCACAAATGATCAATGGACAAAAGGATAAAAATTTAAAATTCAAAAAAACTTTCCCCTGTAAAAAAATATTTCCCTATTTTTTTCGGACAAAAAAATATATCGCTGAAAATAAATAAATGAACTTTTGATCAATAGAAGTATAATAATCAGACGAGGATTTTTCTAAAGTTAACTGGAAGAAGATTTTGAACCGGAAATTTAATTTAAAATCAAGGTTTCACCTTTCTTCCTTCTGAAACTTCGAAATTCTGCTCGAAATGAATTGTTTTTTTCAGCATTTAAAATTATTTCGATTATTTCGTAAGCTTCCATGTTTTTCTCTCATCAGATATAATTTTGAGCTATCTTTGTAACAGTAAAAACACTTACAATTTTTTCAAATTGCTTATTTTTCAGGCACTCGCCGTTCTTTTTCCTCGGCTTCGTCGCCCTCTTCGATACTCTGCTCGACGCCACTTTTCTACTTCTTTTTGTACGTTTTTTCTCCTTATTTACTTCTCGGAAAAAAAACGCAAAAAAGAAGAAATAATGGCTTTTGGCAAAGATTTATGGCGGCATCAATAGCCCATTTCCGATGGGCAAACTTTTTCGAAACGACTTTTCTAAAAGGGGCAAAGAGACAATAACTATGCGATTTATTGGTCTATCAAGTGGAAAATTATTCAAATTGATGGTTTCTGGAGTTTGAACTTCGAACGGAACTGAGTGAATGAGAGCCAAAAAAAATAATTTTTTTTTTTGAAAAATCTTCTACTGGACTTTTTTCTCTCTGCTCACGAGTTTTAAAATTCGAGCAAACTGGAAAAAAGCTTTTTTTCGAAATCGAACAATTTTCTTGCTCTCCTCCCACATAACCTCATCATTTCTGCAAAATAGAAAAAGGTTAGTCTATTAGAAGAGAAAAAACTCGATTCCCAATTTCCTCAGCCAAAAAAAAAAAACAGAGATCAATTCTAAAAAAGGGCTTTGTTGCGGAAATGGACGCAATTGCATGTCGTGATGCGGCCAGAAAATTCTCTTTTATTTTCCGGCCCTCTTCAGAAAAGTCGAACGATTTTTCGAGAGCTCATTAGTTTGAAACAAGAGAACAACTGGAGGAGGGGTCAGAAACATTGGAATCGTTGTAAGAAAATAGGGAAAACTCGAAAATTGGATATTTGCAGCCTCGGGAAAACTGCAATATGTTTAATTTTATCCGAATTTTTTCCAGAGAGTTTATTCAAAAAAAAAAAGAGTTATAAGGTGCTCACAATTTTTAATACTTTTCTCCTTTCATTCTCGAAAAGCGTTCCAATCAAAATTTTAGAAAAAAAGGCAATATGTTGAACGAACTATTCCTTTCATTTGATTCAATCTTTTCACACTCCCCTTTATTCTTTGGCCTTTTTTATTGCCAATAAATCCTGCATCCTATTTTTATAACCTTCATAAATTTTCGGATTGAGGTTCAAAAAACGAGAGAGTATATGAGAAAGTAAAGATTGATCTTTGCCATGGGGCACAAGTAATCCTGGATTCGATTTTTTCGCATTTCTCTTTTTCGGTCCTTTCGGCCATTACTCATCCTTGCCATATGCATCATGTACTTTTTGGCGATGTTAAATTGAAGTTGGAAAGAATGACAGAAGAGAAAAGAATGGAGCTCAGAGGCTGAAAATGCCTATAAAGTTGAGATCGAGAACAAACTTCTATGTAATTCCGAAGGAAAATGTTATTTAGATGCTGTCAATTTTCAAAACTTTCTCAAGCTGTTGAAGTTCCAGTAAAATGTGAAAAAATTACAGGAAAAACTGCCAATAAACTTTTACTGTCTGGGTATCGAGGCGAAGAGTTGTTTTTCAGAGTTGTTTTTTAAATTTAAAATACTTCTTTCTTCAGATTTTTGAATTCACACTTTTATTTCATTTTATGTTTCACCTATATTATTCAAAAAACTATTGAACATCTTTATGAACTTTTTTGGACCTCAGAAATGGGCCTCAACATGTGACCAACCAACTCATTTGGTTAGTTCAACTCAAAACGAGCGTAATTTCGAATTAGCCCAAAAACGAAACTTTTTCTCCGTTCTTTGCTTCTCTCCAAGGAACAGAGAGGTCCACGGGGAAAGATAAATCCGGTGGTAAGTGGTGGTTTTTGCCGGTTGTAATGCGTTTTGGTTTCTCAGGCAATCTTACCTTTCACAAAAGCCGACACCTGTTCGGTGGAGCAGATAAATCGAGCCAGACGGCTTTTTCTTGAGTAATTGGGGCAGTGAACCGAGTGATACGAGGTTTTTCATCACCGGAAAACAATCAGAGGAATTTTAGCCCACAAAGAACCCTTAAGAGATCATTTTTTTAAATGAAAAATTGAATGATAAAGATAGGTTCTCTGCCAAGTTTTGAAAGTTGAATGGTTTCTGAATAATCCGTGAGTTTTTGTGAAAGAGAATTCTAGTTGAGTTTCTGGGCCAAAGACCTCATATTTCACTTTTTTTAGGCGATCCGCCTGAAAAAATTCTCAAAAACACCATTTTCAATGAAAAAGAGTTTTCATTCAATTACCACTTTAAAAGTCCCTTTTTGGCTCGATTCGACAGAATACCTTTCTCAGCTATCTCAGATTACGGATCTATTGCAAAAAAAGTTCAAAAAACAGAAAAATTGAACTTTCTCCTCTGCTAGTCTCGCTCGAATTTCAGTTTTGAATATGCAAAAGACAAAAGGAGCGCCACCCCCAACAAATCATTCCTTCCATTCCTTCTTCTTCTTCTTCCTCGTTCAAGGTGAAATACGATCAAACAAAACAATGGGTGAAGCAGAAAAAAAAGAGAAAAAAAACGGCGTGAATTATTCCAATCCGTTTTTTTCTTGAATATTTTTTTGAATGGATACTTGAGAAGAATTGAGAGAGCGGCCATTGAGGTACCCGATTCGAGAACGGCTTTGTTTTTGAGGAAAATTGGGTTGTTGGTTAGTTGGGATTTTGGGGAAAGATTTCGAACTAAAAAAATTTTTTTCTAAGGAAACTGTGGCAAGATCAGTTTCAGTTCCTAAGACTAAGAGTAGTATTCTGTCGAAATTTAGTTCTCTGAACCTTCAAATATAAAAAAAATAGAAAAAATTGGTCGGGCATCTTTAAAAAAATTTTTTAAAGGTCTTTTTTTATCATAATTAAGTCAATGAATAAAACTCATTAAAGTCAGTTTTTCCAGCCCCTCGAGGTGAACGCCGAATACTACGATGAAGCCGGCGTCTATGAAATGTGGCTCCAATTTGTGCCGACCGTCTACATTTTCGCTCAAATCTTCAAAATTGCGTCCGTTTTCTCACTTATCATGGCTAGCATAGAAAGGTTTGTACCCTTTTTCCGAGAAAAAATATTCCATTAGAATCAGCAACTCCTACTTTTGTAGACTTTTTGAATTTCAGAAAAAGATTGTTTACAAAATTTGTACTTAGCGATAAGGACAGAGGCAAATTTTGGATTCATTTTTTTTCCCTGAAAAAGCTTGAATTCTTATCAACGCAAATCAGCAACTCCTACGCCTTCGAAAATTAAGCAGTGCTCATTAGAATTGCAAGGTTGAAGGTTCAAACGTCACACGAACCGAATTTAGGGCTATGCATAGATCAGGGAATGCCCTAGGGCGGTTTCTGGCAGACTGGATTAGGTCTGGCCAAGTTTTTGGCTTAAGACGTACTTTTCTAGGGATAAAAGTAATACTTGAACAAACAGCTGATGGGAAAACTTGTGAACGAGGGAACTTTTTGAATCACATATCGAAAAATGAACGCTAACTTGCATTTATCATCAAATTTTTTGTTATAAGGTAAATATTTGTTTTCAAAGTATACTCTATCCTATTCTGACGTTATAAATTACTCAAAATAAATTGTCAATTCCTTTGCTAATACTTAAAAAAAAAAATTCAACTTACCGGCTTAATAGTCATAGAAATCTCATCCTTATGATGACTATACATGGACGGTAAAATTTTAAAACGCTGCCAAAGTTTCCTTCAGAGTTTTCCTAAGGTTAATTTAGTAAAGCAGACCTAATTCTACTTTTGTCTGTTAACCACTTTCTTAATGTTAAAACTTTTCTATACCTTTTTTCTAAAAATTTTTGTCAGTCTTTCCGTTCTCGCGGACTGAATGAGCTCTATTCCTGCCTCCCTATGCTTATGACGTCACTGACTACCTCATCTGACGTCAGAATTACAGATACTGTATGACGAAGCACTGGACCTTCGTGGGGTTCGAGGAAAGGACTCGATGGCTGGTGTTGGTTGCTCTCGTGGTGGCATCCATCGTCATCAAGTACTTGTCGGAGGTCTCCTCTTTTCCTTCTTTTTTCCGCGAACATTCCAAAAAGTGTCCCTCGGGGCGTTCGCCAGTACATACACAACAACGATTATGTGAAAGGAATGGCCGGATGAGACGACTTTGGGGAACCAAATCGGAGTTAATGTTGATCAAATGACATTTTTTTGATGAATGTGCTTTTTTCAAAATTTGAGAAGTAAAAAAATTGTTTTTCGTTCTGGAATAAGACTTTAAAATTGCAATTTTTAAGCTCTTAGGAACTCTAGTGAGAACTTCTCTTCAAGTTCTATAACAGGTGAAATTTTTGGAATTGTTCAAAAGATGAATTCTTCATTCTAAAAAGTTTAGTAATTTGTAAAGAATTTCTAACATCTTTAAAGTGAGAAAAAAAGAAACGTCTGTGATCGATCTTAAGAATATTGAGATAGAAACTAGGCTCTTAAAGCCGGTGATAGGTGAGTTTTTTTTTTTTAGAATTATCAGAAGTTCCTTGAAAAAGCTGTAGATCCAGTTTCTGGACAAAACTAACAGAGTTATATGAGACAGAGTTTCTAGAGCCCTTAAGTGTTCAAAGTCCCCTAATGAATCCGAACTTGCAGGAAGTGGTGATCGAGACGAGGGAGCACTGCTCAGGCTACCGCCACTGGACGGTCAAAGTGCAGCGTGGCGAGTTGCGGCACATGGGTTTCGTCCATTTGTTGGCCATTTCCCTGCCTTTCTTCACCTTGATCTTCCTCAACGGCGGAATCGTGTACATGCTTCGGAAGCAGAATGTTCAGGTATCTATAGTCAGGAAGATTATGAAAAAATTCCTCAAACTTCGAACAGATTTCAATCATTTTTGTAAGCTCGAATCTTTTGAAATTCCTTCTCTTTATATAAAAACATGGGCTCCATATAAAGCTTTAGGCTATCGATCAGAAGGCATAGAGTCCTTTCCGAGCAGATTACAAATATTTTAAAAATCATCTTCTGATTAATATGTGGAAATCCCAACATTTTCTTTTTTCTAAGTTCCCTCTAATTGAATGTTTTGCTTAGAAACTGTAATATGTAGGTAGAAGTCCAAAGTACATTCTCCCTTTTTCAGCAACTGCGATCTCTGATCACAGAACTGACTTTGGGTCACGATTTGTCGAAGATCCGTCGGAAAAACCTCCGAAGTGCGACAAGAACACTGATCGTCATCATTTCGGCCTATCTCATTTCCAACTCGTTGAACATGTTGCTCATCATCGTCGAGTACATCGATGCTGGTTTGTTGGGACGGAAAGTTCGTTTCCCTGAGCCGTGACTTCAGACTTCCTTCTAGTCCGACATCCAGATTTGCACCGACTGGCTGTAGATTCGGCGGCTCTTCTCACTGTCGTCGCCAATGCGATTCGATGTCCTACACATGTACTTTCCAACTCGGAGATCCGACATCAGTTCAAGACGCTCTTTTGTGGGGAGAACGAGAAAAAGGTGAGGGATAGTCTTGGGAATCGGGTTGAAGAGCACATATTGAATCGAAATCGGTTTATTATTTTTTTTCGGAACATGGTCTTCTTTATCAATCCGCATCTCAAATTTTTGAAGCCGATTTCCTTTTCTTATTTCGAAAACGGGGGGCTCAAACTGAAGCAAGCACTCGCAGGAACCTCCAAAATCACTCTTTAGGGCTGACTTTATAAAATTTCTAGAAAAGATGAATCATCACCCATAAGGCTCAGGCTATTTTTTCCTATATTATCATTTCCAGCTATTTATTTGCCTTGTATTTTTTTAAACTATCCAGTCCTCAAATGGAAAAAGACAGATCAGGAGATCCGTCAGGATTGATTTACTTTTTTTTTCAAAAAAAAAAACTTACCCATAGAGCGCAAAAACTCTGTTTTCCAAGGCTATATTCTTGGCTCTACATTTTTTTAGCTGTGTGGCCAGTTTTTACCCGAGTGTCGATTTCATTTTTTGATTGAAACTGAAGCGACCATTCAGCCAACAGAAACGTATTTGACCGAAGGAAAACGGTTTCAGTTGACATTTCTTATTATTTCAAATCTATTTTTCAATTTGAATATTTCTTCTCATGATGATGAGGCTGTCTAGTTTCTCTCTTAACCGACGTTTCATTCAATTGAAATTTTTGAAAAAGCTGATTTTCAGGATGCGATGCGCCAAGAACAAAAGAAACAGACCCAAGAACGGCTGGACAATCCCTGGATGTCGCTGATGTGGGTCTCTGCGAATTCTTCCAAAGATCCCCGAGCCGCGTTTCTGCCTCAGGCTTTCGTCAAACGACACTCGGCCATTGCAATCCTCTGAAAATTATACCTTTCCTTCTTTGTTTTTTATACTTTCCATTCACTTCACTTCTCTCATTCCCTATATCTTTCTGTCTTCCAGTCATAATTATACCCTTAAACATCATGGTTTCGAAAACGCCATTATGAGAACCATTTGAGAAATCTTCTATGGCTTGTATCTATGTGAATAATCTGTGATAGTTCAACTCGAACTTATTTGTAATTTCTTCTCTTCGGGTATTTCTGAACGGTGTGATTTTTCCCGACTATTGAATTAGTTCCAACTCGAGATTGAAAACGAAGGAATAAATTTCGTTATATCTTACATGGTCAGGTGTTTTTTTCGGTTCGCATATTAAAGATTCGAGAAATTTCCATCGTCATGTGCACGATGAATTGTGAGATTTATCTGCTGCCATTCTGATATTTTTTGAGGAACAAAGCCATTTTTGATTTTCAACCCACGAGATATCGTCTTTCATCTTTCAAATGCAATCTCTTTGATTCTGTCAAAAGGAAATTACCTTTCTGGGTAAATAATCGAAAGTTTCCGCTTTTGCGTGGTCTATTTTCTAAAAATAAAATGTAGCCGTCCTATCTCTCCCATCAAAACTCTTTCTTTCGGCTCCCTAATTTTTCTTTTTTTTTCGAAGCTTTCAAAAATTTGATGGATTTGCTCTTTTCTTCAGTTACCTGGAATGATTCTGAACTTTTTTTTTGGTTTTCTGAGACTTTGCTTTGCGTAAGTCTATTAGAACTTCTTAGAAACTCAAACAAGTTAAGGTAATTTTTTTGACCTGAAAAAAGAATTCAACACGTTCATAAGAGGCAATGAATCAAACTTCAGAGATCTATAATTTTCTCGATTTCCAAAATTAGATAAATCGAATTTATGTGTTTCAAATCCAATTTTCGAGATTCGATTGGATTAAAAATAAACATTGTCCTTTATCAAAGGCTGAGCTAAAGGATATATAAATTTGACATTTCAATTATTTTTTTAAAGTTAAAATTGAATTCCCCTCGGACGGGCTAATTTATTCAAATTTCTAGAACTAGAGTGGAACCAAATAATGTTATTGGAGTTTTTTTCATAGTTAATGAAATAAAAACCACATCAAAGAAAATTATAGAGCACCTTGAATCAATAAAGTTATTAATATCGATTGAACTAGATCAAAAACATCTGTTTCTAAATTTTACTTCATTTGAAAGGCTGAATTCAAAAATAACCCAAAACTATACCGATTAACGGTGAACCGCATAAGTTTTATCAATATCGCTGTCTTCTTTTTTATTCTCACACTGAATTTATTACCATTATTTGACACAGTTTGATTTAGAAACAGTTCTAAATTCTTGAAGAAATAATGATCAACGAAAATTTTTGAAAATAATTAAAACGACTCTCCTTTCAATTTTTTTCCCTTTCACGCGTAATGTTTCTGAAAAATTTGAAAACCTTCTATTCTCAACAAAAATTTCCTTTTTTCCAAGATTTCTACTTCACTATTGTCTTTTTTCAACCTCACATTCCTGAATCACACTTTTCTAGTTTTTCCTTCTGACATTTCAACCCTTTTGTAACTTTCATTTGTTCTCAAACACCTGCTCTCAAAAAGTCAAAAATAACCACGCTTTTGCGTGCTTCAAATCCGTTAGCACTGCTGAAAAAAAAAAACTAAAGTTCAAAACTCAACAAAACTTTGATAAGCCTGCAATTATTACTCTGCAGGGTTTTTTCGCACCTGCGCCCGCCCAGAAGTTTCCAAAGAAGGAGGAAAAAGAGAGGAGAAATGTGCCTGACGGCCATTCAGAATGCGTCAGAAGTCATGAAGGCGTTGGCAGGAGACGTTATTCCCTGCTACTACGCAGAGTACTGTAGCGTCGAGCCGCGTGACGTCAACGAAAAGTGTTCGTTCAGTCCGAATGTGTGCTACGAAGACTCTTGCTGCATGTCTTTTGAGGTTCGGATCCTTTTAAGATACCACTTTTCGAAAAAGTCATGAACAACCAGTTAACCCTGGAAAGAAGCGAAGAATAAAAAAAACAAAAATTCCTTTTCTATGAGATCGGCTTCGCTAAAAACCTGATAGTACCGTAAAAAAAAATCTAGGATCTGTCTTCGAAAAATATAGTTTACAAATTATTTGTTTTTTAGTTTTTGTAGTTTACTTTTAACGGCGGAATTTTATTGAGATCACAGTGATATCATTATTTTCATGCAAAAAAAAAAAACAGGTGAAAAAAGTACATCAGAGTTCTTCCGATATTTTCCTCGGTATGGTCAAATCTCTTCGATTTTTACGAATCAAAAAATCATCCAAAATCCCTTGATAGAAAATAAATGCTTAAAAGTTGGTAATGCAAGAGTTTTGTGCTGCAGTTAAGTATTGATTTTGTGGAATTCTAAAACATTTTCCAATAGATTGGAACGTTTTCTAACTTGATTGAAAGCAATTTTACAGCAATCAGCTCGTCTTTACTTGAGTCTATGTTCTTTGAGAAAAAAAAAAGAATTCAGACAGCAATATCCTGGCACTACCGAGCGGCCCAGTCGGTTCACATTGGCTTCAGTGCGGCGGGGGTCATCGCCAGCCTAGTTTATTTGATCCATTTTTCTTCGAAACATTTACTTCCTTTCAATACTAGGGTAAGTATATGATTTCTTTTTTTTTCGCAAAACTAAGCCAAGAAAAATGGAGTCAAACGGAGAAGCTGCTAAAGACCAAAAATAGTTTTAAAAAAAACAGATAAACTGAAAAATAAAAATAAGAACATTATCAGACTCATAAAACCGCCAAATTAGCTTTTTTTAACGAGAGTTCTTATTAGCCTTACAGCGCCATGTGTATTATTTTTTTCGTCATTCTTTAATGTGTTTATTTTTTCTTTGATCACTTTTATACTTTTCTTGCTAACAGTAACCAAGTTTGCCCATAATATTTCAATTCTCTTCATCAAGCTGATTATTTTTTCAAGCAGTTATTTTCCAGGTCTTCGTTTCGATTATGATAATAACTCTGATTGTTCATTCGATGGACATGATCGTCATGCATGTGGGTTTTGCTTTTTTGCTCGAAAGGAAGCTAACTTTTAACCTTTTTCACCTCAACTGCTTCAAACTAAACAAAAACTCGTGTAATAGGTGTTTGGATAGAAGATAACTGCCAATTTGACTATAATTGTAAGGTTTCTTGGAAACGGTAGATGATTATATGGTAAAACATCCTTAACAAACTTCAATTATTAGGAAAAATGTGTTCTGGGAATCGGTCAAGTTCAAACCATTTCAACCATTTTTTGTTTTTTATTTCAGAAAATCAAATATTATCTGAGAAATCTCATAAAAAAACGCTTCAAAACGTCGATTTCAGGTTATCCACCTGCAACAGTCCTACGTGGCCAACGCCAGCGACCCATGCAAAATTCGGAATCGCGTCGATTTTTGTGCTCCCTACCGAAATACCTATTCTTTATGTCTATTCCTACTTGCTGTCATTCAATATTCTTTGTACATAGACCGACTAATCGGAGTTTTCTGGCGAAAATACAATTCCTACAGTAATTATGTGCTCGCCGTGCTGCTCGTCCAGGCGGTTAGTCATATTGAAGCTCTTTTTTGTTCCATATTAAGCAATTTTTCGCATACCTTTTTTAAATCATTCTCAGTCGAATCAGTCATTAAAATTCGTTTTAAATCCCTTTATTAGAAAAAATATTTAGTATGGGTGAAGCCAAATAGAAACTGAGTGATATGATAGAATTTGGCAGGATGCCAGAATTTTTATATGACCGGCATCTGACGGAGCTAAAATTTCATTGATTAAATCCCAATAGAGAAGCTAAAAAAATTGAAAAGAAAATCAAAATGAAAGCTTTCTGGGGCCAGTCAATTCGAAAAATCGAATTAAAAAATTTCTTAATTATTCAATAGTGTTTTTGAAAATTTCAAGCAACTAAATACAAAAATAATTGAACTTTTTTTTGGGATTCGAATACTCTGGCCCGAGAGCTTTGAAACTGCAAAACCATGAAAATATTTTCAATTTTTCCTCAATTTTCAGACAATAACACCAGTAGTTGCCGTCAGATGGGTCTACCGAGATGCCAACCCCTCGGCCACTCTTCTGTCCTGTATAAACGTTCCCCTAGATTCAATCGTCGACATGAGTATGCTCACCGCCTTTTTATTGCCAATTAACTTCATCTGCTTCTTCTTATCCTTGTACCTCTTCTCGTCATACAAAAAGACTCAACGAAGGTTTTGCCTAACTTTCTTATCTCAAACTAAGTGATGACTTTTGCAGAAGCCGCTTCGACATTCATCGTCACTTCCTGGCCGTGATCGACGTCGACTCTTCCGAATTCCTCAGAAGGACGACGGCGACTCAAGCCTTCATGACCGTCGTGTATCCCGTGGCTATTCTGGTCGTCCGTTACACCTACGAATATGTTACAAGGCCAATTCATCTCACTTTGGCGACTAGTGCTTATGTTCGTTTTTCAAAGCTATTTTTATCCGAAAAACTTGAAAAATATTAAAGACGTGTGATTAGTAAGACGGAGATTTCCAAAAATACCTCTCCAAATAAGTTGATCACGCCTCAATTTGGAATATCAATAAAACGAGCGATTTTCGATATTTACGATTTCGATAACCAGACTTTACGATTTCGATAACCAGACTTTTTTTTATTAAAAAAAAGTTTTCATCTGAATTTTAAAGTTCCAGGACGCCTTTTTTTGCATTTCAATTAAAATTTTGATAAAGTTTATAAATTTTTAAAGGAGAGTGAAAAAAAGCTCAAAATCTTGACCAGAGTGTACTCCGAGTGAAACCAAAACGAATAATTTTTTTCCCAGTTTTTTGCTGAATTTATGGAGTAAGATTACGATAACCGTGTGTTTTACGAGCCAGGTGTCTTTAAAATGTCATTCGACCTTTTCAAAATTTTATCACCTCGTGAAATTTCCGGCAAAAAACTGATTTCTTCAAAAAAAGCTTGACTCACATTTCTTTCAGATATTCAGCTTCATGTCCTTCCTCGTGCCGCTGGTCATGATCTATTCCGTTCAAAAATATCAATTCATGAGGAAACAGAAGATTTTCGACCATTTAAGCCTGAAATCGGTCGGATCCGAGGGTTCTGACAATTACTTCAATGGATTGAAAGAGCAATGGGGCGGGCCTCCAGTCAAGACCAAGAAATAAATAATTTTTTTTATTTTTTGATGTATTTATTGACCTTTTTACAATATGTACAGCAAAGAAAACAAGGAATGAACCGTAGAAATTAAGAGGCGGTTTCTTTGAAACCACTGTCGGCGTCTGGCCGAGTCACGCTGTTGGCAAAGGGAAGACTGAGTTTTTGGGAGTTCTAGAAATTGGGAATCATTATTTTCGCAATAATTGGTTGGATTACCTTCTTATCTTCCTCTTCAATAAGTTTAAGGACGTCTTTCTTGATTTTCAGAGCAGTATGACGGCTTTGAGGCGACTTTTCCCAACAATCTCGCATCAGTTTGGTAAGATGACAAAGAGCACTCTGCAAGTCGAAAAAAAATGAACAGCTTTGTGGAAATTTGAAAAACAAAAACTTGCTCGTGGCTACAAAAACGCTTCATGCAAAAAGATAAATCATTTTCTTCGTATTTTCTGTCGTTACTACGTCAATTTCGAATATCGCTCCAAAAAAAAAGAATCTACACTTTCGATACAGACACTACTCGCTGTAAAACGCTCTGTAGGCTAAATTTTCCTTAGAAATACTCACATTATTTCCTTTGACCCAAGCGTCTTCGAGGGGTGGCCTTTTCTGGAGTTCGCAAACGACGTAGCGCATTTCATCGAAAGATGGGTCATTTTCGACCATCCCTTCGAACGGCGGCACGTACGGTTTGGCTTTGAGAGACTAAAAAAAAACTAATTACAGAAGTCTCGAATAGACTTTCAGCTATTCGAAGTTAAACTGAGTTTTGTCGTTTTTTTATAAGCTCTAGTACCTGCAGCAATATTTTTCACAGAGGTAAAAAAGCATCGCTTTGATTTCAATCAATAGTCGTAAATCCAAAGAAGTAGGAACTGACAATATCGACCGAAGGCTTCTGGCGATGGAGCCGCGGCGGATTACTGTCGCTGGACAGAGACTCGCCCAGTCCGCTCGACTCGCAGCACTCGTGGGCGTCGCCCGCGGAAAACTCCTCGGCCTTCTGCGCCGAGGTGTTGTCCTGAAGCAAGTGTTGCGGTCGCGGCGCGGTTTCTCGGTACTCACCTCAACTCTTCTCGCGATTTCCCACATGACCAGAGCAAATGAGTAAATGTCGGCCATTTTGAACTGGGAAAAGTCGTTGGGATTCAAGGTCCTCGACAGGACTTCTGGCGCCATGTACCTTTTTGTTCCCACCTGGACGTTCACCTTCTCCGGCAGCAGACCTTCGTTTTCACTTAAACAAATATGTGTTTCAAAAGTTTGATTAAATAATTATAAAGTTTCAAAAATAATAAAAGGTTTAAAAAATGAATAATTAATTCGGTTAAGGATTAAAAAGGGATCCAAGCTAGAATGAAACGGACATAATATGAAATTGAGAATAATGAATGACGTTTCTCATTGGCGTTTCGAAAACGAAAAAAAAATCACAATTTAAAATGCTTTTGAGAGGATCTAAGAATCCCACAGTGAGCACTTAACACACGTTCTCTGAGAAAATCGATGACTTTTCAGTAATAAAAAGCAAAACAAAATAAAATTTTTTTTTGATTTGCCTCAAAATGTGATCACGGCTCACACACGTGCTTCTGATTATTTAGCACCAGGTTCCAAGTGGCTCCGCCCCTTTTAAAAGATACTGTAGTCAGTAAGCTGAAAAAAATTAATTTTTTTCCTGTTGAGAATTTTCATTCAAAAATGTTTGGAAATGTAAGAAAACACTATTTTGAGTATTTTTTCAGTTGCAACTTTTTTTCTAACTCGACTTCTTCGGGGAGAAAAAAATCAAAATTTCCTCAAAAACAGCGATTTTTTCAGTTTTTGAGCCATAACTTGAGTAAAAACCCCCCTATGGTACGACTTTTATTTCTGATTATGAAACTAGGGGCCTTCTTCTTCAAGAAAAAGTGGTTCTACAAAAAATCCCTGGGGTGGGATAGTTGACCTCCATTCGACCGAAGGTGATCAACTTGAATCGGCTCAAAATTCAAAAAATCATTTTTCTCCTAATTTGACGGCTTTTTCCTCTCTTTTGTTTCGAAACAAAAGACAACACTCACGTTCATGTTCTCCACCATTTTGGTGCTCAAAGAAAATTTTATTCCGAATTTCTCGAGGCTTTTCGAATTTTAGGACTATCGTCGATTTTCGATTTTTTTCCGTTTTCAGGTAGTTTTTTCTGTAGGAACCCCCGAATGTGGTCATTATCTTTTTGGTATATGGAAGAGTAGGTCTTTCTGGATAAGAAAAAATTAGTCCGGTAAATATCTCTGGGGTGGCCCAGTTGACCTCCGACCGCCTGAAGGTGACGACCCCATAAAATGGAATTTTTCACAAAGGCTCGGAAAAACAACTTTTTTTGTTTCCATTCTAACAAAAAAAACTTTTTCAGTGAGACCTACATCACTTTTTCGACATGAATCGGAGTCTTTTTTTCGGCAAGAAATAAGTAGTTTTATTCAAATTTGAGGCTTGGCACGCTTATCTTCGTTTTTCACCGTTCTTATCTGCTCTAAATTGCTGAAAAGTAACCTGGAAACCCTGTTCAGAAAAGATTTTTAGGGAAACCCAGCAAATCTTTGAATTTTTTTGAACACCTAAGCAAGGGATATCGGAGTGAAGAAATGGCGAAAAAAGGTTTTTCATCAACTTTTTCGAGAAATAAAAACACCTTATGCCATTCAATAATGTCAATTGTTTTTTAAAAAACAACTATTGATGAAACTTATTAGAAAGAAAAAAGAGAGACTTAATAAACCTGACTTTAATTCGGAAGATGCATTAAAACGCTTCTTAGTTCAAAAAATGTATTTTTCAAAAAGCTTTTTTCACTTGAGTTGTTCTGTAAATAAATGAAAAACATGAACAAGTGTCTGTATAAACGTTGCAACACAAAAAAAGCCAGAATTGTATTACAAGAACTTCGAAATGCTTCAAAACCCTCATTTTTAAGGGAGAACTGTATGGATAGAGTCGATTCAAAGTTTCAAAAATTGCCAGTTCCTGTATTTCGGCGAAAAAATAATTTTTGAGAATCATCGACCTTTTTGAATGGCATAAGGTGTTTTTATTTCTCGAAAAAGTTGATAAAAAACCTTTTTTCGCCATTTCTTCACTATCCCTTGCTTAGGTGTTCAAAAAAATTCAAAGATTTGCTGGGTTTCCCTAAAATCTTTTTGAACGGGTTTCCAGGTATTTTCAGCAATTTAGAGCAGATAAGAACGGTGAAAACGAAGATAAGCGTGCCAAGCCTCAAATTTGAATAAAACTACTTATTTCTTGCCGAAAAAGACTCCGATTCATGTCGAAAAGTGATGTAGGTCTCACTGAAAAAGTTTTTTGTTAGAATGGAAACAAAAAAAGTTGTTTTCCGAGCCTTTGTGAAAATTCCATTTATGGGGTCGTCACCTTCAGGCGGTCGGAGGTCAACTGGGCCACCCCAGAGATATTTACCGGACTAATTTTTTCTTATCCAGAAAGACCTACTCTTCCATATACCAAAAGATAATGACCACATTCGGGGGTTCCTACAGAAAAAACTACCTGAAAACGGAAAAAATCGAAAATCGACGATAGTCCTAAAATTCGAAAAGCCTCGAGAAATTCGGAAATAAAATTTTCTTTGAGCACCAAAATGGTGGAGAACATGAACGTGAGTGTTGTCTTTCGTTTCAAAACAAAAGAGAGGAAAAAGCCGTCAAATTAGGAGAAAAATGATTTTTTGAATTTTGAGCCGATTCGAGTTGATCACCTTCGGTCGAATGGAGGTCAACTATCCCACCCCAGGGATTTGTTGTAGAACCACTTTTTCTTGAAGAAGAAGACCCCTAGTTTCATAATCAGAAATAAAAGTCGTACCATAGGGGGGTTCTTACTCAAGTTATGGCTCAAAAAAACTGAAAAAAAATCGCTGTTTTTTTGAGGAAATTTTTGATTTTTTTCTCCTCGAAGAAGTCGAGTTAGAAAAAAAGTTGCAACTGAAAAAAATACTCAAAATAGTGTTTTTCTTACATTTCCAAACATTTTTTTGAATGAAAAATTCTCAACAGGAAAAAAATTAATTTTTTTCAGCTTACTGACTACAGTATCTTTTAAAAGGGGCGGAGCCACTTGGAACCTGGTGCTAAATAATCAGAAGCACGTGTGTGAGCCGTGATCACATTTTGAGGCAAATCAAAAAAACTTTTTTTTTATTTTGCTTCAGATTCATCGACTTTCTCAGAGAACGCGTGTTAAACTATCGTACCGGAAATCACTTCGAAAAGCATCAAAAAAATTGTAACAACGGATTAAATTAGAAAATAATTATTAAACGCTTCAAACTTGGCTCTTTTTGATCTTTCGAAAATTAAAACTTTATTTTTTAACCCAGCCTTTTGCGTAATTTTGACAAAAATCAAAAACTTCTTTATAAGTTTATTTTAAAACTTACAATCTGACAGCCAGGCCGAAATCCGCGATGCAGCAAACTCCAGCTCGTTTGACAATAATGTTCTTCGACTTGATGTCTCTGAAGAAAACAACTCCTAGCTGAGCCCTATAGAAGCAACGAATCCAACCGATGAGCGATTTCCGGTTTTCTCCTGCTTCCCGTGCCATGCACCGCTGTGTGCAGATGTTCGATACCGCACATTGAACTGAAAATGTTTTTTTGAAATCGAAAGAACACGACAAAAAGAGAAACCTGTAAATCAAACGAAGAGCCTCGTCTGTCGACAAAGTTTCTTCACGACGTAGGTAGTCGGACAATGATCCAAGCTCGTGATAATCAGTCACGAGAAGCATTTGTGTGATCGAATCTTCGCTGCAAATGTCGGCGGCCACAAATTCTGAAACAAACCAGATCGACTGAAAATCCTCTCTTGATAGTCTTTTCAAACAAATAACTTCATTGTCAGATCGGTGACATTTTTGGCATCAAGAGGAATTTTTCAAAACTGAAGAAATGCAGTAACAAGAGAATACTTCATTTTCCCTTTACACAAGAAGAATATCGAACTCACGCAAGATGTTCTCGTGATTGAGCATGTGGGTCTGATAGACGTCCCTCTCGTTTTTCCAAGAGTCTTCTTCAGTAGTGTAGAAGGTCTTGACGGCGACATAACTTCCGCGGTAAGTCGCTTTTCTGACTTCGCCGTATCTGAAGAGATAGAGGATTTGGACGACAAAAGTCCCATCATTATCCGATACCTTCCCCGGCCGATCACTTTGATGATGGCCAAGTCTTGAGCTACGGTTCTCTGGATCAACGTCGCTTTTCCAGAGCCACTTCCGCTTCCAGAATCTTCCGGCTCCAACATCGCTGACTTTTCTTCGTCTTTGAAGTCGTGGACCTCCGATTTTCGTAGACCTTAAAATTAAACCAGCTTCGGACTAATTATCAAAACCAACGCTGGAGGAACAGGAGAAGACTGAAGACGATTAGGGAAATCGCAACAAAACTTCCAAGAACAACGAAAAAGATCATCAGACCGTGGCGGTTCTTCATTTCAAACTCAAACTCGCTTCCTGGTAGGTCTGAAAATTTATTTAATTTTCCATATTTTTAACGGGATGGTACCGTGTTCATAAATGCCAGCATACGGCGGCGGCTCAAGATCCTTATTACAGTAGTTTCCTTCGTAACAGCAAGCGATGCTTTTTGCGTGCCGATGGGCCGTTCTCCAGGAATTGCACTGGAACACTAAATTATTCAACTGTTTCTGAAAGGTCTCAACCGTAAGATGCGAGGCAGAACTGCCCCTTTCCAACGTCGCGCACCCAAATTTGTGCCAGGTTTCCATTCTGCGCAGGCCTTTGTTAAAAACCTGGAAAAACTTTTTTGCGGATGTAAATCAGTGAGATCCAAAAGTTTTCTAAATCTTCCATCAGCACGGGCATCAGAAACATGCACGTTTCTGAGCATTTCAACAATCATTTGAGAATGTAGAATTTGCTAAAGAGATCACTAGAAATGCTCAGAAATGTCAGGTACGCGTCCGGTTTGCGTTACCGAGGTCAGATAAACTTCAAAAATTTCATCGGCTTAATAGGTCAGTTATTTTCTGAGCCAAAGAAACATGAACTTTTTTTTAAAGATTCGAATTTGACGCTGTATTTCATAATTCATCACTATTTTTTTCAATCGGTAAAATCAAACTTCAAAAAAAAAAAAGAACTTTTTTTCATTATGAAACTCTTTTAGAACTATGAATGTACGTCATAATAATGCACTTGAATTTACTAGCAATGTAAATAAACAAAGAAAACCTCTTCGACAGCATGATAACAGGCGGCGTTGTCTTGCTTGATGCAAGTAAAATTTCCGTCGCAAATTCCGTCTCCGTAGGTGCAATGACACCGGTTTTCCAGCACATCTTTCTTCTTGTTTCTCTCTTTTTGTTGTTTCAAAACGATGTTTCTAAAAAACACTGGGAAATTTGAGTAACATAAAAGGGGAACCTTTTCATTGAAAAGTGGGTCACGCGTTTGAATAAAGTAAGAGAAACTGATAATGGTTTTTTAAAGTTGAAAAATTCAAAATTAAGAAAATTAACATGAAAATTTTCTTAGTTAAACGATTTTTCGCAAGACCTTATCAGTTTTTTACCTTGATAAAAACGAAAAACCCAAAAAAAAAAAACCTGTATTGAGCGGGCACGCCAACCGCGTCAGCAGGAATACTCAAAGCCAAATCTTCGTCATCATAATGGTCCCAGTCGGAATTGGCAGCAACCGGAACGGAAAAACCGGTGACCAGAAAGAGAATCTTCAGGAAAAGCATATTTTGAATAGACAGCACGTGAAAGACGCCAAGGAAGACGCGGCGCCAGACTGTTTGCTTCTTGGCTGGCGCCACTGCACCCTCCGTCGTTGCCGGGTACTCTTTCCGCGACCGAAACCCGCCGCGCGCCCCATTAACTTTGCATCGCAGCTGCGAGTTAGCGGTTAATGCTGAAAATGACCACTGTGCTGCAGTTTTTTTCTATTAGAAAGAAAAATGAAAGCAATTTCAAGTTGAAAACGAGAGTCCAGTCATGAATAAAATCGTATAAAAATCGTTTGCGATTCCAAAGGTTCTATTTGAAGTCATTCATGAATGAAGTTAAAGTTATGGAGGTTAATTATGAATTTCGCAGGAGTCTAAGCCTTTTTTCAGTTTTTCGAAAATCGTTTCCCTTACATAATTTCAAGTAAACCATGAGATAAAAATGGAAAACTCTACATTAACTTCAAAATGAAAAGAAAAAAGCCGCAAAATAGCATATTCAGGGCAAACAAAGTAGACAGTTTGGAAAAAGCTGAAGTAAGTCCAATAGGGAAAAAAAAACCAGCTACAGAGGCATACTAAAAGACCCCTTACTGCGCCCCTAGAGGACCCCTTAAATGGTAATTAAAGACCCACAATAGGAACTTTGCCGAAAGTCGCTAGTCAGAATTTGGGATTTCTATACGGAGCCCTTTAAGTTTCTCTCTAGGAGATCCTAATATCAGAGCTGTTCTCGGGGCGGCCCCGGTCGACCGAGGGCGCCCCGATTTGCGGCGTGTTCGAGGGCGGCCGCGGTCGACCTTTGGTTAGGGTCAATTCGGTCGAAAATTTTTTTTTTGACTCTCGGTTTTTTGCGAATTATAAGAAAGCGAAAGAAGCGCAAGTTTTACTGAAATGAAAGTGAAACAAAAAAACATTTTTATCGAGCACATAAAGAAGAAAAACCGATGAAATGAGATATTAATCCAAAAATTCAATAGTTTTCTAAGTGGCCAGAACAATTTACAGAACTAGAGAAAACAAAATGATAAATAAGAAATAATTCGAAATTTTCACATCATCAGGAATTTCATTTTCGCAAAAAATTCATTCAAACCACTATTTGAAATATTATTTTTTTATTCACAACGAGAAAAACGAAAAAGATTCGAAAAAAAGTGAAATCAAAAAGCCCGATTTCTATCAAAAAAACAATAAAACTAAACTTTTTCATGGATCATAAATAACTTAAACATTCATTTTTCAATATGAAAAAAACCGAAATAAAAAAACAAAAAAATACGGAAAAAAATCCTCGCGCTCGCTTCGGGGGCCTGAATGAAAACCGCTTCGCGGGCCGGGGCGCTCAGGGGCGCGTCGCGGTCGGGTCGGGGCGGCCTCGGCCAGGGTCGCCCCGACTTGAGAACAGCTCTGCCTAATATACTCCTTATAAGACCCACTTAATCTCAAACTCCCTTTAGGACCCTTTTCAACTTTTCCTAGATAGCTGAAATTCGGAAAGCGAATTTAGTCACTCGGTAACTAGAAATTCTCAGGAACGTCCGTGGAAATTTAAGATTGCAGAAAATTTTCAAGAGTTCAACTTTGCAAGTTCCAAAAGCGTGAAAAAAACCCTGAAAAAGTGAAGGATTTGACCGTAAGAGATTTCGATTGATATTCACCACAAAGAAATTCGTATTTTCAAAAAAAAAAAGAATACAATTTATTCCGACAGGCACAAGGGTAACAACAATGACCACGAATGTTCAAAACAAAAATAACAAAAATGATAATAAATACAATTTCGAAGCTCATGAACTGAGGGAACTCGTCGATTATTGGTAAGTGTTGGGTACCCAGACGTCGCAATGTTTCGTTGGCGCATAGGGCGAGCCGGTTGGACAGTTGAAAGCCGTTTGGAAAGCGGGGTAGTTCTGAAAACCTTCCATTTCTTTGCGATCTTTTCCAACTTTAACTAATTTCTCTATAAGGAGTGAAGAACGGACCTGGATGGTTCCATAAACTCGGTACATGGATGGCGAATGAGGATCGTTCATGATCTGACTGTACAAAGCATCGTCGGTTCGTCGCACTTCGCACCAAACCTTCAAACGATTTGTGATTCTTTAATTTATTGAGAGACTCCACATAAATACTTTGATTTGAGAAAAAATAATCATCGTGAATCCAAAATAACGGAAACTAGAAAACATTGTTCATTAACTTCCACACAAAAACTCTAGCCAGAAAGTTATTAAATTAGAGAATTTTCTGCTTTTTCGTGTAAAGTCAGCAGTTGGTCACGATTCCAAAAATAAGCATGATTCACAACCCTTATTAATCAACAAATGGAAAACTTTGCTAACATCAGCAAGTCTAAAAGTTGTAAAATTCGGAAAAATCCTTTTTTTCAAAGATGCCTGCAGTATTTTTTTTTTCTCTAATATTGTTAACGTATGATGCAATTTGAAAGGAATCTCGCCCAGTTGAGGTGCGATTCTGAATGATAGGTGCAAGGGAAATCACCACCAATCAAGATGATTTTTTCCAAAACTCCGAATTTACCTGAGCAAAGTTCAAGAAGAAGAGCTGATCGTGGGTGAATTGTCCGAGCAAACGGTCGGGAAGCAGCGGATCAGGTCCATCCAAAGCCAGATGAGTGCGGTAAGCGCGGAACGCCGAGTGAATTCCTAGAATCCATTTTTCAAAGCGGAATGATAACTCCACTGATACCTCCGTTATCAGCGATGTTTTCTCCTTGTGTCTGAGATCCCTTCACGCAGTTCGGATGATAATTAGTGGCGTTGAGCGGGCAGAACTGGTTGTATTCTTGAAAATCATTTATTCGCATAAAGTTTGAAAGTTGTACGTTTTTTTGAGGTGACGTCATAAATTGAAAATGAAAACAGGTAATGTATAGAGTCAAAATATAATAAAAACAAGTTTCAAAAAGATGAAAATTTTGAGTTTTTTTGAGGAAAACAAATTTGCTCTGTTTTTAAGATTTCTCTTCGTTTTGATACAAAATCTGATTGTCAATCTCCTCCACCTACCGTTGATAACACACTGAGCCATGTTCTTGAAGCCGTCGGTCGAATTCTTGTCCATCCAAACGTTGAGGTTACCAGTTTTGTCCCACTGGATACCTTGGTCATCGAATCCGTGAGTCAGTTCGTGACCTAAGATGACGTAATTCCAGAGTCGTCTACAGTGACGAGACCTGCGACAAGACCCATTCCACCGTAGTTGATGCTGGGCGGCCAGAGAGGATGGAAGTACGGTGGGACGAGAATACCGGCAGGGAACGTGATCGAGTTGAGTTCCGGCTGAAGGTTCCAGCCAAATTGCAGATCAAGGTTACGAAAATTACAAGAAACATGTAGAAGAACTTCAAGCTTCCTTCTTCTTTACATTAGGTTTAAATTGTTCTCATATGTTCTTATATTCGTAGAAATAGCTACTTGAACATGATGAAAAAAATTACAATAAAAAGGCTGAAGGATCTTTATGTTGCAGCGTCGATGGCTAGAGATTCGAAATCACCTGATACCAGGCGTTGACGGTTCCCGGCTGTCCGAGGAAATCGTTTCGGTCAGTGGTAGCGAAAGTGAGTTGACGGTACTGGATGAGGATGTTGTACCTAACTTTGCCCATTTTTTCTGAAGAGTTTAAAAATGTTTGCAACTTCACGAGCTTGTCGTAGATGTCGTAGTAGTTGTCGGTTTTAACGATGCTCAAATCTTTGTAGTAGGCGTCCAAACTCGAATCGTTGCGGATCCAGTCAGGGAAGGCGATGTTTTGCACTGAGAATTATTCATATATAATAATGATTCAAACTAATATGTTCACTGGAAAAAAATAAGCTTAAAAAATTATAAAATTCTCAGATTACCAAAACGCCTTTATTGTTCATTTTCGACTCAAGTTAAAAAAAAATAATTTCTAAAAAATCATTGGACTCATCCTCATTTAATTCGAATTAATATCGAGACCGGAAAATATTTACTTTGTTAGGGGCAATCTCCATAAAACTCACAAACGTTGACAGTCTTGTCGTAGGCGATCTTCTTCGTGTCGGGCGTCATCCAGTCGAGTTGATCGATCATTCCTTGGAAGGCGTTGATCACGTTGCGGATGATTCCACCGGCAACCCTTAAACTTCTTTTTATCGATTCGAATTACTTCCAAATGATTACGTTCTGATATTGACAACATCGGAAGGCTTCGGGTACATGTAGTCGACGAAAACGCGGCCGTTGGCATATTGCATCAAATTGTTTGCCGCTCCTGGATATTGAACTTGTTTCAAAGTTAAGAGAAAAATCTTGACCGTTCAGATTGGCGAATCCTTCATCCTCACCTTTTCCTCAGAAATTTTTTGAAAAAACTCGTCTCTATGCGTTTTCTTAGCAATTTTCTCGTTTGTGAGTGGTTTCCTCACGTTTTTCTCACATTATTAATAGGAAAAGAAGTTGAAAGGGCAATCTTGGTTAGAGGGAAGAAAGTCCCTTAAGTGATCAAAATAGTACTCCCTAAAGAGTGAAATTTAAGTAGTCCCTATAGGAGTTTAGGGTTTGACCTTCCACATTCTTTAACTTGAATGGTCCCTATAAAGGTCTTTTAGTTTTTCATCCTGATTAGAAAGTTAAAAAGACGTGTAGGGACCACTAGCCCGCTTCTAAAATTGGTCAATTTCTCAAGCTTCAGTGTCCCCTTTTTGAATAAATAAAGTGTAAAGCATATTTTTTTGAGTTTCGAATGACTCATAATTTCTGAAAGAAACCTGCACATCCGGGTCCATTCGGAGCATTGTCAGCTGCGGGAGGGAATCGGAAGTTGGGGATCGTTTTGCGGCGAGAAAGACCGAGAAGAATCGATTCTTCCTTAATAGAAACAGTTTTTTATTAATTTGTACAAAAGAAAAGGAATTTTATTTATTTGTTGGCATGCCTTTATATTCATGAATATTACGGACATGCATGTTGGCAAAGGCGCTGGCGTAGGACGGAATGTACTGAGCGTTTCCGAGCAGAAGTCGCAGGAACAAGTAGTTGACGACGGTGGTCGCGTCGAACTTCGAGAACGCGTCGCTCAGAGTTTTGATCATCACCGGCTGAAAAATGTGGATAGATGTTTTCTTGCTATCGGCGAAAATAACTATTGTTCTCCCCTTTTTGATTATTCTCAATTTTTGAAATATCAGGTTTTTAAGCTAACTCATATAAACAACCGTCTACTTTTTTTTTCATTTAGAAGCTGGAAAAAAGAACATTTCAAAAAATGCGAGATAAATCATGATATACCGCGAGAAAACGCAAAAAAAAAGCCAAAATTTTCTGAATTCGCAAATTTTTTTTTCTGATCTTTTGAAACGACTGTCTTAAGTGTTTCAGTGAATCGAATTTTTTTGAAGTTACAATTTTTTGAAATTTGCGTTGGACACAAATTTTTTAACCTTCAGAGTTTATATCTCCGAAACTAGAAGTTTCAGAGAGAGGGTTTCAATTGAGTTAGAAATTAATTCTTCATTATTCATGCTCACCTCTACAAAAGAAATCTGATAAGTCTGAGCAGAAGCAATGTTTCGGGCAATCGTAGGAACCTGTAAAGTAATTTTCAGTGAAGATTTTTCACTTCTGCATTTTTTGACAACATACATGAGCCAGGTACTTGTCCCAATCGACGAACGGATATCTTCCGTTGAGAGAAGAAACGGCCTGAAGATTCCAGGACCGGTTGAAAGTTCGGCGAGTGTCGTCGTCCGTCGAGAAGTTCAACGCGATTTTCTGCTCGAAGTCGAGAATTCCGGAGATCCCAGTGCTCAACGTTCCCTGGTCGTTTCTTGCCGCCCTGTCGATAATTGTTCTTTTTTTCTTCGAGTGAGATCTGTTCCTACTTCTTGCTTGGAGAAGCGCTGAACAACATCGAGAGCCGTGGCCAAATACTTAGGCTTTTCGATGACCCAAGCCGCAGGCTGGTAGTAGGTCTTGCTGAAAGACACAAAATTAATAATTTTCCTCGAAAAATCTGTGGAACTTTATTAAATTTCAAAAAAAAGATAAAATCTCATCAGGACTTTAGTGAAAGAAAAAAAGAATTTGCAATATCTTTGGAGCAAGAAAGTTTTTTCCGGCTTTTTCTCCAATCTATTCAACATTTTTTAAAAAGTTTTTGCGTTAGAAATTCAAAATTTCTTTCAAAGATCTCAGAGGATAGATCTAATTCACATCTTTCTTGCTTTATTCAAAGTTTATGAAAAAGTCTTCTGAGTTTTCCTCGGGTTGAAAAGAACTTCTCAGAGGATCCGGTCCAATCTAGCTAAAAATAATATTTTGCGACAAAAAAATATCGTGAGAAGCTTCAAAAAAATTGAAATCTCACGATAGGTAGGCCGTGTTCTGGTCGACGAACATACGGTAGCCCTTGGTGTTGTCGATCCAATTCGTATCGACTGACGGCGTCACAAACGTGTCCACTCCCTTAAAAGCAGCGGGTTGGAAGATATATCCGTAATTCCCGCCGAACCTCTTCGAAAGACAAATATCCGAGAGCATCGCCCAACTGGGCGGCGGTCGGCATCGCGGAGACCTTGTTGTTGAAAACGAGCGAAAAATTCTGACCGAGAATTCCGGCCAACTTGTTGACCTTCTTGAGGATGTAGTTGTTGGCGATCAGCAGCTGATCTTCCGTCTGGGCCGTCTTCGTCGCCACTAAACAAGCGTCGAAGAACATCTTCTCCTTGGTTAGAGCGGTAGAGTTCTGAAAAGTTCTCGCTTTCAGACTAATAAGTATGCGTTTGTTATAACGGCTGAGAAAAATGTTTTTGCCTTTGTGTCTTTGTAATTTTTTGTTGTATTTTCTCATAAACTTTGAGTTCAGATCTAACTCAAGGATGCTCCCGATATTAAAAAGCTTCGTTCCTCCTTAAACGCAAAACTTTTTCCCCCCTAAAACTCTATTTTCAAACAAAAGTCACTTTGATTGTAGATTGATAAGACGGCAACTGAAGTTGATTAGCCATGTAGACGAGGTTCTGTGCGCGGGCTGTCGTGAAAGAGACCTTGATTTATAATTCTTCATCAAATTTTTCTCCATTTATTATATACCGGCTTATCGAAAGAACCACACGCGTAAGACCAGAAGTCCTGGCAAGGATCGACCGAAACGTTCACCGAGCTCTGAATAATATGAGAAGATCATTTTGAACTCCGATTCTCGGATAACTTGATAATAATCGACGGCGCTCTTGAAGGCGTTGTACTTGTCGACGTCGCGGGAGGTGATTTTCGGCGTGTCGACAATGTTCAGGTCCGTCTTGATGTCAGGCTTGCCGAAGGCTGAAAAAAACAAATGGGAAAATTTGGAATGGATAAACGCCTCAATTAATCACGAAAACGAAATACGTTTTCGGGAAAAACAAAAACTGATATCGGTAAAAAAAAAGTCTACTTTATTTTCAAAGATACTGTGGCGGAAAATAGTAATAATCAGATTTCGATCGGTTTTGAAAAGGTCATTTTCATGGAACTTTCCGTCTCTGAGAATGCTTCTCAAACCAAACCAAAAATGCTAATAAATTTGTTCCTTAATGTCGGGCAACTCTGAGAATTAGTTGCTGAATCATAAAGTTGGAGTAAAGAATTTTCCAAAGTTATCTATTTTTGCAATTTTTTCAAGCCAGGCAATATCTACTATGATTTTCCAGTTTCTACGTGTTCCTCACTGGTGTCAATGTCCGAGACCCAGACGTTGCAGTGATTGTCAGGAGCGTACTTGGAGACGGGGCAGTTGAAGGCGTTTTTGAAGGCCGGGAAGTTCTGAAAATCCTTTTTCTCGCGTTTCTCTTCGAGTTGTCCACCTGGATAGTTCCCCAGACGCGGTAGATGGACGGCGAATGGACATCGACCAAGATTTGTCGTTCCATGGCCGCATCCGAGGGATTGACCTGGCACCAGACTTGGGCGAACGCCAAGAAGAACAATTGATCGGCGGTGAAACTTTTGAATTGGCTGTCCGGAAGTTCCGGATCCGCTCCATAAAGGTTGATGTAGTTGCGATAAGCGCGGAACGCGGAGTGGATTCCTACAATGTGCTTTTGCTGCTTTTTCATAAAATATTCATTTGTTATGTTATCAAGCTCTTTGTTTTTGGATCTTTGCTACCTCCGTTGTCAGCGATGTTCTCGCCCTGAGTCTGAGCTCCGTCGATACAAGCGGCGGCTCCGTACTTGGACTTGTCCAAGGGGCAGAAGCCGCTGTACTCGTTGACGACGCACTGAGCCATGCTGGTGAAGTTTGCCTTCGATTGGGCGTCCATCCATCTCAAATTATTCAGTTTTAATGGGAAAGGAGGTGCTCTGAACACGAGTATCGTAAAAAAAAAAGTCAAATCTTTAGACTCTCATTATTATTATTTTTTTGCTTCGTTTTTTCATCTCAGTTTGCAACTATTTTTCTGCTTTTTGTGCCCCATTTTTTTTCTTTATTTTGTTCTCACCCAGCCAAGGCACCGACGCCGTCCCATTGGACGCCTTCATCGTCGAAACCATGGGTCAGTTCGTGGCCTGTAGGTCAAAAATATCCATGAAAGTCTTTCAATTTCGTTTTTCCAACCTGCAATCACTCCCATCGCTCCGAAATTGACGGCAGATGGCCAGTTGTAGTCGTAGAAGGGCTGTTTGAGAATACCCGCAGGGAAAGTGATCGAGTTGAGTTCAGGCTAAAGAATTCAATCGTGAACCTCATAAATTGTCCAGTTTCTGGAAGAATTAATTTTTTTGTAATTAATTTTTTTCTACAAACTCACAATTCATACTTTTTCAGATTTTAATGCTTTTTTCGTTGAAGATTTGCACAAATTCGTACTGAAAATTTTGCCCCTACCGAAAGTTCGCGTTTCAGCACGTTAGGTTCCTTGCAAGTTGAATTTTTTTTTCAAGATTTGGGTCGGAAATTGAGAATAGTTCATATCAATAAATTTCTTGATTTATTCTTTTTCAAAAATTCTTGATAACAAATACTGCAAAAACGCTTGAAAATTGAAAACTTTGTCAGAATCTCATGTTTACATAATGCCACCTTATAGTCAATGTTTCCCGACTTGAAAGGCAAGGGAGGCGGGGCAGGGGGCGGGACGCGTAGCGTGTGCGTTCGCGGTTCTTGGCACGTGTTCAATTTAACCGCTATCTACTCTTTGAAAAGCCCGTTTTTCGCTTTTTTTTTCATCCCTTTTTCAATTATTTATTGATTATGTTCATGTGTGCGTCAAAAAATAGCAGAAAACATTGAAAAAGAGCGGTTGCCGAGCTTTTTAAATAGTCGGCGACAATTGAATTGAACACGTGCCAAGAACCGCGTACGCACACGCTACGTGTCCCGCCCCTTGCCCCGCCTCCTTCGCCTTTCAAGTCGGGAAACATTGACTATAACACTTCGTGTTTTTTTCGGATGAATTTTTGTCAAAAATTTTCAGTCCTTTTTTCACAAGCCTCGCTTTATTCGAAACAGGAAAAACCTTTATTTTGATATATGTCGGTTCTAACTCCCTTTCGTATCCTCTTACTCTTGTTAGTCGTTCTTTCCAGGAAATGTTACCTGATACCAGGCATTGGTGACGCCAGGCGGACCATTGAAGCCAGTTCTGTCGGCGGCGCCCTGGACGAGCTGGTCGAAGGAGACGAAGATGTTGAACTGGTTGGCGTTGTAGACCATGTCGAAGTAGGCGTCGGTTTTGTTGATGGTCAGCTGCTGATGGTAGGCGGTCAAGGCGGCGTCGTCCGTGATCCAGTCGGGGTAGGCGATGTTCTTCACGAGGTTGTCTATCTTCGAGTAGGCGCCGCGTTTCGTCGCCGGCGTCATCCAGTTGAGCTGGTCGATCATGGAACGGAAACCTACACGTACGAATTCATTTTAATTTTCTGTGTTTGATGAAAAATTAGTGAAAAATCAACATTTTTTACAGTAATCTTCTCATCAAAGTGTAGAATGAATAATATGATTTTTCCCGGCTCAAGATATTTATAACAAAACCCATTTCAAAAAGATCTAATGTTATGAAAACAGCTTTTTACTTACGTATTATTCAATACGAGTAAAATCTTCTTATCTGATCACCTTCGAATCATACATTTAATTTCGCTTTTTTGACAAATATCTACTCCGAACAAGAAAACTCTCATAAAAATCCTCACCAATAACAATGCTGCTGGCGACTTTGGCGACGTGTTCACGGACATTGACGCGACTTGAATTATCCGGGTAAATCTTGTCAATCAACACACGAGCGTTGGCGTACTAAATCCATCGAGTTTCCATTTTCAGTTCAGCTTCTTTACCATCATCATGTCGACAGTCTGGAAGGCGCAGTTGGTCTGAGCAGCGCTAATGTCGTCGATCTGACGTTTGGCAGCCTTCTGTTTCTCTGGAATGCCAAAACTGTTCAGTCTTTAGACTGAGAAGGCATCGAACCGGGGACGACGTGCTTAGGCTTGCCAAGATGGCCCTTGACGATGGCGACGCGGCTGCGAACGGATTCAGATGCACTGGACGGCCAGGGCAAGTAGTCACTGTAGGCGTCGACGAGCCGGTAGTAGAAGTAGTTGACCAAGGCGCGCGGAGTGATTCCGTCGGGATTGCCGTCGACCAACGCGGCGAGCAGCTTCTGCAGCTGCACCGGCTCCATCACGATGAAGAAGTTGTAGGGCGTTCCCTTCTTCGTCGGCATCAGAACCTTGGCGGTCGCGTTCTCGGCAGGACCGGTCGAGAGAGGGATCAAAGTGTGCCAGCTGACACTCGGATAGGCGGAATTGAGCTGACTGATCGTGTTGGGATTGTAGCTCCGTTCGTACTGTCGGCGGGTCGTTTCATCAGTGCTAAAAGGAAGATTGAGAAGCTTTAGATTAACAGCTTTCAATGAAAGTTATGAGATTTTTTGAACTCTCGAAACTTTTCAGACTGCAAAACTTTTTTTTTGAAATATCTATTTGTTAGAAAAAAAGATCTTCTTCTGAGAGTCACAAAACCAAATAGCAACTTTTAAAATAAAAGTCTACTTATCTCAAATTGAAAAAAATATTTAGCCTTTCTGGTATACTTATTCTTGTGTTTATATACTGTTTTCAATTTTTATAGCCGTCCTGTTTTCAATTTTTATAGCCGTCCACAAGAGGAAAAAAGAGAGCAGATGAGCGAGAGTGTTTTAAACCGTGGTGAATGAAGTAAAATCTCAGTCAATTGAATCGGAAACCCAAGTTGAGCTGGAACAACTCGCTTTTTAAAATGTTTAACTATGAATCGTAAAAAAATGAACTCGTCCTCTTCTTCCAGACATTTGTCAAGGTCTTTTTTGTTGCATTTTTCTTACCGTTAATAATTTCTATTTTCTCGATTTTCACCGAGCTAAAAAGTGCTCATATTTAAAATTGTATTACTGCCAAAATCCAACCTTTCTCACGAAATAGTTCTGCAGATTTTTTTTTAAAACTACACAATTTTGTACAGCTCCTTTTTTATAGTTTTCAAGTCCAATTTTTTTTTTTTTGAAAAGAACCCCGACCTGTATTTGGTAGCCAGAAGATAGTCCAACTGAACGATGTCAGCGACGTCCTTGCTGAGGGTCGCGTTGTTCAGCTTCACTTTCTGGACTTGAGCCAGAAGTTGCATCGTGGCGGTGATTCGCGAAGTCAGTCTAGAATCACATCAGATTTCTCAGAAAAGCAGACTCGGACCTTGGTAACGCGAACGGGACGCGAATCGGACGTGTCGGGGCTTTTCTAGTAACCTCTTTAGTAGCCTTAACGCTCTTAAGTGATCCCTTGAATCGCCCAGAAACGTCCGGAGCACGTCCGTTTCGCGTTACCAATGTCCGAGGAATCAACAGAATTCCTTTTCTCCCTATCGGCGACCTACAGATCGAACCGAAAAAAAATAATCCAAATAACCATTTTAGCTCAAACAAAGATATAAATGTATTCCCTTGAAATTTTTTCCTTTTTGTTTTTGCTCTCAAATATAATTCTAACAGCACGATTTCCAATAAAGATCAAATTTTTTCTATGGGAAAAAAAACAAAAACATTTCTAACCTCACTTAGGTTTTTTTCGTTATTGTTTTCGCCATCGAAACTCTAAAAAAAGGTTTTTTTTGCAAAAATTTCAAGAAATGCGTAGATTTTTGTGACCGCACTATAAGGTCCAGAAACTCAGTCTGAAAATCTCGTATAGCACTGTTTCGTAGCTTATCTATTATCTCTGTGATTAAATGTTTATGTTAATGGGTTCGGCTATGGCTGCACATCTGAATGAAGAACTTCATCTAGTTATTCCTTGTCAAAGTTTGATATTCAACCGATTCGGAAAGAATGTGTTCTGTTGAAAGTAAGCTCGAAAAACTAACGAAGCCTTGCTGGAAGCCCAGTTCTTGATGTAATAAGTGTAGGGAAGGAAGGTGGTGGGCTGGTCCAAATAGAAGGCAAAACCGTCCGGTCCCGTGGGATCCTTCCAGTTCGTGTCGACGTAAGGAGAGATGAGCGTGAGGATCCCTTCGAAGCCCGCCAGCTGGCCAATGAGGTATCCCAGTCCGATTGGCGATGGCCACTTGGTGACGTCCTTGTTCTGGTTGAGCATCGGAAACGGAAACTGCGTCTGGGAGGCGAACGAACCGGGAAGACCGGCCGCGTAGCGGTTTATCGCGTTCGTCACCTGAAGGTTGCTACGTTAGCGATGTTGGAATTGGAGAAGTTTGCAATTTTCTCTGAAAGCTGTAAGCGAAAAAGAAGCACACAAAGATTTTTAAAATTTACAGAAAAAAAAAACTAAAAACTTATTTAGCCTTATTTCGTTCAGAAGTATCCTAAAACGGAAGGTGAGAAACGCGTTATTTACCACTTTTTGCTTTCGTCGAAAATGTCAAATTTTCATTTTACCTGAGCCCCGTCAGCAACCAATTGGTTCCAGTTCTGCAAGGCATTGACGCAGGCGTTGAAGAACCACGCCGTCTGTTGAACTGGACGAGGCTGAAAAACAGAATTCTGTAATCACGAAAAGAATTTTCCCAACCGCCGTCGCGATATATTCCGTGTTGGTCAACTGGCTGGCCATGTTGGCGGCGTTGATGTTGTCCGAAACGTCGAAGCCCATGTCGCCGTTGAAGGCGCCGCAAGTGTAGGCGTAGAAGTCATTGCATGGATCGGCGTTGACGTTTAACGACTGTCTGGAACCGCAAATCGCTCATTTACGATTTTTATCCACTGAGTTCGCGTTAAAATTCGAGGTTATGATATCATGAAGAGGCTCGAGATGTTACGGGATTCTTCAAATTGCGACCGAGCTCAAAAGAAAATTTTGATTGGGAACCCCGATCGGGAAAAACTTTTTTTTCATTTTCTAATCCTTGCATCCCAAAGAAGTTTTTTATTCTTTTTGTTCTCTCAATTTACTTGAACAACTGGACGACGTCGTTGTAGGAGCTGAACTTGGGATCTGTTGACGGAACTTCGTTCGGCGCCGGTAAGTTCAAATTGTTGACAACTGCAATCGCACATTTCTATCACCTCCTTAATCTTCAAAATGTTTCTCATTTAACAAATAGACTTTTGGACTTTGTTGTAAATCACGATAAGAAACTCCCATTGCGTGCTATTGAATCACTACAGCAGTTTACAAACATCCTTATCAGTACCTCTTCTGCGCAAAAACTATGATGACTTTTCTCTATTCGAATATGATAACGACTGCTTTTTTGTCTGAACTAGAATGTTTTCGGCTTTTTCTGTAAAATATCAAACAACTTTAACACTAATAAAGGGGCAGAAAATTTTAAAGTCTCATTTGCAAGGTACCTGGAAAGAATATCCTTGACTAAGAATAATATACGCGAAAATGGAATAATTATACATGGAAAACTTCTTGTTCAACTTTTTATTTACAAAAAAAAAAGCAAACTTGACTTTTAATTTCTTTTTTTGGCTACGTTTACTTTTATAAGACTATTTTAAGACTTCTACAGCGTTCCCGCCCTTGAAACAGAGAATGAAAATGTAGAATGCCATTGAGGGGCTTAATAACGTCTTTAGATAGTTTGAGAAGCTTAGCAAGAAGGATTTTTGAAGAGTTGTTTGATAAAGAAACAAGATAAAATTAAAGAAAGACGCAAAATTTTTGAATTGCTGGGAAGAAAATGAAAAGCGTTTATTACTGAAATTACGATAACTCCAAAGTTTGACAACTTTAGATAGGATTCAATTTATTTCGACTGATTTTGATTTCGAAACAAACCTTGTGGACCGTAGGTGTTTTGGTTGTTGTAGATTTTCGTGACAAAAACCAATGCCGCAATCGAAACGCCCAGAGTGCTGAGAATCGCGAGAACCGCGACAAACTGAACATTTAACTTGAATTCATATCTTCCATTTCTCATTCTAATTAATTTAGTGAAAAATAGGAAAATAATGATTTATTCCAACAAAGAAAACATGTTTTAGCTTTAAATTTGGAAAAAAAAGCAGGAAAAAGGTTTTCAGAAAATAAAATATATGATTTCCTCTCTAGTTTCTAGTTTCTGCTCTCGAAGAAAACTGAAGTTTCTTTTATGGTGGCCATTAATTTCTTATCTGAAAGGACTCCAAAAAATATTTCGAAAAGGCCGAAAACTAAAAAGAAACAGTCAAAGTTGGGTCAATTCTTAGGAATTTCAAAATACGAAAACAGGTTACTCAAGAACTTTTCGGAAGAAAAATGAAGGCCTTTGTATAAAAAAAAAGAAAAACCCAGATTAATTACTCAAAACAGCTTTCAATGTCGTTCGCAAGTCTAAAACATGATTTGAAAAAAAGGGATATAATGAAAAATTTTTTTAATAATTAGAAAAAAAGAGGAAAAAAATTATTTATTACCTGAAAAAAATTTTTATAAGTTGAACTATGGTTTCATTAAATGAAATACTCCAGCTTTCTCAAAAAAACTGAGGTAGTTAAATATTTTCAAAAAAAGAAACAAGATAATTAACTTAAATTGTTTTCCGAAGCCTAGGAAATAATCATCTGTGTTATTCATATTTAGCCTTTGAGATGAGGAAACTTTTACCTTTCACTTTTATCTTAATAATTTCGGTATTTTCAGAGAAATATTCGCTTGTTGAACTAGATCTCCCCACTCTTACTTCAGAATAAATACTTCTGCGAGTGGATTCTAACTGTCACATTGACAAATAACTTTTTCAAGCTCCTTTCAAACCTGGTCATCCTATTAAACAAGGTCCCAAACGTACCGCGAAGATGAGACGAAGGGCCGAGCCGTGGCCGCTTTTCGCCATGACGACTGGGAAAGAAGTGAGGACGATAAAACCATCGAAAATCTTGATAACCTCATCACGCCAAAGCTTCTTATCAGTTCCAAGGCTTCGAACTACGAGTCCCTGGAACGAATATCTGTACAAACTGAACCCTAATGAAACGAACAGTGAAGGAGGGATCGATTGAGAGTTTTGGGAGATGATCAAAAGTGCCGTAACTCGAGAATCCTGCATCTTAAATAAAATAAAGGTTTTTTTTTCCACATTTGCACCATGTGGTTTAAATTAAAATCGTAAATGTTCCTCAAATCTTAGGGTTTTGAATCTATTTGATTCATATGACTATTTTTTTCAAATTCTTTATCAACACTACTAATATCTATTAGGTGATAGTTATAAAACTAAACTCCATTTCAAAATCCGCAACTTTCCACTGATGACATTTACAGTTTTTTTCTCATCTCGATCTTTCTTATCGTTTTTTTCGAAATCAAACTGATAAGTTCAGTGGCGTGAGAAGTTCGAAAATAAGAAAAAAGCTGATTCATTAAGTTTTTCAAGCGTTCAAAATGCAAACAAAGCAAAATGAAAGCAGAAGAAAAATTTTCGTGAAAGGTTAGACAAACTAAATTCTGAAAAAAAAAATTAAGAAAATACAACTTTGCAGAAAACCGATCGAACCTTTCAACATTTGACCAGAAAAGTATTTGAAAACGTCATTGAAACTAAAAAACGAAACCCAGAAAACAAAGTTTTCATTTGATATCAACTCGCCGACCTTATAAAGTAGTCCTTTAGATATTAAAAAAATTGAAAACAAAGTTAAAATCTATCACTCTGGTGAGTATGTATCAAAAAACCAATTATCTGTAATTTGAAAATTTCTAGTCTCCCGAAAGGTGGTAAAATGTACTATTTCTAATTCTTGATCGTTCTCAAAAACGCCAGAGTGGGCCCTATAGAGGTGAGGGTGTTTTTTGATAGCGATATCAACAATATTAATTTTTTTATATGTAACTTCTTGCATGAAGTAGAAACCACACTTTTTTTCAAATTTTTTCAGACCAAAGAATTCTTTTATTTCGAGAATCACCTGTTTTTTCGAGGTCACTTTTATTTTCCTTCAAAAATTTACATGCAAAAATGGGATCGCAACACATTCGGTCTCGGACGATAAAGTGTTGACCTTATTCCTGTTCCTTTTCCAGATGAGCCCGCCCAGTGGGAAGGCGGAGCGGATTAGGATTTGTCGAGTTTAGGAAGTTTCGTCCCCGTTCCATTCCGGCAAGACTTCCTGAACACCTCCTCGACTTAAAAAAAGATTCCCTCTTACTTTTTTTTTCTTTGAAAACTTCTTTTAAAACCCCTTTCTTAAGAGAAAAATGTGTTCTGAAGGTCTTGAAGATTATTTTTCAATGTTATTTTTAGTCTTTCAAATTTCTGTGCCCTTTAATTTTCCACCGAGGATTTTAAAGTTTTGAGAATAAGTTAGTTTCAAAAATCTTTTCGAGCTTCGCGACGTGATAATCTTTTCAAAAAAAGACTTTTTTGCTCTTTTACTTCTCCATCTTTCCCTCTATGAACAGCAGTTTTCACAGTCTTCAACAGATTCCGCAACGTCAGCCTTATATTTTATTCCGATGCGTCGAGACATACAATGTCTTCGCGGCATTGCTATATCCGCCGTTTTGGCCTACCATTTGGCGCCGAAGTTTTTCCCGAACGCCTTTTTGGGTGTAGATATGTGAGTCCTTTAGGAAATGATTAACTTAAGCAACAATATTTTTTTGAAGGTTTTTTGTGATATCCGGATTTCTAATGGCGAAAGCGCTATCGGGAGAAGATATCGATGTGACCACAGCTCTGATTTTTTTATTATAAAAAGGTAGTTCGTTGATTTGATAAAGTTCCATGCTCGTAGAACTGAAAAAATCGAAGTTTTAGAAAAAAAAAGACACAAAATTTGTGAAAAGGTTTTAAAATTTTTAATCACAAAGAAAGCATTTTTTTAAAAATTTAAAAATTAGTTGGTCAGGGCAATGTGGTTTTCATCGGAAAGTTTTTCTTAAAAAAATGTTTATTACTTTATTTTTTTCAAAACCGGCAAAACCAACGACGCATAGGCGGAAATTTTTCTCGATAAATATTAGGACCAAATTAAATTTTTCATAATATTAAAAATGACTAGATCTCTGAAAACAAAAAAAGGTTAAATGAAGATTCTAATTTTTTTATGTAGTAATTATATAGTAGGAATAGAAAAAAATTCGAAGTGTTGTGACAAGAAAAACCGATATTTTTTCAACGACAATTAATATTTTGAATATTGCCATCCAATCTCGAAAAAAAAAATAATCCTCTATCATAAAAATAGTTTTATATTCAGAGTCAAGCGTATCTGCGGAGCATATTTCCTAGTAATACTCGGAATAATGATATCGATTCATCTAATTCAAAGTGACGTTTGGTGGCCGGCCAATTATCGATACTCTCTGGCTTCTTTGGTCTTTTCCACGAATCAGTTGATCATTCATGATAGTGGCGACTATTTTAAAGAGGTCTTTCGGAATATTTTGGTTACAACTCAAAAAAAAAGCTCTAATTTACAGTTTCTACTGGACGGCTCTTCTCGAAATTCTTTTCTTCATTGCTGGTCTCTGTCTGTCGAGATGCAGTTCTACGGAATTGTCCCTTTTATTTTTGCAGGAATGAAATTTCTGCCATCGAATATTTGGCGGGTTTGTGCAACTTAAATTTCAAAGGCTGCAATGAAAACGTTTTATCAAAAAAAAAAATTTAGACTCGAAATTTCTAGCTGTGTCAAAGATTCAAGGCAAATTTGAACCGAATTTATCGAAAATTACATTTTCTACCAGGGGTGCACAAACAGAAAGGAATTCTCAAACAATTCGACTTGTCCCAGAACTAATTTTTTTCAGATCGCCGCCTGGTCACTAATTGGAACCAGCTCAATGATTGCCTTCTTCATATTTACACCGACATTTACCTTCAATTTTATGTTCACTCGTTTGTGGCAGTTCGTAGCTGGTATCATATGTTTCCTAATCAAGGAAGATGTACAGAAAGTGATACCGAAGCAAGGTAAACGAAGCGAAAAACAGTTCTTCATAGCTTTCTCAAGCTTCCAATGAACTTAAAAACCTTCCAGTTACAACAATCCGCCAGCATTTCGACGCCCTAGTCGTAGCGGCTTTATTCCTCATTTTCAACCCGATTCATCTAATTGACGGCCTCTTTAGACCAACAATAACTTTTCTAACAGCCTATACCATCCTGTCGGAACTGCATAAAGATTCAAAAGTAATTTTTAAAAACTTAAACAAATTATAATCGCATCAGATCCTCCGTTCTACGAGCCTAGCTTACCTTGGGGACATTTCCTACATTGTCTACCTTGTTCATTGGCCGGTTATTACTATTTACCCTTGGAAAACTCTTCACGATCTATATTTCAACTTGGGTATTCTTTGCATCGTAAATCATAACAAGATACCTTTCAGCGATGATCGCCATCCTTTCCTTGGCAATTTATCACGGTTTCGAATCAATTTTGTTGAAACAGAAGCCTTCTTGGGTAATCAGCACGCTCATCGTTCTTTTTTGGACCAACATGTTTCTGCAATTGAGTTTTCGGCATCATATTGAATTCTGGTCGAAAAAATATTCAGATGGTAAGATTTAGAAAACAGATTCACGTGAAAATTAAAGTGAGAAGAAACGGTATCCAAAATGACAGCATAAGAAAACCGAAAATGTTCAAAGAAACATCCGCCAAGTGCAAAACTAATTCAGACTTCCCAAAAGTTAACAATTTTTTTTCACTCTCACGGCTGTTTGGAACTTTGCAAAAACTATGATTACAGCATTGAGTTGAAACTGAAAAAATAAATGGAAAATTGAAAAAATTGAAAATTTTTCGGCGGTTTGAAAGCTGACGTCGGTTACGCTGTTAAGGCCGCATACCCCGTGGCTGACATTTGCATACGATTCCGTTTGCGAAATTCTAGAATTTGGCGGTAAAGTATTATAAAAAATTAAAAAAAATTCACTTTTAGGTTGACTAAAACAAAAAAAAATTAAATGCTCCTGGATGGCTTCATTGATAATTTCAAATTAGCTGGTGTCTGTACACTTTGTCTCACCGCAAATGTATACATGCTTCTCGATGGTGTTGAGTTAAAATGAATGTTATAATTCATTTTCTCAACTTATATGGAATACTTTTGAAAAAAAAGATTTATTGAATTACGGTGAAGCAAACTGAAAAAAACCGAACTCCTTTCTATTCACTAGCTAGTCGATAGTTTTTTTTTCAGAAATGTCTCTGACGATAGCTCAGAATCGACTTTTCATACAGCAACCTTGGCAATTCAACAACTGCACAAAATTACCGATTCCCGAATTTCCCAATGGTTTAAGCCACACGTTCGGTCAATGCATTTTTCCGGGTGGTTTTTTTTAGTTTTTAAAAGAGCTGTGTGCTATCGTCAAATTTGAATCATTCGAGTTGTTTCTTTTTGGTTTTTGGAAAATTATTTTCTTTTAAGAAAAATGCCCGGTTATCAAAGACCAAGAACAGCTCTGGTTCTTATCGTCTTCCAAAATTAATTCGAAGGGTGATAATCCACTTTTTTTAGCCGGGAAACGGCCAGCTCAAAGTGCTGATCCTTGGCAACAGCTACGCTCTGAACCAGGCGGCAATCGTCCACCAGTCTTTCCATGGAAATTATTCTAGCATGCAATATGTGGCTATTGCGGGTACCTTTTCCTAAAAAGTTACAATAAATCAGTAATTTTCAGGAATGTTTGGAATCTATGAAATAGATTTGCCCATTTCAAAAACAGGAATCGAGGTGGCCAGAAGAGTCGCTTCTGAATTTCTTCCTGACGTCATTTTCATCATAACAAGGTTGAATTGTCAAGATGATATTCGGTTTTTTTTTAAGAATCATGTGAAAATTTTGTTTATAAAGTTTTTTGTAACATGAGCAATGAATATTCAAGATACTTCGAGCAACAAAAATCGCGAATCGAGCCAAATGATGACGTCATCAGACAGTACAACGCCAACCTTGAGTTTTATCAAAAGTGAACTTTTTTGCTGAAAGTGACATCATTTTAATTTCTCAGAGTTGCCAAGAAAATCTACATAATGGGCGCCCACCCAATATATCAACTACACGCTTTGAATTTTTATATTGAGCGGCTCCAAAGATCTCCTCACGACTTGGACGACTTGAACTTGGATAAAAAGGTTAGAAGAATTTTAAAACAAGAAATTTCCTCGAAAATTTTTCAATTCGAGATAAAAAGCTCTTTACTAGAACTTCACTAAAAAAAAACGGCGCGATAAGCTTTCAAATAATGCTTTTACCAGTTTTCAGACCGCCGACAAGGAAATGATGTACGCGAAGCAACGACTGAAAGATATTCAATGTCCGAAATGCACGGTGAGGAATTTTTTGAAAGTTATCCAAGCTACACAGAAAAAGAACATTTATTTACAAGCAAAGACCCAAAAATCAAAGTTTCGCTCGTTCCATCATGGGCCGTAGCAATCTTTGGAATCTCTCAACGTTTTGAGGCTCATTTAGGGGGCTTTTTTGAGCCCAAAGATAGAGCTCTTCGTAGACATTACCGTCACGACGGCCGAGAACCTGAAAACGGGGATCATACATTTAAATTTGATTGATTCTTGACTATTTTTGTTTCAAAGGGGATCAAATCTCATAAAAGCTACACTCTGTTGGAAACTGAGTACGAGATGTTACAATTTTAATGGTTATAGTGAAGCCTTACAATCAAACTCAAAAAAGGTAGCACTCTGTACTCAGAAAACTTTGAAAGATAAAGTCAGTCTATTATAAACTTACAGAAAACATTTAATTAATCGATAAAGTCTTAAAAAAAGATTTTATTTGATGATTTTTCTTCTAAGCAGTTTCGACTCCTACAAGTTACAAAGGCTCTCAGAACTCGCCGATCTCAACTCCCTATCTGGAATATCAAAGGAGTCGACGATTGAGACGGCGTTAGGCCGGATCTTCTCGAAAGATACGTAGACGTTCTGTCGCATCCGTCGGAGCTCATCCGAAGACATGTAGCCGTCTTGGAGCACGTCTTCGGCCATTTCGCCAAGTTCGTAGTTGAGATGAAGCTCGACGAGTTGGTCGAAAACGAGGCGAACTGCCGGGTCCGCCACAGCTTCGGCCCGACAAACGAAAGCACTCGCTATGAAGAGCTTCGTGTGGGCTCGGGCGGCCTGGAAGATTCAGAATGGAGAAGACCAAATTTACAACTTGATTTTTAATCTCTGAAACGATAAGTGGAAGAAACTTCATGAGCGGCTCTTTTCCATGAATTTTTTTTCCCTTCTTTCATGTAGCATTTTCGGTTGCTTGAACCTTTTTTGTCTGAAAATTCACCTTGGACATATCCACAGCATGTCGTGCAAAAGCATGTTCTTTGTCGACGCCCCTAGCAAGTTCTCCTTTCAAAAGTTCATAGGCCAAGGCGATCCGTTTGCGTGCGACATGCTCGAAATGCTTTATCATTGGCGCGTGCTTGCCTAAAGGCTTTCTTCATCTTGCAATTTAAAATTCATTTTAAAAACTACCTTTATTTTTCAACTGGGATGCCTTTGGAAAGATAAGCCATGGACCCGACCAAAGGGCGGTTTTCGGCCGCCGCCTTGGCTCCTTTCATTAGATATTTGGCGACTTGAAGCAGGAGAACTATATTTTCGCCTTCGTAGGTGCAGGCGCCGACGGCACAAGCTTGAAATTTAGAAGGTTAGTAAATAATGAGTTTTGAAATATATTGCTTACTTTTCCATCACTTTTTCCAATCATTTCAATTATTTTATCTCGATTCAGTCTCAGGGTAAATCATTTTTAATGTAACGCCTAGAAGGCAGAAAAAATTCGCTATTTTTCGAACGAAAATTGCTGAAAAGCCTTTAAGTATTTCTAAGAGGTCTTAAAGGTGGATAGTTATTTTTCTCCGAGCCAATTTAGGTCAAGGTTGACTTGGGGCCAGTCCAATACGGAATCAAATTGAGTTTCACTAATTAACAATCAGAAAAAGGTTGAAGATTCGAAAATTGAATTTTTCGCGAAACATCGAACCCTAGGGTTCAGTCATTTCAATCGTTCTTATTCCAAATTCCCGCCTTTAGAGTCTAGAGACTCCCTCCAGATACAATTCTAAAGGTTGGCGTATTGGACCTTCCTGTTTGGGATGTCAGCTGCTTGACACAGGGAAATACAGGCAGGCAGGAGTTACGGAGAGATAGAGGGGACACGCGGAACCAGCAACCCACCAACTGAGGAACCTTCGCCCACGCGGGGGCGTGGTCGAAGGTTCTCCTATCGCTGGGCTGGTACATTCTTAAAGATTTCAAAAATTCCGTCAGGTTATCAACAAAAATGATTTTTTCAACTTTTATTATTGCTCTAACTATTAAGACTTAGAGAGCCTTCTTTGTAATTAAAAAACCTCGTTTTCGAAACCTAATGATTAATCAAATTGGTTTTTTAAAAACTCAGCCATAACATAACACAGCCAAACTCAAAAAGTTAGTCCTACGGCGAAATAAGATCATTTAACTAACTGTAGATGGTCGGCAGATAACTGGCATCCGAGTAGCCGTGTCCTCCACAAGCCATTCTCGCCTGTTCGATTGTTTCTGCGGCCGTATGCGTTACTACAGATTTCAAACCGCATGAGAGGGCGTGTAGGTCGGCGAGGACTTCGGTCTGAAATCCGAAAGTCCAAAACTGTCCCGGTGAAATTTTTAATCTTCAGAATTTCATGATAATTCGAATTCATTACGCTTTGGCTTTTCCGTTTTACTTGGATTTTACCTAAAACCCTTTCCTTGAAAAAATAATGACGAAACTCACGTTTCCTCCATTCTTGACGTTTCTCAAGCCGAGCTCCGTCAAATGTTGAACTTTTTCGGCTGCCGCCTAAATTTGGAGATGAATCAAAAAGCCACTTGAGATGACATAATTACCAAAGAAGCGAAAGCTCGTGCAATGTAGGGGAAAAGCCGAAACTGTTGAGTCTGATAATCGAGGATCCTAACTTCTCCAGCTCTAAAAAGACATCTTCACTCTCTCAAATTTATTAGAAAAAAACCCTGGAGTGATTTCTCCCTGGCGTCGAATCGCCGAGTACCTCACCGCAATCATCAAAGCCATGAACATGAATTGAGCCTGATGAAACACAATTTCGGACCTTGAATTTTACAAAATGGCTATGAATCGAATTGGATAGTCACCTAACGTATAACATCGTCGAGTACCCGACTTTTGGGTGCGACGGAGCAGTGTAGACACCTTCACGCGATACCTGATAGCAAAACTAGTTATCAAGGGATATTTCGATCTCGAAAAGTCAGGATTTCGTCCTTTTGCAGTAGTTGTCATAAAGATATCGGTGTAAAATTTTATCTTTCTCGGAGCTTTTTTTGGTTTCGACTTCTCAGTTTTGATCAACAAAGAACAATAATGAACATTTTGAGTTTTTTTTTTCCTCTTATAATCTTTTTTGATTCAAACTTTCAATATGTTGCCTCTGAACTTCTCCTAGAACCTACCTTATAATGCCGCATCAGCATGTTCCTTCTGGGAATTCGGAACTGATCGAATCCGAGATAACCGTTGTCAAAACAGTTCATTCCCATTTTCGAGCCGATATCCCCGACGCGAACTCCTGTCAAAGAAGACATGTGTTCTTCCCCTAAAGTGACCACTCACCAGGCAACGGTTGATGTGTGTCTACATCTCTTACTGGAACGAAAAACGAGTGAGGACCGTGATTTTTTCCATCGATGACCAAGTTGGCGACGAGGATGACGTGCGTCGCACAGACGCCCATTCCACCCGGCCACCTTAAGTGGGCGTAACATGAGCAATTTGGGGCAACAATTTAAGAATTTTTGGTTTTTTTTTTTTTCGTGTACACGATTTTTAGGGTTTGTCGTTTTTTTTTAACTAAAGCTTTCTTTGAAAAAGAGCTTTTCAAAATTTTTTCAAGATTTCCTGAGTCATTTTTAAGAGCCCTTCTCAATCATCTTCTATTGTTTCATAATTTTCAAGCTTTACGATTATTTTTCCTTCTGTACGTTCCAAAGTTCTAGAAGAGTTAAATAGAAAATTTATCAATTTTATTTCAATAGACTTTCTGAAAGTTTTCCAAGCTTCTTCCTCTGAATTTCAAAAACCAACCACTTAAGTGCTGTTGTCGTTGGCGTGTGAACTACGAACTCGTCCTGAGTGACGTCAAAGGTGGCCGTCGTTTCGATGTGATTTAGATTGGTACCTGGAAAAATCACGAAAAAGTTATTATGATAAGATAAACTCTAGTTTATGATCTTTCATGCTTATTGGTTAGTACTAGAAAAAGAAAAAAAAGGTTTGTTGATATTAAAAACAGCTGAGTACATAAATTTGACCATCAGGAAATCGAATAACTCTAAGATGACATTTTTAAGAAAGGATACTCATGTGACCGTTTTCTGAAAGTTGGAAAATTTGGAAGTTTCACACCTTTGAAACTATAATTGTTCTCAACTATCGATATAAACCATGACTTAACTTCAAAACGGAGCTGTGATATATTATATGGTTTTCTTGAATATTCAACTGGATACCGTACCATGTCCCAGTTCGGACTGAGCATAGGCCCCAATGATGCGGGCCTGAGCCGCATCCATCAGCCACCATTCCTGCTGCTCATCGTCGGCTTGGTTTTGGATAGTCGGAACGAACATCAGACTGTGTAAAGCCAGCGGGAAGCCTTCGATTCCAAAAATGGTTCTAAAAATGAGAGTTTGGGAAACTTTTTGAGATCGAAGGAAATTTATCAAAGTTACATTAGTACAGACTTTAGTTACTTTTAAAGACGGGTGAATGTTTGAAAAAGGCCTTGAATCTAAAATGACAGGGAAGCTGAAACAAAGCTTTCAAAAATTTCAAAATTTGTTTCATCTACGCTTTTAAATTCTTCAATGCAACCCTTCCGTATTATTCCAACGACAAAAACTTATTTTTTCCACAAAAAACCTGAAGACTTTATGAACTTCGAAAAAGCCTTCATAAAGTTCCCAACTCTCACCTAAGAACTGAGAACATGACTTTGAAGTCCGACGGCGCAATGTCCGACACGACTTCGAATAGATGTTGGAGCTGAAATCGAACACTTTTCTCATTTTTCTCAAAAATCTCCAGACCAACCTTCCTACAGGCATTTTCAATCTTCTGTATTCGGCTCATGTGTGTTGGTGAACTAGCGTCCCACAACTCTGTCCGTTTTCCGACCTTCAAAATGTCTTCAAATCAGAAAAACTCATCATTTTATGAGAAGATATTATTGATTCGAGAAACTACCTCTTGTTGGATCTCGCGCATTTTCGCGAGATTTTCCACGCCTCCATTGAGTTCAGCCGCCAAAATGTCAGTGTCAAAAGTGCATTTGAGCCGCTCTGACGTCAGTTCTGGATTGTCGCCAGGGCGCATTTGCCGATTCCGACCCAACATATTGCTTTTTTATTACCTAAATTGATTTTTTGAAGAAAAAGGAAGCTTTTACAAATGAAAAAATCCAAAAAACCTACTGTAAAATGTATCTCTGTGGTAGATAATTTTACCAAAAAGAGATGAATCCATATTTTTTTAAAAATTTGCCTCAACTTAAATAACATCAATTGAGTGGATTCTGGTCTTTCAAAATCAATCAAATCAGCATAAAAATCTCAAAAATGGACGATGCAACTACAGTAGAAGAACCGGGTTTGAAAAAACGTGAGTTTCAGTTGATAATCAGCGTTGATTATCAGTTGAAAATCAAGGAACAATGGATGGGGGCGAAAAAAAGTCCGGGAAATGTTGCAATCTCTCAGATAAGGGTCGTGTGACGCGCTTTGTTCAAAAGTGTCTCGTGGAAATATTACAGGAGCTGCGAAATTATAAAGTTTTTCAGTTTTATTAGTCCATTGAGTTGGACTTTGAGTTTTCTGCCGTTTTTATTATGTTTCCTTCTGCAAAATAGAATTCTCGAGAAGAAAAATAGTATAATTTCATATCTTGTAATTAGAAGTTTCGCTGGAAATTGCCTCGAGGAAAGTATTCAGGGACGAATATTTAATGTAAAAAGATTTTAATGAAACTAGATCTCCTCAAAACTGATATTTGCAGATATACGACCTTTCGCACTTGTTCGTCAGTTTGGACGGCGACTCCTACCTTTCTTTTGACCCGAAAACTCTTCTTTCCTACGTCGACAACGACATCCATCTCACTGAACCGGCTCTTCGTCTCATTGCTCCGGTTTATGAAAACATCACGAAAGAACTGTTTTCCTGAGTCACTCGACCTCAATTTTATCTTTATTCGGGATTATTCACTCTAAACGGTTCAGGTATCGCTTTACAAAAAATAAATCTACCGAATCTAACTTTGGTAGACTTTGTTTTTAATCTCGTCAATTCCTTCGTGTACATAGACATTTGATGAATGTTTGAGCAAATTTCGAAGAATCCCCAACCGCAAAATAAAATGACCTCCCTTATTAGATGATGCTTTAATAAAACCGCCGATTTCAATGATATGGGCAACGTTACTTTGACCTTTTGAGGTGAAGAGTTGATCCAGAACATAATAAAATATTTATTAGGCAAAATTAACAAAAATGGCAATAAAAAGAAAATATTGAGCACCGGAGGAAAGAACAGGAATGACAGGGATTGCACATGAAAGAAAATGAAAGAAAGTCACCAGTTTTTCGAAAAATTTCAAAGTGAAAGGGAAGAAAGACCACTATTGTTTTTGAGCAAAAAAAATAGAACAAACCCGAAAGAAAGCTATATTTGGTAGGCTAGAATATTTTAAATAGGAAATTATGTTTTGTCGCCGACGTTCAAAATGACGTCGACATTGTGAACTTTTTGTCGAGCTAAAGCTGATTGGAGTAAACTGGGCCTTTCGCGGACGCTGTTCGAGAATTCCTTGGTAGATTCCGACCTTTCTAGGCTGTCGTTGGGGCTGAGAAAGGCTGGAGACACGGCTAGTTCCACACTGGAAAAAGTTTTTCAAAACAAGAAACGTTATATTCAGTCGATTCAACGCGAGCTTTGATGGAAATTTCGCTGTAACAATCCCTTCCGAAAAGAATATATAAAAAAAACTAGTCGAACGAATGATTCTCTGTAGTCTGTTCAGATTTCTAGCAGCTAGCAAAGCAGCTAACAAGTCGCGAAATCGGAGTATACATATTTTTTGTCTTTAAAAATCTCACTTATGCTCTTTGGGATCAGGCAGTGGTCGAGCTGAAAGGACGTTCTGTGCAGTGGTTCTGGACACATTCTCCACATCATACGGTCTTGGCCCAACTCCGACCACGTCGATCATGTAACTCCCGTCGCTGCCGCTGCCACGTCGATCTCGTTTTCTGAACATCATCTTGTGCTCCAGATGCAGAAGAAGGACACGAACTTGCTGAAGAACAAGGCGAAGACACAGCAGGCGATGAGGCACAGCAGTACGGCCACGAGAAGCGCGACGACGAGAGCAAGACTGTGGGAAGAGAGAGAGGCCAGGTTGGTGGAAATGATCGAGATGGAAGAGATGCCGAGAGCCGAGGAGAGTTGTGAGGATCTTGAGATCAGGAGGCTGAAAATAGTCGGATAAGGTGTAATATTTGTTTGAATAACTGATTTTTTTTTATCTCAACAAGCTTCTAAATTTGAAGACTTTTGAATCACTTTCAATTAGCTTGAGAATGCTTTGAGGTCTACTAACCTTTTTGTAACTTCACCAGACTAAACTTTTTCAGATCGAAAGGCCTTCTGGATCCTCATCAATGATTCATTGACCATAAAATTTTGATTAACTTATTTACTTCAAAAAACCCTTTATCTATCTTTGAACTTTTTTCTTCTGAAATGATAATACTTTTTTCAAAGACAGATCAAACTACAAACTTCTTCAGACTTTCACGATCCATCGGTTTCGACTTTTCATCCAAAGCGTAGACGAAAACATGGCTCCTCAATTTAAACAGTTATTCGATTTTCCTTCAAAGAGCCAACAAACTTTTTCGGATCGGCTTTTCCGTCGCTATTCGTGTAAGGCTGTGAGACAAGTACTCTGGAAAATAGATGAATTTTCTTCAATTCTCATTCGATTTTCTTCAACCTGGTGTCCATTCCTAACGTGTCGGTGAGCTTTCGCTCCAACGACGGTTCATCGATTTCGCCTTGCGGCGACTCCTTGGTGAGTTGGACGACATTGGTATCGATCGACAGTTTATAAATCTAGAAACTTTTCATTATAAATCCGAATGATACACGTTATTTTTTGCTCAAAGAAGGGTCAATACTATTAGGTCTAAATTTGAGAGAGTTTAAAAATCCTGAGGGCAACAAACTTTTTGAGGCTCATATCAATCTTTGAATAAAAAATGACTCTGATTCCTATCACTCCTGAACTTTTAAACTCCAAAAAACGAACATTGAGCGGAACTTCCGTGACGTGGATCGAGTCGGAAACTTTGGCAACAAGTCTGAAGACGTCGCCCTCGTACTCGTCAATTTTGCGACTGAGCGTCAGAAGGCCACTGGTTGGATGGATTTCGAAATATTTTGTGTCATCTCCAGCCAAGGAAAACTGAAGCTCCGGGAAAGAATCAAGGTCGCGAGCCTGAAGATGAACTCGTGACATCATTAGCGATTGATCTTCGGACCTGAAGACGTGCGACTTGTGTCAGAGGATTGGCGTTGGCGTCGACAGTCGCGGCGAGACTCGAGTCGTCCAGCGAATGGAGAAAATGAGGCAGATTGTCGTTCTCGTCCAGGACCGTCACTACTACCAGGGTTTGCCATGGCGAAAGCTTCGCTGTCGCTTCTGAAATTGAAAAAAAAAATAAACTTTCAGCTCTTTCAAACATCCGTTTTCTTTTCGTATCTTGCAACAAAACACGGAAATTTAAAAATGCTCACGTTGAACGGCAACATCTGACTGTCGGGCCACTCTCGGCTGTTGCTGCTCCACCGCATTCACGTACAAAAAGTGGAAACTCTTCGTCTCGCGGTCCAAAGGCCGCATTGTAAATATCTCACCAGTCTGTTGGTCGATCTCAAAGTCTTCTGGAAATGAAGAATTACATCCTGGAAATTTTAAAAAAGAACCTGAAGCTTGATGGAAAGCGTAACGGAATCGACGGCCTTCGCGTTCGCAGTTTGAGAGGACCTAGAACCCTGACGACTTCAAATGAAAATATTTATATCTTTTTCTTTGTGATTGATGGAAATATCATGTTGAAATTTCAGGGTTTTGCTCGATAGCGCACATTTGCGCAAGCCAAAACAGCCCTCACCTTGGTCACAGCGGTTCTCGCAGGCTGATTCTCCTTGACAGTTGCTTTGTAGGTCTTCTGCTCGAAATAACAAGCCCTCAAGGCTGTCGGCGGTGGAGTCGTTGCCGCTACGTGTCCTTCGACATAGACATTCACCTAAAAAGAAAGAAACTCTGAAATAAGTATTCAAAAAATAGAGAGAACATTTATTTTCCCACCTATCGATACAAAACGCATACATCCTCTCAGTTTTTTTTTATCCTGAAACTCACAACAGTCCAATCTGCTCCTTTGCTGTTCTCCGCCGTCACATTCACTTTGTGGTATCGATTGAGCTCGGTTTCGTCAGGGTTCCTTGTAAGTGAAAGTACTCCGTTGTTTCCAATTGCGAACAATCCATTCGAATCTTCAGAAATTCTGAATTTCCTCATTTGAACATTTTCTCTTGACTTTTTCTAGCTAACTTGTAGGTAATATTATCGTGTTCCGAAGCGGTTGGGCCGGCAAGAAGTTGGGAAATCTGAAAATAAAATGTAAGATGTTCAAATGGATTTTGGGAAGACGCACAAAAAACAATTACAAACTATAGAAAACAGGCTACATCACATCAAAAGCTACAGCATAGACTACATAAAGAAGAAGAAGAGAAAAACTGGACTAAAAGCTAAAATCTACACTGTGTCAATGGAAGTTGTTATCCAAAAAACTACAAACTACAAAAAAAAAGGCCACAAGCAGAAGTTTTTATACGGCTTAACTACAAGCTGCAAAAAAGCTATAAACTACAGATTAGACTTCAAAAACTAGACGCTACAACTAAAGAAATTAATTCAACAGAAAAGCGAAATGAATTTTGGATTAACCGATTGATTTTAAGGTTTTATTGTTTCGAAAAATTTTGGAATTTTTGTATTTTCATGCGATTTCTGTTTTGACGAGAGGAGATGCCAATAAAGAGTATGGAACTTTGAACTGTTAGCAATCAGTTAAAAAAAATAATCAAAGGCTTGATTTTCCAATAATTTCGAGTCAATGGATTCATATTTTACACCATCATTACACTGAATTTTTATTTTATTTATGCGTTTTAAGTATTTTTGACTTGAAATTAAAATCCTGCATATTTGAAAAACTCTTGACAGAATTTTCTTATTTTCCCCTTCAACAGTATTGCTTTGAGCTACGACATAACCCCCTAACTATGACGTCATCTCACCTTCTCTCCGGGCCTTGCCGAGTTCGACACGACGATCTCCGATAGCTCTTTAGGCAGTCTCGGTGCACCCATGACGTCATCAAAAACGCTGATCGATAACTGAAAAACGACAAACTTGATCATGAGATGAGATTTCGCAAGTCCTGACCCTGGTTTCAGAAGACAGGGGCGGATGTCCAGAATCCCTGGCGACGACGACGACGTCGACCATATCTGGGGCATTCTGAAGACTGCTGGCCACACGGATCAAGCCTTCTGGAACATAGAAAACGATAGAAAAAAATTTAGATTCAAAAAAATATTTCAAATACAATGAGAAAGTCTCATTTTTTTCACGTTCATTGTTATTTTTCCTTTCATTTTAATTAGAACTTTTTATGCTTCTAATGCTTTTTACCGTTCCAAAATAATCAAAAAGTTCGGGTCTATGAAAAAAATTTCTGAAAATTGGCGAGAAATTGAGACCCCTTGGATCGATGTTGAAGAAATTGGCAGGGCTGATTTCGTAGGAAATCGCATTTTCGGCATCGACGTCGCTTGCCTTGAGTTGGTAGACAGGTGTTCCGACGTGCAAAGACTGAATAATCAAAAATATTTGGGAAATTCTCAATCGAAACTTTGATTGATACCTTCGGGTGACAACATTTTTCTCGCCAAGAGTTAAGATGGAGAGATCGAGTATACGATTTTTTTTTCTTTTTTTTTAACAGGGCCGAAATTTTTACTGTATATCCAACAGCATTTGGTTAGAATATCTCTCAAATATCTCTGACATCTGATTACTTTTGATACCCCTATCTGTTGAAATAAAAGGTTCAGAAAAAAATACTAGAACTTTTAAAATTATTTTCATTAAAGTCTGTGGCATTGCTCTATTGCATGCTGAACTTCAAAGAAAAATCGATATTTTTAAGTTTTCCCACAGAGCATTCGGCCAATGATTTTTGCTGGTCTTATTTTGCCGTGGTCCCTTTCAAATTTCTACAGCTGAAATGAGTAGGGCGCAAAAGGTTCTGCGCGATCAAAAAAGCAGGAAAATTGCTCTTCACTCCAAGAGATTTATGGCAATTAGTGCCTTTCATTTTGAAAAGGAGTTCTACTGTTGAAAAGATTGAACATCATTTCGGTTATTTTTGATTACTTACCCTTGGAATGCCGACAACATTTGGATGTTGTTCGAAAACCGGATAATTATCGTTCAAGTCTAAAACAGTGACATTGACCCGAGCTCGCGCGACTCGTTCGGGAGAAATTCCAGAAGTTCTGGCCTAAGAAGAAATGGTTTAAAAAAAGATTTTTTTTACAAAAAAATTGTTTTTGATGAGTTAAAATATTCACCACAATCGTGAAAGTGAACGAAGAGTGTTGCTCGCGGTCCACTTCGAAAAGGAACAACTTTCCGTCATCTTAAAAATTTAAAGTTTCCATTGGGCTGTTTTTCACCGTGTAACCTCTCAAGAAAAACGGCATCTTTACAGCAGAATCTTCGATGGAATACACGACCTTCCCTTCGAAGTTAGTGGCCAACGGCTCCGGCTTGAGCTGAACCTCGACTCCTTGGGTGTAGTTTCCCTCTGTTGTGAAGGCGAAATAGATGGGTTGAGAGAACTTGAACGGAGAAGCAGAAGAAGAAGAAGAAGGTTCGGAAAGTTCTGAAGGCGTCGATGTGGTCTCCATGGGAACAGGGACTATTCTGGCAGAAGACGTCGGCGTGGGGAAAACTCTGGTCGCCGTAGTGCTTGGTTTTGTAGTCGGTGACGGTGACGGCGACGTTGTCTTTGTTGTTGTTGGAGCTGACGTAGATGGTGGAGTTGAAGCTGGCGTTGGGGCTGGAGTTGAAGCTGAAGTTGTACTTCGGGGGAGAACCTGAACTCGTACGCGAGTCTCAGCCACTACTTCTCCCTGAAATCAGTACGATTAACAGGAAGAAGAAAACGCGAGATATATATAAAATCCTTCAGGTGATCAATATTATAACCTCAGTAGCAAGTGATTTATAAAGTACTAAAGTTTTTGAATCCAAAAAACTCAGAAAATTCAGTTGTGAGCTCAGAAATCATCAATCTTTAAATATCCAGCTTTAAAGTACTAACGTTATTATTAATTCAACAACTACTTTGATTAGTTTTTCATGACTTCAATCAAAGTGATAAAAACAATTAGTCTAGTAAACCGAAATAATATTTTTGAACGAAAGAGCTTTTATAACATTATTTTGCTTGATGAATCTTCATTGGATAGACTTATGAAGTCAAAAATCCCACATCTTGAGTCGCAATGATGATGTCATCGATGGGCTTTTCCAAGGGTTTGGCGACGATGACGTCACCACTCTCGTTGACTACCAAATCCTGAGTCGAAATGAAGGAATAGTCGACCTGAAACCGTTAATTCCTTTCATTTCTTCATTTCCAGACTTACATCGGCGAGGAAATTCGTCTCAACCTGTCCCAAAACGGTACCAACGAGAGTTTCCTCCGAAGCGCTCCAATTATAAGAAGTTTGCAAGAAACGACCATCTTAATGATTTCTATTGTATTTTGAAGCATCATTCTCGGATTACGATTCAAAGTGGTCGTCGTGGGTCTCGTCGTGGGGGTCGTCCAGTCATCGGCTACCGTAACCTTCGTGACAGGACCCTCGACGAGAGTCATCGTCGAGGCGGTGGCCATTCCGTCGCTCTTCATCACAACCACTTTCACGTTGGCCGAGGAGGACTTTAGAGGAACTCCGCGGTCTTCGGCGATGACTTGAAAGCTGTAGGAGTCTTCCTCCAGCTCGTCGGCTGCCACGTTCAACGACAATCGCCCCTGGAAAACTTCGACAGTTTCAGGAGATCTAGAAAGGACAATACCTCGTTATCAATATCGAAGAGGTTTCTGAACTTGGCCGGTTCGATGGAATAATCGATCGGGTCGTTTTCCGGATCGATCGCCTTCATCTTCGTCAGGAACTTCTCTTCGGTGTCAGAAGTGATTGTGACGACAAAGTTACTTTTGGCAAAGACTGGCTCCAAATTGATTTTCGGAGCTCTGGAAATCGATTCAGGTTGTGTATCCCTCATTAAATTTGATTCAAACTATTTTTCATTTTTCATGAATCGAAGCAGTCTAGCCTGTTTGCGCTCTCTAGATTGTATGTTAGTATATTTTTTCAGTGACTCTTAGGTGAGAAAAGGAGGGTTCTGATCAAGAATATATACAACTTTACTGAATGATCCAACTCATTCTTCTACTTCTTGCTCTAAAACTTACACAGTCTCCTGCTGCTCTCTGAAGATCTGCAGCTGCATATTGACATGAGTGGAATGAGATCCGTCTCCAGCAACAATCAGACAAACGACGCCTCCTTCCTCTCGTCGGTCAACGCCAACTCTGAACGACACGACGCCGTGGTCGTCGATGTTGAAAAGCGATTGACAGCCGTCGCCTAGAAAACAAATTATTTTCAGAGAGAATCTATTTTTAGAGGGCAATTATAGTCTTAATAATAATACTTTATTCACAGATCAGTGTGAACCCCAACGAGTTCACGTTGAAGTTTCCGCTGAAAAAAATACATGATTTCCATGTCTTCATCTGCAATTCTGAAAAGGACACAGTTTGATTTTTCTAGAAAAAAATTAGAAAAATTAGACTAAGAAATTTATTTACGAAACGTCAATTCACATACATATGGACCGAGGAATGTCATTTGATTTTTCCAATTTTCTTTGAAATCGATTCTCTAATATTTAAAAATCTTATCATATAAAATGATAATAATTTTCACATCTAGCGGAGTTATTTTCGTCTTTGAAGCTTTAATTAAGCACCTTGAAGTTCATATTTCAGGGTATCTCCATCTGCGTCGCGTGCTTCAGCCGTGAGGATTGGCTGACCGATTGGAATATCGATTGAGATCTGAAATCGTGACGTCATTATCCGTATCAATGACTGAAACTTTCTGACTTCCAAAAAGTCCTAACACGTGTAAGTTGCGTCTATGTAATTCGACTGGACCAAAGTGAAAAAGTTCGAAAACTTAAGGAAACTGTGAGAATGAAAAAAGGGCTCAGAATCTGGATCAGAAACTATTTTATCTGAACAATAAAGATAACTAACTCTTAATTTATGACCTCTTTTCTACTCTCAATCATCGTAATTTATCAGTTCGATATCAACTTCTTCACCTTCTTTCTATAGCTTGACTTTCTGAAGACGGGAGCATGAGAATTGTGAGGCGTGACGTGGACGACGACTTTCGCCGTCGAAGTCAAAGATGGTGAGCCTCCATCTCTCGCTTCGACGGTCAGCAGGAAGTTTGTGTGTTTTTGGCTGTCGAGCTCGCTCGCGATTCGGATGGTCGCCTGAAGAAAATTCCCAAATGATCATCGGAAATAATCCTTTGAAAAATCGCTTATTTCTTGTTAATTTACTCGTAACTTCGATGAAATAAGTAATGAGAAAACGCTAATCTCTCACCGTATGGCCGTCCAACTGATGGATTTCGAAAAGTCCGTCGTCGTTTCCACCAATAATCTTGAATTTGACTTCGCCATTAAGTCCCTTGTCCAAATCATCTGCGCCGATTCGAAACCCCTCAGTAGTCCCTGAAAAATTCCCTCGCTCTTTCATTTTTCTTTTCCTCTTTTCCAACCTTCCGTCACATTCCACACCATCTGATCCTCCAAGAACGTCGGCGGATTGTCGTTGACGTCTTCAACCTCGACGACTACATGTGCTCGATCCTGGGAAAGTATTCACCCTTAAAATCTCAGTATCCTCTGAGAAATACATGATTTCCATTTCGATCGGAAGCCTCGACGATAAGATCAAACTCCGTCGCCGATTCAGAATCAATGACGTCATCGCCAACAATTATTGTTCCGTCGCCTTGGATGAATACCAAACGACGTCCAGATCCTGGAGATTTTTTTTTCTATTTTGCAATCTTCAATTTTTTTTTTCAAAATCCATATTTACTATAGTTATTTTTATTTTTTAAAGCATAAAAAGGCAGCTTTTCTTTCCTGAAAATTGGCGAAATGAAAATGTAACTGTTGAAAAAACTTAGTTTCTTTTCATTTTGGCATTTCACTAACTTCTCTCCAATCTGCAGATTTCCTTACCAAAGAAAAAGATTTTTTACCTCCTACAATCTTGTAGAGAAGCCGATCTCCTTCGGAGACGTCCCGATCCTTCGCCGTCACTTTTCCGATGACCGTTCCTGGCTGGGCGTTCTCCACGACGTTCATTCGACTTTCGTGCTCCACAAATTCAGGTTGGAACTCGTTGACGTCTCGGACAGTTATTTGAATCCTCGTTTTGGCGCTTTCTTGTCCGGCTCTGGCGGTGACCTGAGATAAAACAAACTTTTTTAGACTCAGGTAACTTTTCTCACCACGAAATTCATAGTCAAAGTCGCCGTGTCCTCCATTCTCTCCACGTCAATCTGCTCTTTCACGAATAAACTTCCATTTGTATGAACTCCAATTTGGTTTTCCGGCAGGATAGAAAAATCGACAGCGGATGAGGCTGACAAGATCTGAATCGAAAAAATTGATTGAATATTATTTTCTCTCAATCCTGAGCCTCAAAATTTCTTCATGATTAAGGCGATTGACTTCATGAAAGTGGGGACAAAAAATGGACTTACACAAAAGTTTGAAAAAAAAGATAAAGAAACGAGAAAAATGAGACAAAAATTAAAAAAGGACAGTTCACGGTGAACTTTTTTTTCAACGATATTTTTCCCTTCATCTCTGTTCATTTTTCTAATTTACAGACTTTCAAGAAAGTTGAAGCATGACAAGCCATGAAAAAAGCCTAATATGTGTTTTCTTTAACAAATCACTTTTTCGTACCTATCAGTCTTTTTCACATTCTGCAGAAACAATAATGAAGTTTTACCGTCAGCGGCTGCCCAATGATTGATCCGACTGGAGTGTTTTCATAGACTTCGAACCGATAAATGTTGTGCTGGAATCGGAGTCCCTGGCTCGAAGAAGACGATGTCAAAGCCACCTGAGCAAATCTATTATTCTCCCAAACTAAAACTCAGTATTTCTACCCCGACATCCGAATAGAACTTCGGATAATCAACATTGACAGCTCGGATCACGACAAAGGTCGTCCCTCGGTTCTCCGTGTAGTTGGCGTAGTTTGAGCCAGCCATCAATTCTCCCTTCAACAAGGTACTGTTACTCTCTAACGTATCTTATAACCAACAGTATTCTCATCGAGGAAAATGGCCGGGGGATTGGAAGAAGACGGGTAGAACCCATAGCGGATAGTTCCATTTGACAGTTTGGCGTCGAATTGGTGAATAGTTCGAGGGAAACGGCCTTCCGATGGGACCTGGAAAGATTAAGAATCCAGACGACGTCTTCAGGAGGGACTGACGTCAATGTCGTAGGTCAACTGTGGGAAGACGGGGTACTTGTCGCGGTCAGACATGACGATGACTTTGAGTTGATGGTCGACGAAGGCGTCGTCGGCTTCGGCGCGGATCGTTAGTTTGGATTCGCCTTCGACGAGGTGATTGGAGACCTGGAAAGGGTTCAGAAACATGGTCGCATGGCTCAAGATGTGAGAAAATCAGATTCCGAGCCTTGATGCAAGAAAAGTCACGATAACATCAAATGACCAACATTTTCTGTTTAGCATCCTCAATGGGTACTTTGTTCACATTAGCCTTTTCCAAAAAGTATTTCACGCAAAGAAACTCGTAAAAAACGCTGAACTCAATATAAAAAAAATTGAATGAAGCGTACAATTGTTATCAATAATGTGCAGTTGGTTTGGGTCTATAAAATTAACTACTTGAAATGTGAATTATCGTCAGGAATTTTTCCTTTTCTGTGAATTCTCTGCTCTGGATTATCATATATAAAAATTTAGTTTTCTGAAAAGCTCCAAATTTAATATAGCTTTTTCAAAATTGAGCTTTTTAACAGAAATTTTTTTGACTGATGTTTTTTTCATAATAATAATAATAATATCACCGATATCTTTAGATCAAAAATCGTTTCATACAGCAATATGAATGATTTTAATAGAGCGCAACTTACCCTCAATAGATCGCCGTCCATGACAAACTGCGAATGATCCTGAAGGACACGGAAACGAATATCAGACTCATCAACGGCCGAGGCAGACGCCCTGAGGACGACGCTACCAACCGCCTGAAAACTCGCAAATCCTTCTTTATGGCCTTCTCAGAAGAACGACCTTCTCCGTGGAGATGTAGACAGTCGTCGGCAGGGGCAAGAACTTCACCGGCGAGGATTCAACAATCTCCAGATGCAATTTGGCGTTGCTTCGTCTTTTCTGCGAGCTTCCGTTGTCCGTCGCTTCAACTACGAAGTCGAATGGGCCATCCGTCGCCAGAAGCGTCTGGAGGGTCGAAATAACGCCCGTCTAGAAGAGAAATATCTTTTACAAAACTTCGAGGAAGTTATTCACCTTTTCGTTGATCTGGAAGCGCGCCTGATCATCCAAGGTGAACATGTCACGAGTGGCCGCAAATCGGTAGAAAACTTGACCTTCCGGTCCAGGATCTGGATCGCTGGCGTGGAGTTCAGCAACGACTTGTCCGGCTCGGAGTGGAGCCGGCAAGATGTACTTGTAGCTGCTCTGAAATAGTGTTTCTTAGTGAAAAAAGAGAATTCGTCTTCAAGATTCAATCATAGGAAAAGCCAAAATATTCAACTCTCAAAATGACTAGAATTAGACTTACTGAAGCTGTAATTTGCCTACTATCTACCTGATCGAAAACCGGCGTGGATGGGTTTGTTCCTTGAACGGTAATCTTCATCTCAGCCATGTCGCTTTTCCTGGGCAGCCCGTGGTCGAAAGCTTCGATGAGGATACTGTAGAAGTTCTGGGTGAGCGGTTCCGTCGTTCTGATCACACCAGTCAGGTGATCGATGGTGAAAAGAGCTGCAAATAAGGGAAATCAGGCATCGAAACAACACATTTTAAGAAAAGGAAAACCATGAGAAAAATCGAAAACATTTAGCGATTAGTACAAAATGACTGATAATGATAGTAGAAAAAGACCCTTAAAAACTGATTTTTTTTTCTCCACCTTTTTTTTCTCCACCTCACCTTAATATTCTTCATTAATTAACATTCCTCAAAACGGATAAGAAACGAGAAAAACAAACAGTTAGGCGGACTGATGACGTAGCTGACATTGCCATTGGCCCCGCTGTCGATATCGTCGGCTTCTACTGTTCCTATCTAAAAATTACTTTTTTCATTCCTTTTCTATGATTCAAATCGCACCACTCCTCCAACAGGCAAGTCACTCGTCACCGAGGCTTGGTAGGACTTTTTGGAGAAAATTGGCGAATTGTCGTTGAAGTCATCCACGTTGACGACAACTTTCGACGTTCCACAGTTGGTCTTGGATATACAGGCGCGGACCTGAAACTAATAGAGAAAAATCTAAAGAGACTACTTGGAAATTCGAGTTCGAAGGAGATGATAAGAATGACTGTAACTACTCGTTTCACTTACATATAATGATTATAATTCAACCTTCCCGCCATTTCTAGGCTCTTCTTGTGAAAAACTTTCAAAGCCTACAAAAAAACTTCAATTTATTTTTTACTCCTTCGGAAAAATTTTTAAGGTTTTTGAAAACTTGAAGCCCACTATTTTTTTTTCATTATATCAAACCTCGAAACGATACTCCGCCTGCCGTTCAGCATCGAGTTTTCTTCTTACGCTGACTTCTCCGGATTGCTCTTCAACTTCAAATGGAAGTTCTTCTTCGCTTGAAATCGAGTAGACGATTTTCGAGGTCTTTGATGAGTGGTAAGCCTGAGAAATCAGGAACTTATTCATAATTACAGATTTTGCTCTCACTTGGACCAATCCGATAACCCCAGGCCTCAGGTTTTCTTGAACGTGGAAATCGTACAAAGTCTCGTCAAACTTTGGTGCGGCCTCAGTGACGTCGGCCGTCGGGTCACGCCAAACCGTCACAACTGTTCGAGCCTTCAAAATCCATAGAAGTTATGAGAAAAACTAATCATAATTAAATTTTTCTCAAAATTTGGCTCTATCCACTCAGAATGGACTCTCTCAATCTTTGTCATGAACCTATCTTCTTTAATTTTTCCTTTATAACCTGTAGAACAATTCTAGAAAAATGACGATCGTAACATTTTGTTAACAAAAAGGCATTAACATTGTAAATAATTTATTTGTGAACTTTGCATTGATAAAATGTTTTGCAAACTCTGAAGTTAGGCCTAGAAATAGCAATAAAAACATTCTTTAGTAAAATGTGCACGAACGGAAAAATTGTGGCGGCCTCCCACCGATTATACCTGATATAGCTTCAAATTTTTGTTCTATAATAACAAAACTAAAAATCTTTGACTTTTTCACAAGCTTCCCGCAAAAAAATCTCTAAAAAAATTTGAAATAGAATTTGTGAAAGACTTATCGAGAACTTCATAATTTTCCATCTCTTTTGAGAATTTGAACTTCAATTTTTCTTTAAAGAAGGCCATACCTACAAAAATACTTTTTTGTAATTTTAAAGGCCAAAAAAGCTCTCTACTTGAAAAAAAGTAACAGACATTTCTAATAAAAAATTTGAAAAAACAGTACGGAAACCCACATTGCACAAAATGACATAAAAGGCGAAAAACACTAGCATGTAGCACTAGGCAGGGATAATAGCTGCGGTCAGGGCAGGAGGCATCAGAGCCAAAAGCTCCAGAAACACTTACTGGTGCTTTTCTACGCGTGCTTTTGAATTGCGCGCACCTGCTCGCGTCGACTCCGCCCACTTTCCGGACATTCAAGACGTTATGCGAGCATCAGGTATTAATGGGCTCAGGTGAGAGAATCGAGGGAATATTCCTGAAGAGGCAACATCCCCGAATGAATATTTTAGAAAGTGAAGTATTGCGTGCGCGGTTTGCAAAAGAATCTTCGCCAAAATTGGTACATTTGGTCTTGAGGGAAAGAAAAAGAGCAGGTGTGTCGTCAGCCGTCGTCAGGCAACCAAACAATTCACCTTTTTTTGTTTTTTCTTTCCGTGATCTTCTTTTTTTACTCATTGTTTAAAAAAAAGAAAATGCACAAGATTTTTCTCAAATAAAATTGTATAACACCTCATTCTGACCTTCTGAGCTTGAGCAAAATGAGAAATTGTTGAAAAATTTTGTTTGTGATGAAATGATACCCTTTATCTTGAAACTAACATGGCATTTTTCTCTCCGACGCCTTCTTTCCTTATATACTTCAAACTAAGCCAAACGGTTATAAAAAAAAGTTTCCAACTTCCAAAAAATAAAAAAATATCACCGCAGTTCTTAAAATGGCAATTCGAATGAATTAAATTCTAAAAACCGGAGAACAAGGAAAAACTTATTTGCATATCATAAGTTTAAAATTCAGATAGGAATAATCCATTTTCCACGAAATTCTCGAATTCGCGCCAAAAAAAAGCCATTGTTTCGGGCACAAAGCCAAGCGGAGGGCGATTGTTGAGGTCAAATTGGGGTTGAGAACCGGAAAGGTGAAAAGCCATGCTTCGCTGCCTAATTAATTGCAAGGTGCACGGTTCGTTACTCATGTTTTTTACCGTTGCTTTTCTTGGTCGGTAATTTTATTAGGTGAGAAAAATTCTCAAAATCTGCTGAATATTACCGTAAACTTATGAAAAAAAGATAAAGTTGTGCGGGCCGTCAACTAAAATTTTCCCCATTAGTCGTGAGACTCATAAAGCCTTCCGATTCGAATAAAATCTGAATGTTGGCTACCTCTTAAATGCTACAGGAAGTACTCTCGTAAGCCTATTTCTCCTATGGACTCGGACTTTTCAGAAAATATTTCTCTCATGGATTGAAAAAAAGTTGGCTTTACAAAAAAACTTATTAACGTAAATAATCACTAGTAGATTAAAGATTCAATTTTTTTGATTGTTCTTTCATTTATTTTTGAATTTTCAGCTCCAAAAAAGTACCTTTGACACAAACAATTTGTAAAATATTACAATGATTAGAAAAAAATTCAAACTTTCCTGAAAAATTTTTTTAGATCTGACATTTCTTTTATTGAAACATACCGTATGATCTCCATTTGTCGAAGAAACTCCAAACGTAATATTCGCCGGCTGCATTCCATTCAGTCCTTTTCCGGCCAGAATATCGCCCGAATCTGTCACTTTTATCAATCCAGCGACCTGAAAAGCCTTGATTTTTCCAGAAGGAAGTTTATTTCCAGAAAAAATAACACCACATCATAAATACTCTAAAACTTTGAAAACGTTAGTAAATCAAGAAAGTATTTGAGCTAGAATCTTCCTTCAAAATTTAATCTGATGAAATTCTGAAAACCTCTGGGAAAAAGAGATCAAACCACACACATTCCGATCGACGGCATAGAACTGCGCGCCAGGATTGGCTGAGACTCGACCGATGACGTCATCTTCAGATACTTCTTCTCCGAAAACTTCGTAGTGATAATGACGCTGTTTGAACATGAAGCCATCTTCAGTCTAAAATAATTTTTCTTTTTCAACAAAACCAAGAAAAGCATTCAATTGTTTACAGTTTCAATTTCAGAACATATCAAATCATGATTCAAAAACTCACCTTGACTTCTTCCTTAGACTCATCCACCTCATTTTGCGACAAGAACAAGTCAATGTTCGTGAGGGTCGGGTGCAGAATTTCCACCTCTTCTGGAGCTGGTGGCGTCGTTCGCGTCGTCGTGGTACTTCTGGTGGTTGACTCGTCGAAATTCAATTCCACTGGGTGATCAATAGCAACAGCCTAAAAATACACTTTTTTTTGGCAAAAATATCTTGAATTAAAAAAAAATTTCAAATTTGCTCTTTGAACTAATTGTATAAGTCTAAATGTCTCTTTTGTACCCTCAAGTACTTGCGAAATTCCTCAACTCATAAAAAATGTCTTTCACACCTCCAATTCCGACTCACAAGTTTCTTCGTACCTGAACACCCTGAACAACCGGCTTCTTCGGGATCTTCTTCTTGTTGTTCATTCCCAAGACAAAAACGTCCACAGGAACTTTCGACGTCTTCATCGGCTCGCCATGGTCTCTGGCTTCGATTGTCAAGTTGTAAACTTCCAAGGTCAATTTTCCAGTGCTCAGAAGCACCGCATTCTTCCCTTGAGTTCCAACTTGGAAAGGTGCGTCGTCTGGACCAGCCAGGTGATAACTTATCTGGCCGTTGTTGCCCTGAAAATTCCTTCATTTTGATTTTGTAAACGGTCTTTATCTACCTGATCAATATCTTGCGCCAACAGTCTTCCCACCTCCTTACCGACCGGGAATTCGTCCGAAAGGTGGAACCAGTACCTTAAAGCTCAATTATCACTATCGAAATCAAGGATAAATAAAAGGTGAGCCGATTTTGAAAGTATTTTTTTAAATAAACTCACATCTAGATAGAAAAAACGTACAAAAAAATTTACTAGCCATAATGGTTTCTTCAGGTTATTAAATAGACTAATAGAAACTATTGAAAAAAAGTATATACACAATGTTTTTTTATTTGAAAAATTTTTTTTAAAAAGAAAAAAAACTTTCTTTTACGTGGGGTCTACTGCTTTGGACGTAGTGCACGCTATGCACTCAATGTATCATGAGTGACGCGCAAAGTGTAACTTTTTTCTGTTTTTAAAAATATGTTTGTATAGGCCATTCCGCGCCAGCTTGTCACGTTTTTCTTTCCGCCAAAAGGCCAGGTCAACCAACTTTGCTTCAAGACCTTTGTTTCTTGTCGTTATAAAAGCGGAAATTTGATCTGATTCGGGATACGGTCTTTTTGACGAAAAGAAAAACGTGACAAGCTGGCGCGGAATAGGCTTTAGCATTTTTCGAGCTACGGCTCATCCTTAGAAGAAACCTTCGTGTTCTCGTAGTCGTTTCAGAGTTATGGACTTCATAAATGGATCTATCTTATTTTACCGATATTGACATGAATCGAACAAGGTCTTTTTATTCTCAATTTCTCACCTTTCCTTCTCAAAAACCGGCCGGTTGTCATTAATGTCCGTAATATCGACATGAACACGCGTCCTCGCACAAGGGGTCATTTCGGTGGCTCCCTGGAACGCTTTATTGTTGAACTTGAAAAAGCTGTCCGTTTTTGAAACTTTTTCTTCCACACCAACGGTCAATAAATTACTAATGAGCACCTCAATTTTTGCGACAACTTCCAGAGTACTGAAAAGTTCCCGATCGACGATTCTCGAGTCAGCCACAATAATATTGCCAGTAGCATTATCAATAGCAAAAGTTCCATCTGGATCAACCAAGGTGATTCGAGTGTCCTGAAAATTATTTTAGCATGGATTTTTTTGGATTAAAATTACTTTCTGACGATTCAGAACTTCCAATTCTGCGACTTTGGTTCCGACGGCGCTGTTTTCCACGATCGATGCTCTTAATGAACAATGGGCGAATCGTGCCGGCCCTTCGTATTGCGGCTTTTTTGCGATTTCTTCAGGTTTGACTTCAGGCTCCGGAAGATCAAAGTTGGATTGTATGTCGTTGTGTAGATCAATCGGAATAGAAGGCTGAAATTAAAGTGCATACAGTTTTTTTTTTACTCAAAAAGAACCCCACCTGATTTTTGGTACCGAACACCTTTGGCTCCACCTTCTTCACTGGTTTTGGCGTTGGAGGCGTCTTCACAATCGGTTTCTCAGTTGTAGCTGAAGTAGTCGTCGTTGCAGACGTCGTTTTGGGAGTCGTTTTTGCTTTCAAAGTCGTCTTCAGTGTCGCCTTCGGTCCTGCAGTTGTAGTTGACGACTTCGTGGATGTTGTGGCAGATGATGACGTCGCTGCTTCTTGTTCAAAGTTCTCGAAAAAAGTGACGACGGACGAAGCGCTTCTCGGACTATCTCCGTTGTCCTTCAAGAAAGCTTGCACTTTATGAAAAACTTAGGATAAGATCATAGATCCGCGTTGAATTTCAGAATTTCTATAGATTATACATGATAATGAGATGGTAATAAAATCCGCATTACGCACAATTTATACCGAATTTTTAAAATTTCACGATGTTTCATCGACTCACCGTGGCATAAACTCTAACTGAAATCGGCAGTTGAGTCAGGTTTTTCAGGCTCCGAACCCTCAAAACCGTTGGCAGTTGCTCTTCGCTCCAGTCTTCTGAGCCTTCGATCAGCTTTCTCGATTTTTTCACCTCATCAAAGAGCTCGAAAGTATGAGTATTGTCCTTGAAAATTTAATATAATCAGTGATAGAATAATAAAACAAACTTCGATTCTGAAGGAGACGCCATAAAATCTGGCAGCGTCCCAATCGACGACTGCGACTGGCGTTTCCAAGATCGTTCCAATTGGAAGGCTCTTAAATTGAATAAGTATAAACTCAATTCATAAAGTAAATGTTTCAAGCTACATCTATTTTTGTTTGATTAGCTGATCATTTTTTTCAATGAAATAACATTTTTTCTTGTCAAAGATATTTGCTAAAAAAAGACATATTTTACATTCTGATTTCTTCAGACGCCTCTGACCGCTCTCACCTTAGCCACAGGAACGACGTAGGGCTCATGGTAGAACTGTGGCGGCATGGAATTGACGGCTTCGACGTGGATGGTCAGCAACGGATAGGCGAATCCGTTGCAGACCACCGTGACGAAAAGCGAGGAGTCCTTGACGGCCGACGGGAAGGCCGGCAGCGACAGCGAGGAGACGACGCGGACGACGAATTCGCCATCGCTCAGGCTCTTCTCCAGAATCAGTCGGTCAGTGAAGTTTACCTGGAAAAAAGGAACGATGAAAAGGCCACAAAACTGTTTATATTTTTTTCGAATATTACTGTTCTTTTCAATGTTGAATAGATATCCAAAACCACGAATTCATCTTTTCACTAACTCGTTAAAATCTAAAAGAAGTGTCGAGACTGATTTTTGCGCACATTTACTAATTTTCCAAGTAAAAATAAATATTTAAAAGCAAATATAAAAAATTGAAGCGCGTTTTCCAACATATTTATGTGAGAATTACCTGCGGCAAGGTGTCCGATCGCACACTTGCAATGAAAATCTCGGCGTCGGCCGGCTCTACATGAGTTTGGACAATGATGTGACCCGGCTCTGCGTCTGACGTCACGTCGAAATAGAAGGGAGTCGTTTCGGACTCTGGGAAACGGCAGCCTTCTGAACAGTTTTCAATGAAAATAGGGAATCGCCAACCATTCATTTAAAAATCATTCTTCATATTTGGCATCTAGCCAAAAGTTGATAATTTCTCTGGAGGCTTATCAATAGTTTTACTTTGATTGAAAAATTAAGTTATTGAGAAAATGGGACAATGACACGTTTGAAAAAAAGTACGATTTTCTAGAATAGGAGTGAATTTTGATATTTCCCTTTTATTAGGTAATAGCTGTACTTATTTCATCAAACATTTCTGCTTGTCTGCGCTCTCTTTTCCCTCACCACATCACTTGTAGAAATATGAAGAGAGAGTAAGAGAGCAAAAAATGCCAAAGTTTTGAAATCATAGATGAAGTTTAGATATTTTGAAAGAAAAAAAAAACTAAAACTTGCCATTTTTCTGCGCCAGACACCTGTCCAATAAAAAAAATAAGAGAAATAAGTTGAGGGCGAAGATTTTCATGTGCCGAATCTCTCAGGAGCCCCTGAAAATCAAATTTGTTAATTTTTTTGATGAAAAAAATACCAAAACGAAAAAAAAGGTCGAAAAAGTGAAACTGTTTCCTTAAGGGATAAATTCGAGCTGGGATAAGAATCGCAGAAAATGAAAGAGAAGGTGGAAGAGAAAGAAAAAAGAACAATGCGGGACAGTCCGATGGGTAATTTGGGGCAAAACACCAGGACGCCGGTTTCTTTCGCTTTTTTCTCAACCGAAAAGATCCAATGTTTCGAATTTCAGACAAATTTGCATCCGTGATGGCAAATCAGCAGGGTTGATGGAAAGAAAAATGAAAGTAAGGAGGTTCAAATAAAAATCAGTTACTTAAAAAAGTTGACGGAGGATATGAAGCTATAAAAAAATATCAATAGACTTTTTGTTTCAAACAATTAATATTCAAGAGGTTTTTGGTGTCTTTAAATGAATTAAAAAAAGAATCCCAAAGTTGTTCTGGGATAAAAGTTGGAAAATGGAACTCAGTTCGCGAAAATTTGAAACAATCTGACGTTCCTGTGCTCTCTTTTCTCTAACGGAAGAAAGGAAAAAAAAAAATGAAAACAGCGTTTGAGAACATGAAGCGCAAAAAATTCAGACTGTTTCAAGTTTTTTGGAATTAGATATAAGAGAATGAAGGTTCGAAAATTCAAAGTCAAGTTTAGTTGTCGAGAAAAAAAAGGAATCCCAGCCATGGAATCCGACTTTAGAGAAAAAAAAAAGAAGTGTGAAGAAAAAGCGACGACGATCTTGGATGCTTCGAAAAAACCGAATAAGGATAAGGATGGTGATGTCAAATTTCAAAGGGTCATTGGGCTGTCGGTGCGGATGAAAGCGACGCGCCGAAAGAAGCGGGAGAAGAATACCTGGGACGAAAGAAGACAGGTGGGTCGACGGCTGCAACACTTCGGATTAACGACCATTTGATAAAGTACGATCCCTTCAGTGGCCGCTTGTAGATCGGCTTCATCTCATAATTGCCGGTTTATTCACATTTTTCTGGGGAGTCGTTAGAAAAAGTTTTGAAATTCTATAAAATCGTGATAGTTTAAAAAGCCTAAGAATCGGAATCCTCCGCTAATCTTTCATAAGATCTCTCGAAGAACTCAGGGAGCCAACGTAAACTAAGCATTTTGAAACAAGAACAGACCCCTTCAAAATAAAAATTCGATCTTCTCTAATTTTTTGATCTAAAAATCTGGGCCTACAGAGTTTATAGAAAGTTTTCTCATTAATTTAACTAGAAAATAAAAGCTTCCTTTCAAAGAAGCTAATGATTCTCAAGCGCTTGAGAAGATTAATAAATGAAAACTCATCCCTGTCTTTGACACAGAATTTCTTTTGAAACTGACCAGATAAAAAATAAAAACGATACAAGAAAACAGAGAGATATGATAAAGCTTCGCTCGAGTTTTCCATATCAATGTCCTCAAGATCCCAGACGTCCCAGACATTCCAGCGTTCCGAGAAAAAAAAGCCGAGAGAACAGGTCAGAAGAAAGAGAAGAAGAAGAAAAAGAAGAACGAAGCTTTTCCCGCCGTTCAAATCATCTGATAAGTGCTGACGAAACGACCCAAGGTGACAAGGTGTCGGACGCGATTTACGAGCCGTCGGTCTCTGAAAAAGGCGAAGAATGGCGAAGGCTGAGGAGGACGATTTGCAGCGGATTGGTTCTAATTGTGTACACGACGAAAGGGATGCTGGGGCATTACTTCGACATGACTTCTCAAAACATCTTTCGGACTTTCTCTTTTACTTTTTCTTGGCGTCGGGTCATTCTGCTACTGGATTTCACCGTTACGCCTATAGGTAATTGTGGAGATTTCCTTTGAAACTTAGAAATCATATTCAGCAGAAAGACAAAAAGAATTTAATCATTTTTTCACAGAGATAAGCTTCAAAATCAACGAATATCAGAAAGGCAAAGGCGACAAAGAGCAAAATAATTTTTTTGTTTATTTTGATTGAAAAAAGAAACAAAGTTTTTTAACTTGTCGTAACTCGCTTCAGGTCGGGCGCATCAGGAAGATCGAAGTAGTGATACGACTATATTTTTGGTTTAATTTACTAAGTTTGAGGTAAACATTGAATCTAGCCCATGAAAGTGGAGTCAAGATGAATTTTCAAAAAGTTTCTCTATGAAGGAGCGAAAAGAAAAAAATACTTTATGCGAATTGGGTACAAAAAGTTGGGTTTCGAAACTTTAATATTTATTTTTTTAATTATTTCAGAACTAAAGTGGAAATATTTGAATTTCAAGTTTTGCAACGCTTTCTTAATAGTTTGGACTGGAAAAGTTCGGTGGGATATTGTCTCCTTCGAATTCATAAAGAAATTTCCCCGTATACTCAAGTCACAATCTTTAAAGACTTTATTTAAAGTTTGCCCATAAGCGATGATGAATTGGTGATAAATTGTTGGATCAGGCCGCTAATCTGATTAATTTGTGCAAAATGCAGCCGTTATCAGTTCCTGAACAGCCCGGGAACAACTGCAATGATGCGTTTTTGGCTCTTCTTCGGTTCGTTTTTTTCGTTTTATAAATTCTATAACAAATCTGGAGTTTATTGTTGCTGTTTTATAAAAACGGCAATATAAGTTGTTTTTTAGGAAATTTTTTAATTTTCGTAGTTTTCAATTTCCCGATTCAAGTATCGATCTTGAAAACTGTATATTTTTTGATGTATTTTCCCTCTTTAGTATTCTTCTTTAAAATAATTGAAATAAAAAAATTTCAAAGCAATCATGATAAAAAAAGGAAGTTTATAGACATTTTTTTGGGTTGAATTTTTCCTGTGTATGAATGAAAAATACGATTAGGTGTTTATCCTTAATTTACCGATTCAGGACTACTTTCTGTGGCTCAAGCAGATGACCTTTTCAACGTCGTCGAGCCGTTCGCCCCGCCCCCAGCTTTAGCCGCTGGCTCGCAGACCTGCATCTCTCAGAAACTCTACTCCTGTCAGGTTGGTGACGTCATAAGTGATTTTTTTTTTTCTATTATGATGTCACTAAGTTTTTATTGGAGCGAGTGTGATTTATATGAACAGTTTTCATAAAAAGCTGTTTAACAGAAAATAAAACTCGACACGAATATCTTCAAGCTCTTTCGAGCCTTTGAATATTTCAAATCGTTTCAAATTGGTTGTGAGGTTATTTTGTACGAATCTGATTCTCAACAGATAGTCATTCCAAAAAAAAAATTTACCGATTCAGGCAGCTTTCAACCGAAATCTCAATGTGACGAGCGACTCTTCGGATTGGTCGAATCCCAGTACCCTCATCTACATTCTCCGCTCCTATTACACAAAAGTGAAACGGGATATATTTGCCAAAAAAAAGATTATTTCTCAGTCGGTCGATGGTTTTCTGTCGGTTTGCAACGCTCGGCAGCAGTTCGCCGCCTGTCTCGGAGATCAATATGACGCGTGTATGTCTCAGGTGATAAACCTTTACTTTGAATAATTTTATATAAATTGAGAGATATGGAAATAACAAAAATGGGAGAAAATCCAGACTCGCTTCATTCGGGACGGCGAGACTCCAAGCAACGCCTACACCTACGTTCAAATCTTCAAAACGATCGAGTTCGATTGCGACGGCGGCTTCGTTCGTGAGTTGTTTGAGGGATCGCTTTAGTGATGTGGAAGTGGTTTCTGAGGAAAAACAGATCACTTAAGAGATGATCAACTTCGAGCTTAATAGAACAATATTAAAAGACCCTTTTGTTGGGTGTATCAACGTTCACCGGCTGAAAAACTACTCCATATTTATTTTTCAAATAATCGACGAACATTATATATTATTATATATATTTATTTCATTCACAAAAGGAAATAGTCATTGACAAATTGAGAGATGGCATAAAAAAACTGAGGTGAATGGAATAAGATAAAACCCGATATTTACAGCACCCCAACGAGTGCAGTAACCGCAACAATGATTCAAATTCATTATATTTTTTTAAAAACCAACACATTTTTTTGCACAAATTTGTATTAATCGTTCCAGGACCTTTTTTCTGCTAACTTTCCGACCCTTCAAGCTTTGAAACGAGATAGCGACTAACTGAGTATGAAATTAAATTATATAAATGAACCTCACGAGGAAAAATGCCAGAAAAGGTTATTTCACTGCTTGAAATTCCAGAGTCGGTCCAGCACTGGCCCTGCATCATCGCCGTCCTTCTGAACAACGTCGATTACTTCAACCAATGCGCCACGACTTTCAATCAGGAATCCCAAGTGATCTCCATATTCTCAGTTGGATCAAGCTCTGGAGGTTCAGGACCCTTCGAAAGTGTGCTCAGCGTCTTACAAATTCGAAAACTGCATGCAAAAGCCTTACATGAGGACTTGTGGTCCAGAGGTTCTTTTCAACGTTTTTCCTTGCTTTCAAAGAACATTTTGCAGACAGCCTGGTGGGAATGTGAGCGAGTTCGACGATCGCTGGAGATTGACCAAAAATGCCCCGGAAGTACTTGTGATTATGTCGCTTCTGCATCGGCTGCCAATGGAAAACTTCCAGTTGGTGAAAAAGTCAAATCGGTCTTCTTTATGGAACATGGTAAGTAGATAACAAGATGAAATCAAGTTTATATTTGAAATAATTTAGGGAAATCCGGCGTTCTCCGAGAGCTGGCCGCAAAGAACCGACAGTAACAAGCATCAATAAATAATTGAATAAACCGTTGTTTTTGGATCTTTTTAAAGCTTTAGATGGCTCTCGATTTTTGATGAATAGGTATTATTTTCAGCAAGGGTTAAGCTCAACTGTTCAATCTTCAAAAGGTTAATGAAAACAGTTCTCGAACCTTGGAAATGCGAACTGAGCATTTCCAGTGACCACTTTAGTAGCGTCAGAACTCTTAAGTAATCCCTAGAATTGCTTAAAAAGTCCGAAACGTGTCTGGTTTCTGTTGCACAGGTCCAAGTTAGTCAATCTTGAGGCCAAGGAAAGCTTTAAAATCAGTGATATCCATGTATATTTTTCCATATTCTCAAAATCCAATCTCCTTCCAATCAGACTCTAAGCCAAGACTCTTAAAAAATCTTCCTCAACACCGAGATTTCCCACGGTGTGCCGGTGTGGCTGACAGCTACCAAAATCGAAAAAAATCGGTGCGTGTTTCCGAGAGAGTGTGTATGTGTGTGTGTGACGTGCAAAAGTCAAACAGACAGTTTGTTTCAGGTGCGTTTGAGCGGCAGGAGAAAAAAAAAATGAACAGCGAGAGGATGGATGGTCGACGGATATCAAGCCCCACACCGGCGGAGCTGTCAAAAATTCTTTTTCAATTTGCTTCCGATTTTTCGCTTTCCCGTTTATCCCACTCGGCCCCAGATCCCTCCTCTTGGAATTTCCATTGAGCAGTTGGATCAAAAGTAATTTGCGGATCTTCAGTCGAGGTCGTCTTTCTGCTGATCAGTTTTTTCTTTTACTTAATATCTTCAACTCAGTTCAGAGGACAGATCCGATCAGCTCTGAATAACCTTTATTTAGATTCAAGATCTTTCAGGAACTTTCTTTCATTTTAAATTTCAGCTGATGAGATGCAATTTCATCAAAATCTATTCATCAGTGAAAGCTCCGATTTAACTTTTCTTGTACTTTTTTCTTCTCCCAAGTTTTCAATTTCATTTTGAAGTTCAGCTATACTATCATATTTTCTCCTCGATTTGAAAATCGTTGAACGCGCGGAGAATGGCTGAAGGCAAACTATAATTTCTAAAATTTCATTTTTTTGTTGTTGAAAGAAATAAATTATTTTTAATCGAGCCGCACACGCGATCGCAACTTTTTTTAGCCATTCTACATGTAATTCAACTATTTCAAAAAAATATATAGCGAACGAAAGATATTATTTTTTTCAAGCTCTTTTTCTTTTCAATATTTTATCTTTTTTTCGACTTTTTTTGAAAAAAATGAGTACCCTTTTTGCTTTTTTTGAAACAATCGACAAACTTTTTTTAAAATTTTTTTGTAGTTTTTGAAATATCCACAGAAATTTTTGTTATATTCAGCAAGTACTCACGCTCCCATCGAACTTTGTGGATGAATTTATCGAAATTTTTCCGAAATCCTGATTTCTCTAACATTTTTCGATTGCTCATACTTGTTTTTTTCATCGATTCTAAGTTTAACTTTTTTTGCATCAAAAAAATTTTTTTAATGAAAAAAATGTGATATCTTTCCAGAAATCACGTTAAAATGAACAAGCTACGGTCAGCGTTCAAGTGGAAGCGAAAGTCAGTTAATATTTTATTGATTACCCATCCATTCTCTAATTTTGGATTAACTCATTTCAAATAAAAACTTCGAACCCTCCACAGAAGCTACGACTCGGACTCGACAGGCTACTGCTCCTCCTCGGACGTCTCCAGACCTCTTTCCGACTCTCAGTTCATTCTCCGACCCAGCACCGTCATGAGCAATTCCTACTCTCTGGCTAACAGTTATTATAATGTAGCTACTTTTCCTACAATCTGCAAATATTAAGTCTGATGTTCAGCTAGAATACGCCGAGTTCAAGTCCACTTCCTTACCGATGAAAACGGATACGGTATCTTCAAGGACATCGAGAAAGAGTACTGTCAGTTCACAGGCTTATAACGGGGTGAGGAAATCTTCCTGCACATCTAATAAGAATATTTTCCCGAGAAAAACATTTTTACTTTATTACTAATACATTTTTTTAGCAAATAAAGGTGACTTTTCAGGACCACTCCTCTATGGGCGAGGACGACGAAGATGACGTGAGCACCCTCCGACCGACAAGCTCTCAAACTCAAACCGTCCCTCTGATGCCACAACTAACGTCAATCAAGCACTTCATGGCGCAAGAAGAGCTTCGCCGAGCGATTCCTCGAACAACTCCAGAACTCGACGAAATGCCGACCATCAGCCTGGCAACGACGACGCCTGGAGAAGATGACGACATCGACTGCGATATCTCGGCCTCGACGTCCGTGTCCACGGCGGCAATGCCAGATTATTCTGAAGATGAGACTGTAGACGTCGTCAGCAAATCGCCCTCCTACACGATTCGCTTCCCGTTCGATGAGTTTGAAGAAGAGGACATGGCCGAGCTGTTCGACCAGCTTGAATTCGATGATCAACAACCAAGGTAAGGTATTGAAGTCTTCTAACTTCAAGAGGATTCAGCACGTCATCGGCGAATTTCCGTCAGAAAAAGCTTCTGATCAAGGAGCCTAGTTCGAAGATCTACTACGACGAGGAGGAAAACAGTGAAGCGCAGCCGCCATTGATGAATCGACCCGAAAGCGCACCGAGACCCAGGTTCGTGGTAGTGATTAAAAATTTCAATTTTCCCAAAAATCAACTTCAATAATATCATAATCAATCAGGTCGATTCTCAAAAAGGGGCCATCTTTTGCTGGGCATATTTACGAAGAGATCGAGGGAGATCATTTAACCCCGATTCCTGAGGACATCCGACCCGAGGTTTGAAATAATCCATGGATGAAAAACCAATAACGGAAAAAATAATACAGCTTCCGGTCCGCCCCTTCCTTCAGCCTCTTCGATTCTTCCCGCCTTGTAATTTCTTTCAGCCACGACAACGGTGTGAAAAATTGAATTCATCTTCAGTTGACTTATCAATTTTAAGATACCCATCGATCCGTCGACGGAAAAAGATGCCCAGTCTGCATCATTCGCAATCGCTTGCTTCATATTTCTCGAAGAAACGGAAATAAACATGAAAACTATCCGAATGTTATCATAGTACACAGAAACAGAAGAAACCAGAAAAAATATATGAAATTAAAGGCAGGCTAAGTCTAAGGCAACAAAGTAATTCGATACAATCAAGTGTTCAGATTCTACAAAATATATCTCAAATTCATAAATTCAGTGAATTTTGTGGTAGAAGAAAACTTGATTTTACTATTTTGGCTATTTCTGTCGACTGACATCGCGTTCTACTGATAAAATATTCAATATTAGTCCAGATTTTTGATAAAAACGCAGCTCTTTATTCTGATATTAACTCGCTCTGAGATGATTTTATGTTTTCTTGGATTAAAAAACTACTGAAGTTCAGCTGAAACTTCCATTTCTCTCTCTCGAAAAAGTTCTCTACCAGGCCTGGCCCATGATGTTGCTCATAAGGAGGGACAGGTCCAAGCCGATGACCAGTCCCAGCGATCCGCTGCTCAGGTAGCCGACCGCCGCCGACACCAGGCAAGATCTGTCTTGCCACAGCTTCTGTTTGTCGAATCTGCAACGAGAAACCTCTCAGTTTTCGAATTAGATTGGAAAAACCTCAGTCGATAGCATTTGTCGTAGAGCTGGATACTGTTCATGTCTCGAAGCGACAAGTAAGTGAGAACAGGTCCGATGGCCGCGCCAAGAAGCGCTCCTTGCTGACCGCCGCTCACGAAAGAGTCCCTGGAAATGTCATTCATCGATGGAATATTTTTAATACTTGGTTTAATCACACAAACCCTACAAAAGATAAAGAAGATAGGATTCTGTAAAACATAAAAAATTGCAGCACAAAAATCACTCACGGCGGGAATTCCACCCTAACGAGTTAAATTTGAGCTAGTATCTGACTAATATTACAGTAAATGTTCAAGACGAAACACTTCACAAAAAAAAGCATTTTCGACCGTAGCGACGGAACTCGATACAGAATTTCAGAAAGATCTTTTGAATCTTTTTTTTCGCTTGTTTTTAAGAAAAAAAAATCGCTCTGGAGCCAAAAAAAATTTATTGTAGCGCTCGCAAAATTTTTAAAAATCAGCCAAACCGCAATGGGGAAGAAAAGCCTTGTTCATGTTTTACTTTCTCTGACGGATTTGCTCCGAAATGCAGGACAACAAATAAAAATGAATGCGAAAATTCGATACTTTCTGAAAAATCTGACCGCAGCAAATGAGTTTAAGATACAAGAAAAAAGGAAAATATCTTAGAGAATTTTAGAGAAAGATCAAATTTTCACAAAACTTCTTCTTGAAACTCACAACAAGTTTTTCGACTTTCCTCGTTGATCCCGGAAGACGAAGGTGGACAAAGGCCCCAAGATAGAGCCGAGAATAGCTCCAGTCTGAAAATGGTGTTTTCTATCCAAAAATTTCATTTCAATTCAAAAACCTGCATGCTGCGCAAAGTGACGTGGATACAAAACTCGGCGCCGGGGTTTTTGACCGCGAGAAGTTCAAAATCCGTTTGTTTTATGCCGACAAAGTTTTTCAACCATGTCGTGCTCATCTGGGTAGTTTTATTGAATTATCTTCAATGTTTCACGATCAATAAAGCTGTTATATGTGTGAATTATTAAAAAAATATCCAACTTTTTTTTTCAATTGGTTTTTCACGTATTTTAAAGTTTCTATAAAAAATTACTCACTTAAGTGCTCAGCCCAAAAAATTTTGAAAAGGTGCTCTTATTTTCCAAATCAAGAAAAAAAGAATAAATTTTCCTTGAGGTAACGGTGCCAAGTTCGTAAAATAGTAGAAAAAAAGTTCAAAATCGCAGTTGTTTTGAAAAATGCCCTTGTAAATATTCAAAAAAAAATGTAATAGATCGTTCTAAAGACATTGAGAAGCGGAATTATCTTCTAATATGAAATCCGAAATATTGGTGAAAAACGCTTCAAATATTTTGTTTGGCTTCAACCCTCTACGGTTCAACAAACAAAAAAAACTCTGAAAATTGAGAAACCTTTATGGCATCAAAATAATAGAGATTCTATTAGCAAATGAAGACAGGCAGTAAAAACCCGAAAAAAGACTGACAGGTTTTGGGCAAGGCTAAAAGGTCGTGAATCTCAAAAAAAAGATTGAATCTTTCTAGAAACATTTTTGCGACCCTCTACGAACGTAAAGCAATTGAACAATGAAAAAAGGCACAAGCTGGGAGTGATTATAGTACAATTGATATAATCAATGAAAAAGATCTATAGCACGACTAATCTAGTTGAATACAGGCAGCTACAACTGACAAAACTAGTATATTTACAAGCTCATAAATTTCTGGTGAGCAAGGCGAAGAGCAGGGATAAATCCAGGCCGACGACGAGTCCGAGATTTCCATGGCCGAGCCAGCCGACGGCCGCCGAGGCGATCGTGATGTGGTCCTGCCAAAGTTGCGATTGGTCCGACCTAAAAATGAGGAGAACATCAGATGGAAAATGTAAGAAAACATAGTAAATTCAAAAAAAAAAAATGGCGAATCAAGAAATAAAAAACAATATTTCTCATCTAGTTTACATAAAAAAGACATGTTTGAATTAATATTCAGATATAGATCGAATTTTTTAGAGGATGAATGGAACGTAAAAGTGCAGGCGAGTCCATAAAACAGACGTAAACGTTCTTTTCGGACAACCATAGCTCGAATCGCTAGAAAATGTCAATAATGACCTTGAGACGGGTACAGACACTAGGAAGAGATAAGGTGATAAGTAAGAAAGTGATAAAATATGTTCAAGGATCCTTATGGACCATTTGAAAACTTAGAAATATTGAATGATTTGAATAAAACTGGATATTCGCCACTAGAGTTCTCAAAAGTAAATGTTTGAACGAACGTTCAACCGATGGTATGAAAAAAACACCAGCGAAAATTTAAACGGCGACTTTTCCGATTTTTTCGTATCGCTAGGGAACTTTCCGACAGCCACCTTTCCGCCGAAATCGTTTCCGACTTTTTTTGTCTTTATATTTTTCGATTTATAAAACATCTATTAACATTTTTTTCTCATTTCGTTGTGTTTTAATCATGAATAAACTGCCTACTTTATATAGGAAGATTCAAAACGAAGATTTTACCGAGAAAAAAAAGTCGGAAAAAAATTCGGCGGAAAGGTGGCCGTCGGAAAGTTCTCTAGCGATATGAAAAAATCGGAAAAGTCGCCGTTTGAATTTTCGCTGGTCTTTTTTTCATACCACCGTTCAACCAAACATTTTCCGAACGTTTGATGAATTCGACCAATTAGTTAAATTTCACATGAACCGTTTGTTAAAAACTTCATTTTGGTAAAATTTCATAACTGAGCATTTGAAAAAAATGAACAATTACTTATTTTTTTCGAAAAAAATTTTGGTTAAAAAAATGAACATTTAAATTTCACTTTTGAAAGTTTTGGTCAGAAAAAGTAAACATTTAAAAATTCACTTTGAAAAATTTTGGTCAGAAAATGAACATTTAAAAGTCATTTCAAAAATTTTGGTCAAAATAGTGACCATTCAAATTTCACTTTGAAAATTTTGTTTAAAAAGGTAAACATTTATTCATTACTTTATTCATTACAATTACGGCACTTGGCAGTATCTGTGCCGGAGTCAATTCTGTCTCAGTCTACTCCAAATGAAATCATGAATCGATTACTTCGAAATTCAAACTAATTTCTGATTAAAATAAAAAAATCTATTGGAAAAAAGTGATCTGGATGGTCAAAGGCGAAGCTGAAAGTAAGGACGAGAAAACTTATGTGGAACCGGTCAAAAATGAGCAGACCAGAAGAAAGGTGCTATCTGGAGAATTAATTGAATGAGGAAAAAAGAAAAGTATTGATTTGGAAATCGGTTCGGAAAATCCAGGTTCGGAAAAGTATCGGCCAAAAAATGAACATTCAATTTTCACAGTTAAAAAAAAGTTTGAAAAAAATAAAAAAGTAAACATTTAAAATTCGTTTTGAAAAATTTTTGGTAGAAAAAAATGAACATTTAAAAATTCATTTCGGAAATTTTTGGTCAAAAAAAGTAAACATTTAAAATTCATTTTGAAAATTTTGGTCAAAAAAATGAACATTTAAAATTCATTTTTGAAAAATTTTGGTCAAAAAAATGAACATTTAAGTTTCACTTTGAAAAATTTTTGGTCATTAAGGCGAACATTTATTTACTAGTCAGAATATGATTGTTTAGAAAATGACCATTTATTTTTTTCAGTCATTATTTGAAAAAGTCACAAAATGAAAAAGAATGAAAGTGATCAATTTTGGTTGATGTTTTAAAAACGACATTCGTTTGAAATGTCAAAAAGAAAATTTTTCGTTTTTGAAAAATGTCATTCTTTTCAATTGGTCATTTTGAGAACTCTATTCGCCACGATACTTAACTAAATCAATGAATGGTATTTTTCAACTCCCCAGCATGACTTTAAAAAAAAATAATAAATAAGACCTGAGTATTATTTGACGAGAACCCGTTTATGAAAACTTGAAACTATTTTTTCAAGGATAACCAAACTCGAAACCTTATTTTCATATAGTTCTTGTACTTATTGATGGTGTGCATGTTCCTGACAGTTCCGAGGGTCACCATAGGGCCGAGAACGGCGCCAACCATCGCCCCGTGCATTCCGCCGCGGATGAACGCATCGCTGAAGATATAGAGATACATTTTGAGTTCATTCCAGTGTTACATTAGTGAAGAATCTTCATTCTTCTGGTGCCGGAAGAGGTAGGCGGAGACTGGCCCCAGAACAGAGCCGATTAAGGCGGCCGTCTAGAAAAAATAAGCTTCTTCAGATTATTTCAAAGCTGAATCAATTTTCTTCAAACTCAAAATTTTCTCACATAACATAATCACCATAAAATTTTTGGAGAACGGTTGATATAATCAAATCTATTTTCTGAAGGTTAATGAAAGTGTTACGGTTGTAATATTTAGAACTAACTCAACTTGAAAGATATCCTCTTTTCGAAAGTCAAGGAAAACTATGAGTTCAACAATAGTTAAGCATATCCTTGAAAAAAAAAAACATGAAAAATCCGGGAATGAACAGTTCAAAAAACTGAAAAATGAAACTTTGAAATTCAGTAGTTACATCTTTTTGTCAAACCTAGTAATCAAACTGAATACCTTATAAACACACCTGTACACTCCTCAAAGATACGTGTATGCAGAATTGAGCTCCAGGCCTCGGGAAAAAGTCGTAGGCACGGTTTTTGTCCTTCCTCTCGCGGATCCTCTCTCGCAGCTTGGAGACGAAATCGAGGTCGAGCTCGCGGCTCGACATCGACATTACTGGAAATGAGGGTTAACCACGCGGGACGTGCACAAAAAACAATTTTGCAATAGTTTTGGCTCGAGAAACGTGTGGAAGAATAAACTTGAAACGGTTAGAACACAAACGAATTTTTCAGAAAAACCATTTTTTATCGGAATATTTTACAGTGGCAAATTGGCGTGCAGAGATTGAGTATTGAGTATCGTACGCAGGGAAGGTAGTTGATTGAAAACATAGATTAAGATTGAAAATCAGACTGAAAACATAAAAAGCAAGGAAAAAGTTAAGCCGTCGGGACAACACTTTCGCCTTGGATCGTTTCATTAAGGCCAGTTTGCTTGTAGGCGGTCAGGTCAAAGGTCAAAACTCCTGAAGTCGTGCAGGCAGCTGGCTGTGGGAAAATTCCGATCAAAGAGTCGGCCTGCAAATATTCTAGCTCTACTAATTCAGCCAAAATCAGCTAAGACAGAGTTTCCAAAATACGGATACGACCCAAGTTCTTTAAAATACTTCTACACCTTTGACTCGCATTTCTCAAGATAGTGAAAAAACTACTTTTTATTTTTTGTTGTTAATTTTTTGAATAAAGCCTTTCGTAACTATCAGCTTTTTTCGGACCGAAAACGAGAAGTCTCAAAAAAAAGTTGAAAAAGGCGAGGGTCTCCGTGAGAACGCGAAAAAAAACATCAAAGACATCTCCGAAGGACGAATTGATAAGGAATTATGGATCTTTGTTTGTTCATCTCCATCAAACTCGCCTTGTTGTAGAACTCTTCCTTGAGAGAAATGACAATGATCTGCATTTCTTCGCGGGCCGACTCGCAGATGAACGAGGCGACCTTGCCGATGTTGGTGTTGTCCAGAGCGGCGTCGATCTCGTCGAGGACGAAGAACGGCGACGGATTCCTGGCGTGGACGGCGAACAGCAAGGCCAGCGCGGCCACGGTCTTCTCTCCTCCGGACAAATTGTCCATCGGTCGGAAACGCTTTCCAGGAGCCACGCAGTTGTACTGCAATCGCACACAACTAATGAATTGAGAGAACTGAGCTAAAGAAAAAAAAAATCGAAATAAGAGAGATGACAACATCTTTCAACATAGATATGATATGAAAAAATTTTCCTATAAATTTTCCTTCATTTTCACTCAGTTTCTTACCTGAATACCCTCCAAATACGGCTCCTCCATGTTCTCCGCGCCGAGGAAAGCTTGCGCACTTTGATTTCTCGACAAAGACTAAAACAGATTTTTTTTTTCTTTTTCATTGATTAAATTTTAAACCTTATAAATCTCGTCGATTTTCGCGCTAACAGGTTCGAAGCATTCCTGGAACCTTCGGTAGCGCTCCGTTTTTATCTGAGAAACAAGAATATTCAAGTTGAAATTTTTTTGTTGTTGAAAAATGAGTGGCGAGTTTAATTATGTAAAATACTGATATTTCAGTTTTTCCTCCTCTGAAAGCACTCAAAAAAACTTCTTTTTTTTATAATTTATCAAAGAGTGGACCTTTTCAAACTGCTGCCTGATCTTCTTGGCCTTCCTTCTGGCCGCTTCGAGTTCCTCCGTCGATTCGGCTTCCCTTTCTTTCACTTCTTCCATTCTTGAAAAGAAAAATAATAAATCATCTCTCCTTTAAAGAAAACCTTTGATTAGCTTTCATATTCGGAGCATTGAGACGAGAAATGTGAGCTTGTGACTCGGAAATTTCCTTGTTCAGTCGGTCAGTGAGCTTCTTCACGTTGTCCTCGTCTTCCACCTGATATGAAAAGTTGGAATAATCGAATCTTCCTCTTTCACGAAAAGTAGCTATTTCCTACCTCCTTATACTCTCTCGGCAAGCTAGTGTAGTTCAGTTTGATGTTGGATTCGCGCTGAATTTGCTCTTGGCTCAGACTTTGACTCTCGGCCGAGGTTGAAGGCTCGTCCATGACTGGAACATTTCATTTTGATACTAATACATTAATTCTAGTTTTTTTTCAAATCTTCAGAGACTTTTAAAAATCTTAAGAGAGCTTTTATGCGTTCGAAAAGTAAACAAAAAAAGAATTACATTATTTAAGAAAATTTTAAAGACTAGAAATAGTTGAAATCTTATTCAATGTTTACAAAAACTTATACAAAAAGAGTATTTTTGATTCATAGCAATTCAAGAAACCTGAAACCAACTCATTTTCAAATTAGTCATAATAAAATAATTGAACTAACTAGACTCTACCATATCTGTAAAGAGATCTTAAAAAGCAAAAAAAGAAGTAATTCTGATTTCGAAAAAGTTAATTCTTGTACCGCCTTTTTTTCTGAACCCATCGGACTGACCTTCATCGTCGTCATCATCGTAATCGCCGGCCTCAACTTCAGCCAGACTTCCGGAGCTCAACGGCAACTTGATCTGGTTCATCTTGGCCGTGTGGAGCAACGAATGACGCTCCATTTGTTTCCTCGCCACAAGATTCTCCAGTCCGAGGAAAGCCTTCTCGGCGGCGGTCACTTCCCTGGCAGCGACTTGAGCCGCCTTCTTGACCTCGGTCAGCTCGAGCTCCAGTTTCTGGACGATCTCCTTCCGCTCCATGTGGTTGACCTTTTCGTTCTCGAGGCTCGTCTCCAGCTCATTGATGGCTGCCGCCTCGGCTTTCTGCTTCTTCCGCAAATCTTTCAACTCCCTTTCCAGAAGCGCCGCTTTTTCCCTCTCGGCGTTCACTCTCTTGCTCCTGTCTTCGGATCGCAGGTACTCGATCTCGTTCTTCAGCTTATCCAGCTCGTTCTCAAACTCTCTGAGTCGGTCCTGAGCTTCCTGGTGGATCTTCAGCTCTCGGTCTTCATACTCTCGGATGTTGCGGATGCCGATTTTCAAGCAAAAATCGTGAAACACCTGAAAAGAAAAACACGTTTGCGCGTTTGAAACAGGAGCAAATAAACTATTTGATTTCTTTAAAACCAAACGTGGACTCTGTGAAATGACGTAACCTCAGAGTTTTCATATTTCCCATGAGTCACTTACGATACTGCAAATATTCAAGATGTTACCTTATCAGCGACGGCGTTGTTCTTCTCGATGAGTTTTTGAACAGTTTCCTGGTCCCTCTTCACTTTTTCTTCAATGTCTTGGATTCTCGGCTAAAAATGAAGATCAGATTTCAAATTCGAATTATTTTCCGAACCGGGATCATCTCGGCTTCGGCTCGATGGGCCTCCAGTTCATTTTGGAGCCTTTCCAACGTCTCCGACTCCATTTTCTTCACATCCCGACGCAAAGTTGCCAGGCGTTGGTTGATGCTCGTCAGCTCGCTTCTGAATGTAAAAAATTGAAAACATCCAAATAAATTTTAGAAGCCAAAAACCTTTGCATTTCGACTTCGAGTTCTTTTCTTCGGTTCTTTTGGAGATTATTTTGGTCCTCCTGAAGTTTATTTCGCGTCTCGCGCAATCCCCTAAAAATTGAAATCAAGAAATCATTTTTGGAAGGCGGAATAACCGAACAACTTTGTCGTCCCATTTCTTGGCCTTCTGTTTGAGGTCGGCGCTGCCTCCGGACATGACGCCAGAGGCTTGGAAAAGAGTTCCGTCCATCGAAACCGCCTTGTATCTTCAATCAAAGAGTAAGATAGACATTAAAACTCTACTGTAGCTAGAATTTCAGGAGAGAAAAGATTAGCAGCTCGGAGAGGATGCCAGAGAAATTAAAGCACCCTCGTTTCTCTGGCCTCTCTTCCGGCGTTTGTTAATCTACTGCTTTCCCTAAATTATTCTCCCTTTTATGATGGCTACCTGGAACGGATCTCATTTTATTAAAATAAGGTTCGCTCGCAAAAGTATTGGTTACTACTTTTTATTATTTTTTTCGAAATGCTAGAAAAAGCCAAACGGTTTCAATTTTATTACTAAAAAAAACTTATTACTAAAAAAATAAAATACAAAAATAATTTTTTTCTCGATCTTTCAGTTTTTCCTCTCCAAACTCTAGATTAACCAACCTGTCGGGCATGCCGCTGCCGCCATAGGCCAGTTGCTTGGCGTCTTCCTGGTGTTCACAGACCAGAGAATTTCCGCAAGCGTACTGCAGAGCCTTTCTCGCCGCTTGATTATTGAGCTGAAAAATGAAAAGTTCGTGAACAGACATGGACAGACCATTTTCAAAAAATTTCTGATTTAAACCTAAAATTCCCCAATTTTTGAATTATTTACTAACCCTTTGAGGAACTCGAACTTATCATGTCAACACCACATTCCTCAAGTTAAAACTCATTTAGACTTCTTTTCGTCAAAATTTTTGGTCAACTCATCCTCTTGGTGTAAGTTTTGCACTTGTCCACGAATGATTTTTAAAGAACATCTTCTTTTCAAAACAAAGAAAAAAGAATCAACCTAACATTTACTCAGCGCGTTTTATTCGCGTACATATCGGTAATCAGTAAAAAAAAATTCCTTAAAAATTGTTTTTTTTAGGAATTGAAAAAAACTGTCAATTTTTCTGTTCAAACAGTTTTCGGAAACCCTCACATTGATGACATCAAAGACGAGTTTGACGCCGGAAGGTCGTTTGATATCGCGAAGCTTTTCGTTGATCGGCAGCACGTCCAGCGTGTCGGACGGCAAGAAAGTTTCGGGTTGGAGTCGTTGTTGCTGGAATCTTTTTCTTTTTCGAGATTCCCGGAAAAATAAGAGACTTTCAAGTAATTGATGGCGTCTTTGGCCGTCTCCTCCGTGTCGCAGACGATGCTCATCATGTGCTTCTGAAGGACTTTCGTTATGGCCAACTGGAATCTTTTGTGGGAAGGTTGGCAGAGATCGACGAGACGGCCGTAGATCTGAAAAATCTCGTTTTTTTTTTTTCGGAAAGTGAATAAAGCAATCGTACTGAACGGTGTATTTTAATGTTTGTCCTTTCCGAAAGATTTCACGGTTTTCCAAACTACTGTTATAGAATGGTGAAGGTGACAGAATTTTAGAGAGTCAGAAATCGTTCCGAATCAAGGGACAGAAATCTGAACGCGGCTTTAGAATTCTTAAGAAAAAACGGATTACTTATGTAAAGACCTTTTTAAGAACATTTATCAATCATTTTTTTACTTAAAAAAATTTGGACTTTCGTTTTTCTGCTTCCGTTAGTAGTTTTTTCATCAGTTCCATCTATGTTTTCTCAATTTTTCTCGAAACTCACTCTGTCCGGGAAGACGCGTCGCAAATTGTCGATGGCTTCATTTCGTTTCTGATTTCTTTCTCCTTCCGCCGTGTCTCCAGACGCTTCGGACAGCTTTCGCAGTACTTCATTCAGCTCTCGATTGATCTCAAATCCAATGTTTTTGCACCTTTTCCTCAATATTTCTCACCTTTTCGGCCCTGGCTTTCGTCTCGATGACCTGCGTCTCTGTGTCTTTCAGCGCTTTCGTCTTCTCTTCCAGGGTCTCCTCGTTTTCCTTGATCTTTGCGTGCAGCATTTCAATCTGAAAAGCAGAAAAATCGTTATTTGTCTTCAAGGACCATTTCTTTCGGATTATTTTCCCATTTTTTTTTGGTCACGAAATTAAAAAATGACCTGCTTCTTGGCTCTTTCGACGTCTTGCTCCTTGTTCTTGGCACGACCTTCGTGCTCTCGCTGCCGTCGCTGCTCATGAGCCAAATTGCTGAATATTCTCTGATTCTTTCAGAAACATCAGAAAGAAAAAGAGACGATACAAAGACCAGAAAAAAAATTGAAGAAAGTTATTGTTTCTATAAAATTCCGAGAAACCTCTTTTCAGTGTCCAGAATCTGCTGCGCGGCGTTCAGTTCAATCTCCGTTCGACCGGATTCCATCAACGCCTTTCTTTTCAACGTATGGTACTCGTTGATCTTAAAAATAGACACAATAAACTGTTCTGTTGAAATTTTCAAAGTTTTTTTTTTCGAATTCACGGAACATCATATGTTCGAAATTGAAACGTTCCCTTAAAAAAGTGTTTTTTTTTTAATCGAGAAATTCAGGAAATAAAGGTGAGCTTCATCGTGATGTTAAATACTCAACAAAAAACTTCAATCACCTGTTCATCGTCCAAATTCAGCTCCTGTTGCTGTGTTTGCGTGGCGATTTCATCCTCGAAATCGGCTTTTTTCTGCTCAATTTCTCTAAAAAGCAAAGAAGATTCTGACTAATAGAGAATATATCAATAAAAACCTTCTCTGCTTCTCCAAAACTTCCGTTTGTTGCTTGTTCTTCTCTTCTAATGCTTGAGCCGAAGTCAGAACTTTTTTCGCCGTTTCAAGTTTATTTTTGTGGTGTTCAACCTAAAAGTTATCCGAAATAAATTGCAGAGAATGAAGAAATGCGAAAGTTCGGGTTAAAAAATACCTCCGCCTGGATTTGTACGTACTTTGGCCGTTGGATGTTCATCTCTTTTTGCTAAAAAATTCCAGGGTTAAAATTTTCAGTGGAGTGAAAAAAAAACCTTGTCGTTAATTTTTCTATCCAACTTGTGGTATTCCTTCTGAGCTTTCTTCAAATCCGCCTGAGCTTTTGCAACTTTCTGGTCTTCTTCGGACTGGAAAAATTCAAGTTAGTAGATCTCCAGAACATTTTTTAGACAAAAGACGAACCCGAAAAAAAAAAACCAAATAGTTACTCTAATAGCTTCTTTTTCGTCTTAACCTTACCTTTCCTTCAAACAACATAAAAATGAATAATTTTCCCCTAAAATCTGAAAACTCGACCTTATTATGCTCCAAATTTCCAATTGATTTTCGCTGCTCGGCGAGTTGCTCCTTGGCCTCGTTCATTATTCTTTCGCAGTGGTAGATTTGATGCAAGTAGAAAATGCGTTGCTTGGAAGCCTTAAAACAAACCATTTGGAATGAAAAATTTTTTTGCTTTTTGCTGTAACATTTTACTACAAAAAAATGATTTAAAAAAATGAAAAAAATCGATATTTTTTTCAGAAAAAAATCGATTTTTTTAAATAAGTTTTTCCCCGTGATGGCTTCAAAAAAATTAAAATTAAAAAAAGCCAAGTCAACCGAATCTGAAACACTTAAAAAGGTGATTTACACTTCGAAAAAAATTCATCAGGGAGTCGTAGTTTTTTTGAAATTTTTCGGAAATAGGAAAAAAATGAGCTGCTAAAAGACTTGCTTCTACAAAAAAATGTTGAAATAAAATTAATTTTCAAAGAAAACAGATGAATTTTTCAGAGCGGCTGCTTGCTTTCAGCAAAACGGCCCTTTTCCCCAGTTATTTTGTGATAAACCCAATTTGTCCTAACAAGAAAATGCGAACCGCTTCCTCCTTCATCTGCTGGTACTTCTCGGCTTCGTCTTTTTCCATCTTGGCCTCGCGTTTTTCCTGAGCGATTCCTCTTCTTTTGTTCATGTTCTGTTGGGTGTCGTCTTCGGCCTTGGTCATTTCGTTTTTCAGCCGTTCGTAGTCGACTTGGAACTCGCAAGATCTTCAAATGCTATAATATTTCATGAAAAAAAATTTTTTTCAAAAGTCAGAAGAAAATAATTTGCCGCTTAATTTATAGCTAAAGTTGCTGGACCCGAAATGAATGGCAAATACTACTAAAAATGAAACTTCAAACCGAATGAGAAAAAATAATAGACAGTAAAACAAAATAAGCTCAGAGCATAAGTAAAATAATCGAACATGAAAAAATTACCTGGACAATTCTTCAAAAAGCGCCGTTCTTTCCTTGGGATTCTTCATCGCGATCGACTCAATGGCTCCCTGAATTTTTTTAAATTCACTTCTTCGAATAGAAAACAGACTTTTAACGTACCTGATACACCAGGAAATTTTTCGCCTTGATGAAAATATTGATAGACTCCATTTCCTGGTTATACTGCTGTACAGTGACTACCTGCAAAAGATATTGAGAAAAGTCAACTTTTTATTTTATTTTTTATTGTCACTCATTTAAAAATTTAAATTTCGTTTTACTACGAAATCTTATAACATGAAAAGAAAGAATCAATACCAAAAAAAAACCTCATTAAAATTCAAACCTTTCCATCCAATCTGAATTCTGAAGCTCCGCTGCTGATGGCTCTGGTGAAGAGGGTCTTTCTGCCGTCATCGTGATGATATTCCATTGAAACGGAACATCCCTTGGCCACCGGTTTCCCTATCGGCGCTCCATGGATCAGGTCCTGTGAAACGTTGAAAAATGTGAGGAAAACTTTTTTCTCACTCAAAGAAATTCAAAAATGTTGGAAACTGTGTTAAATTGCGTGTTACCGTCGAGAAACCGAAGAAGTTTTTGAATATTCATACACTTTTTTTTTTCGAAAATTTATAATGACTCCGATAACAAGAGCCGGAGAAAGGTTAAAAGACGTTAACGCCGTTTTCAAAGTGATTCCGCAAAATGCAACATGACCGCCAGAGAAAGAAGAATATAACAGACTTTTGAAGAGTCAGAGACCACTTTGCATTTCGCGGAAATTACTTTGAGCACGGCAGTAAAAATAAAATTTTTTTCAGAGCTGGGAGCTCCTACCAACTGAAAATTATTGAAACAAACCCCCAATTTCTTCACTCGAAGACTTTGTGTTTTTTCACCAAGAACGAATGAAATAGCATCCATCATGTTCGATTTTCCTAGAAACGAGAAGCTCAAAAAATCAATGAAATAAATATATTACCTGATCCATTTGGTCCGATAATGGCTGTGAACTTGGAGAATGGCCCAATTGTATGTTTTCCTTTGTAGGATTTGAAGTTTTCCAACTCCAACTTGTGTAGCATCCCCATTTTTGAGAAGAACTGAAAGCAGAAAAAGCTACTTTCGTCTGAAATTGATATTACGGTGTAGATATGAGCGAAGTAAACGCAAAGTGGGTTTCAAAGAACTCTTAAATTCCATTGAACTGAAAATTTATTTGTTTTTTTTCAACGAGAAGGCACATTATGAGTACAATATATACACGTGAAGGAAATAAAAAAGAAAATTTCATCTTTTTGGTTCGTTTTCGCGGTTGCTCGGCGAGTTTTTCTTGTCCAATTCTTTGGCCTTCTGTTCAGCTTCCGACAAAAATCGTGTCAGTGCCAAGGGATTTGCTCCCATTTCTATTACCTCAAATGTCTGCTGGTTTTATTTTCTCAACCTAAAAAATACCTTGTGAACAGCTGCTATTTGTGATGGTGTGAGAGCAACTCCAAGATAGCTGGAAACGTTTGAAAGAGCTAAAATGAAATTCAAAAATTTAAAAAAAATCCATCTTTCAAGATACCTTTCACAGCTTCGTCATCTGACATCGTAAACACTGAAATACAGTCCTTAAATAGAAAACAAAATTATTTTCCAATATAAAGAAGCTCTAAGAAAAAGAACTTTGAAAATAAAGTTTGACGGCGTTTGAGCGTTACCAATAAATAGACTTTTTTTTTCCAGAACAGATTCATTTTTTATACTAAAAAAACCATACAACGTAAAATGTAAGTTCAAAAATTACGGCGCCAAAAGCAATCGAAAGTCCGATGGGGCGCAACTTCCCATTTTAGGAAGCTGAAAATTCGTTGGTAGGATACGGAATACTCGCTCAGCAAAAAAAAAAACATGTTTTCGAAAAAATTAATTTCTTCAACTGATCTGAAAAAAAAGCAAAAAATAATCAGAACGAAGAAAGCCTTGTCGTATTTATATGAATTTTTTAAAATTTTTTGAAAGTATATAACTACACGTTTTCACTGAAAGCTGAGCAACAGTATGTGAAAGAAGACGAAAGAACTGAACAGAAACATAAAAAAACAATCAACATTACTGAACGAAAATGTATACAGCAACAAACTAAAAAAAGAAAATCTGAAAAATTGAAACTTCGGCTAAGTTTTCCGACTGACTTCCACTTAGAACGATGTGATACACTTTAAATAACCGACAATACTGCCTGCGAAAGTAAATTTTGAATTAAAAAAACAATTTCTTGCTTTATTTTTGACGTTTATGTGGACAAAAAGGAGTTTCTTAGAGCGATATAGCGCTAGACGTTTGCGAGGTCGCAGCGAGAGACGAGCGATATTGCTCGCGGTACAGCTCACTATCGATGCTTCATAGTTCACGATATTGGAGGAAATAGATCACAAAACAGAAAAATCTCCACTTAAGTGACCGCTTGAAAATAGTGAAATTTTAAAACGCAAATTTGCGTACATTCACTGGGACCTCAGACCGGAAAAACTACTGTATCTCGAAATTTCAAGAAATTTTTTTCCTTCGCTCCAATTTCGTTGTAAATTTTATCAGTTTTCTTTTTATTTTATCTTTTACGCGATAATTTTGTCTGGTGTTGTTTTAGGGCGCAATAGTTTTTAACAATCACACGATCCAGAAGTAATAAAAAATTTTATAAATGCGATCTCATAGAATCAGAATAATCAAAATCCGCGTCTCTTTATTCCCATTTCAACATATAAAGAATGTGTAGGATCGTCGCTTTAATAGCGTTATTATGGTGTATCATGCCAAAGACGGACGCGGGAAATGTCGCCATCGTCAAGCTCGTCGTCATCGAAGGCAATTGGCAGCAGCCGTTGAACTCCACCTTGAACAAGGTTTTTTTGAATGCACTTCTTCTTTTAAACTTTTTCGTATATTTATGGTAATTTCAGATGGTATGGCAAGTGGTTTCCACGGATCGCTACGCTCTCCAAGGCTTCCGGGTTCGCCCGACAGCTAACACAAGTCTGTGCGAACTCGTTGGAAACATTGATCGGGGCAAGGAGGCGTCCGATTTCATTCTAGTCGTTATAAGGTACTTGAGGGAAGAATTTTTTCTGGTCGTTAGAAGGGACTTCAGGGAGAACGGAAAAGCTCCCGGAAAGCTTTTTTCAAAAAAATGTGTTTTTTTTTTTCATATTTCGCCATTTACTCGGGCAAAATTTCGATATGGTGAATGAAAGGTATTAAATTCCGAAAAAAAAAAACGGTGCAGAAAGGCAACAGGTAGGAAGAGCCTTCGTCACTAAAAAGTAACCTTCACCAGCCTTTATGGACCCTAGGAGGGTCCTTATTGGAACCTTCCGTCTGTGCTTATGTTATTTAATTTCGTTGCAGTGAGATGGCGGAAAGATTGGAGTGCGATCCTGAATGGGGGCGACAAAATTTCGCCATTCTTCGGGTAAAAACTCAGCTTGAAGAATAGAAGGAAACCAAAGGGTTTTCAGATTATTGGTCTATTCCCGAACCGCGATTTGTTTGGCGGAGTGGTATTATATTATTTTTCTTCTGAAACAAAATATCTTGAAAAATTTTGAAAAATTAATTCAGATCATTGGGCATATTACAGTATAGCCCCCCGCATATGTTGGATATCACCCCCGCGACACGTTCGAACAAGCCCCCCACACTTATCCAATATAGCCCCCCGGAACTATCCAGTATAACCCCCACACCGAAAAAAAGTCACGCAACGATCACGCAGGACACGTGTCAGAGCTTCCATTTTTTTAATTTATTTTTCTAATTTTTTTCGTATCATTCGTCGTTCTTGGTTGTTTCAAATGTTTTTGTATTTTCGCATGTAAATTCGTGTTCTTTTTGTGAATTTAATAATTTTTTTGTGATTTGATTTGTAGATCATGGAAGAAATTAGGTCGCTGACCGAGTTTCAAGAGAAGTTCAAGTCAGACAAAGAAGTTTACGGGTACGTCTCGCCGAGATACGTACGAATATCATAAAATTATGGGGCGCTGACCACTTAGAAAAAAATTTAAGACGAACTTTATTAGTTTTTCAATCAAGTAATTGTTCTGAGGAATAGAATTTTTTTGCTTTTTTTCTTTTCATGCACATTAATTAATAAATTACTTAGGAAAATAGGCTTAGTTTTTAAGGCTTCACACGGAGGCGGAGCGCGCATAGCGCGAAGCCGACTGTGGCTCGCTTCGAAAAAACTGAGCCACAGTGAACAATTCGTCAAATAAATGAAATACTTGACATAGAGGGGGGTCATTCTGAAATGGAGGGGGGCCATTCTGAAATGAGAGGGGGCCATTCTGAAATGAGAGGGGGGTCATTCTGAAATGGGAGGGGGGCTTGTTCGAATGAGCTCTGGGGGGACTATTTCAAAGCCGTGCGGGGGGCAAATAGGAAAGATTGCCTAGGCATTTCAGAATCGCCCCCCGTTTCGTACTGCGGGGGGCCATTCGAGAATACATATTCACCCCCCGCGTTCGATTCTTCCCCCCACATGAAGTCCTCTTATTTTACCCCCCGCAGATCGGAACTTGGCTTGGTGGGGGGCTTGTTGGAACGCGGGGGGCAAAAACAGTGTGGGGGGCGATTCTGGAATTTTCCCCAGATCATTTTTTTGACACTAAATTAGACGAATTTTTTGGAAGTTTTTTTTCAAAAGCGAGTTTCATAAAATCACATTTTTTTGTACCCTGCGGAAAAAATTAAAAAATTCCAGCTCTACGTCGGCTCTTCTGATCTGGCGCCTATCTCGAAACACAACGTGACGAGAATGTCCCAAGTGATGACTATAGTGGACCGCGTCCGCTTCGATTACCCTCACAGTCGGATTCCTGACAATTATCCCCAAGCCGCTGTGAGTAAAATTAAGATCTTTGAAAAACTTCTTCTCTTCAGAAGCGTCAAGAGAAGAAGAAGCGGCAATTTTTCCTGGCAATCATCGCCCTGCTGGTCATGTGCGTGCTCGCCTTGCTCGTCATTTTGTTCATCAACAGCTTGTCGCACTTCAACGAACGCAAGCACAAGGGAGAGCCCAAACACAAAAAGAAAACCAACGAAATGGTTCTGGAAGACGTTTGGACCTTGATAAATTTGAAATAAGAACTAAAAAGAGATTCAGGTTCAAAAAAACAAGTCCACTACCAAATCCAAGTCGAAAGAGGAGACCCTCACTTTGAGCAAATCGGTGAAATTTTCAGAATTTTATCAGATGGTTTTAAAAAAATAGAAATTGGAATCGGGAAGAAAGATAGATTTTAATAGCCGCTCTATAATATTTTTGCCGATCTTTGAGCCAATTAGACTCGTCTGCGTCTTTTATCTCCCTTCTAGGTGCATAAAACAATGAATTAAGTAAATACGTAAATATTAGATATTCAAAAGGAACTTAGACTATTCCAAGTCGCGACTAGTAGATCGAACTCTTAGGAGCACCATTTCGAGCTAGTGAAACAAGAGGAAATCACGCTTATATCATTGAAATCAGCGGTGAACAAGCCTTCTTCAGAAAGAGCTCGTCAATGAGCCGTCGAAGGATGAAGCGATGCCGACGGCGGTGTCGTCGAAGGCCAAGTCGCAGAAGTCGGTGGTCAGCGAGAAGGCCTACGGTGACACGAGCAAGAGAATGATGGACAAGGAGAAGGAAGAGAGTAAAAAGAAGACGGAGAAAAAGGAAAATGAAGAAAAGAAAGAAAAGCAAGAAAAGGAGGAGAGCAGCAAGAAGAACAGCAAGAGGAGTAACAAGTCGGCCGAAAAAGACAAGAGCAAAGAACCGGTGATGGACTCGACCATGCATAGCAAGCTGGAGAAAACTGACCAGAAGAGCGAGAAGGAGCTTTGAACGAGGTCAGGAGAGACTTCTTTTTCATCATATGAGAGTTTCGAAAACGTTTTGAAAATGGTTAAGAAAAGACTATAAAATGATCTAGTTGTAGTCCTTTGAAGACTTTTTTTAATTTTTTGATTTATGAGAAGACGTCAATTTTCAGAAAGTGAAGTTGATTATAATTAGTCACTATACTGTAGCTAGACATCTAAAGATACCTTCTTTTGACTTTTTTTTTCTCATTTCAGGATTTAACGTCTATTCTTTTTCTTCTTCTTCTTTCATTCCTTTTTTGCAGGTGCTGCAAAACACCAAATCTCGAACTTTCTTTTTTTTTCTGAGAATAAATCTGGAATAAACTCAGCTTTCAAAACTTCATCAAGATCATTGAAAAATTATTGGTTGCTGCGTGAAATAATAGGCGAACGGATACATTTGTGGCGCTTCTTCTTGTAATTTGGGTGGTGGTGAAGTCCTGTGAGAAATTTTTGAAGGTAAAATAATTTCGAATATCAAACCCCTCGAAATTATTTCGCTTTTTCTTAGTCCGTCGGTTTTGAAACCACACCTTTACCTAAAAAAACGAAATTTTAAGTATTTCATATTTAATAAAAACCTGCGTGTCGGATAGTCCTAATTTCGCTGCCAGAGCCACCCTTGCTTCACCACTTAAGTACCCACTTTTGTTGAAGGCGTCTTCGAGCTTCTGAATATTAAGAGACCGTGGAAGAGAGAGAAAAAAAAATAGGATTTTAGCTTTTTTTAATTACCAGGATTCAGAAAAAGAAATATTTCTAATTTTTAAAGACTCAAAGTATCGAAAAAGCATACCTTGACTTGGTCGATAGTGAATGTGGTCCTGGGACGCTTCGGCCGGTCCAAGTCCAACTGAACGGGAAAGTTGAGACAACGTTCAGCGCCGCTGGCGTCCTTGATCCGGACGACTTTGACGTAGCCGCTCGGGCTCGCCGTCGACGACATGACTGGACATCTGGAAAAGGGCGGCACTCACTTGAGAGTCGCCCCTGTCCCAATATGGTGACAACACTTCAGATCGCCGGATTTGAGTATAATTACTCGGCCATTGTCTAGCAGGGCTGCCGGTATTTGTACTCGAGAGTCTTGACAGATGGTGGCAAGGTTATTAGGCAAGCTTTTTGTGAGTTCGCTCAAAATTTCTCATTTTGTTGAAGGCAAAAAAGAGTTTTGAAAATTCCTTGAGACTGGGGGAGTTGGTGGTGAGCAAATTTGATTATAGAACACTTCAAGTTGAACGTAAAATAATTTTGCGTTGATTTTTCGCTCGAGTGAAAATTTTTGAACTATTCTTTCTGTTTTCCAAGTTCTGAATTTCGCCAAACCAAACGAAGATGTGATCCTTCATTGATCATTTGAAATGATGATAACTCCCTACAACGAAAGTTCTCAAGTCGTCAATAAATAAAAACTTTGAAAATTCTTCTCTCATTTTCCCAGTTCAGAGTCATCTTCATTGGTTTTCTCTTCCCTTTTCTTTTTCACAGAACTATTGACATGTTTTGAATGTCTTGTGACAGGAAACCATCTCATAGACGTTTCATATATAGTTTCTTAACTACTTCTTTTTCCAATTTTTTTCAAAAACATTTTTTTCTTCGAGTCAATAAATCGTCGAGTGGATGAATATTTATGGGTTTTTTTGTCTGGGAAGGCCATATGAAGGCCGTCGGAGGCTCGAGTTTCGTTTCTTGTCTGGAATTTTAGGTTTTCCCGTTTTATCACGTCTCGAAGTTTAATAATTGATTGAGATTAGCCTACAGATTCATTTTTTCTCCTTTTTCGAGACTTTTTTAAAAAATACTGCATTGCAACTTCTCATTAATTTTTCCTTTTACCAAGATGAAATGGAAGGGGGAAGATGATAAAATGTCACGTTCGGCTGATTGATTGAGTATTCTCACACAATCTTAAAATCATTCATCAGAAAATGTCGTTTTTTGTGTTCTACTAACTTCTGGAAGATTAAAAAGAACTGAATAACGCAGTAAGGATTAAGAAAAAAATGGAAATATAAAGAATTATTAAAATTTTTCGTCAACAACTTGACCTTTCACACTCAACTTTATTCAATTAAAAAGTCAAACGAAACGTCGAAAATTTCACAGATGAACAATTTCCTTGTGAATTATTCAACACCTTGTGCTTCTTTCCTGAATTTCTTTTTTTAATCAAGCGTTTTTTTCCCTCCTTCCGAACAAGTTCAGAGTTTTTTTCAAATTTTTTTAGTTAATCAAATTTTATTAACTTTTTTTAGACAAGAGCTTGAAGTTTTATTAATTTCACATTGATGATTCATACTTTTTTTATGTTTTAAAAAAAGCTCCTGATGCCAAAATTCCATGGAAAAAACCACGTCCATAAAATTAATGTTCATTTTTACATTGAAAGGGAAAATTTTCGACTGTTCCGTTGCTAACATTCAAATTAAGCCGAAACTTGCACCCGAAAAGCAGCCATAAAACGAGATTTTGCTCAGCGATAAGGCTTTCCTTGCAAGCCGCAGATGTCGCAACTTGATAGCGAAAATAAAAAAAATGCGTTTAATTTTCGGCGACTTTCAATTTCCTTGGAAAAAAAAAATCAAAGCAATACACAAAGAAGGAAGCTTTTCGACGCATTCTTTGGTTCCAGTGATCTGAAGATTCTCACCATTCACATTCTTTCTCATTCTTTTTATGAACCGCTAAAGATTCAAGAAAGAATGGTCAAGCACATTTAAATATAAACAGTCTTATTCAGTATTCTTTAGAAAAGTGAGGATAGATTTTATCGAATTCAAGTCGGACTCTTACTTCAGCTTCTAGGGAAATCTCGGAATCTTTATGTTCATTTTCATAGGCCAGTAGAAAAAAAAAATCAAGAAAATTATTCTGACGATCTATTTTCTTTTAACAGGAGCGATCCTAAAAAAAAATCCAAATGCTTTTTCAGCGTATTTTTCGCAACTTTTTACTGCCTCTTTTTTTCGAATTTCCTTTCATTCGCTTGAACAACTTTTTCTTCTACAAAAACCTCATAAACGGCAAGGAGGCCCTAAAAACGCCGGAACGATCTTTTTGCCGCCATTTTTTCTTACACCTCTCAGAGATCCATAAAAAAGACGTTCTGGACTTTAACCAAGTGCAGAATTCGAAAATATGTTCGGTGAGATAGTCCAAACGGTTTTTCGAAAAAAAAGTTGAGATATAGATTTTTCGAAGAAATTCATTTGATAGATCTTTTCGGGCCTTTTTCCATGTTTTTTGAAAAGCATAAAACTATTTTGAAGAAATTCTTCTTAGTTACACTTTTCTCTTTAAAATAGATTGGTTTTAAGACTCTCAGACTTCTTCAAAAAAGTAACTTGAAGATTTTCAAAAAAGCACTATCCTAAAACGAAAAAAAAGGTACAGAAATGTTTTAGCTTAAATTTTCGTTCACTGTATCAGTAGTCCATTGATTTTCGAGCCAGTGATGAATTTAATAGAGCAAAAAATAATTTTGACGAAATTTTTCTGCAGCCGACCTCTCTGGACTTTTCGATCCCTTTGTGTTGAAAGAACAGAGAAACCGTATGTTTTGGTTAGGGTCGATCGGAGAGGCCCTGGTGGCCAACATTTATCAGAATTCGAGATCGACTCGCTGCGCCTCTTCCAATTTCTCTCCTTCTCCAGAACCACCCCCTGACCTTCATACCGCCTCTTCGGCGGCGCGCGTATTCCTCCTCTCCTTCGACGTCTGACGTCTCTTTTGATTATTGATATTTGACAAGGATATGCAAAAAGTACAATAGCTGATACGATGACGTCGACTTCGGTGATATGATGATCGTCTTCTGCATTTTCTGGTTATTTTCGACGACGTCTGCTGGTCCGGTGGTTCTGCCGACGACGTCGTCAGCCACGACATCTTCCGGGTTTCGGCCTATTGATGGATTGATTCAGTCTGTTGGTGGGTTTTGCAATTGAAACTTCTCATTTTAACATGTATGAAATTGTTTCTCATTTCTGAACTTTAAAAACATTTTTTTGCCATGTTCTCGAAGCTCTTTCTCATGCCGCTCGATTTTATCCACAGAGGAAGCTTTCATTTTTTTCCTTTGAAATCACCTTTGAATTGCTATCTTTTCTTTCTAAAGAAAACCTTTTTAAGAGCCTGCCTTTCGAATATAGAATGGGAATTTCTCAGAAGCTCGAATAATTAAAGAAAACTTCATCTCCGCATTATGAAAGCCTTTTCTTTTTGTATTTGTATTTGCAATCTTCACCTTTCAAGTTTTGAAAACTTCTAAAAATTTTTCAGAAAACTTTTCTCATTTATTTTGGTAATCTCAAAAAATCTGAAAAAAATGTTCTACCTGTCGATTGCAATTTTCTTGATTGACATATCATCGTGTGATTGTGCCGCTGTTTTTTTGTTCTCTGACTTTTTTGATTTGAAAGATTTTTCTTCTTTTTTTCGAAAACAGAGGTTAAGTTTGAAATAATTATTGATTCAAACAAATTTCACTTATTGACTTCATTCTATCCAAAAAAAACACAGAAAGCAAAGAAAATATTCCGTTTCTGTTCGTTTTTCGACTTTCTCAAACACCTCCTTTTTAAAAAAATTTCCATTTTTTTCTCACCGAATTCATAACTATTTTTTTCATGACAATTGAATCATTTATCGTTTTTTTCTAATTGTATTTTTCTATCCATATCGTCAACCATTCGATTTTCAACACCTGACCACTCGTTCCTTTTCGAAAAAAGAACAACAGCAGAGAAAAACGACGAAAAGGTGTGCGCGGAGACCGCCGCAGCTGTTTGACTCGTTCATCACTTTCACCAATTTTTTGTTCACCACCATCACCAACACTATAGCGGGCTGGATAGTTGCGTAGATCGTACAAAGTGTGTGGATTTGTCCTCGAAAAACCGACCTTGAAGTCAATTTTTGGCGCTGAAATAACTGAAAAAACTCCAAAAATTTTAAGACCTGTAATTTTGAACAAATTTGAACAAAAAGAGCAACGGAACAACATCGTTATCAAGTTTTAAGTCTTTTTTCTTGAATGTTCCGCCTAATTATTTTAATAATTCTTCACTGTTAGGAAGAGATTTTGGTCGGTTTTTTCCAGATTTTGCTCTGAAAAATAGTTTGACGTCGGGACGTAATCTGATGGGTGGCGTATCTTTCCTGATCTGTAATTATCTTGTTGGTGATAATGAAGAGTACCAGATAGGGATTTTCAAAAGAGATAGAAGCTATGAATATTTGAATGCATTCAAAAAATGACCTCAATAAGGATTTGGAAGTTATTTTCAGTGAGGAAACCTGGTCTGACGGACACAATCTTTCCGACGATTTGCCCACCTTCGTGTGCTCAGTTTTTCCGTGCCATCGACCAGGAAGTCAACTCATCATTAAGCAATAAAGTGAGAGCTATCTAGTCAACTATTTATCAGTTACTTTCCAGTGCGCATGTGCCTGTCCCCCGGAGAACCCTTTATACCTGGCCACAGAAGGTTTCTGCACAAACCGCATTGGTGAGTTTCGCATTTCTACTCCCAAAAAACTTTCTTTTTATTTTGAATTCCTACTATGGCTAATTAATCAAAATCAAAAGAATTTGGTGACTCAGACGATTGTCGTCAAACGATTCGATGGAATTCATCAGCCGCGACGGAAACGACCGTCCCAGTGGTCCCATTGTTCGCGAGGTCCGTCATCCTTCCTGACATTGGCCTTTTATGGGAAGGTTCGTGTCGGCATCATCTTCTCTGCAAAAAAAAGAAAATAATGGGTAGCAAATACGAAAAGAGTTGCCTCCAGACGGGATTGAACCGTCGACCTTCTGTTTACGAGACAGACGCTCTGCCACTGAGCTATAGAGGCAAGACGCGCTTAACAATCTACAGTTCGAACAGATTACAGCTGTGCAAGCGATTCAGTGTCAGAAAAAGAGATTTAGTTTTCACTGGGCGGCTTTCAGAGAAAGCCTCGTCTTTGCAGGGGTCGCTAATGGCAAATAAAAAGAAGCTACTTGATAGAACTTTCAAAAATCTCGAGGGTTTCAGAAGATCTTTTATTAAAATTGATATTCTTTAAATAAATAAAACTTTAAATTAAAATTTGATAGATGTCGAGAGGGAAAATCCTATCAGTGCACTTTTCAAAAGTTTCATCAGAGTATCACTATAGTATCACTTGTTTCTTTGGATTCTCTTAGTTTGAACTTCTCTCAATCTTTTTTCGTCTTGAACGCCCTCGGAACGGCTACTCAATTACATTTACCCACTAAATCTAACTTAATTTAATGTAATTTAATGAAATGAAAGCTTTCGAAAAAGTACTTCAGCGCTGAAATTGGATTCTCAGGTCTCCTTTTTGTGGTAGAAATCGACTTTTATTTTTCAGTGAGTTGGACTTATTTCTCCCACTTTTCAGAAGCCAAAATCGGCGTTTCGGCTGCCGGCCACGTCAACTGTTCCATCACCCGCGTCTTCTTCGAGAATCTGCAGCATCGCTGGAAAAGTCCATCCAAACGCAACCTTTTCGATATTTCCACTTTTGATCAGCGGCCAGTTATTTTTGTGAGTTGTTTTGTCCTTGTTTCGGCTTTAGGGAATCTCAAGAGCTATCTCTTATGAACTTGAGAAGATTTCAAGAAGGCTGGAATATTTCAAAATCTTGTTTTCTGCTGCGATTTCGCAAACTTTATCAACTCGTTGACTTAATTTAATCACAAAAGTAGAAGTAACATGATTCTGTTCACCAAAAAGGCAAGTTTATAACGAAAATCAGCTGTTTTTCTAGATTTTTCGGATTTTTACTAGCCAACTTCAGAAGCTTCATTTGTTTGCATTTCAAGCCCAGAACTCCCATTTTTCTATCAAAGAGTAACTGTTGCCTAATTTCGTTTCCAACAAAAAAAAGTCAGAATATCTTGTTTTATAATTCTGCCGATATCTGTGCCTTGTTCCGCTGGATATCCCGGCGATCGTCGCAATCCTCCCGGTGATTGACGACGCAACCGTGTTGTTCGATATTTTGCTTCGTTCCAAATAAGGAAAGAGATTTGGCCTGGAAACGTTTGAAATCAGGTTGTGCGGTGTTCGCGACGGGAGAAGCCGAAAATGAGGGAATGGGTGAAATTAGAAGATGACTTGAGAGATTTCTAGAAATAGGTCTGAGTTTGGAATAGATTTCATCTTTGAGAAGTTTCGTATTTCCTATATGTTCGCTCAAAAACTACGTCTGGGAACTTTCATAGAAAGTTATACTTTGCAGATATGTTCAGAATAGCGAAAATAAGGAATCTGCATAACATCCAGAAACGTTTAGCAAATTTATCGGAAAGTTCCAAACTCATGCTAAAATTACCTTCTTTGGAAGCACCTTTTAAAGAATTCATACGAGCTTTTCCAATGATAAAACAATGAATGGTGGTATGAATATTGACAAGCTTATCTTCTTTTTATATTTTATTTCCAGTTCCGAGGAAATGAAGCCGACGCCTCTTCACTCGTCGGCTCAGTGATACAACTGAAATTGTCCTGTGCAAGATGGATGCCTGAAGAGTACTGTATCGCCATCAGAGTAGCCGGCATCTCTGGTAATTTTTCCATCATATAAATACAGATTTCTCTTGAAAAGAGCTTGAAGTGCTCCATTCTAAGTGAAATAAATACGGTCTGAGTCAGTGTGTTGAGCTCTGGAGCTTGTAAAAACTTTTTTCCAAAATATTCTGTGTTTTTAAGCTTCAAACTCGATCATAAGTAAAAGCTAGCCGTAAAGAAGGCTTGCCAATGAGCATTTCCGAATTACGCTAGGAATTCAAAGATTCCTTTTTTATCCCGTGTTCGCCATGAAAAACTTGTTTTAATCGCGACGGCCACGTTTTATGATTTATTATCATGCAAATCACCGTTCTCTTAATGGTTTCAAACGGTATGGTTCGGACTTGCCATCGGATAGGATTCGATTATATTTGGGGATGGAATTTAATTGGCCCTTTTGTGTGGTTGGCCGTAATCATGGACGTTGCTAACAAGGCTTGGACACTGCTTCTCAACCTTCTTCAACGTTTGTAAACCTTCTTTTATTCTTCTAATTGTTTTCTAGATCGAAAGTCGTAGGAAGGATTGTTGAGGGCTCAAAGTACATTTTTGGATACAATTTATTTAAATCAACAATTTCCTTCAATTCCTCAAACACGAAAGCAGAGCTTCTACAAAAACGTTCTGAATTTGTAGTTTGAAGGAGCGTTTTTTATAAAATCACCTACATTGTCAAGCTTATTGTTTTCTTTTGTTTCATCGTCTTTCAAAACAAAAAAGACTGACTAGGGAATGGTCTCCATTGGGACTTCTGAATGTGACTAGGCTCGCTAGATGTAATTTTTCACGCTGATTCTAAATCTGGTCTTAAGAACTGCCCTCGAGGTCTGTGAAAAAAGGTAAAATCTCAAAAGTCGAAAATTTCAATGTCTGCGATTGAGCTCGTTTTTGGAAGGTATAGAAAGTCATATTAATTGCGTTTCAACATGATTATTCTAATGAATGCAATTTCAGTTGTCATCTGAATTTATAAAGATTCTCTTAGTCCCATCATGGAAAATTTTAAAAAATGAGTCTTACTTCTATGATGCAGTTTCTGAGTGTTGTTGTCTGAAGAAACCCGATTCAAAAAAAAAAAAGAATTGGAAATTATGCTCTGTAAAGACTCAATATTTTTACTCGGATATTGGTAACGCGAAACGGACGTGCTCCGGACGTTTCTGGACGATTTTAGGGATCAATTAAGAGTTTTGAGGCTACTAAAGGGGTCACTAGAAATGCCCCGACACGTCCGATTTGTGTCCCGTTCGCGTTACCAAGGTCCGAGCAAATTTTTCTCAAAATTTCTTGCATCATTGTCAAAAGAGCAAAGAAGTTTTCCATGATTCTCGAGGCGGAGAACTGTTTTCAACGTCTTTAAGATCTTGAAAGGTTTCTGATCTTTTCTGCAAAGTTTCGTCTTACCATACTAGGATATCTAACAAAGTTTTCAAAGGGTTTCTCATTAATTTTGCCGATTATTTTCCTCTACTGAAATATTTTGTAGGAACCGACAACATGGACTTGCCGGTCAGCCCCGGGAACGACGATCTCCAAATCCTTTTGGTTCTCGGCTTGGTTTGCTTCGTCCTAGCCACCTTGGCCGTGACTTTCGTCGTTTGGAACGTCTGCTGGAAGATCAAAAAGCGAAAATTAGTTTCCGACTTCCAAATGCAGTTCATCTACCATTTCAAACAGCAGCAGGAGGCTCAGAAGGTGCTGATTTCAAAATTTCGATGAGATAATTCTTGTTTTAGATGGCAGCATTGGAAAATGGTCTCGAAGGTGGTGCTGACGTCGACAATTCTCAGGGTAGGGACAACAGACGGCGGCTGTTTTTCAGCGCAGGTTGGAATATTTTTAAAATGATGCGATTGGAACTTTTTGAAGGTCGTCAGCTCTCTTCTAAGTTTGAAATGGGGTTAATCCAATAAATTTCGAAAATTCAATTCTTAAACATTTTCGTGAGCTGGAGGCTTGAGGCTCATAGACGCAATACTTTAAGTTAACAAATTCGAAAGTTTCTAGAAAATTCGAACTTTATTGAAATTGACTTCTGATAGGAGAAAACTTCGTTTGATTTTTAATGTTTTATCCCGTCTATCATAGATCTTTTCCTCAATAAAACACTCCCTCACAACTGCACAAAAATGAGCACCATTTCAGAGTACCTTGAACGAGAAATGCTCGAAAACCCGCCGCCAATGGCCGAGCAGTTCCTCCACGACCTCCGAAGAATGGTGGACTGTGCTCGAGATCGCATCCGACAGCGAAGATTCGTCCCGATGCTCATCACCATTCCAGAAGTTTCCGAAGAGGTTGATGGAGCCTGACAACGTCTGACGTCATCCTCACTTCAGAATCACCAACGGAAGTCCTATGCCGAGGAAGAAGTTGGCTCTTCAGACTCATGCCAGGAGTCGCCGAGAAGCGAGGCCAAGTCGGTGGATTCTGGCCGCGAATCCAAAGAAGATTCTGACGATTCTGGTCGAGATGACGATGAACAACAGTTTGACGGCGTCAATCGCGTCAGCAACATCGTCAATGGTGAGGAATGACGTCGTGATTCTGATATATTGAAAGGTCATACTGAACCTTTTCAGAACATCTCTAGCAGTTTTATTCAAAACCTTGAGCCACTTTCGAAGAAAAAAGTTTAAAAATCAACAAGTTTTCTTCGAATAATTTTGAAAAAAAATAATGTGGAACATGGTTTTCATAACTTTAAGCTTACAATGAACTACAAGTTTTCTTTCACAAAAAAGTTTCTGAGCGACAAGAGGCGGTTTTCCTCAGTTTTAGGCAGTCGTGCTAATCATAGGCCTAATTTTTTTGAAGCAAACCGTCTTTGGGCTTTTTTTGAGCTGAGGAAAGGTGTAGTGGAAAAAGCTAAAAAGTTTCAGCTTTCGAAACGAAGCTCAACACTCGGCCTTCCCAGCTGCCAGTGCTGAACTACCGTCGTCCCCCGCCGCCAGAAGTGCCGCCAAAACCGCCGCCGGCGTCGCGGCTCCCGACGCTAATCGGACATCCCTCGCCGCGGCCGCACTCGCGGACTCTCAGCGTCGCCAACGCCGTCGAAGTCGAAGAGGTGCCGCCGCGAAGCGGGAACTTCAAGGGCCGCAGGTCAGTCTCCCTGAGACTCATTTTTCATGGACTTTTTGTGATATCGTGAATTGTCACAGCCTTTTGTTTTTGATCAAAGAAAGCTTTCCCGAAATGCAGATTGATGCTTGACGGCTGCCTTCAAAGCGGTAAGGCTTTTCAACAGGCCCCAAAAATTCAAGTGTTCATTTTTTAAATCCAAGACTTTTTGGAGACCTTGCTTTTCTTCTTAACTTCCTTTTTTCTACACACCTACTTCACAAAAAATAATATATATTTCAGTCTGAAGGAGCGAAAAGGCTACGCAGTGTTCCCTGGCGACGGAACCATCAACAAATCGCTGCCAAGGCGGCCCAAACGGCCCGGTTTCGACTGAATTTTCTCAGATCCCAATCTTTATATCTGCACATTTTGCCATTTGTCTTGAGATAATTACGGGTTCGCCTTTTCGCTAGATTTATTTTCCATTTTATGCCAAAGTTTTCATTGTTATGATACATTTTTTTCTTGAACTTGCCTTGCAAATAAAATTTTACACTGATCATATCTTCTTGAGGAACTAATATTACGTTGTGATATACGAGTAATATAATTTTCAAATATGAAAAATGTGAAAAAAAAACGGACGAGGAAGCAAAAATAAATTAGACGTTGGATATAGTGTTTGCGTATCCGGCGCGATAAATGACGACAGCTCTATTTTCTGTACAAAATTTTTATATTATATGCCATGTTCAAAGTAATTTCCGCGAAATGCAAAATGCCCGTTAGAGAAAGGAAAAGATAACTAAATTTTGGAGAGTCAGAGATAATTTTGTATTTCGCGGAAATTACTTTGAACACGGCAATAATTTGAAGCCGCTTTCGTTTTAAAGCCAGTGGGTTTTGCTTCTGCTTACTAGAGAGCTCAGAAAATATCGCCTCCTTATAAACAGTTTTAATGAGCCTTTAATAATAGATTACTTTTCTATTTTTCCCAGTTTATTTTTATACCATTTTGAATTAATTTAATTGTAAAAAAATGGCCCTGATCTTTTTAAGCGTTTATTGCAATATTTTTCAATATTAGGACGTTAAGTAATATTTTTCAGCCGGATTCTAAGTATGTGATTGCGCCGAAACCAATAAAAAGGAAGAAAAGAACAAGTCTGTCATCGGAAAAGTGAAACCACAACAGCCTTTCAAGGTTGTTTTCATCTTCCCCAACGTTTTTTTCTTCGTTCCTTTGTTGATTTTCCAAAAGAATGCGCTATGTGGCAGAACCTCTCAAATCACCCTCATAGACATGCATTTTTGTTGAAAGAGGAATATTCTCCAAAGTCAGAAGCTTCAATTTTAAAAAATATTCTTTCCTGGTGGTTCGTTTTTCCCCTCTCAATGTTCCTTTTATTTAGTTTTCCGTCACTCATGTTGATTATAAGCTCTTTGTTAGTGTAAGTTTTACCTAATTCAAGCCAGATTACTCATTTTTAAAATAGCATTCGCAAAGATCCGTTTGAAGGAGCCAAGGCAAGTTTCATGAAAGTCTATTTTTTATTTTCAGTCTTTAAAAGCTCATTTGATTCTGACAAACTGGAAAAATTTGTTAAAAAAATAACCGCTTTTTCTTTAAATTTACATCAGTTGCTGCGAATTCAAATATTTGTGTCACTTTCGAATTTCTGTTTGAATCAAATGCTTGCCCATTGGCTTAAAGTTTCACTCATCTTCCACAAAATCGTTTGGAATCATGAATCTTGAAGTCTTTGCAAATGCACGTTTTAAGGTCTTTCACAGTTTTTTTTCTCCTTTATAAATCAGTTTTTGTTTTCGAAAAGTAAGAAAAAATATTAAAATCATCGAATACCCTCTTGAAATTCATAGCACGATCAGAAAAAAAAATTTGAAGAAGGAAAAAAAACTCCATCGTAAATTATTAGAAATTCGAAACGGAGGCCAACTCGAAATGGAGCGTGAAAATGGATACGGAAACCTTTTTTTCTCGTTTTCACCTTCCTCTACCTGAAAAAAGCATGAATTAGTTCGGAGGCCCATTTTTCTTTTCAAATCTTTTGTTCTTTTTTGAAACATCTCGAAATTTTTTTTTTGAATAATTGTTCTTTTTTTCCTTTTTGAAAGGGCATTTTGCTTTTGGCTCGTCAGAAATTCCATGAATCATTTGCAAGCTCTCTTGGGCGGAAAAAGGTCTCGGATGGAATTTTCCATGAATTTCAACAGTCTTCTCGGTCATGTTTTTTTGAAAGTAAAAGGTTCAAAAAAATCTAAAAATTTTTAGTATAAAAAGGTTTTTTTAGTTGACCAAATGGTGAATTATAGAATATGGTGAGTTTTTAAACTTTGTATAAGTTGAAATAAAACTTGCATGTTTTTTTCCACCCTGAGACCATTAGGTAGTCTGTCTTTGAGTTTAAGAAAACTCCAGAAAAGATCTTGTACGGACTACAGAAGTTTTGTCGACTTATTTTTGGGGAAGAATTTCATTTGAAATCATAACTTTTTTTCTCTTAATAACCTTTATTCATCTTCTAGTCAATCATTAAATTCGAGCCTCTGCTCATTCAGAAAAAGGCTCGGAGCGAATAAATAAGCGATTAGGTCGGTCTTGAGGCCCCCGTGGTTAGATAGAAACAAAGAGCCGCTTTTCTTGCAGGCGAACAAGAAAAAGATGCCTCGAGACTAAGCTATAATTGCCTTTGTAGTATGTTATCCTTTTCCTTCTTTTTCTCGAGTCTATCAACGTTGGAAAAAGGAAAGATACAAATAATTTCTCGATTTGTAGCATCATTTTTACGTTTCTGATTTTCTTTGCTTTTTTTGATTAAGGAGTCTTTCTAGATGTTTCTTTCAGATTAAAAATGTTCAGTAATGTCCATTCCTCGCAGAATTTTGTCAATACGGTGAAAGCACGGATTTCTGCTGAACTCTGTGCATCATCGACCCTCGGAATATTGTTTGCTTCGAGTCTTCGAGCGAAGAAAAGTATTAAAATATTTTTATTTTTCAGTTTTTTCTGCCTTTATTATGAGTTTCATAGAAGGAGAGTTTCTCGAACTTCGAAATACTTCCTTTTTGAACTAACGGCCCAAATAGTACGACCAAACCTAACCAGAACCGTTTTGGGCTCAATTCAATGATCTTGCAAATATTGACTACCTTGACGGTTGAGTCATTCGAAACGAAGACGAATTGTTCTCATTTTTGTTGCACTTTGAAAGCTAATTGAAGCAATCGCCCAGCTGTCGACGGCCCTGGAGGCGGAAGCGAGTGCATTCGTTTGTGTCTATGTCTGCGTGTGGCCGACGGCCCACCAATTGGTTCTTCCAACGTTTTTGATCCAATTTTCTGCGCCTTTCACCCCACTTTCTCACCAATTTTGGTGTTGTTTCTGGGGCTAGAGCTTAAAATTTTGTGAGCATGTTTCTCATGTCCTTCTTTAGGAACAGGCAAATTTCAGACGACTCATGTTCCTGATTAACCTCTTCTGGGTTGATTATAAATTAATGTGAAGAGGAACTATTTTTCCAACAGATACCCCTAATACTATTGTGGATTAGTTCATCATTCATTTTTACAAACGTCTCTAATTCTCAAAATACAAGATGATTCTATTCAAATCAGAAAAATCTTTTAAGGAAGCAATTTTTAAAAAAGTTTGATTTTACATAAACGCTTTAAATTTTTTTCTACATGGATACTTGTGAAAAAATATCACAGTTTTGTGGGTTTTTTCTAGATTATGTAACTTTTTTGAAGTCCGTGCATTCTCACGGTTTTTTTGAGGTCAAGAGGTACCTTCTAAACTTACGGTAGGTAAAAAATATTTATTTCAGGCCTAATGCCAAATTTTTCTCTTTTTTTTCTGTACATGTTATTTTGTTCTGCCTGTAAATAAATAATATTATATATAGGGTTGGTTCGCTTAAAAACTCTTTTATTTGTTTTGAATATTTTCCTCAAACCTTTCCAACATGAAACTCCAATAAATCACGAAATTCCAAGGGCAACTGTCATGTTATTTTGTTTTCGGCCGTCTCAAAGATCTCTTGAGGAGAATTGATATTTCCCGTTGATTTCTCAACGCTCGAAAAAACAGCTCACCGTGCTCTTTTAATTTATCTCAATGCTCTTTTGTTATTATTTTTCTGTTCGTTCAGTCTGCTTATTCGAACCCTTTTTCTCTTCTGTTTATATCGAGAGGGAAACCTGATAGTGTCCATTGAATTCGTAAATATACAGCAAAAATTGCGGACACTCTAATTTCACGGAGAAAGTAAATTTTGCTGCATAATTTTTTTTCGGCAAATTTCAGAAAGATCTTCTTTTATAAAAAAATTCTTGCCATGCGCAGAAGTCTTCAATAACCTGAAATGGATGGTATGGAAAAAAAAGACCAGCAAAATTTCGAACGACGACTTTTCCGTTTTTTTCGTATCGCTAGGGAACTTTCCGACGGAGAAGTTTCCGACGAATGCCTTTTTCGACTTTTTTTCCCTTATATTTTTCGGTTTATAAAACATCTATTAAAATTTTTTTTTGCTATTTCTTTGTGTATTAAACATGAATAACGTGCCTACTTTATATAGAATGATTTAAAAGGAAAAGTTTATCGAGAAAAAAAGTCGGGAAGGGATTCGTCGAAAAGGTGGCCGTCGGATAGTTACCTAGCGATATGAAAAAATCGAAAAAGTCGTCGTTCGAATTTTCGCTGGTCTTTTTTCATACCACCTGAAATTTCTCTGAAAACGGCTTTTCTCCTCAAAATATCAAAATTTTCTATGCTCATCCAAAGACTGAAGCTACCTAAGACTGAAGCTTTTCCAGTAATTTTTTCAACATTTTCCACCGATGTTATCAAAAGAAAATCTAAAAATTTTCATTCGAAACCAAATTAATTTTTACGATGCGAATCGAGTATGCATTTGGGCGCCCCAGTGCGTCGCTCAATCGGCGGCTTGCAACACGATTTACGAACTTTTTTATCGCTCCTTTTCAAGATTTAAATTTTCAATCTTTTTTCATTATTTTCTTTTATTGTGGGTTCTAACGTGCAAGATTGTAATCTTATTTTGTTCTCCGAGATAAATTTAATTCTCATGCTCTTTTTTTATTATTTATTCTCGTTTATATGAAGATTTCCGGCAGTTTGTAAAAATTTGAATTTTTAAAGTTCTTCATTATCTGAGCTATTCAAGAAAAAAAAAGTTATAACTTCCATTATCTTGACTATTTATTTATTCGGGCTCTTCCTCGTTTTCTTTTGTGAATAGGTCAATCAAGAGGTCTAGGACCGAAATTCCTTCTTTTTTTTCTCGCATTTGTGATGATTTTTATTTTTTCCTCGGTCTTTCCATTTGAAAAATTCTCTTTTTATTTTTTGATTATTTGCTTATTCTGAGTATAGAATTTATTTATTCGTTTCCAATATGTTTTTTTTGGGATTCGTTGTGCTCATTTCTTTGTTATTGTTATTTTACCGAATAATATTTATACACTGTCTTTGATTCAGGGCATACTGGCTGAGCAAACATTGAAAAATTGTGGGGCTCGGTAGGTGCCGCGCAAGCGGATTTTGGCTCCAAGTGGCGGCCATGCTCTACAGGAAGATCCACAGGATCCTCAATGCGATCATCGCCATTTGCTTGGTCAGTTATGGATATTAGGCGTTTATCATTCATTCCTAGCATTTCATTCATTTCTTTGAGATACTAGGATACAATGTTTTCGACCGAGCTCAAACTGCGGATTTATCAGTTATTAAATAATCTTTTTTGGTAATCTATTTATGGTTTCCTCGCTCCTAATTATTTTACTATGGTTTCTCTTCAAATATGAGCCCTTGATGACATGAAAGATCGAAAAAAGGTCGAAAAGAAGCCTTAATTACTTATTTATTTTTCTTTATCAGTTTTTCTTAATATAAGAATTTCGGGAAATATTCCATGAAATAAAGACAGTACTTTTGTAGATTGAAGTCTTTTGTGCGAAAAAGACATTTGTGGAAGAAAGCATTTTGTTGAAAGAAGTCTTTTGTTGGAGGAATTATTTTGTCGAAGTAACTCTTTTTTAATTAAGAAATGTTATATGAAAACGAAGAATGAAAAGTAGCAAAGAAATACGAAAATAGTTGCTGGAAATTCACAAAGTTTGAATTCTTTCGAATTTTCCCGTCGAGTAAAAAGTTTCTTTTTTGAGTTTCAAAGTTTCAACGGTCCCAATGCTCCCTAGGCACGCGATTGAAGTATCCCTACATAAGTTTCTTCCTTTATTACATAATTTCGAGCTTTTTTTAAACTCAAATCCAGCCAGTAGTATGTTTTTTTTTAACCTACACTTTAAAGAATTATTGCACTAATTATTCCAACGTCTTATTTTCACACAACACGTGGCTCGTTTTTCGAAGGCAAAGAAGATTTTGCAGCTGGGATTCGTGGTGATCTTCCTGAAAGGGCCGTCGAGCGACTGGAAATCTGAATCGCCGACGGACGAGCCGAAGAAAAGCGCGACGGCAGGGTCAACGACTTTGTGGAGGGAGAGGAAAACCAAAAATGGGTCTCGTGTGGAATCCTCCTATCCGATATACGATAACTCGGATGGTGGCCTCACCGCTTGGAACTTTAAAGGTAACATCTTTCGAACAGTTTGAGATGCCATTTAAAAATGTAGCTCAGCACTATTTTGCAATTTTTGATGACTTTTAAATTTTGTAACTCTTTTTCGTTTAATTTTCAGAAGAATTATCCAAAACAAAACATTTTCTAATGTTTTGTATTAGTAATTTTTCATTGTGAGATTTGAAAAAATTACATGGTTTTTATAATCAAAAAATATGATGTCAGTTCATTTTAGTTGACAATTTCTTCAAAAACTTTTAAAGTTCAATTAATCTCTCGTTTCCTCTTTTTCAGGCTACAGCGATTCAGTGATATCCGGGAAAGATGTGGTCAAATCGGTGACTTTTTTGAACGACAATTTCAATATTCTTAACATTGATAAATTTGGGCCCGTGGAAAATGTTCGATATCTTCTGGTTATTCAGGTATTTTTAATTCTTTTTTTTTGACGCTTATCAGTGTTAACCAGATACCCGATTTTTTTTCTTAGTATTCTGATTCTCTCATTTGTTCAACAAAAAACGGGAGTAAAACTTCTGTTTCACATTTGACGAGAAGTTGAGAAAAGGCAGGTTTATATTCATTCAGAGCTGTAGGCTGGAGTCATCATAATATACAAGGTCGAGAATTAAAAAAAAATTTCATGAAAGATTAATAAAATATAAAAATAAATAGTTAAGAAGCAAAAGTTTTCTTTCTCAACTGTCCAATGAAATAATTTTTTTTTATTTGTGTCAGGTTCACAACCGTCCGATTTACCTGAAGTACTTGATCGAGTCGTTGCGACAAACCAAAGACATCGAAAAAACGCTCCTGGTGTTCAGCCACGACGTCAACGTCGAGCAGATCAACGAAATGGTCAGAAACATCACGTTCGCCAGGGTTCGCTCCGATTACCTTTGAAAGAATTTCGTAGTTTTTTCAGGTTTATCAAATATTCTACCCATTCAACTTGCAGCTTTTCGCCAAAGTTTTCCCGGGAAATAATCCTTTGGATTGTCCTGAAAAGATCGGCAAAGATTCGTTAGTTTTATCACTTTCCCTGAAGCAATTCTTCTTGAAAAAAGTTTTATTTGTGTTGTAATAAAATGGGATTTTTTTTTCTGGTGGAAGACAAAAATTTCTTTTTTCAGTAACTTTGTTTCAGAAAAGACCAAAAATTGATCTTTTTCCAGTGCGAAAACGAGCAAGTGCAGAAATTGGGAGTGGCCGGACAAATATGGAAATTATAGGAATGGCAAATTGACGCAAATTAAGCATCATTGGTGGTGGAAGGTTATTTTCACATAAGAATAGTGTTTCAAGGACAATATGTGTTTCAGATGAACTATGTGTTCGACGGGATCGTCAAGCGGTTCAATTTGAAGAACTCTTGGGTCTTGTTGTTGGAAGAGGACCATTTCGTGACGCCCGACGCTCTTCACGTACTTGATATCATTGTGGGAAACAAGAAAAAGTTGGTTCTTGGACTTTTTTTTTCGATTTTCCGGAGAGCGCATCGTGGGAAAATTTTGAGTAAACAAGATGACGATTTTTGTAATTTTTTTTTGTTTGGAAAGAGATATTTTGATTTTTTTCCTTGGATTTATAGTTACTAAAAGTTCCAATTCCAAGAATACTTCAAAATGCGAGAATTTATTCGGTAGGGTGTTATTTCAGTCTGTGAATTCAAAAATTAAGTTTTTGTTATAAGATTGACAGCAAAAGAAATGTATTTTTATTCTCAAACTTAAACGATTTTCTGTGGTTTTAGTCCTACTTTTTAATGTTGAAGTTTTTTTAAACCCTTGCGATTATAATCATTTTAGAGAACTTTTTTTAATTTCGAAGTTCTGCTCGGAAATTTTTCTCATGAAGTTTTACGTGTAACGGTTTTTTTAATTTTATATGTGTCTAAGATTATTGATTTTTCTTGCTGTCTATTGCATACAGTTTCAAGATTTTAAAAGATAAAAATCGGGAAAGTTTATAAAATCCGTTAATGAAAAAAAGGTATATCATCTATTCATTTACCTTTATTCAGGTACTGTGATCGATGTGAGATAATATCCCTGGGATTCTACTTGAAGTCGACGAACAAATTCGGAAACGACATTGCCAAAGTCGGTAGAATTTTTCAGAACTTGAACTTGGGTTTTTGCAAAGTTAGACTTCCCTTTTGATCAAAATGGTTGCTACGACGAGAGGGAATTTACCCTTTCCGAAGGGTACTGTATGTGAAAGTCCGCATTCTGATTTGTTCACTTTGTGTGTTTGCACTTTTTTTGCGTGACGTTACGAGTTTTTTTATCAATGGAAAGCAAAATAGGAAAACGCTTTGTTCAAATAGATCTGCAACACCTCGGGGCTTCGATTTTCTTTTTCCTGACATTTTTTTTCGATGATTTCATTTTCTGGTCTTCATATTTTATAAATACTAGTTCTTCCAGTGAGAAATCTCCAAATTCGAACGATGAAAAAGAAGGAAAATTTTATATAATGTTTAGATTTTTTTCACTTCCTTTCCTTTTTTGTTGATCTTTCTACCCGCATGGAATAAAAGAAATCACGGAATCGAACCGCCCAGAAACGTCACGCAAAGATAGTGCAAACACACGAAGGGAACAGCTCAGGATGTCGCCTTTCACATACAGTACTCTTCGGAAAAGGAAAAAATAACTCATAGCACCTTGTAAATAATCTTTTCTTTACTTTCTCTTTTTTCAGCTCGGAGTTCATCCGTGGTACAGCAGCAAGCACAACATGGGTATGGCGCTGCAGCAGGAAACTTGGCTCAAAATCAAAAATTGTTCAAATGTTCGTTCTTTATATGATTTTGATGCAAATTTGGGAGCAGATTAATTTTATAATAGTTATGATAATTTCAACTTTTCAGATGTTTTGCGATTGGGACGATTACAATTGGGATTGGTCGTTAATGCAGGTGAGTGGGGAACTACCAGGAAAGTGAAACAGGAAAAAAAATTTCTTTTGATTTGATTATGGCAACTTATTCAACTGAAATAGAGAAGTGACAATAAGGCGAAAAAATGAAACCGACTTTTCAACATTTATCTTTTTATTTCCTTCATTTTGTTTCTAACAGCTTTTTTCCAGGTCAGCGCCAAATGTCTCCCGCAAAGGTTCCGCGTCATTTTCGCAAAAAGCCCCCGGGTGATTCACATTGGCGACTGCGGCGTTCATACCCATCGGTTTGCACAGGAAAGACCTTGAGGGACCACTCAAACGGTTTCTTAAGTTGCGACGCGCACAACGCCTACGAAGCGACGACAAAACTGCTCGAATCTCACCGAGGGGCCCTTTTCCCGGCAAGCCTCGCTGTTACTGATGTATGTTTCTCAGATTTCGGGGGGTAATAATAGTGCAAATATCTTTTGTGTACTAGGTTTTTGTCAAACGAATTCATGCGTTGCATTAGACTTTCAAGCTTGAGAAAAACTCCGGAGCCAGTTATTCTCAAAACTTTTACTGAAAGAAGGAAATCATTTATTGCTCAGATCTCTCGCCGATCATTGAAGCCTTCGAAGGAGAATGGCGGATGGGGCGACATCAGGTTGATATCCTTCAGTTCACAGTCGATTATCGACCTTTTAAGAGACCGAGAATTGTGTCTGCTCAACACCTCGCCGTTGCTCGACAAGTCCAACGCTCCAGTTCTCGCCGAACTTTTCAATTCCACCATCAAGTTATAATTTTCCTATTTTTTACGCTGAATTTTTTTTCCTTGTTGATATTTCTGAACATTACATTCTTGATTTCATTTTAGTTTAGAACTTTTTTTAAAGAGAGAAACAGGTTTCAATAGATAATAAGTCTTATCTTGGTTAGAGCGCAGAAATCTCAAAAAATTGCCTTGAAAATCGTTTCTCTGTTTTTTTTTACTATATATATATTAAAACAAAAAGTTTCTTTTTTTGCTTTTTTATTTCTCGAATCTTTCAGTTAAGGTACAAGATTCTTTCAGCCGTGCTTATCAGTTACGTGTTAATTCCAACCACGCATAATTCCCCCTCCAAAACAGAGTTTTCTATGAGATCCCTTTTATTCCTTGAATTACGGGTTGTCATCTTTTATTGGCTCGATTCTTCATTTTCTTGTTGCTCGCTCACCTTCGGGTTCAATCATAATACTTGTGAATGAAAGAAAAAAAGGAATTTTTTTATTCGAACGATGGGAGAAAAAAAGCGACAAACAGCAATGATATTTGTGCACGAAGTGCAAGTTCCTGAAACTACTTGATCATTTAATCCAGTTTCCCCTTTAGAAATCAATCTTCCAACCCTCGTTCGGCGTATGTTGATCATCTGGAAGCTGTTTCAGTCTTTCTCGCAGAAGCCAATCCTTTTGACTGCAAAATTTTCCAGGTTTTTCTCTTTTCGATTCGATTTCGCTGTTCAATTTTGATCAAAAAGAGATTATTGGGAAGAAATTTTGCGCTTATTTAAAACCCATTTTGCGCAGTTTCGGCACAAGTTATCATGAGTAAAATGGGCGTGTCCAGCCAATCATCGACAAAATCCGCCAGAGAGCACATGTAGAAGTTTATTACAAGCTAATTTCATATCAGAAGCTCCGAAATTATTTTGCGAGGTTTTTATTTCTCCTTCTCCGGCAGGAAAGTTTCGACACGTCTTTATGCGACAATTTCTAGAAAATTTCGTGAATGAAGCGAAAAAGTTCAATCTCTATTGGAGCTTCACCTGAGATTTTTCATTGGACTTCTTGCGTTCCGACATCCTCGACTTCAGCCAGTTCATCTTGTTCCTTCGAGTTGCTTCGCTTCTCTGCGTTCTCGTCGAATTGTTGGCCTTCGACGCTTCTTGTGAGATCTGAAGTTAGAAGAATGAGAAAAAAACATTTTTCACTCAATTTTTTTTTGCTCAAATGCGTTTGCTAGATTGGAAATATTTCCAAGTTATCTGGCTGACAAACCAATAATACTGATTGAAGATTTTCTTTTTTTCTTTTACATTCTTCTACTTTTTAAAACTCCGAAAACCATCTCGAAAAGGAAAACGGACCGCCGAAGGACTGGCTTTCTTCCTGAGCGTGCGCTTCTGGGTCCGTTCCGAGGACTTGTCGATGGTGCTCATCTTGTCTCTGGTCTTCGTTTTGGTTTCTTCCGTTTTTCCAAACTCCATCGACCTGTCTACGATATCAACAACGACCTTGTTCTTCCGCCTCTGTAGAGGAAACGGATCAGTCTGGTAAGTGGGATTCCAGAAAAATTCCGTGATTTTATGAGTTTCAGTTCACTTTCTTTATATCTAAATAAATGCTATATTCCAACACTTTGCGTTATATTTACTTCCGTTTTTTTGATTCGTCTAAAAAAAACCGAAACCACGATCTCTCTGATGTTCAAAATGTTTAAAGTGAAGAATTAAAATATTATGTCCATAATGAAGTTGAAGAAATCAGGTAGTATCACGTGACGAAATTTCTAACTTTCAGAAGCAAATGTTTGATTTAGACTAAATCATTTAGTGCTTAGACTTTCGTTTTTGTGACTTTAAAGAGTAGAAAGTTTATTCACTTGGCCTTCATCGCTTTTCTGCTCGACGGTCTTGTCAGTGTCCTTGTCCTTCTTCCTTCCCTTCTGAAAATCATTTATTGACGTCCTTGGTGAAAAAGTTATGTCGCAATTTTTCGACGTATTCCCAATATAAGATGCTGTCTGGACATCAATTATGATGACGTCACTCACTTTTGTTTCATCGCTTTTCTGCTCCACCGTCCTGTCGGTGTCTTTGTCCTTTTTCCTGCCCTTCTGAAACACTACCATTTCGCTAGAAGTGACTTTAGGAACGTGTTATTCCTCTCATAACATTAGAGAACTTTGATGGATGTATTCGAATTCCGAAAAAAAGTTCATATTAATGGGTGAAGTCGAGTTATTTTTCCTCTCAATCCGTCCTTTTTCTCAGGGACATCACCTTTGAATGACGTCACTCACTTTTGTCTCATCACTTTTCTGCTCTACCGTCTTGTCAGTGTCTTTGTCTTTCTTCTTTGCCTTCCGTTTTCTCTGGAACACAAGTATATGTAAGTTTCATTATTGCTAATGACGTCATAATTTTTTTGTACTTTCACAGATTTGAAAGTTTTCTACTATTAAAAAGAGTTTTTTGTCCTTTTTGTCCGAAGCCGCACTTGAGATGGCTTGAAATAAGTCATCACGGCAACTTCTTTCAAAGAACCAGATTTATGTTGGACATCAGAAAACAGAACGACTTGAAGCCCGATTTCAAGTTTTGAACCATTCCAAGTGCGACCGCGATCCGATCCGGGTTGAGAGAAGAACTAACCTCTTCGATAGTCCTGCGACAGGCGTCAGTCCACTGCGACTCGAACTCTTCCAGACTTTTCAGCCGCTCGCAGCTTTTCTTGTCGTTGTTCGGGTCTTCGTTGGTCTTGTCGTCTTCCTCGTTTGCCCCGTCCTGTTTATCCTTCAACCGTTTGACGCAGTAACTCGAGCCCCAGGCCGTGGGAACGTACTGCGGATTGTGCAGCATCACTTCCAGCAGATCGCGTTTTGCCTAAAGTTATCACTATAGAGAACAAGTTTTAGAGTTCACTACAGAGAGAGTTGTGAGAAGGGCTCAGAAAGACAAATCTCAGATTCTTTGCGCCTTACAAGGGAAAAAAAGCAGGAGTTAGATAATTTAATAAAAAAAACACTGGAACCGGCTTTTTTAACTTCTGACTTTTCCTTTTCAAAAGCTGCAAGAACCGTCTTTTAACCAAAGTTTTGGGCTTCACTTCACTCAATGTTAGTCATCTTGCTTGAAAAGAAGAATACCTTGTCCGAATCGTTAAGAAGGGCGCGCATGTTCTCGTCGATCACGTCAGTTATAGTGTCGGACTGACGTTCGAGTTGGGCAAGGCCGTTGGTGATGGCCGTGTCGAGCAGCAACACGATCTGAAGCAGCAAAATTAGATCAACTAAATGGAAAAGTTTAGAAGCTCGTAAGACCCATAAACGCATCAGACCAGTCAGGGCGTCTCATTCCTTTTTTATCACCTTGGGAGTCGGTTGCTTGTTTGGCTCCTTGAAGTACTCCATCAGGAGGGCGATATCCTCGTTGCGATGGCAAGAGTATTCCAACAACTGATTTCGTGTCAGCACCTCCAAAACTTTCATCGCAGCTTCCGTTTGCGCCTGGAAATCTTTTCCATTCGACGCTTCTTTTTCGGAATGAAGACGCATTTCAAAACAATAAACATACGGCGGGCAGCTCTTTCCATTTCAGCTCCACCGGCTTCGAGATGACGTGCATCGGTCGCGCCTGAGTATTTCTCCTTCTTTTTATAGTTTTTCCTGTGAATTTACCCCGTCGACTACTTCAAAAACCTCAGCTTCTTCATCGACTATCCTTTTCACGGCTAGCGCTTTTTTCTCGTCTTCACTCAACCCGGAGAACTGAAAAAAACCAAATCTTTAGATAGAATTTCAAAATCACTATAAGAAATAATGGTAGTTTTTTCGAATCTTTGAAGACTTGAAGCCCAAGTATGAGCTCTTAATAAAAAAAACCTTGTTCTTCTCGTCGAGGTAGGTATTGAACATGTGCTTGAGTTTGACGGTCCTCTCACTCTCCTTGACCTTCTTCTTCGCCTTGCTTTTCGGTTCGGTCATTGCTAGGAATGATCAACTGACTGATGAATTTCCACGTCATCCACTCGTTTTCAATTCTTTTCGCTTCGCTTGATCTTATTGTTTTTTATTTCAAAACTAGGTCATTTATCACGAAAAAAAGTTGAGTTTCACATCCGAAACGCTCAAAATTCCCATATATTATTGAATGATCTCGAAATTTTACTTGAATTAAGAGCAATCAAAAAAGAACTGAAATTAGAGCGGATCATATTGGAAAAAATTTAACTTTTAACACAAGTGCCTTAGTAACCCGTTGAAAGTTAAGAATACAACTGAAAAAGACCGTTAGAAATTGCAAAGTCCCCATTGAAAATTTCAGCATAGGTAGAAGTAAACCCTCCAAATAATTTTTTTTCAGTTTTATGAAAAACCCTTTTGAATCGCTCAAAACTAATAAATACTTCTTGGATTCAAACTTTCCTCGCTTTTTATGGAAACCAGCAGGTTAAATCTTTTTTTGGATAAAAGTCGTTCCTCATTTTATTTTACTGTATGAGATTTCCATTGGACTACAGGTTTTCCACAGAATTTATTAAAGTTCCAATAATTTCTGAATTTTTCAGACTTTAGTTATAGCTGAAAGTCAGAAAAGCACATTCCTTCTGGTAAAGGAGGAAAAAATAACCTCCCAGCAGTCGGTAAATCGCTCAGAAAAATGTTGCAATCTTAATATTTCCTCCAGGACGTTTTCCATCGCCCGCGGCTATTTTTTCCATCTTTGCTCATTCGCCAACCAACTCGATAAAAAGTAATTTACCCCCATTCTTCATTTGGATTTTTTCCTTCTAAAAACTTCTCGTTCCAAATCTTGGCCTGGCCCCACAATAATCATCAAAACCAGAATGGAGGGACAAGGGTACTTGAGATTTTCTTCTTGCCAAAAAGGATGAAGGACCTTCTTCACGGAAAAATTTTCTCGTCCCGCAGCCTTCAATTCGCTTTGTCTTTGCTCTTAATCTCCATACTCGGCGCGTCAAAGCGTGCGAAGATTTATCAACGCGATTTATTGTCCTCAGGCCGCTTGTCAACGGTGCATTTACATTAGTTGATTGCCTTTTCATTGGGGTCTTGTATCTTGGAACCGGGCCTTTTTCTGGTGAGAGATGTTTTCTGAAGGCTTTGGCTAGGTTAGGAAGTCTTGCGACTCGGAATCGGTACTTTTTTATCAGAACTTTTATTTACGAGACCTTTGGGTAGGTTGAGATATCTTCATTTTGAAAAAAATGTATTTTTAATAAACACAACCTCTCCTAAAGATATCTGTGCAGAGTCGGAGGTCTCCTTTCAGGTTAGTTATTCCAATCTGCCTGAAGTTTTGATTGAAAAGTTCCCCTTTTCGTCAAAAACGAATGGGTTAACTGAATCTCTCCGCTTTCCAACAATTCAAGATTGTTTTTTTTTCTAATTACTCACACCCTCTTCTTATCTCGCCTTGCGTTGCTTAATGAGAGTCAAGGTTTGGAATTACCCGAACTATAGTTTTCAGACACTTTTTTGGAACTCTTTCCGCTCCTGTTTAGCTTTATGATATCTAGAGCCCAAATATCAGTGTCCTGTGCTCCCACGCAGTCTCATGAAACTTATAACAATTCAGTAATTACTTAAGAGGTTTTACAACCCTTCAGCGCTTACTCAAGATGCCAGGACTGTTTTAGAAAAAAGCAGGATTTCGCCATGCATTTTCTAGAATAGAGTGTACTTCTATCATCAAGTTCCGCCCAAAACTAGGAACTTCCGATTCTGATGGAGGTAACCAGAACCATTTGGAGCTGACCGGTTCGAACTCGAAAGTCTGAACTCGAGAGCCGGAGCTCACGTCGTGCTCCCGTCGGCTCTCAGGTGGCAGCTGCTGAACCCGCCTTCTCCTATCAAATCCTTTTATCTTTTGCCCACAACCACCACCGCCGCCGCCTCCTTCGCTCTCGTCCCCCGAGCACATGCCTCGTTTAATTTTTTTCTCACCTCGCTCTTCGAATTCCTCGGAAATGTTATGAAGGATTTTCGTTTTGAAAAAGTTTTTTCCGAGTTTTGATGATAAAAAAAAGTTTTTACTTTTTTATAGATGGGGTTCTATTCACATTGGTCCTTGAGACCAATTCAATTTTTTCCTTGCAGTCTTTCTCATTTCTATTTTTGGGTCTAAACTTTATATATTCATTTCATTTTATTGGTTCAAAATTACATGTTTATGAAAAATAGTCCTTGAAAACTCGATGTTTTTTTTTTTGAAAAAGTAATCTTTCATGTTAATTTAAGAAGTTAATTTCAATCTTAATCTTCCAAATGCGTTCCCTTCTCCTATCATATGCCTGGAAATTCATGATTCCAAGCGCGATGCCTTTTTAAAAATTGCTATTTTTTTCGTTCAGAAAATGGACACGGTCTCCCTGAAGCGGGAGAAATGGTCCTCTTGGGCAGACTTCATAATGAGTTGCATTGGTTACGCCATCGGGCTCGGAAACGTTTGGAGGTTGTCTTTTTTATGCTTTAAATGAAAATTGATCGCACAAGGATGTATTCTGATTATTCATTAGATTAACCTGTTAAAACTAATCGTTGGTTACCTATTTTTTTATTATTTTTTTAGTGAACTAAATTAAAAAAAGAACCCCTGAATTATTAACCGGCCCACCTAATAAAATCAAAAAAAGACATGAAAAGGGAAAAAAAAGATGAGATAAGTTTCGATTTTCAAAGCTCTGAGTCGGATCGAATTACAAGCAAGCATAGTAACACATGTATTCCTTTTCCAAATGTAAAAAAACCAAAAACCAAAGATCGTATACAATAAACGGGAAAATGATTCACCGATTTCAATGCGAAAAAGAAACTGAAGTCGTTTTTCATAATTATTCTTGAATCAAAATCGACTCGTTCAAAAATTAATATTTCCATTTCAACTTTTGACATTTTTTAAAATCAACTCTGGATTTATTTTTCAAAAAGAAGATTTATATAGAATATTTGAAAAAAAGCTCATAAAATGAACAAAAAAATGGTCTATCAGCTTATCCATTTATCATTTTTCTTCATGAGAAAACCGAAAACCCAAAAATATTGCTTTACTTCCCAAAAATAACGTGAAAGAGTATTTTATCTGAAGTTAAAAATTATAAGTTGTTTTCTCATGCAGGTTTTTGAAAGACTCCAAACCACTACAGTAATGATATAGCTTTGAAGTTTTAAAATTCGCCTTTTTTCCAAAGTTATTATTTTCTGTGTTTTCAAATGTCCACTAGACGAATCAATCACTAGGTATGCAGCCATTCTTCAAAAAATGTTTGTGCTCTCCCAAGTCGTCCATCATAACCTTCCCCTCAAAAAATCACTTGTTTTTCCAGAGGCCACCTCGTTTATTACACATCGTTAAAACCTGGACCAAAAAAAAATTCGTTTAAATTATGTCGTCTAGTCAAGTTGGGGAAGTCTTTAAGCATATGAAAACTGAGTTGGAACGCGTAAAAAGATAATAAAATGAAGAATGAAAGAAGAAAAATGCAGGTTTCCCTACCTTTGCTACCAAAACGGAGGCGGTGAGTCTGTTGATCATTGTGCTGTGTGGTGTGATTTGCAGTATTTTACAATAGTTTTCGAGTATTAGAAAATGAGAAAACTTTAAAACACTGTATTCAGCCGTAAAGTTTCAGCTTGTGGAAGGTTTACATGGCATTACTTCTTATTCACATGAAAAATTATTTTCCTTGGATTTTTATTCTGGTATAACTTTAAGAATAAAATTTTCGAGCAATGATAAATCTTCCTTATTTTAGAAGACATCGAAAAATAGATCTTTTATGATGTTTTGAGCGTGAAACCTACTCTTGAAAATTTTCGAAACGACTTTTAAAAGGAAAGAAGTTTAGAATGATATATTCTGATGATTGTTTGGTCAAAAAAAGCTAGTTTTCATCTGTTGGGCGCGCTTTTTTTTGAATTTTTTCTGAAAAATTCTCTGCTTTTTATTCGAAAAATGATTAGAACCTTTGATTCTATTTTTTTCTAAAATCTGTCAAAGTTTTTTTTTTCATTTGTCAGTCTTTCATTAGTAAGCCTGCTGAAAGTTTTATTTTTTATTTACTTCTTTTTTGAACGTCGAAGGCTTAACACTGGTTAATGGGAGTGAGGTGTTAAAAATTTAAACTAGAATTTGTGAGATCAGGATCTGAGAAACGAATAAGTCGAGAAGGTTGAGACGTTCAGCATATTTTTCTTTTATTCAAGAAATTCAATATCCAGAGGGCATTATTCTTGTAAAACTGAATTCATTTTCTCTTCATTACCCACTAAATTTTCAAATCAAAAAAAATTCTGAAAAAGTCCGAGTTATTAGGGGTATAGTGCAACTGAGAGGCCATACCAATTTGTCGTGTCAGCTCCGCCAAGGCAATTGTTCAATGAGACGGGCGAGAAGGCAACAACTGCAAAATCCGTGTTGGCGCCTGTTTTCACAAATTTTCGGCCGTTGTTGTGTAACTCCACCGCCACTGGAGCGGCTGCCCCGGAACTTATTGAGTTTCATTTCAACCACCCTCTCCGATTTATGACAGCTCATTAGAAAATGAGGCCGACGATAAATTTGGGGGAAGATATTGAACATAAACAGTGGCGGTCAAACAGAAAAAAAGATAAAATAACTCTTTGAGAATGAACTTTTGATAAAAACCATTTCCTGCAGTGTCTTGATTTGACTTGTTGTGGCGTTATCTTATTCTTTTCTTGTTTTTACAATACTATTTTCCAGGAGCCTTCCTAATCCCTTACTGTATCTCGCTGGTTTTTTGTGGAGCTCCACTTTTCATTCTCGAGACTTCATGGGGCCAACTTCTGTCTGTTGGCGGTCTCGGAATGTTTCGAATCTGCCCAATTTTCAAAGGTGATATCATTGTTGAATATAAAGCAATCTCCTTATTTTTCGATGACTCGAAGTTTTTCTTCAAATTTTTTTTATTTTGTCACAAAAGCTTTAAAATTTGACCCTTAAGCCTTCATGTTTTTTTCAGGTGTCGGAATAGCGGCTGCAGTCATGGCATTCTGGCTCAATATTTATTATATCGTCGTTCTGAGTTGGGCAGCCGCCTATTTGTATTATTCTCTTCGGTTGGACACCAATGTCCCCTGGCGGAGCTGTGATCATCCGTTCGTTCTATATTTAGTTCTCCTTTTCAATTTCGATTATGAGATGGTAGATTTAGGGACCGCAAAGCCACGCCCCTTTTCGCGATAGAAAAAGTGGCTTTTTTTTGGTTTTCAACTTTCATTTTGCTGTAGTTGCAAAATATGTGGAACTTGATAATAAATTTTTGGCACACATGTACAAAAAAAGCTTCCTCTTTCGTTTAAAAAAATATTTCACGCTTTTTTTGATGCGTTCGCGCGGAATGTCGTACAAAAAAACGTGAATGGAACTAAAAAAATTTTGTCGTTTTTTTGCTTTTTTTCATGTGTTTTTCAGGTCGAACGCACTCTTTCTTTTTTTAAATAATGATTTTTGATTCAAGTAACGGTAATTTTAAAACAATAAAATAAAAAAATTCGTCTTTGCCAAAAAAATTTTTAGGGAGTGCCGAAAGTCATAATTCAAAAATATCGTTAATAAGCGAATATAATCGAGTTTTTTTGTTTTTTTCAAAAATTTAGACCATGGGCTTACTTAAATTTTTTTCCACAGCATATGTGCTTGAAAAAGTTGTTTAATACGCAAAAATGCTCTTGAAACTAGAGAATAAAATTAGCGGCGTTTATCACAAAGAAAGCGGTCGAACGCAGGTTTTTCAAACGATTATATACATTTATTAGTAAAAAAATCTTTCAATTAAAAAGAATAAAATAAAAAAATTCGTCTTTGCCAAAAAAATTTACGGGGCCGTTTTTAATGCAGCGATCGTTAATAAAGGCAAAAAGCACTGAAAAAACAGTTTTTTCGAAGTGAATTTCCACGAAAAGTTTGAGAAAAAATTTGCAAACATATTCTGATAAAAATAGCTAAATTACTTCAAAATTTTCTTTTTGAAATAGGCAATCTGTGCTATTCAAACGGCTCAAGGATATGGCGGATGGAAACTCCCCTCGTAATACTTAACAGCTTGGCGCAGCGCGTGCTGCGATTTTTCATTTTGAGGTCGCGAGTTCGATGCCCGCAAGCGTCAGTTTTTTGTTTTCTGGAAAATACTGACTTTTTCGGCAAACTAGCTGATTAGCATCATTTTAGCACTCTATTATAATTTGTTACATCATAATAGACCAGCATCAAAACTTGTTCTAGAAGAAAAAAATTGAGAAAAAAATTTCAAAACTATATAATACCAAAATTTCAGTACTAAAAATGGTGCGCGGCGCGCCACATTTTCCGTCATAACTTTTTTCATCTTCAATCTTTTTTGAAAAACTAAACGGTTCTGAGTTTTGAATCGAAACAGCTATCAAACCATACAAAACTCAATGCTGAAAAAAAATTTTTTTGAAAAATTCGTCTGCGGTCCCTAGGTAGATTCCATAAAAATAGTTGAATCTTGTAGTTATGGTTATATTCAATAATAAGGAACATAAATAAATAAAGTAATGGAAACCATATCAACTGGTATGACTTAATTTGGGCTTGAAGAGTTTACATTTTTAAGTGCTAATGAAGAAAATAACTAACTCTTTCCAATATTTCATTCTCTGACAATTTGTCTAACCATTTAAAGGCTCTCTAGCGAGCTATTATATTATTCACGCCTTTTATGAATTTTTCAATTGGAAAAGTCGAAAAACTGGCTTCACGAGAAAGAAGCTGATGATGATTAGAGTGTAGGATTTTCTTGACCGCAACGCGTCTTCTTGCGTTGGCCGTCCATTTTGAATTTTTCAAAACTTCAGCTGGAACACCTCCTCGATGCCGCTCAGAGTACGTCAAAGTGCCATGTGTCAGCAACCGAACAATCGCCGATTTCTTCAAAGTCGAGGTAACTTTTAGAAGATTTGAGTTTTCCTCAAAAACTTGATAAAATTCATTTTCATAGGTCCTAACCGAAGAGCACTTCATCGACTACAAGAAACAGTACTTTGTGGGTCCCTTGGAAAATTATACCGTTTGTTCTGCCGACGATTTGGCGGCTGTTTCTCCAGTCAAGGAGTTCTGGAAGTAAAGAACGAAAATTCAGAAGAAGTCCAGAAATAATCCAATTTTAAGCAACAAGATCCTGGGAATCTCGGCTGGAATAGATAGCCCCGGGGCCTTGCGTTGGGATCTGGCCATTTTCCTGCTTCTAGTTTGGATTATCTGCTATTTGTGCATTTTCAAGGGCGTCAAATGGACTGGAAAGGTTTGAAGTTTGTTTTTTTTTTCGTTTTTCTGGTATGTAGATCTTTTTTTGAACAATTCCATACGAGAAGCCGGCAATAAAATTATCGAAAAAAATTCATCCGTAGAGCGCAAAAGATCAATTTGCGCGGCTTTTCTTCCTAATTTGTTCTTAATACTTTTTCTAAGTTTTTTCAACGTATAGGGGGCCTTAAATTACGCAATTTTTTTGTAGTCTTTCATCCTTTGTAATTTTTCCAATTTCTGTGAAAAAAATCGAAAAATCATTCTATTGAAAAAAATCGTTCATTGAAACAAGCCATCAGCAAAAGGATTGGTTTTTTAAATTTTCGTTTATAGGGCAAAATTGATCTATCTATAAGTCTATATGTCATGTTTACCTCTTTATTTTTGTAGCATTTAATTGAAGACTTTTTTATAATTTCTTTTTAAGTAGAAAGAAAAGTTTCGAATCTCTAAAGCGGACTTACGAAGAATAATGCGGCCAGATGTCCTCAATATTTTTTCTGGCTTCTGACCTTCCTTGGATTTTTTTAATAGCACAATACAATTTGAAGTCAAATTAAATTTCAGGTAGTATACCTGACGGCCTCTTTCCCCTACATCATGCTCTTCTGTCTTTTGGTCCGTGGTCTCACGCTGGATGGAGCCAAATTAGGTCTTGAGTTCTACTTGAAGCCGGATTTTTCGAAGCTTTTGGAGTCCAAGGTAATTATTGAGGTGATGCGCAAGGAAATTGATTCTTCAGGTCTGGGTGGACGCTGTGACGCAAGTTTTCTTCTCCTATGGATTGGGTCTTGGGGCTCTTGTCGCCTTGGGAAGTTACAACAAGTTCAATAACAATGTTTACAAGTTGGTTTCCGTGAGAGTTAGGATCAATTAGAAAAGGATTTATCTGGGAAACTACAGAAAGAAAAGATGCAAAAAAACTTTAAAAAAAACTTTTTATTTTGGAAATTAAATTTTTTTAGATTGTCCTCACTTTTCTCGGTTAACTTAGAAAATGACTTGTAAAAAAAATTTCTTAGCTTTAATTTCTTTAAATGTATTTTTTCTCGAAATTTATTTTCCAGACAAGCCCTGACAGTGTGTTTCGTGAACAGCGGAACCAGCGTTTTTGCCGGTTTTGTGATTTTTTCCTTCATAGGCTTCATGGCGACTCAACAGGAGAAGAGTGTTGCCGAGGTTGGTCTTTTTATTACTATTTTCCGTTAAAAAAATGGATTGGATGATTAAAGAATGGGTTTTTCAGTCATATGTTTTTCATTATTTTTATTCTCAAAGTCTCGATATTCAAAGAAAATCTTTTTTCCGAGATGCTCTCTTTGGGGGAATTTTAATGTTTGAGTGCTAATGAACAGATTTTTTTCCTAGTTTATTTTTTTGCTTTTTTTCAAAAAGTTTTGAAACTTCATCATTTTCAGGTGGCCCAAGCCGGTCCCGGACTGCTTTTCCTGGCCTATCCATCTGGAATTCTGCAACTACCGTACACCCAACTCTGGTCCATAATGTTCTTCTTGATGGTTCTTTTCCTCGGCGTCGACTCTCAGGTTGGTTTCCCCTTCATCCACGTTTCAGTTACCGAATAATGGTATAGTTTTGCAGTTCTGCACGATGGAAGGCTTTTTCACGGCAATCATCGATGAGTTTCCGTCCATCAGGGCAAGGAAATACGGTCGAGAAATATTCGTCGGAGTCATTTGCTTTCATTTCCTACATCATCGGGCTGACAACAGTTACAGAGGTTTCTGATTTGTTAACAATTAGGTGTGAATTTTTCGTTGGAAAATAGAGACGATTCAATTCTACCTTGGGACAATAAAAAAGGATTATTTGCTCTGAAATTCCTTTTGACGGTTTTTTTCTGCGTCAATAAGTTAAACTTTGGTACTTTTCGATATTTTTTAGAATGATAAGGAAAATTAGACCTATTGTGGGCTTACCCTTCTCTATGCTGACGATTTAAAAATTTTTTCTTCGCTCACAAAAACCTCTAGTTCTACTGTCATCGAAGAAGACCTCAAATTACTTGAAAACTGGTGTTCAACATGGCAAATGGCTATAGCTCCAACTAAATGCTATTCTATTCATTTCGGAAAAACGTAACCCAAATATTTCTTATAAAATTTCAAACATGGCTTTACAGCCTAAACTTTCAGTTCGAGATCTTGGTGTAGCTTTCTCAAATAACCTTAAGTTCAATGATCATATATCTGAAATCTGCAGACGGTGTAAATGTCGCATAAATGTTATGTTTAACGTGTTTCGATCCACTGAGCTTTCATTGTATTTAAAAATGCTTTGAAGTGTATATTCGTCCTATTATTGATTATTGTTCTGTAGTCTATGCTCCAATTGACTCTCACAATATTTGTTTGATTGAAGGTGTTCAGAAAAGTTTCCTTTTTCCGAGCTTACCATCGTTGCGGCTTGCCCTACCACTCTTATTTCACTTGTTTATCTGAAAATAGTCTCAAAACTCTTGAGACAAGACGCCTCATCTTTTGACATGTCTCTTGTTTATAAAATTGTACTTAGAGAAGTCCCCATTGATTTCGATAGTCTCTTCTTTTTCCCCCGTGTCCGTGCGCTGCGTCGCCATCGCTATTATTTACGTTCAAATATAAGACATAATAGTAACATCGTTGCCTCGTTTTTTAGTATCAGAATAATTAATGTTTGGAACTCCCTTCCCGATGTTGTATTTGATCTATGTAATGATTCTATGCGATTCAAAATCTATTTAGAAAACAACCCTCATCTTCTCGCTGACTTTCTTAAAATATCTTCTAACTTTTAAACGGTTTGTTGCTGTTTTCAATGTTTAAATTTCCCTTTTTAAAAATTGGTTCTGTTAGAGGTCTTTTCGGCCCTTGAACTGTATTATTATTCGTATTGAATAAATGATGATGATGATGATACACCGAGGGATAAGGTAAAATTAATATTCAATAGTCCCTTCAAAAAAATCCCTGCTAGTGTTTTTTTAAAAAAACTTAGATTTGAAACTTAACTTAGAAATTTTCGGAAATTTGAAAAAAATTATTGTTTTTCAGGGCGGTTTCTACGTCTTCCAGTTGTTCGACTTTTACGCGGCGTCTGGATGGGCCCTTCTCTGGCTTCTGTTCTTCGAATGCATCGCCATCTCCTGGAGCTTAGGTGTGACATATTTCGAGTGAAAAAACGTTTTTATTTGTAGAAATTCGGGAATTTTTTCAGATTTTGAGTTGATTTCGTGGGAACTTTCAATAACTAAAATTTAAAAAAAAAGTCGAAAATAGACGATTTTGCAGGCATCAACCGCTGGTATGACCACATGCACAGCATGATCGGCTACTATCCCAGCGCTTGGTGGAAATTTTGCTGGGTTTTCGCGACGCCAGCCGTTTGCTTTTGTTTGTTTTTTTATGCATTTTGATTCAACATTTTGAAACTCTAGAAAAAGAAATCAACAAGGAGAGTTTTTTTCCAGAAAAAAATAAAAAAATTATACTTTTTCCAATAAAAGGGGTATTGTTATCTTTTTCTGCTAGATTCTCATTTTTTTCTTGTTCCCCTCAAAAATAAAAAAATAAATAGTATTTTTTTCAAAAAGTTGAACTTTTTTTCGCGACCTTTTTTCGAGTCTGACCCGCTTTTTTTGATCCTCCTTTAATCCAATATTATTCGTTGCATTGACCTTTAACACCTCTCTTTTTTTTGGTTTCTCTATCTTCATTTTTTGATCCTATTTTATTGAAAACATAGAAATTGTTGAAAAAGAAAAAAAGAAAGCCATGGTCCTCTCTCATTTTTTAAAAAAACTATATTTTTTTCTTTTTCTTTTTAAATTTTTCGAAATATATATATTTTTTTCAATAATATTCAATACAATTTGTTTTGTGAGAAACTGTCGCTTTTTTTATTCAGAAAAAAAGGATAGCGCGAAAATTTCAATTTTGCTTCACAATACTGAAAGAAATAACGAAAAACAAGAGTCTTGAAACGAAATTTGGTAAAATTTGGTCCAATCAGAATTTTTTTTGCAAAAAAAAAGTAACAGACTGCCGCCAAATATAATTTTCAGGGAGTCCTCCTATTCGGTCTGATCAAGTACGAGCCGTTGCGGATCAAGGCCTACAACTACGACTATCCGCTGTGGGCGCAGCTTTTCGGATGGTTCCTGTCGCTGAGTTCGATGCTCTGCATTCCCGGATACGCCATTTATGCGTGGTTCACGACTCCCGGCACCTTTCCAAGAGGTTCTTATTGATTATTTTATCAATTGAAAAAAAGGAAAAATTAACTGTTTTTCATTTAGCGACATTTCAGGATTAAAAAAACTAACAAAAAAAGGTTTGTACTTGAAAGTTTTTTTCAAAAGATATTCAAGTTTTTTTCAGATTAAACTATCTCTGGAATCGAATAAACGACCTTCTGAACTATATTCTTTACCGACTCGATAAATTTGCAGAAAGTCAAGATCCTCTGCCGGCCGGACATTGAGATCAAAGGAGAGACGGAGGCCGTCGAAATGGACGATTTCCATCAGCTCTAACCTGAGCAATACCTTCATTTTTAGGCCTTGTTTCATTGTTTTTTTTTCTTCTCTCATTTATCCAGATTTTCTATGGAATTTCATGATTTCTTTATGTTTTTAGTTTCCAACTTTATATCTTCGCACAATATTGATAAGAAAATGGCTCTCATTGCACATTCCACGCCCATAATATTCAAAATTATCGACTTCTTTCATCTTTGACCCGTCTTTTAATAAGTCACTTTTTTTTCTCCTTTTTTTTCCCAATAAGTCACTTTTTTCAAATTATTTTTTGTGTTGCTTGTTGTGGCATTAACATTTATAATTTCTGAACTTATCTAATTTTTAGAAAAAAATTTTTTTCTATGCGAATAAAATTTCATTAAAATTGTTCGAAATAATTTTTTCTTGCATGTGTTCCCATTCAGTAGTTTATTGATGAAATTATAATTTTTCAGCTCATTAGTGACGTCACCACTCAAAAAATTATGACGTTATTCAATCGAAAGTTAAAAAAATGAAGAAATTGACGTCATCAGGGAAAGTCAAGATCAGACGGCTTTTTTAAAGTTTCGTATTTAGAATCTTCTAGGTGTGGACATTTTGGAGAAGTCTTTCGAAAAAATTCGCTTGGAGTGGTCACTTTAAGGGTGATGATCCTCGCAAGGAGGGGATATCGAACCAAATTTTGGAATTATTTGAAACTTTTTTGTAAAACCTCAAAGTTGACATCCTGACGCTAAAGGCATCATCTTCTAAATTCGTTTTTTTTCGGATAGAACATGAAAATTCGTAGAGTCTTTCTCAATATATAGAAAGTGGGATATTAAAAGTTTTCAGGTACCTAAGTAAATGAGTTAGAGAGTTTTGGAGCAGAAAAATCAAGAACAGCTCTTTTTTGTGTGAAACGGCTATCTGAAGGGCGAAACTGCGGTTTGTCTCACCAAATGAAGATATTTTTTGAATCGGTGATTATCATTCCAAATTGATTTGCAGGAGACGAATGCGAGAAATAACGCCATGGCACTGCCAATCAGAACCGATTAGGCTTTGAAAAAAAATAACCGATAAAGAAAAAAAGAGATTTTCATGGATGGGAAGCCGACGCCAGTTCCAGTAGCGTGGCATGGCCGGTTCCACGAAATAATAAGCGCGGCGAAGGCGTCGAGGCGGCGTGGGAAGAATCGAATCGTAACACGAAAACGAAGGAAAAAGAACAAGATGATCGGGTGTCGATGAGAGAGACGAGAAACGCCGACGAAGAAGCGGCGGCGACGGATGCGACATTCGCCGCGACACGAGATATGACCCCGTTCATCGTGCCGAGAATCGCCGTCCGCGTCAACGTCGTCCTCGTCTTCGCCGTCGCGGTTGGCATCGTCGTCGCTGACGTCGTCGACGCGTCCTCCATCCGGAGGCATGTCGCTGTCGGCGAGCAATGGTATCGGACGCCAGGTTTGGCAACCTCACTTCTTCAAAGAAGGAAAATGATAAGCTAATTTTCTTTCGTCATGATGAAATCAATTTCGCCTTCAAAAGGCGCCGTGGTGCTTTTACAGGGTATTTGCGAAGCGGTTAACTTGATTTCTCTCTACTTTTGGATCACTCTTACGTTTTGTGATATTTTTTTTCAAATTAAATCTTTAATATTTCAGCCTTATCTGTCCCTTACAATTCAAATAGCTTTTCGTGAATGAGATATATTGACCTTATTCTGTTTTCGAAGATTTTTCATTTTCAAGGGTACTGGAAGCGAAAAAAATAATCAACGATTCTTTGATGGTTGCACGGGAGGGTCAAGTTTTCTTTACTTTGAGGAAAAATGGTCAATATTCTCATCTCCCAAGTTTTCTGAGGCTTTCTGGCTCGCGTAACGTTACCATTGCAGGAAATCCAGGCGTGAAAATCCGACTCACAAAGAAAGGCGCAAATCATCTGAAAACGGTCGGCGTCAAGCTTTTCAATGAGCAAATATCGACGTTGCAGGTTCCTCCTTCATTAAAAGATCTATCACCTATCAAAAAATTAAGGGCTATGCCTTGAGGATGCCAATAACTCAGGCAGGACTGAATGGATGGGTGACGTTGACCGACGTCAGAGTTCTTCATTATCGACCTCCGGAGGTGTTTTTTTTATCGCTCTTTCATGAAAAAGAATTTCAAATGAGTTGTTTGATAATTTAATAAAAATTTCAGTTGTCAGTGATGAACTTCCTTCCGCCACGTAGCATCGTTCTGGGCCTAGAAAACATGGACGTAACGTGAGTTTTGAATATTTTTTTCGAGAAAACTGCTTTTTGAGCGATAAAAATAGAAGATTAGATAAATAGCTTGAAAATGAAAGTCCTAAAAGTTTCAACTTCTGTCAACATGGAGATTTTGGGAGAGTCAGTGTTTTAGCAAGAGCAAATTAGCAAGAAGAATCATGTTAGAATGAAGTTGTTCTAAAAAGTCGTTTTTTTCATTCAAAAGTTTAAAAAAAGTTTATAGATACCGTTTTTTTTTTTGAATAGTGACTTAAATTCGTCGATATAATTCTCAAAAAAAATAGTTGATCAACCACATTAGCTCGAAAGTTTTTAGAATTCAGTGTGTTTGATCAATATGAAGGGTGAGAAAATACATATGAGGAGGACATTACTATGAAAAAGGTTTTAGGATTTCTGAAATTTCTTAGAGGAGAAAGGGTTTAAAGATGATAATATTTTTATGTCGCGCAGCCGTTTCGGGTCCCAAAAATGGACGGCTTAGAGGGTGACCCATCGTCAGCATTTTATCCCTCTTGCTTTAAATCAAAAAAATGTTATAAAAAGATTTTTTTAGCTATTATACCTAGGCGCAGTTTTAAATTAATAAAGTTTGGAAAATTGAAAAGGGAAAAACTGATAAATGAAGGGGAAGAAAAAAAGGAAAAAGAGAAAAAAAGGGGAAATGTAGTCATTCATATCCGATATCGATTGTTGTCGGCAGAGGTCAAAAAGTTACGAAGAGGTAGATTAAATTTATGTTCTTGTGGAAGTCTATATTGAAAGTATAAAGGTAGAAAAATTGAGGTTGAAATTTGGAATGTAGAGTGAAGAAGGGATAGTTATAATGAAATGTGTATTTTTTTGCAAAACTAAATCCGATTTTTTTCTTTGAATTTAGTCCTATTTAAAGTTTTTTTGTTTTCAAAATTCTAATTAAGGTGTTTAAATTGTATTGATTCAATATGAAAGTTTTTTTATGCAATCGATAGTCCTATCTATAAAGTCTTCTATTCTACCGCAGCATTTAGAGAATCTAACAATTTCATTAGTGAATGTGTTGAAACCAATACTTTCGAGCTACATAACTGTCGTGATGAGGGTATCTGATTATTTGAAAATTATAGTCATCCGTTTTGTTATATAATTTGCTTAAGATTTTTTTGTTCATCGATTGAAATATCTAAGTCCAAAAAAATTGGGTTTTTATATGTTTCCGTATTGGTTTGGTTAAGTTCCAATGAGTTATGGTATAGTGTGTTGGTGATTAGGGATAAGTTTAATTTATTTTTTTATCGTAAATTATGAATATGTCATCCATGTATCTGGCGGCGTGGAAAAAAATCGTCTGTCGAAAAGGATTTTTATTGTTAATTATAAAATTGTATTCCATGGCCGTTAAGGTAAGATCTGCTATAAATGGAGAGGCGTTGTTGCCTTGCGGTATTCCGTTTACTTGTCTGAAGGTGAATCCGGCGAAAGAGACGAAACTATTGCTCAGTACGAAGTGAACCATGTTTGAAATCTGGGATTTAGTGAAAGTTAAACTATTGGGATAAATTTTTATTATTGGGATAAGAGTAAAAGGTTTTTTTCCTGTTTTTGGTCAAAGTCACTCCAGTAACATCAATTCCTGCGTTCCTAAAACAAATATCTAAGATGTTATTGATGGAATTAAGTATTTCAGAGTGGGGTAGGTTAGTAAAGAGTGAGCTGAAATCGCCGGAGTATAAACAAGTGTTATTTCTGATTTTGAATTTATCAAAATGATGAATTAGTTTAAGACTATTATCTATTGACCAGTTGATACAGATATTATTTCTATTTTTCAATGACGTTATTAATGTTACGAAAGTGGTTTTTGAGATGAGAAAGTAAAGTGTTTCAGGACGACTGAAATAGGTTTGATGGAGCTGTTGTATGCTCCACAGATGAATCTAATCTTGGTTGGGTTTTTTTGTGTAATTTAGGAATTCCGTAAATTTTTAGGAAGAACATATTTTTTTCATTTTTGATTCATAATTCTAAAATTGCCTAAAAGATCATTGATTTCTTTTTTTGTGGCGTTCGAGTATAACAGTCGAGTTTTGTCCGAAATTTTTCATATGTTTTGTTGCTATTGTCGAGCTCAAGAGATTTATTGGCATAGTTAATTGTAACACCCATCTCTTTACATAGAAGTTGGCAATATAGTTTTTTTGCAAGTGAAGCTGTAGTTAGCTGAAGCTTTATCAGTATTAGTGATAATAAAATGTTCTTGGAGTTTTTTTGATTGAAGTGTAAGGAAGTTTGCAATCAGAATTATTTCTGGTTTTTTTCTAATGATTATGTTTCTTTGATTGTCAAATAGAAAGGTAAGATCGGAGTTGATTTTTTTGTGGTGATTAAAGGATAAAGTTTAAATTTGTTGTCTAACTTTTTAATGATAGATCTAATGTTAGAAAGACATTCGGCGTTGTATACATTGATATCAGTATGTGCGTATGAGCGAAATTTGGTACCAGCGGAAATGATTCTATTAAGTTTAGGGCATTGAATTAAATCTTTATCACCAGATATGACGTGTCCGGAATGTTGAGAATCGCGATGAAATGGAAATTGATGGCATGAGCAATCAGATGAGAGTATATCAATAAGTTTGTGAGAGTCCAAGTTGTTCAGGAAGTAATTGTAGTTAAAGATTCTCGAGCTAACTGGATTGTGATACTTATATCTCATATTGATTTTGATGATGTTATCCCCGAGCATATTGTATTGTTTCAAGTTATCGTTTAAGAGTTTTTTTAAAAAATGACTAAGGTTGGATTTTTCCAGTGCATCAGAATAAGTAAAGTTTAAATTGATTTCAAAGTTGTTTGGCGTATTTTGGAGTTTTTCTTGTAAACTTTTTGTTGAAATCTAATGGAGCAGGCATTTATAAAATATTTGGTTTCTTCTGTGCAAGCGTTTTTTTAAAGTTAGTGTCACTTTTAATTGTTTCTATAAGAGATCTGAATCTTCTATGTTTAGTAATTTCAAAAAAATACAAGTGTGAAGATCTTTAGTGTTACAACTATTGGTTATGTTTATTATGTCTGAATGGTTGATTAATTTAGAGATATTTTTTTATCTTTTTGATGAGGACTTGTGTCTTTTTATGGTTAGGTTTTTTTAAAATTTTTGATTTGGAAGTAAGGAGATTTGTTTTTGTTTACTAGAATTAGAATTAGACATTATATCAGTTATATTAGAAATGTTGCCAAATTTGCTTATTTGATCATTAAACCCGAAAAGGAAAGGCCGTATGTAAAGTTTGAATCCAGTGAGTTTCTTTTATCTAGGCGTATTCTATTATTTTTCATTGTTGATGTTATCTAATATATATACTTTTTATGCGGGGGTTAAGTCTGTCATGGGATATGTTGTCGAAATGTGAACAGAAAAAAAGGTGTGAAGTTTGTTGTTTCTTATGCTATAAAGATGTTGGTATATCCTTGATTTAAGCTTTTTGTTTGGTTTCTCCAACATATTGCTTATTACAATCTAGGCATTCGAGACAGTAAATCAAGTTTTTTTGGAATTGCAATTAACATTTGCTGATTTAACAGTGTTGATGCGATATCCTGTGCTTGTGCTATAAATAAAGTGAGAGAAATATATTAAATCGCAGTATGAGCAAGATTTTTGAACTACATCTAATTCCTTTTTTTCGTAAGTGAATTCTTGAAGTAATTTTTCTATTGTTGTTACTTATATTTTTTTGTTTTTTTATATCTTTTTTTGGTGAAGTAGCTTAAAAGCTTTACGAGTATCAGAGAAGTCAAAGAGGTAGGGATTATCTTTTGGTTGGTTGGTTGGGCTGTTTGTTCTGTTTCTGTGAGTGTGCTGCCTTTTAAATCAAAAATAGCCTGGGGGCATTTCCAGACTACAGTGCCGAAGTATTTTCGCCGTGAACCATAATGGCGCCCGGCTTTTTCGGGGGAATAGGACTGTCTTCCACCATCATTTATAGAGTTCGCTCGGTGGCGAATAACTGTACTCCGGCTGTCCACAGTTATCCTTGTATAAACCACATCGAGGAGAGTGCTCTTTTATTGAAAAAGATATGTATTAATTGAGAAATAGATTAAACAACCCGTTTTTGTTTGGAGAGGTTTTGGACCCGAAGTCCACAGAATTTGGAGAGGTTTGGATCCGAAATCCACAGAATTTTGGAGAGGTTTGGACCCGAAGTCCACAGAATTTGGATAGGTTTGGATCCCGAAATCCACAGAATTTTGGAGAGGTTTGGACCCGAAATCCACAGAATTTGGAGAGGTTTGGACCCGAAATCCACAGAATTTGGAAAGGTTTGGACCCGAAGTCCACAGAGTTTGGCGAGGTTTGGACCCGAAGTCCATAGAATTTGGAAAAGAATGTATGGAAGGGTTATGTATATGAAAAAAATGTAAAATTACGATGTTTGAATTGGTATATATTTGATATGTATGAATGGAAGAAGGTTACTGTATTAATTGTGGTGTATGCAGATATTGTGTGAGTGGTGAGTTTTAGAAATATTATTATAAATGGTTTTTGGGATTATTTGTTGTTTGAGAGGAATTTTCTAATTATTTAAGCTAATACATTTGTTTGTTTTGATTTTTGCTAATACATATGTTTGTTTTGATTTTTGTTATATTCTATAGGTGTGAATGTTAAATGTTCATTATACAGTTGTCGTTGGATGAGTAAAGTAAAGTAAAAGTATAATGTATGTTTTAATTTTGTTATATTTTATGGGTATAAATACCGATTGTTCATTTATGAACACTATCTACGTGATGGAAATGATTAAGATGTGACGAGGATGTCATAATTGATGGAAATATAGATACTAAAAGTTGAGTAGTTATCTGGTACTTCGCTCATTTATGGAAGTACCATTTGAGTCGAAATTCACCAAATTAATCTACTCCTATTCAATTCAGTGTGTTTGATCAATATGAAGGGTGAGAAAATACATATGAGGAGGACATTACTATGAAAAGGTTTTAGGAT